TGAGAGAGAAAAAGCCCATGAAACTAATCAACTATATACTATCAAAGTCTGTGAATTCAGACTTTTATCACATGTTTGCCCAATTATTGCCATTCCCTTTTTATTTTCACTTTCAGGTCCAGAGTACACCTTTGGCTCGATTCTTGTCTCCATAACTAAAATTAAATAATTTTTTGATATTCCTATTCGAATTTATTTAATACTTGTTTATTTACTTTCGTTCGTTTTTATGGCATTATTCACAACTTTTCAGCAAAGCATTGCCAAGCTGGTGTCTAGCCCTCTTTTTCGATGCTTTCTTTTCTTAAAAACATTTCTTCTATGATATATATTAGAGAATGACGATTTGTAATGACGTCGAAACAAATTATCATTCGGTTTAAGATTTTTTTTTTTTTTTGGGAAAAGAGGTTTGGTGAGAAGTTTGGTCTTCATTTTAATATAAATCCTTGAACGTCAGAGTCAAAATGTATTTTTTATGATAATTCTAAATCAAATCTAACAACCTCGTTTCCATAAGCAACTATCTATTTCAAAAATAAAAAATAAACGAATAAAACAAGGCATATATTGCTTAACGTATAGATCAAAAAGCTATAAATAACAGAGTAAAAAGAAGAAACTGGGAATTTAGTAATATTAGTTTTTGAAAAATTAGGGAATTGTTTGTGGAAATGCACATGGATAACTCATTCCCACGTGAAATCTAATCCGAGAACACGTGCCTTTCGGCAGAGGTCGTCTCTGACTTTTTGATTAGTTTCAGTTCCAGCAGATAACAATTAATTTCAAAATTCAAAGAGGTCTAAATTGTGTGAATTTGAGCAACTAGCTAGATGCTTGGTTTGATGCCCAACGTTAATATCCTTGGGCATGTCAATTTGAACAAAATCATGACGTTTTTATTTGCTAATTACAATATTTATAATTATTCTATTGACTTTAATATCATTCCTTCGGACACTTATTTTGTTCTATCTAAAACCCATGTCTTGGGATATGGTTCCATTTGCCGAGCATTTTGCAGTCAGCACCACTTTAAATAAGATACTACTCCTAATTTAATGTATTTTCTTGTACGCCAACTTACTAGTATGATAAAAGGTTTTAAGTTTTCTTTGGAACCATACAACGAATTATGCCATATGGTATCACCATATATACTAGTACTAGTATATATGTTGACTACTCCCTCCGTTTCATATTACTTGTCGTTCTAGATTATTTCACACAAATTAAGAAAACGATTAAAGTTATTATTTTACCCCTAATTAATATACTATTTTGTTTGATATATGTAATTAATAAGCTTAAAAAGTAGGGTTAAAACTGGAAAATCTGTCATAAATTTGCATTGTAAATATAAAACGACAAGTAATATGAAACAAAATTTTAACTCTAAAACGACAAGTAAAACGAAACAGAGGGAGTATGAGATATTGAGATACTTGGATATTACTTTTGTGAACTTTATCGTTAGAGCGAGATTACATAATATTTTAGTCTTTTGGAGTTCGTGGACTTAAACTCGTATTTATTAGAGATCTTTTTAATAGAGATTTACGCCGTGCTAACAAATTAAGGGTTCTTCTTAACTTGTTAGCAGTGAATCCTACAAAGGGTTTTTAATTAAACGAAATTTTGTTATGGCAATGTGTATATATTCGTGTATACGTCTACGTCATTGTGTGCCTCCTCGAATACAAACATGTTTAAAGAATGGGGACCGTTAATCAAACCTAAAGCTGATGAAAAAAAAAAATCAAACCTAAAGCTAGCTTTATAAATTTGTATTTTAAAACTTATGTAACGATAATAAACTTATGTCATTATAATAACAGATAGATTCCCAGTGCTTTAAATTTACTCGAACCATCCTGGCAAAATCTGTGACCACTAGCTTTAAACCTAACGTCTCGATCGATGACAGAGTCTGGTATATGTGTATATATATCCTAATACAGTATATATTTATAATTTATTCCCTGTTAACGTTGTGTCTCAGTGAAATTATAATTACTCTTAGCTCACGTAATGACTGCAGGATTAAGATTATTGAGATACGAATTGAATACTACTAATTAAAACTCTATATTATACTGTACATGAATTTACTTAGATATATTTGAATTCACCCATCTAACATATATAGGTCCAAATAAATGCGGGAGGAAGTTGTATAAAATAATCAATTAATCATTTTCTTCTTTCTTCTTGTTGGATTATAGTGATTTTCCTATCTAGGAAAATGGAGTTCCCAATTATAAAGGTTAACTGTCCCTTGACGAAAGAAATTGGATTTTTTTGAATCTAATCGTTTGATAAATTCATTTTGATTTTATTAATAGCACCAAATTCATTTTGATTTAATTCAAAGGAAGTCGAGGCAGAAGAACATGTGTTTTTTCCACTTCTGCATTTATTTCTTTATGATGAGCCTGTCCTTTTTGTTTTTGCCCTCTTCTTATTTATGTACCTCAAACTCCATCAAGGATATATCACGGGTATTATTTTTTTTCTATTGAATTTTTTTTTAATTTTAATGACATTACGATGAAAATTTGACCAGTACTTTTAAGCTAGGAAAACATTTATATTAGTGTTCGCTCACTCTAACAAGAAAAAGAAGAGAAAAATTATAGTGTTGTAAGAAATTGTATCAAATAGTAACATATTTGCATTTGCATGTGCTGTTATAAAAGCAAACTTATGACATCGAGTGTTATTACTTTATCAAAAAAAAAAAGACATCGAGTGTTATTATTCTGATTTAATAAACCAAAAACTAAAAAAGAAAACACACGATGATTTGAATATGTAAAATACAAACAAATGAAGCAAAAGAAATTAAGAGAGTTTGGTAATGCCAAATAGGCAATAATTAATTATGTGTGGCAATGAACAAAGCTGAGCTGTACATGTACCACACCTTTCATTCATTGGTTACCCTCTAACTGAAAGTGACACGTGTCTTAAAAATCAACAAAGTTTTTTCTGACGTGGCTGTGCATTTATTTATTGATTTGACAAGTTTAGGCTATCGTTGTCAAACAAATTAACTTAATTAATTAGCGCCACAAAAAAAAAAAAAAAGAGTAAGGTCCGTATCAAATTTGCTCTCACAGTACGTAATTCTGTTTTATGTTTAAAATCAACAGAGACACTAATGTCTTATTTAATTATCCCGAAACAAAGACAAAAAAAAAAACAAAAACTTTGTGTTTAGTTGATTAAAAATCAAAAAGCACGATTCTTGTCTTGCTCCTTACAGCTTACAAGATAATTAGGAACCAAATCACTTTTTTGGTTAAAACAAATCATAATCATAGATGTTAGAGATACTGATGATGTTACCACTTTCCCCTTAATAATCTACTTAATTACAGTAATACCATACTTTGATGTCCTTATTGCGTCATCGATTCTATCCAATGACCTTATGCACTACTTTATTTACAGACAATTTTATAAAATACCATATTTTTAAGTTTTTGTTCCAAAAATATTATTACTAGTTTTTTTTTTTATCAAATTAGTAAATCGGATCAGCTTTTAAATAATCCTTTGGACACACAGAACACATATATACAAAAAATGTCTATTACCCAAGTATCATGTTGGTTTGCATATACTCATGCATGAGATACCTTTTTTTTTTTTTTTTTTTTTTTTTTTTGGGCAAACATGAGATACCTAAATGATATATATATATATATATATACTCTAGTTTTAATCCGGGTATAATTTCAATTTAAGTAAACGTATGCATGAGATACCTAAATGATAGATCATGAAACAAAATTAGGGTATATATATATCCATTGTTTATGAAATTCAACGTGTTCGATATTCATCGTTGAAGTGGTATAACATGCAAAAAGATAATGTATCCACACTATCTAAGCATTATAAAGTGCCACTATTAGCAAAATATTCACATGGTCAAGACTCAAACGTCGCATCATCAAACATTACATGCTCAATTGTTGAATTTTCTAGCTAAATTGATAATTAATATCAAGGAGGAAAAATAGAGTTGAAATCATTGGCAATGATCATAATCGATATAGGTGTCTAAAATAAAACGCAATCATATCGTGCGACAAGGTTACAGTAATATAGATATGTTTCTTCCAAAACGACTAAAACGTAGAAGTTTACAGAATTAATTAACGAGTATAGCATGCTAGCGAATGTTCTTTAATTTATACACTAGCTAGTATAAATCCATCTTATTTCATATGCGAGAGATAAATATCAAAGCCTACTTAATTGGATCAATAATCCTGGTTTAGATCATAGAGACCCTAAATATCCAAAACTAACAAATTCTAAACCTCCAAAGTTATTTTAATTAATTGGGAATATATTTGATAATATAAAGTTTCGACATCGAAACAAAATCTTACTCTAAATTACACGAAATGTTGGAAAATACATGGTCACACATGCCAAATATATTATTGTCTCATCAGCTACACAAAGTATATGTATTGCATGACCACATGTATAAATAGTATGACGTCATGTGGTTAACACCATAGACATACAATTCTGATACAACGATCGATTGATAACGACACCGTTAAAAAATAAATAAATAAAAAAACTTGTAAATTTTAAATGGTGGATGCCTATGTTGTTAAGAAGACATTATTTGATTAGTTGATTGAAAAATTAGGGAATGACAGTGTGAAACCTAAAATATGGCAATGTAGATATTCATTGAAGAGAGAGAGAGAGTAAGAGAGAATATGTGTAAAAGAGAAAATGGTGCCAGCTATGAATTTGAAGGATCAAAGCTTTCTCTTATTAAGCTGTCATCTCTCTCTCTCTCTCTTCATTCCTTCCTTATAGTGCTCTGTTTCTCTCCACATTCACACACACAGACTCTCTCTCTCTCTCTCTACATTATTAAATCACTTGTCTTTCCTTTTTTCAAAACTTGGAAGAGAAGAAGCAAGGAATTTCGAGATTTCTTTTTTTTTGATGATTTAATCGTTGCATCAAATCAAAAGCTTCTTCCTCCAAACAAACATCAATGGCGGACGTTAATGGCGATAAGAAGCACTGGTGGTTCACTCACAGAAAGGTAAAAGGGATCTCTCTTACTAACTTGGAAATAATTTCTCGATTCAAAGATCATCAATCATTCATTCATTCTTTTTTCTTCCTTTTGTGTGTCTCTCAGCTTGTTGATAAGTATATTAAGGATGCAACAACTTTGATGGCAAGTGAGGAGGCAAACGACGTCGCTTCAGCTCTTCATTTACTAGACGCTGCGTTATCCATATCCCCGCGTTTGGAAACTGCGTTAGAGCTTAAGGCTAGATCTCTGCTCTTCCTCCGTCGTTTCAAGGATGTCGCCGATATGCTTCAGGATTATATCCCCAGTCTTAAACTCTCCCTTAACGACGAAGAAGGATCCGCTTCTTCTCAAGGCTCTTCCTCCGACGGACTCAACCTTCTCTCCGACGCCTCTTCGCCGGGGTCGTTTAAATGCTTCTCTGTTTCCGACTTGAAGAAGAAAGTGATGGCAGGGATTTGTAAAAAATGCGACAAACAAGGGCAATGGAGGTCATTTTTCAACTCTTTATTACTTACTTTCAACCAAAACGCAATCGTTGTTGATTTTAAAACGCTATTTCAGGTATGTAGTGTTGGGTCAAGCTTGTTGCCATCTAGGACTAATGGAGGATGCCATGGTTCTGCTTCAAACCGGTAAACGCCTCGCCTCCGCCGAGTTTCGTCGCCGGAGTATTTGCTGGTCCGACGATAGCTTCCTTCTCCTCTCCGAATCCTCCTCTACTTCTTCTCCACCACCCGAGAGCGAGAATTTCACCCATCTCCTCGCTCACATCAAGCTTCTTCTCCGTCGTCGCGCCGCTGCAATCGCCGCTCTCGACGCCGGACTGTTCTCCGAGTCGATCCGTCACTTCTCCAAGATCGTCGATGGTCGTCGCCCTGCGCCTCAAGGATTCCTCGCCGAATGCTATATGCATCGAGCCGCCGCTTATAGATCCGCCGGTAGAATCGCGGAGGCGATCGCCGATTGCAATAAAACCCTAGCTCTTGAACCGTCGTGTATCCAAGCGTTAGAAACCAGAGCCGCGCTTCTGGAAACGGTGAGGTGTTTTCCAGATTCGCTTCACGATCTAGAACACTTGAAGCTTCTCTACAACACCATTTTACGCGATCGGAAGCTTCCAGGCCCGGTGTGGAAGCGGCACAACGTGAAATACAGAGAAATTCCTGGGAAATTGTGCGTTTTGACAACGAAAACGCAGAAACTTAAGCAGAAAATCGCAAACGGAGAAACTGGGAATGTCGATTATTACGGCTTGATTGGAGTCAGACGCGGATGCACCAGATCGGAGCTAGATCGAGCTCATCTATTGCTGTGTCTCAGATACAAACCCGATAGAGCCTCGTCTTTCATCGAACGGTGCGAGTTCACCGATCAAAACGACGTCGATTCGGTTAGAGATCGAGCAAAAATGTCGTCTCTGTTGCTTTACCGTTTGATTCAGAAAGGATACTCCGCCGTGACAGCGATCATAGCCGAGGAGCAGAGGAAGAACACCATTGCTCACGCTCAAAATCAAAAGATTGAAGAACGCAAACCGGTGGAAAAATCAGGTTCCATCAAGATAACCGGAAACGCTGAACCGAAACCGGTAAATTCCAATGCGTACCAAGGAGTTTTCTGTAGAGATCTCGCTGCTGTTGGGAATCTACTAACCAGGGCTGGTTTCAACCATCCAATCCCGGTTAAATACGAAGCTCTCACCTGCTAAAACAATTGAACCGAAATTTTTTTTCTACCAGGTCAGCGATCGAAAATGACGTCGTTTCCATAGATTCGTCTTCGTACAGAAAAACAAATCATTCAGCCGTCAAAAAAAGAAAATAAATAAGAAAATATATATACATTTGATGTATGAATACAAATGAAACGATGTATTTATGTTTGGAAGATTATTCCACTATAGGAAATTTTTGTCACTTATATCTTCAATGTTCGTCTCTTTGTTTCTTCTTCTTCTTCATGCATATAAATTATAAAATGACAGAAGCTTCATTTGTTCACGTAAATTAAAATACTATCAAAACTTCTTTTTTTTTCATTTTATTATTAGAACTAAGCCAATGAGCACTAATTTTTTTCTTTTTTTCTTCTTTTATTATTGAGTTCTCGAGATTTGCCTGGAAATAGTCGATGAGTCTGACTCACGTCAGTAATATTCGGATGAGTCCTTATCTATAAAGTTTGGCTGCCATTTAATGGTATTGGGATGATTAATTAGGCAAATAAAATAAAGATGGCAAAAAGTGAGACTAAATAAAAACTATACACTTGCTGTATAAATCCACAATGCAAAGTCTTGAAGTATTATGAAATTTGCGGAAAAACGGTCTATTTCCCCACGAGAACTATCGCATCATAACAGATAGAGCCCAAAGTATGACCTCGGTCTATGTATCTCTAAAACTAAAGTGCTATACATATTTCCCCCTGAAATATAAGTTCTATATCTGAATCTACCCGAATTAATAGTTCGAAATCTATTAACCCACAATCCTGGGTTTTGTCGGTTTACTATTTACTTAACCGATTAGTAAAAAACTAAACCCAATTAAACCAGAAAAAAACCAGATTTTTCTAATTTCTTTCTCTAATGTCAATTTGGGAGACTAATTATGATATCTGAGAGTAATTAATTAATTAAAGAGAAAAACAAAAGTCATTTGTCTTCATTGATAACAGAGGAGAGAGAAGTAGAGAAGCTTCACAATAGCAACAATGGCGGAGAAGACCCCATTTCTCAAACTTCTTCCTCTTGGCTCTTGCTCTTCTTCTCAGCCATGGCTGATCTTCTTTATGTGATTGCAATTTTCTTATGAAGAGTCAATGAGTGTGAGAAACAAGAAGACGTTATCACCCATGAAATCTGAATCTCTCGTTTTATCAATTCGGATCGATATCTCTCGTTTCCAGTTTTGGGTTTTCATTTGCTTATAGTTATGCTTTTATGAAACGGCGCCCTAATTATTTCAGACCAGAAACGAGAGATTAGATGGTAAAGAATTGAAATTGGTTGAAGAATGCATCAGATTTGTTTATATGGATAGATGACTATTGGGTTTCAATAAATCTCAAGTTCATATGAAAACTACGTGAACTTGCCCAGAAAATTAATCAATGTGAATGAATTTTTTTTTTTTTGGAACAAAATCAATGTGAATGTATATAATCTTCGAATTTATATGTTAAAATTGATGTCTTTGAGTGTTTAACAGTGATTGAAGAGAAAGAGAGAAAGATATTAGAAAAATCTGGTTTTTGCTGGTTTAATTGGGTTCAGTTTATTTTATAATCGGTTAAGTAAATAGTAAACCGACAAAACCCATGATTGTGGGTTAATAGATCTCGAACTAATAATTCGGAGAGATTTAGATATAGAACTTATATTTCAGGGGGAAATAGGTATAGAACTTTAGTTTTAGAGATACATAGACCGAGGTCATACTTTGGGCTCTATCTGTTATGATGCGATAGTTCTCGTGGGGAAATAGACCGTTTTTCCGAAATTTGCACATATATCATATGATATTCTTGTATTGAAGTATTATGAAATTTGCACATATATCATGTGATATTATTAGGTAATAATATTTATTTTGGAAAGTCAAATTTGACTTTTAAAAAATGAAATAGATATTTCATTGGCAGTTGTGACATGTACAAAGTAGGCCTGGGCATAATACCCAAACCCGAAGAACCGAACCGAACCCGACCTGAAAAACCCGACCCGAACCCGAACCCGAAGTTTTAAAATACCCGAACGGGTTCTAAACTTCACAACCCGAAAACCCGAACCCGAACCCGACCCGAACTCGAACCCGAACAAGTACCCGAACATATCCGAAATATAAATACATAGCTATAATATATTAGTAATATTTATACTTGTAATAGTCTAAATGTCTAAATTATTCGGATGCTAAGATATTTTCGGGTGTTTTAGCTACTTTTGGTTAGATTAGGGTATAAAATACTTAAAATCTATAGATTTTCTGAGTATTTTCAATACTTTTCATAGAATCGGATACAAAATTTTAAATATTTGGATACCCGAATCCGAACCCGAAATACCCGACCCGAACCCGATCCGAACCCGAAGTTTTAAAATACCCGAACGGGTCTTAGTTTTCTAAATCCGAAAAATCCGAACCCGAAAAACCCGACCCGAATCCGACCCGAATATCCGAACGCCCAGGCCTAGTATAAAGTTTTCCTACCAGTGTAGATACATATGGTAAATAAAACTGTCGAAATCTCTGGCAGTAATAAAGCAACTTCGTTGACATAATGAAGCACCGTTATGTTTATTACAAGTCCAAGGCGGCACTTTGCTTGTATTTCTTAGGTCACATGGATGAGGCCTTCGAGGAGGCTTTGGAGGAGGAGGAGGTCTTTGATTAGGCTTTCCTATTGATATTCCTATGACAAAACATTTTAATATTTTTTGGTTAAAAATACATATTTATGTTGTAATATATTTTCCTAAACAATTGTATATAAAATCCATTAATCGTTTGAGTTTGGATCGATTATATATCTTCTATAAAAATTTAAATCTCTCAAACAATTTTTTTTTTTGTAAAATAATTTTTGAAGTGCACATTCAAACAAAAAAATTATTGTCTATTTGACATTTTCAATTAGCTAATAAATCATGTTAAAGATGTTTAAAGATATAAGTAAATATACACTAGTCATAAAGTCAAACACAAACAATATACAGTATTGGCAAAATTAATATTTGTATTTCAAACACAAACCAACCACATTTGTATTTCTACTCATTTTTACTTCCGATTTAATTTTTTTTTTTTGTTTTTGATGAGAATGTCTATCACACAATTATCTAATATATAAAAAAAATTCCTAAAAATAGAAGAAAATCAATGTAGTCCATAAAAATCCTATAAAATGTTAAAACTAAATTTTTTTTAAAAAACTACGAATTATTTATTAAAATTACTAGAGGCAGACATCTAATATTTTTCGAAAATGATTGGGTGGCTAAGATTTCTTATCCACTAGAAAATCCAGTGAGTCCCGTTAACTCTCTTCTCTGCTCTTGTCTTGTCTTCTATTTTTGCAAAAGGTCTTCTTGGCCATGGATACTTGTGCTCTAGTTATCCATCAGTCTCTGTCTCGCATCAAACTTTCTCCTCCCAAATCTTCTTCTTCTGGTTTCTCTCTTGAATCTTTACCGATTAGACGGAGCCAGCTGTGTTTCCGAGGAGCAATATGTGCCGCCGTACAAAGAAACTACGAAGAAACGACCTCCTCCGTGGAAGAGGAAGACGATGATGATGAGTCATCGTACGGAGAAGTGAAGAAGATCATTGGAAGTCGAACGGCGGCGGAATTAGGAGCCATGGAGTACCTTATCGAGTGGAAGGACGGCCATTCTCCGTCGTGGGTTCCATCGAGCTACATCGCAGCAGACGTGGTGTCGGAGTACGAGACACCCTGGTGGACGGCAGCTAGGAAAGCCGACGAGCAGGCCCTGTCACAGCTTCTGGAGGACCGAGACGTCAACGCCGTAGACGAAAACGGCAGGACGGCTCTGCTTTTCGTGGCAGGTCTGGGGTCGGACAAGTGCGTAAGGCTTCTGGCGGAGGCTGGAGCCGATCTCGACCACCGAGACATGAGGGGGGGATTGACGGCGCTTCACATGGCGGCTGGTTACGTGAAGCCGGAGGTGGTGGAGGCGCTGGTGGAGCTGGGCGCTGATATTGAAGTGGAAGACGAGAGAGGGTTAACGGCGTTGGAACTAGCGAGGGAGATTCTGAAGACGACCCCAAAGGGGAATCCGATGCAGTTCGGGAGGAGAATTGGGTTAGAGAAAGTGATCAATGTCCTCGAAGGACAAGTGTTCGAGTACGCGGAGGTGGAGGAGATCGTAGAGAAACGAGGGAAAGGCAAAGACGTTGAATATCTGGTCAGATGGAAGGACGGCGGCGATTGCGAGTGGGTGAAAGGCGTACACGTGGCGGAAGATGTGGCCAAGGACTACGAGGATGGGCTGGAGTACGCTGTAGCGGAGAGGGTGATCGGGAAGAGGATGGGAGACGACGGGAAGACCATCGAGTATCTTGTCAAATGGACTGATATGTCTGATGCCACTTGGGAGCCTCAAGACAATGTCGACTCTACACTTATTCTACTCTACCAACAAGAACAAGAACAACAACAACAACCAATGAATGAATGATATTCTTCTGAATTTGCTTTTTTCTCATATGTGTTGGTTCATCACACCGGTTCGGTTGGTATGTAACCGGTACATTTTTCATTTTCTTTTAAGATGTAATGGTTTTTGGGGACATTTATTTGATTTATATCCCAAGGCATGCTTTGAATTTTGCTTCCCTTTTTGGGGGGATTCATGTGCTGACTTGCTCTTTATCGTCCCAGGTTAGAATACATCGTCTTAGGCTTTTCTTTTTCTCAAAGCCCATTTACCTTTAATTGGGCCTATAACTAACATATAAGAAGAAGTACACGTAAACCCAATAATACACAACTTTTATTTTATGAGTATGTTTCTTGTAACAGTTGTTGGTCTTTTAAGGAATACCAACCCTACGAGTACGCGGTGATAATGACAACTTCTGAAGAGAGATAATGTATAACTGCACTTTGCGATTAAGGAAATTATAGAAAGATACAAAGTCTGAATAAATGACAAGAAAATATGAGTTAGTAGTATCCATTCTTCTCCAATTTCGACATCATTTTTATTTTTTTGACGATATTCGATGCATTGCGTCTGTATGAGAGAAATTTTGGTTTGTCAGTTAATGGCTACACTTTTATTATTATGAGCATCTAGATTTTCAGTGCATGTGATGTTACGTTGATGGACATAAGGAGACAAAAAGGACGGAGATGATTAGTACACAGTTTCGTTTCTTTATGTATACAACGATATATCGCCTATTTTTTCGTTTGTAATTTTCCTCTTAATTCGAGAGGGGCCTCTAGTCATGTGTTACTTACAGTGACATGAACGGATGAGAAAAGTTTCTTTTTGTAAACGACATACGTAAATCAACCAAATGAACTTAGTGTAACAACCAAATTACTTTTGGACAACAAGCCAAACAACAGTTATGTATATTATAAATTAGAGAAAGAGAAAACAAAGAATTAGGTCGATTAACCGCGACCACCATGGCCACCACGACCACATTCGCCATGTCCTCCAGTCGATTAATATATATACATTGATGCCAAATATATTAATTTTCACTGGGTTTTATACATACTATCAGACCACAAAAGATATCACAGACTCACAGTTAACAACACTACATATTTCAGATTTTGTATGAAACGTAGGTTTATATATGAGACCCTTTTAACCGACAAAAATGAAGCAATTATTAAAGGATAGTGATCATATGGTTTGTAACTTTGTATTGTGTGTAATTGGTTGGTAAGGTATAAATTAGTATTACGATAAATGACTTTTCTTCCTTTTTTTCTTTCAAATTGAACGAATCTCTATTTCACTTTAAAAAAAACAAATTTTAAGTTACTTAAATTACAAATACCGAGTTTTTTTTACATATATATATATATAGAAATTAAATTGGGTTTCAGTCCAAAATTTTCTAGTTATAGCCTTATATGAAAGAAAATGAAAGAGTTGCTTTGAAAATATTGAATCCATTTAAAAAAAAAAAAATTTAATAGTATGTACTAAAAGTCTTTCTTTAGTAGTCCAATCTAAATACGAACGGGAAGTACCAAAACTATACGAAACGGCCAATAATGACATGTGGGGAACACGTAGTTAGATGAGCAGTAAATGGGAAACATATTTTGATGGTTGTCCTCATATTTTCGTGTATCGAGTTAGATAAGGAAACTGTGATATTTAATTCTCAAAAGATTCCATAAGATTCCGTAGAATATAATTGATAGTATTTCAGTATTTTCGACTGGCAGCGAATTTGGTAGACGATACAAATTGATCGCCCTAGGGTGTTGTATATATTAACAAATTTAACTTGTTTGCTTAATTAGGACCATCTGATGACTTTATTTTAAGTTCAAATTTAATTGACCTCTCTTTCTTGAACATTTTGTGCGCATATATACATATTACAAAGTAAAGACTTATATCTTTGACAACAAAAAAAAATGAAGAATAAGTTATAGAACTTTTTTTTTTCTTATTGAAATTTAAAAAAAAAGAATTTCCTTTATTAATTTTAGTACAGAACAAAAATTTGATAATATTATCCTTTTTGATCTCTCAGAGTGTAATTTTCGTTCTTTAACAAAAAAGAATGTAATTTGAGTTTTAGAGTTCTTTTGTGTGTGTTAAGAGAATCAATACTTTTTTACTAGTTTGTCACGACATCTCATAACCTAACATCCATCATCAGGTATCAAAAGACGAAATATTATGTGTTTTTGTGACTTTAGTCTCGTTTGTTCAAAGTACTGTATATCGTTTGTGAGTGCACTTAATTCCTTGTGTTCTTGCGATATTTGGATTAGTGAATTTTGTGGATATCGTTAAGACGCTAACGAAAATTTACACGTGTTTACGAACGCACACGTGTTTTGTAGCTCGAGCAAAAGACCATCTGGTCAACAGACTAAGATCCGGCTAATTTATATTATTCAATATTATAAGAACATCAAGAAATGTGCGATGACTACCTGATCTACGTATTCACGTGACCATCAACAATTAATTTCAATAAATTTCTTCAAACTTAAACAAAAAAATATCTAATGTGTTAAAAAAGTGATGTCAATGATCTCGGCACACACTAGAATTAGTGTCTAAGAGAACCACGACGAGCCTGCACGGACCGATCACGAGTCTCTCGACGGTGAATAAGCCACGACTTCAGTCTCCTTCTAAACCAACGTGGCGCTTCTTACACCGCACACGTGTCATCATCTCCTTCTTCCTCGAACCCGCGAGCTCTTTAATCCGCTTTTAATTAATTAAGTGTATATCGTCTTCCCCTATATAAACCTAAATCAGTCACTTTTTGCTTCTGCTGTCTGTCACTCAGTAACTTCTCTTTCTCACTTACACACTCTCTCTCTCTCTCTCTCTCTCTTTCCATTGCTTGACTTTTGTGGTCAGCGTAATAAATACATATAACCGCCGGAGAAAATGGGAAGAGCGCCGTGTTGCGAGAAGGTCGGTATTAAGAGAGGGCGGTGGACGGCGGAGGAGGACCAGATTCTCTCCAACTACATTCAATCCAACGGCGAAGGATCTTGGAGATCTCTCCCCAAAAATGCCGGTAATAACATTTTACACATTTATTAACAATATCATGCAGCAATATATTTATGAGAGGCGGAGAGAACTAATCGTGGTTCTTGTCGTAATCTTCATGAAACATGGATTCTTAGTCAGTTTTTTTTTTTTTTTTTTAATAATAAATTTTAGTAAGGTTAGAATAGAAGTTAAATTGCCAGCCTAATCAATCTTTGTTACCATTTTATTTCAGTCTTTTGTTTTTTTTTTCGTTAGAGTCACAGTCACAGTCACAGTCACGGTGGGTTGTGAAATGTACGTATATGTAAAATGCTGCCAAGTGCATGCTTTAAAGGGTAGGTTATGTTATAGACTTATAGTATACGGACAAATGTTTAAAAGGAAATACAAACAGATGCGTATTTATGTATTTTTGTCCGTTGCGTATCATTTCAAAGAATCAGATCAAAACCATATGACTAGTTTGATTTGATTTCTAACCTCTCTTTTAATACAAGGTTAGTTAATGCAGTAGTTGAGATTTTTTTGTAGTTGTGATATATGCATACGAAATACGAATACAATGATCAGAATGCTAAGAATCTCGTGAGCAGTCACACATCAGACCCAATATAAATGAATAAATACCTGAAAACTAAATATATAGATATTCTTCTTACGTCTGAATCTGTATCTAAAATATGACGTGTATTATCTACTACTATTACTATATTGTTAATTGTTTTTATTTGTTTTTGGAAAAGGATTAAAAAGGTGTGGAAAGAGCTGTAGATTGAGATGGATAAACTATCTTAGATCCGACCTCAAGCGTGGGAACATAACTCCAGAAGAAGAAGAGCTCGTTGTTAAATTGCATTCCACTTTGGGAAACAGGTACTCTATTATTTTACTTTATTTTCCAAACTCTATTAGTTTAACTTGTTTTCATTTTTCCACAATAATATTCGTACAAATTGTTTTTATGCACTGTATCATATAATAATGATATCATGGCGACCAAGTAAGTTAAGCTTCGTTATTAAGACGGCTTAATGACAATTATTCTCTCTATTACTTTAGAATTTTCCAAAAAAGCACATTTTTATGGTTGGGAAATTTAATTTAAAGTCGATTACAGAAGTTAGAATGGTAGAAGATTATTTTATCGTAAAAAAAAAAAAGAAAAAAAAAAGATTATTTTATCGTCGATCGAGAAATAAGTTTTTCGTCGTGGGTCTCTCTCTAACCATTGGGGTGTTGAACTTTTTCTCTTTTAGTTGAGACAAACTAAATGTACCCTATTATTTTACACTTCGTATATTACATAAGCATTAATAGGAACACAGTTGATTTAACACATGTGCATCTGTATTACAAGTTACAACACTTCAAATAAATAAAATACAATGACATATGTGTTGCAAATAAATAAAATACAACACTTCATATGTGTTTTTTTTTTCATTATTACTCAAAACGTTAAACAAGTATATGTGATCGATAGTAGTGTCCGCTAATATAAATCCAATATTGGACATCGGACAAGGAACTCAACGAGAGTAGTACGAATTAGTAGTCATCGCCACTCATTATTGACATTGCTTGAGTGATTTCTAGTATATGTTTTTATTGTAATGAATAGTAACAGATTTTCTAGAAAGCATGATTCGGTCAGCAGTCATATCAACATGGCAAATCAAGTTTAGAACTATTATGACACTATTCTAATGATTCCCATTGGGCCACGAGGTTCTCTTATTCCCCGGGAAGATATTAAATTTTATTAAGGTTGTTTAAAATTGTGAATAGAGGATTAATAATTGATTAATGTAATGCAATGTAGGTGGTCACTAATTGCGGGTCATCTTCCAGGGAGAACAGACAACGAAATAAAAAATTATTGGAACTCTCATCTCAGCCGTAAACTCCACAACTTCATTAGGAAGCCGTCCATCTCTCAAGACGTCTCCGCCGTAATCATGAACGCTTCTTTAGCGCCACCGCCGCCGCAGGCAAAACGTAGACTCGGGAGAACAAGTAGATCCGCCATGAAACCAAAAATCCACAGAATAAAAACTCGAAAAACAAAGAAAACGTCTGCACCGCCGGAGCCTAACGCCGACGTAGCGGTGGCTGAGGAAGGAGCATTAATGGTGGAGTTAAGTGGAGCCGAGGCTGAGCTAGGACCATGTGACTACTATGGAGATGATTGTAATAAAAATCTCATGAGCATTAATGGCGATAATGGAGTTTTAACGTTTGATGATGACATCATCGATCTTTTGTTGGACGAGTCAGATCCTGGCGACTTGTACACAACGTGCGGTGGTGATGGGGAGTTGAATAACATGAGAGACCCTGAAGGAGCCAGCGGGTTCTCGGAGACTTCGAACCAAGGGAATCTCGACTGTCTTCTTCAGTCGTGTCCATCGGTGGAGTCGTTTCTCAACTATGACCACCAAGTTAACGATGTGTCAACGGATGAGTTTATCGATTGGGATTGTGTTTGGCAAGAAGGTAGTGATAATAATCTTTGGCATGAGAAAGAGGGTCCCGACTCTATGGTGTCGTGGCTTTTGGACGGTGATGATGAGGCCACGATCGGGAAAAGTAATTGTCAGAACTTCGGAGAACCGTTGGATCATGACGACGAAAACGCTTTGGTCGCTTGGCTTCTGTCTTGATGATATTGATTGATCCGTTAAGTAATCTTTTTTTGTGTGTTCACAGTTTGAATCTATTCCACGTCGCATCATATCATCGATTTATGTGCGTATGCCTTCTCTTCGTTGTTTGGTTTGTTTTGGAAAGTTTAGGATCTAAATATTAGTCCATTAGTTAGAATTATATAATGCAATAAAACCCATGGGATGTTTGTATTGTAAGGTTAAAATATTGTAGTCGTTGTTGTTTTAGTGGAAGAACTAAACTAAAGCTGGTATTTTTGTTTGTAACGTATCTACTTTTTTCATGTAAATTAATAAAGAGGGTACGAAATGTAGGTGAACATTTGTTTGGACTGTATATTTCTATTGACATTAAATACGCCAAATTAGAAAGAAAACCTTTAGTCGGAAGCATAAAGTTGTATGTACCTCTATCGGAAAGTAAAATCACATGTTCCTGAACTGGTAATCAATCTCATCTCCTTATACCTAATACTACATATATCATCGTCAAACAATCGGAGTAACCACGACAACTATCATTGTTTTTATTTTTTGATTGCCGGCCAAATATTTTTACCTCAATCATTCTGAAGCGAGTAAACATTCTTTTTTTTTTCTTGTACACCAACATAAAGCTGCATCACATCTGCGAATCATCAGTTCATCACGTGCCATTCGAGTGACTATTGGAACGTGACATGATCGAATCTTCACATTGAGTGTTCTATTTTTATTTTTATTTTGGTATGAAAGAGTGTTCTAACTTCTTTGTACGAAACTCCAAACAAGTAGATATTGAATTAATATGGACGTTGGAACAATAAAATTAGTTCTTGTCCTTCTTGTAGAGACATGAAATTAACTTAATTCTGTAAATGAGTAGTAAGTAATATATATATAGTTGACAACAAATAATACTAATAGATACGACATTCTTTTATAATCCTAGATGCGACCTTCTAATGTAAATGTAATCATGGTTTAAGAGTTTAGAATCTTGAACTCCACAATTTTTTTATGAAAAAAACATTTTCAACCATTTCTAACTAGTGATTAGATGACCACTAGCAAGCATATACATCAAGGACTTAATTTTTATAAAGTCTATAACATAAAAGGGACCTAGACATGTTCATTTTGTGGGCAACAGCCTACGCATTAAATTTATGTTTCGAAGATTTATGAACAGAGGCAACTTGCCATGTACAAAATAAAGGAAAATGTTTTTTTTTTTTGTAAACGCATAATACAGACAATAAGGGAGAAGTAAAAAGATCGCTTTCTCATAAGTCCGACTTGGTTCCACGGTATCTGGAATACCCACGTGATCTCATGTACTTCTACATCTTGTCTACTCTTAAAAGTTTTTTTTTTTTTTGAAAAACCTCATAATGATATCTAAAGTTTAAACAAAGTTCCTTATCTAAGAAAATTATTATTATGTATGCCTTAGAAGTTAGAATATAGTTTTCTCAACACGCAAACTGAAGATATTGATAAAAAACAACTGAATTTGTATGGTAATGGCATACTAATATATAGGATATAGTACATACACAGCCAAACTTTTGTAGTTATTTTTGTGTACTAGGAGATTTTTCAAAGGGAATGCACCTTAAGGTCATGTTTTTTGAGTTTTGAATTTTTATGTTGGAGAGAAAACTAATTTTACATTCTTTGATCTTCCGCCGAAGAAATTATTTGCCAGATTTCAAAAACATTTTTTACTATATATTATTTTTTTTTGGGGCAAACTTTTCTTACTATATATTAAAATTTCAAACTTTAAAAGAGAAAAGTTCAATCAAGGTCTCTTAAAATAACAATGTCAAAAAAAAAATCTTCCCCATGTTTAAATACTACTATTGCTTTAATTACCAAAAAAAAAAAGTCACTGTAATATTAAGATAACACTTTGTTGATATAAGAGATAGATTGCTAATTAAGCATTTAAATGTTTTGATGATTGGTTAAGCAAGCTTAGCAATATATGTGATATCATGGCGTTTTTGGGCTTCGTTACTTACCCGTATTCCAGTTTTAAGCCCATTAACCAGCCTCGATCAATACAATTCGATTTTGGGTTGGATTATCACATTTTTAAAATAAGGGTGTATTACCGAAAGTAAGAAAACATAGGGACTTACTTTCTCTATTTAAGAAAAGACTTTTTCAATGGTATTGTCCGTGAAATTATGTGGAGAGCTAAACCATTCATAGTTCGACATGTAACCCAGCCACGTAATTGGAATACTCCATCACCGTTCGTTTTAATATGTGATTAAATCGACGATTGAGATCACGCCATGTCATTGTTTTTTTCTTCCTTTGTATCTTCTTCTCTAAGGGAAGAAATTATGAGAGAAGAACGTTTTTAATAAACAGAGAGAGCAGAGAGCACTTGTTTGTCTCAAAGATCAAAGCGAAAAAAGATAATGGCGAAATCTCAGATCTGTTTTGGCTTTGCGTTACTCGCGTTGCTTCTGGTTTCAGCCATAGCTGACGATGTGGTTGTTTTGACTGACGATAGCTTCGAGAAGGAAGTTGGTAAAGATAAAGGAGCTCTTGTCGAGTTTTACGCTCCCTGGTATGATTCGGATGCGATCCTTTTTGATCTTCTGTTCGAGAAATGTTTTGATCTGTGATTGCAGTTTTCTGGATTGATAAGCATGATTTCGATTAGTAGTATCGAGGTTTTGGAATTGAAATCGATTTATATGTTGTACTGAGAGAGGTTATCAATTTCTCAACTGTTGGAATTGGACATGGTTTTAATTATATAGGTGTGGTCACTGCAAGAAACTTGCTCCAGAGTATGAAAAGCTAGGGGCAAGCTTCAAGAAAGCTAAGTCAGTGTTGATTGCAAAGGTCTGTCTGATTCTATTTCTCTATTCAGCTCCAAATGTACCCTTAGGAGATTGATGAATGATAGATTGTTTCAACTTGTGTATTGTGGTGAAGGTTGATTGTGATGAGCAAAAGAGTGTCTGTACTAAATATGGTGTTAGTGGATACCCGACCATTCAATGGTTTCCTAAAGGATCTCTTGAACCCCAAAAGTATGCTTTTACTGTTTCTTCTCTTCTCTCTAAGCTGATTACTTTATTGGATATGTTTTTTTGGTTTATAGATAGTGAATGGTTTTTTCTTTCTTTCATTCATCTTATTAAATAGGTATGAGGGTCCACGCAATGCTGAAGCATTGGCTGAATACGTGAACAAGGAAGGAGGTATGATAGTAGCTAAGCTTGTATCATTGCGGATTATAGATATTTACTTTTGTGGGAAACTTGTTTTATCATGGTTTTTGACTTAAATTTAGTTGGCGACATGTACCAACATATGTTTCTGGTGACTTTTATTCTCTGAGATGCAAGTGCGAAATTGCTGGAAATACACTGATTGACGTCACTTAAGGATATATGCTCGGCCTTTGTTTTCTCGAACTTCTTGTCTTTATAATTCTTCTTCGATAAATTTTTTCTAGTGTACTTACCTGCCTATGCGGCAAACAACTTATGTATTGTTGAACAATTATGTTTCAGGCACCAATGTAAAATTAGCTGCAGTTCCACAAAACGTTGTTGTTTTGACACCTGACAATTTCGATGAGATTGTTCTGGATCAAAACAAAGATGTCCTAGTCGAATTTTATGCACCATGGTAACCATCCTTGTTATCTCTCTCCTCACCGTCATGGTTTTGCTTTCATGCTGCTATCTTCTAATATCAAGTTTCCATCTTCCAGGTGTGGCCACTGCAAATCACTAGCTCCCGTAAGCTCAACTATCTGTTTAGTTTTTATATTAATATATATAGTAATCTTTGCTTCATAACTAATGCTTCTTCTTTATATCATCAGACATACGAAAAGGTAGCCACTGTGTTTAAGCAGGAAGAAGGTGTAGTCATCGCCAATTTGGATGCTGATGCACACAAAGCCCTCGGAGAGAAGTAAGTTGGACAAGATATTTTTACTTACTGATTTCACCGTATTAAGTCATTTATATTTTGCAAAACAAAAACATGAAGACAATTACTTTATACTCAGATACGGAGTGAGTGGATTCCCAACATTGAAATTCTTCCCAAAGGACAACAAAGCCGGTCACGATTATGACGGTGGCAGGGATTTAGATGACTTTGTAAGCTTCATCAACGAGAAATCTGGGACCAGCAGGGACAGTAAAGGGCAGCTTACTTCAAAGGTTCGGTAAAAACATGTCTTCTGCAGAATCACCATTTCCCACTAAATTTGATAACTTATGTTGATTCTCTCATTCTCTCAATAGGCTGGTATAGTCGAAAGCTTAGATGCTTTGGTAAAAGAGTTAGTTGCAGCTAGTGAAGATGAGAAGAAGGCAGTGTTGTCTCGCATAGAAGAGGAAGCAAGTAACCTTAAGGGCTCCACCGCGAGGTATGCTAGTAGTAACGCTTAATCGATACATCGATTGAGAGTGTTGAAAGTTGTCTCTTTAATTCTTGGGCTTTCTCTATAGGTATGGCAAGCTCTACTTGAAACTCGCAAAGAGCTACATAGAAAAAGGTTCAGACTATGCTAGCAAAGAAACGGAGAGGCTTGGACGGGTACTTGGGAAGTCGATAAGTCCAGTGAAAGCTGATGAACTCACTCTCAAGAGAAATATCCTTACCACGTTCGTTGCTTCTTCTTAAAAGTCATATATCTTCAAGAGCGCAAAGAGAATAGGAGTCGAGAGACTTTATAACTGATACTGTTTTGAGATTTTAAATTTGTCAAGATCAACATCTGTGGTTATTTCTGGTTAGTTCTGAAACTCTTTTGGACCAAGTTTCTCTGTCTCTGGTGAACCAGCCATCACGGTAATCATAAACTTCGTTCGCGTTAAAAAAAGAGAGTTCAATAGTAATTTAAGTAAACGTTTTAATATTTCGTGTTGGCGTAATGGGCCAGGCTCGTGTTCATAGTAAGTCCGTAATGGGTCATTGAGGTATATAACATTTTTATTTCTGTTAACGTAAAATAAAACATTTTTCATTTGTAGTCTATTATCTCTCTTTCAAAATCCTTAAAAATCCAAACTATTTTAGTCATTGTCCATGCAAATTTTTAAAAGTACATCATCTCCGTTACTCTGTTTCGTCAATGAAAAAAGTAACTCGAAAGTAATGTGATATACTACTAGCTAATCAAAGAAATTAAGTACGATTATAACGAAAACATAACCAAAACAAAAAAGACTCTCATATTCATGTTTTTTACCCGGCGACCACCGCATGCACCAAGAACAGAACTCGTCGGGAAAAAAGTCAAAAACGATGGACAATCTGAGAGCATTTGTTCTTAATCCATCGGAATCCATTCTTCACAGTCGATTTAACTTTACCTTCAACTGTATAAGCTTTATACCTCGCGATTCTCTTCTTCCTCTTCATCTCCGCATCGCTTAAACCCCAAGACAGCTTCGTCGTCGACGACGCGTTGCTCCTACGCGCCGCTACTTCTCCCGGCGGAGGCGGCAGTGACGGAGGATAATCCTGAGTCCCGTAGATCTGATTACTCTTACCACTCACGATTTCCGTCCTCCGATCAACGCCGTAGGTTCTCTGATCCGACCCGTACGCACACCCATCGTGACTATCCATTTCCTTTTACGCCGGAACTCCGACCGGATTATTTATTCCGACTTGAGAAAAAAAAAAAGAGAGCAAAAAGTGAACAGGTGATGATGATAAGTAGTAACACAACTCTTTATTTGGCCTATATTTTTTCCCTAAAAATAAAGTTTTTATTCCTACTTAATCAACATCAAATTAAGCTTACTTTTAAAAAATTAGTAGCTGTAATTAACACACATTTAACAGTTTATAATTATAATAGTGAGGAAAGAACAGCTTAGGATATATATCTCAAAAAGGTTTGAACCACCTGTCACATATACTTGTGGTGGATTCACCGAATTTCTATATTTTTTAGTGTTATCTTTGGTAAAAATACAACTGTACACTTGAACAATGTTGAAATTGGCAGCTGTTAGTTTGCAAAACAAAATTATTTAAATATGTTAACATGTGCATATAAAAATATTAGGAAACCAACTACTTTGTACCTCCTGCAGCCCTGCTTAATTAACAGTCAGATCCCTCTTCTTCTCTAAGTGTAGAGATAATCACGACATACATACATAATGGGCCAGGTCAGACATTAGGCCTTTTTCTGAATCACATATGGGCCAAAGTGGATACTCCGGCATCACATAAATGACGTGAGAGGAAGAGTTGGTGGTAGTTCACTAGTTTGTGAGTCTGCCGTCACTCTTTTTATACTTTTAAACGACCAAAACATATGCACAAGAAGCAGCGTGAAACATTCAAACTTTGTTGGTCCTTTGTTTCTTAGTGTTAATTAAAGTCTGCATTTATATTTTTACGAAATTGTCTGACTATAGTATGACTATAATTTCCCAACTAATTACGATTCGAATAGGTCCTAAGAGACACACACAAATCGTCAATCGTCAATTTAATATTTAAAAAAAGAAGAAGAAAAATCCATATCATGCATGAACATTTTGTTTAAATTAAACCTTATAATCACGAAAAGAGATCCAACCAACGGTCAGGATTTGTTGAGGGGTTGATAGTGTTACTACATCTTAAACACATCTCGCCATTTATTGCAACAGCAATCATCTCGCAGCTGATTGCGTCTTACGAATTTATTTCCCCAAAAAAACTCTGTATGCTTCATAAATTTGAGTATTAACTTTCCCATTTTGGATATGATCATTTTGTTGTTGGTGTTGTTGTCGGATGAGAAATTCGTACGTAGCAATTATTTAATGTTTTCCTACATGAATGATTAATCATTTCGAAATAAACAGATAATATAGTATATAACTATTAAACTATATATCGAATATTACGTTATCGAATGCATATCGATCCGTGCTCTTTATAATGAAAGCTAGAGTGTCTCCGTCTATCTCACTAAAATTCTCCACTGCTCACATTCTCTCTCTAGATCTCTAGACACCAATATAATAAATTATACACATTGTGAGCAGAGATTGTGATGGAGATAAGGTATTGGCGGAGGTTAAGAGGATACCAAAGGCTAGATGGGTCTGCCAAGAAGGCGAACTCGAGTCGGAGAAATGTGAAGCGGGTCAAAATGGATCCGACCCGGAAGAGACGGTTTTGGAGGATCAAGATTGTGCCGAAGCTAAGGTTCTTGAAAAAGTCGTCGCCGAAGAAGCTTTTAACGTGGCTTCGAGATGCTTACGTCAACATGATGCTACGCCTAGCGAATTCTCGGGTCGTCGGGTCATCGTACGGGTACGGCGAATATGGGTACGGGTCGGGTTTGGCGTCGAAGGAGTATGACGAGAAGAAGCTGGTGGAGATTTACAAATCGATATTGATGGCACAGGGGAATCTCGTGTACCGCGACGTACCTAAACTTTCCTCCAATTCGATTATACTTTCACCCCTTAGGTAATTTAATTATACACATATAAAAAACGTTGTCGATGTTAAAGTTGTGATTGTGATATGATCTGTATCAAACTTTTAACTCTTATCAAATTATCAAATTAATAAAAGAGAGAGGATCCATCTTTTTCTATATATTGATTCCGAATAAAATCAAGATTTAATTTGCATTTACGTCGTAACTTCTAACCACCTAAATTTTAAATCCTTAGTTCAACGGGACGTGTTGTGCCATTGGGATTAATGCGTGTTTTTTTTTAATAATATAGTAACTTTTTTTGGTTGACTTGACCACTTATGCTTTTAAATTTTAATTCTATCTTTACGTATGGTTGTGATATGTAAACCGTAAGTAACGACCAAATTTATAACATTGTACAAGTTACAAAGTAGTACAATTTTCAAATTATAAGACATCTTTGGGGCATCAACATCCAAATTTCTCTGAGTCTCAACGAACCGTCATTGCTTACATCATAGGAACGTAAATGATAAGAAACCTAATCATCAAGCCGTAATTAATTATGGTTGTCTAATATTATCGTAATTTACGATTCAATTAAAAAAAAAAATACATATCGATTGAGAAAAAAAATAACAAATTGAATAATAGACATTTCACTGTTCCAGTCTCGACGTCTTCGTTGGTGATAAGCAAAAAGGCCTCGCTCGTCAATTTTAAAATTGTTATCTGCTTTGTAAAACTATATTAACTCTATAAATTAAAGTGTAAACTTTATAGCTAAACAATGTCAAACTATCAACAGTCTGTCCTACATTCTACTAGTATATATACAAATCAGTAAGCATGCGTAGGAAAGCTTATAAATTATTAGATTCAGTAATTGAATAACCCCTCCTAAATAAATAACCAATCTTGTGTTTCTTGGTGGTGGTGGCAAGAAAGCCCCACATCGACAGTTGGATTCCACGTGGCCATGTTCTGTAATACCCAATTTTCAAATGTGGGTCTGGGTTATAACTTTCATTAAAAGGGCCAAAGCTTGTAACATGCTCAGGTGTGGTCCATTGTGCCAAGCCCGGCTCACATATCCAAAAAGAAAAAAGAATATTGCATTTTATTCTATTTTAATTCATATCAAGTACTAATAATCATTGATTTTGAGTTTGCACGAGTTGATAAAAAGGTTTTACTGCTGACCAATGATCCACCTTGTAACTAGAAAAATCGAGGGTCTTTATATCTTGTGCCATAAATTTTTATTAAAATTTAGTGATATATGCATAATAATAAATACTTTATAGCAGAAAATATTAAAGATGATGGAAAAGAAGACTTTTAATCATTTGTGATAATGTTAATATGGCAATTACGGCATGCTGATGGGACCAGAGTTTGGTTGGTCTGATTCGTCTGGCTGAGAAAGAAAGTATATATTTTTTTTTTAGTAAACGAAATTTATTATTAAAAAAATAAGAGCCAAGTAAAAATATTTTAAAATTGTATATATTTTAAGAAAAAGCGATTATTATTTATTTTTAGTTGTGATATTTCTCCCTCTTCCGGTAAACAAAAAAACACAGCTTTGTTCTGTTTCTCTGCGATTTCTTCGATGTTCTTCTTCTTCGTTTTGATTTTCAGATTTGTTTAACTCGGTCGCTGCGTTGACTTAAAATTTCTTGAGAGAGAGAGAGAGAGAGAGAAAGGAGAATTAAGAGACTCAGAATCAGTCAGACTCGGGATCTTTCTCGGCAATGCGACGCTTGTTCGCCGCGAAATCCCTCTCCAGAGAGGAAACAACCTTTTTGTCATTCTCTTCTTCTTCGGCGACGCGTTTCCACAAGGCTCTTCTTCTTCGTTCTCGTCTTCCTCTCCGTTCAGATCCAAGACATGTCCGCTAATTCTCATCCTCCAAATTCCAAAAACGTCCTCTGTAATGCAGCCGCCGGTGCCGCCGCCGGTAATTCTCTCATCTGCTCCCTTCGAAACTTTATCTTGATTTTGTTTTGGTTGATTAAAGGTTCAAAATTTCTGATAGGGGTTGTTGCGGCTACGTTTGTGTGTCCTCTTGATGTTATAAAAACGAGGTTTCAGGTTCATGGGCTGCCAAAGCTCGGCGATGCAAACATCAAAGGTTTGTCCTTTTCTCCTTTAAATTTTCTCAGAAATTGGATTCCATTGGTGATGTTAGTTTTAATGATATCTCGTTTTTGATCAGGTAGTCTAATTGTTGGCAGTCTTGAGCAGATCTTCAAGAGAGAAGGGATGCGTGGCTTATACCGTGGTCTTTCCCCAACTGTGATGGCTCTTCTCTCCAATTGGGCAGTGAGTTTTACTTCTTCTTGGAGCTATCTTCCTTAATTCGTGTTTCTTGTATTTGGGGACTTATTTGGACTTTTGCAGATTTATTTTACAATGTATGACCAGCTCAAGAGCTTTCTTTGTTCAAGTGGTTAGTGCTTTTGAACTCAAACCTTCTTGATAGCTGTTTAAGTGGCTGTTTCTGCGTCATTTTTTAATCAAAACTCAAAACTTCTTCTCTGATTGTAATTAGATCACAAACTCAGCGTTGGAGCTAACGTATTGGCTGCTTCTGGAGCTGGAGCTGCAACTACCATTGCCACAAATCCTCTTTGGGTTGTCAAGACTAGACTTCAGGTCCGTTTTTTCTTTGCTTGATATGTGCAATCATAGAATTATAGAAAGAAACAAAGGGGAACGTTAATTAGTTAGTATAGACCTGCCTTTCCTTTAGCTATTTGGTATTTGGTATTATGCAATTTAGTCCTGAAGAACCTCACCAAACATTGATGTAAATTTGTGTTACAATAAGAATCTATTTCCAACACCTTTTTGACTCTTCCTCAGACTCAAGGAATGAGAGTGGGTATAGTGCCATACAAAAGCACACTGTCTGCTTTAAGGAGAATAGCTTACGAGGAGGGAATTCGTGGATTGTACAGGTTTTTCATCTGGCCAACACTATTTTTCTGTTAACTGATCAAATGTCTTTATTAAATGTCTTCCTTTCTCTCCCTCTTTGTGCTACAAAACAGTGGTCTTGTGCCTGCACTAGCTGGTATCAGTCATGTTGCCATTCAGTTTCCTACATATGAGATGATCAAAGTCTACTTGGCCAAGAAAGGTAAATTGATCCCATAAATCTTTGTGAATTCGATGAATTAAACCAAAAAAAGGTGAAATCTTTGTGGAGATATGATAAGATAAAGATTTGTGAACTCAACAGGTGATAAATCAGTCGATAACCTCAATGCTCGTGATGTAGCAGTTGCCTCTTCGATTGCAAAGATATTTGCATCCACATTAACTTACCCGCACGAGGTACAAACCTCTACTCCTATAGTTATCAGTTTGGTTGGTGGGTTTATATTGATCTCGCGGCGTGCAGGTAGTACGAGCCAGGCTTCAAGAGCAAGGGCACCACAGTGAGAAACGTTACTCAGGAGTAAGAGATTGCATCAAGAAAGTGTTTGAGAAAGATGGGTTCCCGGGTTTTTACAGAGGCTGCGCCACGAATCTCCTGAGAACAACTCCTGCAGCAGTTATAACTTTCACTAGCTTCGAAATGGTGCATCGTTTCCTCGTCACTCATATACCTTCTGAGCAAAGCTCTATACTTTAATCTGGTTTGTTTTTTTGATGATGACGATTAAAAGTTACTTTACACAGTTAAAAAAGTTTCCCCTTTTGGGAAATGATTCAAAATAGAAGTTCATTTATGGGACTTTATATATCTCTGTTGGAGAAATCAGAATCTGAAGAATGGATTGAAACCTGTAGACCCACAAAGAAGAATATTAGTGTAAAAACACTGATTCTTTTATTTATCTCTTTTTGGGCCTTTTTTATGGTCTCTCATCCGCCATGATCATCGAATGTCTGGGCTTCATGCTACTGTACAGTAGATCTTCAAGGACCAATGATTTGTCTATAGCTGTTAGATGAGCTTTGGATCCATGATATTATATATATATTTTAAATAAAATTAAATTAAATGAAAAGGAAAAGGAAAAGGCCAATGAAATCGAATAATAATGAAAATGATGGGTTGTTGGTGCACTTTGCTTTTCGTTTTTGATATCTATGATCTATCTATCAAAAACATTTTTTTTCTTTTTTTTTCACTGGTCTTAAATTGTTGTAATGTGATATTAAAATGAATCTCTTACTTACGGTTTCATCCATTTTAAAGGCAAACAAAAAGAACTCATTTCTATGGATGCAAAAGGTGTGTTTGTTTGGTAAATGTATTTTGCGTTGATATTCAACAAATTTGTATGGCTAACTGCACAACCACTTACCCTATGTATGCAAATAGTTGTACTATAAGTTAAGTTTTATCAATTCATACAAAAAAATATATGAAAAAATGTTTCAATTATTTTAATATTTTTGAAATAGATAAAGTTTTGACTCGCTAATAAATCATCATTTAATCACTATTTCGTCCATTCACACTAACTGCATTTGTTCGAGATCGGTTTTACATTTTGTTTTCTTGGTTGCACACCACAAAGGAAACATATGAATCGAAGGTACATCTTTTGTGACAACATGTGAATTGATGGCAGCAATTTGTAATTCCCCCATACGATTTCAATCATGTTTGTGGGATCGGATTACATGTGATCTCACTGCGGTGAGTTTAATTTCTAATACAAATACTCCTTTTTTTTTCAAGGATGTTTTACAGTAAATAAAGTCAATACTAGTAGTTAGCTAATGCATTAATTATTAGTATGACTAATCATCTCCTATGTCGTGATTACAGTTCAAGAGCTTAAGGATGATGGGTAAAACTTAGCTGACGGACGCCGTTATGTTTTACCATAATGCTTTTACTTCAAATTTGCAACAAACCTTTTAACAAACAAATAATATTTTAAAAAATTGCAACTCCTATTTCATACAAAAAAAAAAAAAAAAAAATGCAACTCCTAGTCCTAGCTAGCTATAATAATCTAACACTTATTATAAGATTTTCAGGTTAGGTCTCATTTTATGAAAAGTGTAGTCAGAGTTTTTATTATGATATATATCTATATATACATATATATATACAAATATAAATGTTATTTTTGTGCTAATCCCTTTAAAACAATGGAATAAAAGGTAGATTATTAGGGGATAAAAGATGCTTTAATCACTTAGAAAAAAAAAGCAAAGGTATTGAAACATCAAAAACTGTCATGGAACTATGATTGAATCCCACATGCTCTGTTTTTCATCTTTATTCTTTCTCCTCAATTTTGTTTAATCAAAAGTTTTTTCTAAAGGTAATTAATTACAGTGATTTATAATGTTTAGATAATGATGATATATTAATGGTTCTACTATTTCATCACCAAATCAATTATTAATTTTTTATATTAGCCGGCTCCTCTGATATGGTTACATTTTGAAATTTCAAATTTTCAATTTGGAGAAAGAAAAAAATCTTTATGCTTATTTTGTTTGGTTTGGTTAGGCGTGAAGGAAGCGTGGGTGAGACACGCGCCAACGTCGGCGAGTGGTCTTTTCTCTTCTTCGTAAAAAAAGAAAATGTAACCGAATCCACGTGGCAGTTGCCGATTCGTTCGTGTTATTGACTTGGGTGACAGTCGGTCGTAGCACCAACCACATTCGATTTTCTTTGTGAGACGTGGGTCCTCGTCAAAGACGCTCTACGTGGGGTTACAGGCTAGGCTCGGTTTTCCGAACCTGATTAGGTCCGGCTCCGAGGCGCTGATTTGAATTTTTTGAACGTTGAAGCTAACCCACTTTGGTTCGTCTCTCTATCTTTACCATATTTTTCCTTTATTTAGCAATTGTTTTCTTAAAGTTGAAATTATTATTATTAATTATATGATATGTACATATATAATCTTAGAAAATATCGCCGTCAATGTTTGGTGGTGTGATGATCTCATTTGACACCGTAGGATGTTGACACGTTGCCCATATACATTGTTTATTATCGATCGACATGGAATTCAAAACCGTGATTATATATAAGTCCATGTCCCTAAGTGCGCCAGTTATGTTATGAGAAAAATGATCAATATTAATTACATGATTAATTTTGTCTGAGTTACACTAAGATACACGAACTAACTGTGCTAATACAACAAGTCAACAACTCTTCACAGAGGAGCTATAATTTTCTTTTAATATTACTCGAGTTACTTTTTAATGATCTAAAGTCATGTCTGAAGATGATTATATTTTAACGAGAATATTACGTAATAAATTAAACAACCGTTATATTACATAGTTTTGATGGGAAGAATCCTATGTTAGTTACCAAATAATGAAATGGATGTTTTATTAGGCAAAAAACGAGAATAAAATAGTAATTGGGTAATGGACCTAATTGCAGTAACTTTCAACTAACTCTCAAGGTATAATTTGGAAAGGAATGTCTCGCCTAACATTCTCCTTTTATATAACAACATTATAAAAATAACAAATCATTGTAATTAATTTTCTTATTGTTAAAGGCTTTTATTGTAATTAATTGTTGTTTCGCTCAATACTAAAGTATCACTTTTATAAATTTTCTTTCTTTGCTTCTAAAGCATTGCAAAGACACATGGAATCAACTAATTCACAACTACGGTTCTACTAGCTACATCGATTTGTTGCTGGTTTTAACGATCCATCAGTTATCTCATCTTTATAATAACCTTACATTAAAAAAAAGAAACTTAATTATATTGTCTTTTCACGAGCTATGAACAAAAAAAATATAGAAAATAAAGTAATAAATGTTTATGTAAATTTGGAGATCCATTCCTACAAATAAGATTTTTTAATTTTTTGCTATGGGTGTTAATATAACAAATAGGTTTTAAAATACTAATAGAACATATAAATGAATTGATTATATAGAAAAATATACAATTTGGAGTAATGAACAATACTAGTATTAATTATCACATTACGTTTTCATGGTTACTAATAATACAAATAAAACACGATCCCACTAAATTTTCTTGAAACGGCAAAAATTAATTTGACCATCTTCCTAGAAAAGTATGCAATGATCTTGGATTCAATTAAAAATGATACTTGTAATAATGAAATTGTAGTAGTATCATCTAGTAATAAAAGGAACAATTATCATTGATAAGATGATATAATCCAATTTAAGCAATAATAATATCGTAAATGGTAACGAACTTAAATAGAGATATAAATAGTAAGGTTTTGATAAAATCCAAACGGTAGAGGCTAACCGAAATAGATTCTCGCGTGATCTCGTGTCAAAAGAGAAAAAAAAATTGGGTTTGGTTAGGGAGGGGAAAAAAAACGAAGCTAGAGGTTCGGAGTAATAGAGAGAGAGAAGGAGGAAGAGTGAAGAAGACAGAGTATAAAGCAGTTAGCTTTACAACCTTGTATTTGTGAGACCATTCATGGAGATTATGAGTTCACAAATTTTTTTTATTTTCTTTTAAATCTCTCATTACCTTTTAAAAATCACTCCAAACTTGTTAACGAGGAAACAATAAAACAAAAAATTCTCTATCTTTTTTTCTTTCTACCGTTTCTCTATCTCTCTCTGATCTTATTTGGATCGGACTAGTGTCATTCGCAGTGAAGTTTCCTACTTTGGGGTTTCGTTTTTGATGCTGTGAGATTATTATTATTAGTACGGAGTTGATCATGGCGGCTACTGCGACGGAGGATGGAGGATTAAGCTTCACGGTGGCTTCGGTAATGGAGGATGTGTTGCAGCAACATGGAAATGGGCTTAGAGATCATGATCTAGTGTCTCGTCGAGCTGAAGAAGCTGGTATCTAATCATTTTCTTTTTCCCTTCTTCTTTTCGTGAATTGTGTAAAGCTGTTACTTGAGCATCGATGATTAATTTAACAGAGAATGTTTGAACTTTGATCTGATTAAAATTGTTGTTCTGGGTTTAAAATTTTATTGTAGAAATTGAATAGCTTTGTGTGACTACTAGCTTTTAGCTTTTGATAGTTTTGTTAAATTCTAGAGAATTAAAGAGCTTATGGTTTATCTGCATTTGCGTAGCATCGAGGAGATATGAGGCGGCTAATTGGCTGAGAAAGATGGTTGGAGTTGTTGGAGCTAAGGATTTGCCTGCAGAGCCAACAGAAGAAGGGCTTAGGCTTGGATTAAGAAGTGGAATTATCCTTTGCAAAGTCCTCAATAAGGTTCAACCTGGAGCTGTTTCTAAGGTGAAACCATAATCTTCCTTTTTCCTTAATATATATGGGTTTAGCAGCAGGTTTTGAGAAATTTGATCTCTCGTCAGGTTGTGGAAAGTCCTTGTGATGCCATTCTTGTTGCGGATGGAGCGCCGTTATCAGCATTTCAGTATTTTGAGAATGTTAGGAACTTCCTCGTTGCTATACAGGAAATGGGGTTTCCAACATTTGAGGCATCTGATCTTGAGCAAGTATGTAGCAGGATTTTGAGGATTTTGAGATTTCTCAGAGAATGTTCAAGAACTGCTCATGAATATGCATCTCTCTTTTTTTGTAGGGAGGAAATGCTTCTCGAGTTGTGAATTGTGTTTTGGCAATCAAATCGTATGACGAATGGAAACAAAGTGGTGGAATTGGAGTTTGGAAATTTGGTGGCAACATAAAGCCTCCTGCACTTGGGAAATCCTCATTTGTGAGAAAAAACTCAGAGCCATTCATGAACTCTTTATCCAGAACCTCTTCGATCAACAATGAGAAAATTCCCTCCGAGAATGATTCTAACAAGCTGGTTGGCCTCTTCAATTGTCTCTGGTTGGTTTTGTGTTATGAAGTGGAATGTTTGATGTTTATGTGTCTTTGTGCCTATGTTTTCAGTCCAGTCCCGGTTCCTTGAGCACACTTGTTCGCGCTGTTCTATCAGATAAAAAGCCCGAGGATGTGCCCAAAGTAAGTTTCAGACTAGTTCACTTAGCTGCTCTGCTATATATAAAGCTTTTCCTGTTTCTTATGATTACTTTAAATCGTCTGGCTTTGTGTCTTGACGTAAGTGCTTAATGTTGTGGTTAACAGCTGATTGAATCTCTGCTGAGCAAAGTAGTCGAAGAGTTTGAAAATCGAGTTACAAATCAGTATGAGTTGGTTAGTCTCTAGTTTCTTCTGTCTCTTGGTTCATTGGTTAGTTCACAAAATATATTCTTCCCTTGTGTCAAAATTCTTCTAATCTAAGAATTTCTGTCACGTGAAGGTTAGAGCAGCTCCAAGAGAATCGACTTCGTCACAGAACAACAGATCACTTCTTAAACCTCTTGGTGAAAGAGAGGTAGAGTCTTCAATCTTTTTCTGTAAAAGATAACTTAAGGGATTTTGCTGATTAATGAAGTGCCTTGCCTTGTAGAGGGAAGAGAAGAGTTTCAAAGCAATAAAGAAAGATGAAACCAATCACAAAAGTCAGATTCTTGACGAAGAGATGAAAAATCGACAATCTAAACAACTGACAATCTTCAACCAACAACAAGAAGATATAGAAGTAAGCACTACATTGCTCCAAACTTCTCACAATTTCTTTGAGTTGAGGATAGCACAGATTCTGAGTGTATCTGCTGTTCTTTATGTTTAATAGGGACTCAGGCAGACACTCTACACAACAAGAGCTGGTATACAATTTATGCAGAAGAAATTTCAAGAAGAGTTCTCTTCTCTTGGTATTCAGATTTTTCTTCTCTTACTTTCTCAGATGGCTTTTTGGATATCCAAGAATTTGACACTAATAGATCTATATCTGTCTACAGGGATGCACGTTCATGGCCTTGCTCATGCTGCTTCTGGCTATCACCGAGTTCTTGAAGAAAACCGAAAACTTTATAATCAAGTGCAGGACCTCAAGGGTAGCATCCGTGTTTATTGTCGGGTGCGCCCATTTTTGCCGGGACAATCCAGCTTTTCTAGTACAATTGGGAACATGGAGGATGATACCATAGGGATTAATACTGCATCTAGACATGGAAAATCACTCAAATCCTTTACTTTCAACAAAGTCTTTGGCCCATCTGCAACTCAAGGTAATGGAATTGAAATGCCTTGCTGTTATTCTCCAGTGATTGAATTTAACCTGAAGGATCTATCTTGCTTTTTGTAGAAGAGGTATTTTCTGATATGCAGCCATTGGTCCGTTCTGTTCTTGATGGATACAATGTCTGCATATTTGCATATGGTCAAACTGGATCAGGAAAAACATTCACAATGGTAAGATTATAGTTAACTATCAATTTTGAAGACTGTAACACTTTGAAACTAGAGAAATTATAATGTTTTCACTTTTGTAAATTTTCTAGAGTGGACCAAGAGATCTAACGGAGAAGAGCCAGGGAGTTAATTACAGAGCACTTGGTGATTTGTTTCTTCTTGCGGAACAAAGAAAAGACACATTCCGCTACGATATTGCTGTTCAGATGATTGAAATTTACAATGAGCAAGTCAGAGACCTTTTGGTTACTGATGGAAGCAACAAAAGATATCCTTATTTCATGAATGGTTATACTTCTTAATGTTCTGATTAGGAGAGAGAGAATCATTTCATGTTTTAGTTTCATATTCCTTAACATTTTTGGTACGTTAGAGATCAGGAATAGCTCTCAAAAGGGTCTAAGTGTGCCGGATGCAAGTCTTGTTCCAGTCTCTTCAACATTTGATGTTATTGATCTAATGAAAACTGGGCATAAGAATCGAGCCGTTGGATCAACAGCCTTGAATGATCGAAGCAGTCGTTCTCATAGGTAAAAGGGAAAATGTTTTCAGAACAGTGAGAACAATAATCTTCAAATGTCTTACTCAATATAACATTTTTCAATCTAATTTTTGTGCAGCTGCTTGACTGTTCATGTTCAAGGAAGAGACTTGACTTCAGGAGCTGTTCTTCGAGGATGTATGCATCTTGTGGATCTAGCAGGCAGTGAAAGGGTAGACAAATCCGAGGTTACTGGAGACAGACTAAAAGAAGCACAAGCACATCAATAGATCTCTCTCTGCTTTAGGAGATGTGATTGCTTCGCTAGCTCACAAGAACCCACATGTTCCTTACAGAAACAGCAAACTCACACAACTCCTTCAGGACTCTCTTGGTAAAAGGATACTAGTAAAAGATTCCCGAATATTTGCAGCTAATTAATAACTCACCTTTTTCTTAACTTGGGATTGCAAATATGTTATATCAGGAGGACAAGCAAAGACATTGATGTTTGTCCACATTAGTCCTGAGGCAGATGCAGTTGGGGAAACAATAAGCACTTTGAAGTTTGCAGAGAGAGTAGCTACGGTTGAGCTCGGTGCTGCACGAGTGAACAATGATACTTCAGATGTTAAGGAACTCAAAGAACAGGTTTTTTCTCTTTTTGCTTCAACTGAATCTGATAGTTTTACTTTCTTGGTTGATAGTATTTGATTGTCTCACACACATGGGCTTTGCTTGTTTATAGATTGCTACTCTAAAAGCAGCACTCGCGAGAAAAGAAGCAGAGTCACAGCAGAACAACATCTTGACAACTCCTGGTGGCTCTGAGAAACACAAAGCGAAAACTGGTGAAGTAGAGGTGATTCTTCTCTTCTCAAGCACCATCTCTATGATTTAAAATCAGGTCTCAACTGGACACTGTTTTCTGAGTGATTGCAGATTCATAACAATAACATCATGACAAAGAAATCTGAGAGCTGTGAAGTGGAGGAGATTACAGTGAACTCACCACCTTGGCCACCAGTAGCAAGTCCAGGGCAAGCCTACAGAGAGGATGACCGAAGTTTCGGGTCCAGCGAGTGGGTTGATAAGGTGATGGTGAATAACAGGCAAGACGAGATGAGAAGAGTGGAGAGTCTTTGGGGAGGAGCCACAACAGACAATGGGATTGGTATTCTGCCGAAGATTTTTACAGGAGAGATTTGGCTTCAGACACTTCAAGAATATTCTCTGAACATTCTTACAACATCTTCATGGGAAACAACAACATCACAGACGATCTAGATGCAGCCACAAGTGACTCATCTGAGCCAGATTTGCTCTGGCAATTTAACCATCCACCAAGATACCTACAAGAAGCAATATTGAGTCAAAACCCAAGAAACCCGTCTCAAAACCGATAAGAAGTCCTCAATCCAGGTAAAGTGTCCTTTACTCTGTACAAAACATATGAAACAACAATATAGAGTCTTTAACAGTTTCTTTTGAATATCTCCAAAAAATGCAGGAACAACTCAAACAACACGGTTTCACGACCTTCAGCTTCACAGAAGGTAGCGAATGGTCCTCGTGGCACGAAACAGTTTGGTCCTGCTGATATGAAGCGGAAAGCTACTAACGCGAGACATTGAAGGCCAGTCACTCACACGGATACATACATACACACTCACATGGCTTTTTAATTCGTTTTGATTTGTTTATTTTTCTTCCATTGGTTTTTTATTGTTTCTTCTTCTTCTCTCTTTGGTTGTGCGAGTTTCTTTCTATATACATAACACAGACAAAGACAATAGCTAGACAATGCAACAACAGTTTCTTCTTGTTGCTCTCTTTCTTGGGTTTTGTTTTACTTTTCTGTTCTATGTATATTCTTCCACTAGCTGCTGAACATAAAACTATGAAAGATTTGTATGTAAACTATTTGCTTGAGAGGCTTTTTTTTAGTATATTTCTATATGTTTCTCTTCAAATCAGAGACTTGTTGCATTTCTTCTAATTTAGTTTCAACTTTGGCTATCTTGCGTAGTATCAAAAATAGATATAAGAATATTTTATTAGAAATATGTAAAATCCGTTGTAATATAATGAAAAGTTATTTGAGAAAAAGCATTGTACTGTTATAAATAAAATCTTTATCGTCCCCATACCCCCTTTTCAAATATCGACCAACCCAGTTGATTGATTCGTTGAATCGTTTTCTCGAATATTATAATTTTTTTTTTTTTTTGTGTTGCCCTATCTCCTCTCTCTCTCTCTCTCTGTGCTCTTCTGCGACTTGATCCGTCGTCTTCTCTCAACTCTCCATCTTCGTCTTCCAAGGTTTTTGTTTTTGCTGTTTACGTTTACAGATTCGTAGTGTTGTTATTCTGGTTTGAGAAATGCGTAATTTGATTATTCTTCGCTCGCCTCTTTGTTGACTGCAGTTTTACTGTCAGGTAGAAGAATCCATGGCGATTTACGTCGCGTCGCGGCGGCTCTCCGGCGGAACAACTGCGACGGCGCTGCGTTATGCCACATCGCTGAGATCTTATTCGACATCGTTTAGGGAGGAGAGGGATACCTTCGGGCCGATCCAAGTTCCTTCCGATAAGTTCGGGATCTGATCTTTACCTGAAACGTTGATAAGTTCCTTCCCGAGGTAAACGTTTCACCGTGTTTTATTTGTTGTGTGTCAGATTGTGGGGAGCCCAGACGCAGAGGTCGCTGCAGAACTTCGAAATCGGTGGTGAGCGCGAGCGAATGCCTGAACCAATTGTCCGCGCTTTTGGCGTCTTGAAGAAATGCGCTGCCAAGGTAACACTCCTTTGCTTTTGGTTTTGGGATTTTGGGGTTAATTTGCATCTGAATTCTCTCCTTTGCTTTCTCGTTTTTGGTTCGTGATGAATTGAGTTAATATAATTTTACAGGTTAACATGGAGTATGGTCTTGATCCAACGATTGGAAAAGCTATTATGCAAGCTGCTCAGGAAGTAGCTGAGGGAAAGCTCAATGATCATTTCCCCCTTGTTGTCTGGCAAACTGGTAGTGGTACTCAGAGTAATATGAATGCTAATGAGGTAATTTCTTTGCAGTTTTTGAGACATGCGTTGAGGATCTCATTCTATATAGCTAGCTACAAGAGAAGGCTTTTTGCTCTTCACAGGTCATTGCTAACAGAGCAGCTGAGATTCTTGGTCGCAAACGTGGTGAAAAATGTGTGCACCCAAATGACCATGTTAATAGATCACAATCTTCTAACGACACTTTTCCAACTGTAAGCTTTGATTTGCATTCCATCTACCAATACTTTTACATGCTTAAAGTTTTAATATATGTTGGCTCACTTCCCTGTCAACTTCTATTTGACGGTCTTATTGTTTTGGCTTTGTCTAGGTCATGCACATTGCAGCTGCAACCGAGATTAATTCGAGGCTCATCCCTAGTTTAAAAACTTTGCATAGCACTTTGGAATCTAAGGTCTGACTTTTTTTTTGCTCCTTCTCAAGTGACACATTTGATCTAGTCACTAAACTGCAACAAAAGACTCTTTTAAAATAAAACTTGCTCTGATCTCAATAGTATCATGGATCACTTCTGATCTTAGTTCAGTGTGGTACTATTTGTATGTGAGAGGTTCTTTGTAGATGTTGCAATGTTGCGTTTAAGGAGCATCTTCTGCCCCTGACACTTTGTTATATAATCCTGCTTTTCTAGACCTCTTCGCATTCCTGTTGCATTTGCACTTGGGCTTTATGGTCTATCTGCTCTGCATTCTAATTTTTTCCAAACTTACCTTGTTTCTGGCAGTCCTTCGAGTTCAAAGATATTGTGAAAATTGGAAGAACTCACACTCAAGATGCTACACCTTTGACACTAGGACAAGAATTTGGTGGCTATGCTACTCAGGTAAGTGGTTTGTTCAGAAAACCGTGTTTGTCTAACAAAGTTGAAAATCACATACAATCTGGAACTCACCTGCAGGTTAAGTATGGACTAAATAGAGTCACCTGCACTCTTCCTCGCATCTATCAGGTTTGGGAAATGATATCTTTGGGGGATCTGATTTCCTGTACTTCTCCAGTTTATACTATCTCTAACTTGCTGAAAATGTTTGGCCAGCTTGCACAAGGTGGAACTGCGGTTGGGACAGGATTAAACACTAAGAAAGGGTATATCTCATTTCTAATTTTATTTCTATAATTCCATCCCAAGTTCATCTCCTAAATTTGATGTTTTACTAGTGGGCTTAGTCCACTGTTAGTAACACTAGTAATATCTGTACAGGTTTGATGTAAAGATAGCTGCTGCAGTAGCTGAAGAAACAAACTTGCCATTTGTCACTGCAGAAAACAAGTTTGAAGCTCTGGTAGCCTTCAACCTACCTCTATTATTTATTGACACGAAACCCATTCCCAGCTCTGTCTCTGGTGCCAACCAGACAAGATGTTTCTGAATGGTGAAATCAGTTGCTAAATTATTCTGCTTTTTTCAGGCTGCACACGATGCTTGTGTTGAAACCAGTGGGTCACTTAACACAATCGCCACATCGCTGATGAAGATCGCCAATGATATACGTTTTCTTGGAAGGTATCTATCTAATCTTTAGGGATTATTTTTTTCTTTCTTCAAATGCACTATGTTCTCATGGTTTAACATGTCTTTATATAGTGGCCCAAGATGTGGTCTCGGTGAACTAGTTTTACCTGAAAATGAGCCAGGAAGCAGTATCATGCCTGTATGAATGCAATCTTCCTTTGCTCTTATGTCCTTTTCCTTTTCCCATACTTTCTCCTTTTCATGAGTTTTGATTCAAATGAATTTTTATCTCTTTCTCAGGGGAAGGTAAATCCTACACAGTGTGAGGCCTTGACTATGGTTTGTGCTCAGGTAAGTCCCATCTATCAATACATTCTTAGTACTGACCTATGAATCTAAATGCTAAGGTTGTATTGTTCCTGACTGTTTGGGTTGCATCCAATAAAATTGCAGGTTATGGGAAACCATGTAGCTGTGACAGTTGGTGGGTCAAATGGTCATTTCGAATTGAATGTATTCAAGCCGGTGATCGCAAGCGCTCTTTTGCATGTATGTCAATCATTTTCGTTGTACTTCTGTTTCTTTGATTTTATATAAAATATACCAGTCTTAACCATTTGATCTCGCCTCTTTGACAGTCCGTCAGATTAATAGCAGATGCTTCAGCTTCGTTTGAGAAAAACTGTGTGAGGGGCATAGAGGCCAACAGAGAAAGGATCTCAAAGCTATTGCACGAGGTAGGCTCTCGTTTGTTGGTCTCAAAATTGTCCATGGAGTGAAAATGATTTCTGGGAACTGATTATTTGTTCTATGTATTTCTCTGTAGTCTCTTATGCTTGTGACATCATTGAATCCGGTAAGTCCAGATATTGAACTCCGCCTTTATGTCATCCATTTTCCCTTTAAAATTACAAATGAATTTACTTCGATGCTGAGTTTTCGAATCCTTATCTCCTCTACCAGAAAATCGGCTATGACAATGCTGCAGCAGTTGCCAAGAAAGCTCACAAAGAAGGATGTACATTGAAGGTAAAAAACAAACCCTTTATCATGATTTGTCACGAAAGAATTGAAATTGATTGGCAACAAGAGAAAGATGTTCATGCCTGCATCAGCAGTTTGATAGCAATTATATCTGCTGTGCTCTCTCTATATTGGATTTTGAACCTTATTCAACGAAGATTTCAAAAATTTACTGTAAATAGGTTCTTGTTTGTTAAACCTCAAGTTTTAATTTAATCCTACAGGACGCAGCTCTGAAGCTAGGCGTTCTTACTGCGGAAGAGTTTGATACTCTTGTTGTTCCTGAGAAGATGATTGGTCCCTCCGATTGATAGTTCTTTTTGGAGCCAAAGCTTCAATTACCAGCTTTATTTAGGTTATAATAAAAATGAGCAAATCCGACAAACTATATAATTCAAATTTTCTTGGGAGGGCAACATTGTTCTTCATCGTAAGGCCAAACTATCATCTTCTCTATGTATCAATTTTTTATGTTGAATAAGAGCGAGAAGAATGTCTGAGTTTTGTTTTCACCAACTCTCTTTGTCTGTCTCTCTCTCCTCGCTGGGCTCACAGTACGAGCCTTTTTACCGCTAGGATTTATCACTTTTTGGGCCGATTAAAATTGGATTGGCTTTACTGGGCTTTTGTTAGACCTCAAATTGAACGAGGCTTATGACGTGGCGTAAAGGTGTTGAAAAGAACACAGACCTTTGGACGATGAAACCATGTGCGGCGTCAAGCCAACAGATTCCGCTCCGCCGCCGCCAACCGCGGTTTCTCCGAGACTGTCTCCATAATTACATTTTATTTTATTTTGAATTAGTTTTTTTTGTCCATACTTTACATTTTAAATATTAAATATTGAATATTTTTATTGTTTTTTTAAGTAAACAAAAAAACTTAGACCATGATTAAAGGAAGGATCTTAAGATTTTCTTAAGATGATCTTAGCAATTAAATGATTAAAATTAATTCTCAAATAAGCTTTAAAGCTAAGATGGGTTGCTTACCTAAGAAACAAATACACACTTAAGAGCCATTTTTAAGAACCATTTTTAAATTTATTACTTTAATATTCTTAAGAACCATTTTTAAGACACCCTTGATAATCATGCTCTTAGGTGTTGAAAACAAAACGAGAATCTTAAACTTAAATATGAATTGTTTGTATAATATCATATCTTCTTCTTTTTTTTTCGCCTTGTTTAATATCATATCTGTTTAAATATTTAACCTTGCTCTTTTGAGCTTTTAGTATTCTCTTCTCTGATGGTGATTGTCTTGGATCCCTCTTTTTTGGGTATGATTGTAAATCTTGCTCTTTTGAGCTATCAGAATCATTCAGTCGAAAAAGAAAAAAAAGTATAATATCATTCATATATGTTCAGATGAAGGTACGTACAGTCGTACACTACCTACAACTTTCATCTTATCTAAACCAAAAAAAAAACACGGTGAACATTGTAAACGACGGTATTTAGTGTGTTTGTTCTTGCAAAACTATTTATATAAAGCACTAAAAACTATTTTAAGACAATTGAAGCTTTACTCTAAAATATTGATGGAAACAAATTAGACTTGATTGTTATATAAAAAACAAGTAGATTAGCGTATTAACGAGGAAACAAGGACGGTGAGCAAACCGGCCGGTAAATTGAAAGGAAGTAAACCAGGAAATAAGTAGATTTAGTTGGCGTCTTGATAGCTCCATAAATTTCCAAGATCAGTCGCCGATTGGTCGTCCGGAAACGGAATCTGATAGCATCTCATGTAATCCTCCAACGCCATCAGGTCCTCCGACAAGCTCTCTACTTGGTTTTCCGAAATCAGCTCATTTTGATTCCCTGGTTTTGTATCGGCTTCTTCTACTTGAGTGTTTGGGAAATTCAGTTTGGCTTTCCGGCCACGGATTCTGATAGCTGCAACGTCGTAGGCTCGAGCAGCTTCGTCGGCGGTTTTGAATGTGCCAAGCCAGACACGTACACCTTTCCTCGGGTCACGAATCTCCGCTGCCCATTTGCCCCATGGCCTCTGCCTTATCCCTCTGTACAGATTCTTCCTCTCTCGCTTCCCATCTCTTTGCCTACCAACTGTTCGACAATATTCTCCAATCAGAAACGCATATTCAGTTTAAAAAAAAAACAAAACTCGAAACCAAAGTGTTGTACCTGAGACGGGTTTACGCTTCTTGCTGCTGCTAACAGAGCCGAGTTGACTCGGTTCTGACTCAGCCAACGAAGAATTCGCCCAGATGAAATCAGAAATGATAGCTCCCCCACACATTTTTTCTTTAATGCTTCCAACTATCCAAACTAGAACAAGACGTTTTTGTTTTGTACTGACTACTGAGTCCTAAAAGAGAAAGAGACTTTGGGTTGGGTTTTATACAGACAACGAGTTGTTGCAGTCTTTGCTTGACGACCAAGTTCTTCTAGAAACTTTTACTACTTTTATACATATCCTCTAATTTACTTACTGTGCTCTATAACCTTTTGCAACTACCATTAACAAATTATAAATAATAATAAGTTGATTCTATCCAAATTTCACTTAATTAATCATAGAATATGCAGTCGTCATTTGAACCAAAACGCTTTCTAAATTTAAGGTACCGACTACCAATATTACTAGAAAACATTTACTTCTACTCCTACATCGAGTCATCGAGATATTATTACATGGCATAATTCCTATCAAATGATGATTCTAAGTTAATTTATCTAATCATGCTTGCATATAAGTACTTACTTTTCTAAGTAAAGAATTAAACCAAATACATTTCTCGATCAATATTATTAGATTTTGGTGGTGAAATATACATTTAAACGTGCACCCAATTATGTCTCTTCCATCCAACATCTAGTTGACACTTGTATCTTAAGATATTTTCCGTCGACATTGTGTTCTACATATATAAGGAGGCCATGCCTTGAGATCATACTTTAAACAACCAAACAATACGAAAGAGCACAAGCTATTAACAATGGCATCCACATGCACCACCGCTAACCTCCTCCTCCTCACGATGGTGGTGGTTGTGGCCACTGCCGATTACTATGCGCCACCAGGCCCACCACAACCTTACGTTCCCAAACCAACTACCACCTACACATCACCGGTTAAGACTCCATACTTGCCAAAACCAAACCCTGACATGGCCATCGAAGGTTTCATCTTGTGCAAATCTGGCTACAAAACCTACCCCATCCAAGGTGCAACTACATTTTCGATTTTATGTGTTACATTCCATGACATGTTACCAAAAACAAAAAATGTTTGTCTACGACTGAGCCAAACCGGTAATGTACTTGACAGGGGCCAAGGTTAAGGTTGTGTGTCCTATCGTGGACTCACACGGAAAGCTAGTGGCTAAGGTTACAAACTTACAATCTCTAGCTACCCAACGGACTTGAAGGGATACTTCTACTTCATCACGTACGGACTCTCCCACAAGGTGAAGAACATCAGTAGCTGCAAAGTGAAGCTCGAGAGCTCTCCGGTCTACACATGTAAGACTCCGACCAATGTCAACAAAGGTGTCACCGGAGCTCCACTCTCTCCCGAAAACTCCAAGTTCCTTAGCCACGACAACTTGACCCTCTACACCCTTGAGCCTTTCTATTTTTCTAGCCCCGTGGCTCCCAAACCCGTTTACTAGGGATCACAATCAATCATTAGATCGCGGTTTATATATGTTTATTTTCATTTTTTTATTCTTGGCTATGCTCTTACCATGTTGATGAATAATAATCCATTAATGAAATCATCATTAGTTTCCTGATAAGAAGATGCTGTCAACAAGAAAAGAGAATACATATAAGATGTTACTTCGGTGATTAATGCACATTGATATAACAACATATCATTATATTTCAGTACAAATCTTTCATCCAATAGGTGTTTGATTGAACAATGACATTAAAAGCGCTAAAATTAAATAAGAGGGTTATATGTATATTAGTCATTATGATTACCATAAAACCTCCTTTAAATAAATACTTGGTAGATTTTTTTTTTGTCAACCACACATATATTAAAAGCACCTTGGTAGATTTAATAAATTATTTAAGATGTTTTTTTAAATCCTAATTCGATCCATAACAATGTTTGCGTAGATTAGAACTATATTAATGACGGCCATATATCACCGCGGTTCCATTAGAAAGATTCTTAAAGAGTGGAAAAACGTGTGCGACTGCAAATACATTATTTGGGACTTTCCTTTTTCGTCTTATATGTTGTCTACAGACTAGCCTTTTTGGGTTTTTCCTTTCAACGTGCTGGTAACTGGTAATAAACGCTTTAATTTAATATTTTTATGTCAAATCTCAAATAGATAAAGTACAAAGATTACCATTAGTACGTAAATTAAGGGAAAAGGTATGTAACGATTTTATTTTTATGGTAAAAAGAAGAGACTCGCTTTATCGTCGAACGAAATTGAAACTAAAACAGGATCGCTTTAAAAAAAAAAAAAAAGTGGCTGCACGTCCTCTAATGTATCAAAGTCACTTTTGGGTGCATAATAATGCAATGATTAGGATCACGAGCTAAAACGTGCGCCCAAGTCAGATCCCTTATTCTCATATAATTTTGGATTTATTAACCTTATTGCTAAAACCCTATATAACTCTCATCGTACAACCTATCATTCATCAACAAAAACACATTTAAATTAAACATCTATCTATCATACATTTATATACATAATAAAACTAAAAAAATGGCCCAAACTTGTTCGATTTTCTTCATTCCCTACATGATGCTTCTCTTGTCTCTGTTGGCCGCCGGAGTAGCCACAATCACCGAAGGGGAACTGCTTTCCTCGATGATTGGAGTCCAAGGTCTCATCTACTGCAAACAAGGATCTAAGCTTACCCCTCTCCAAGGTAAATCTCATCATGTATATAAATATTGTAAACTAGCTAGGATCTGAGTTTAAGGTCTCATCTAAGTCTTTGTTTGATATATGTGGACAGGTGCAGTGGCGAGAGTGACATGTGAGAGAGCTGATGAATATGGTTATGAAGCGGAGGATGTGACGGTGCTTAGTCAAGCAACGGATGCGAAGGGTTATTTCTTGGCGACGCTTTCTTCGTCGGAGGTGAAGGATTACAAGAAACTGATGAAGATCAAAGAGTGCAGGGCGTTTCTTGAGCTTTCTCCATCTGACACGTGTTCTTTCCCGACGGAGATCAACCGTGGGATCAGCGGAGCCATTCTCCAAAACTATCGTCTCCTAGAAAACAAGCTCAAAAAAAAAAAAAAAAAAAAAAAAAAAAAAAAAAAAAAAAAAAAAAAAAAAAAAAAAAAAAAAAAAAAAAAAAAAAAAAAAAAAAAGAAAACAAGCTCAAGATGAAGCTTTTCACCGTTGGCCCTTTCGTCTTCTCGCCCGAGGAAACTCACGACAAGTCTATCCCCAACGGCTACTAAATTTAACAATGTTTTTTTTCAGTTTCTAAATGCCCTAAATGCTATTGCCGGCTATTGGCCCATCATAATATATTTATGTATTTAGTGGCTTTTTGATTGCATAAATCACACATGCAAAAATTACTGAAAACGTATGCGATGGTGAAAAATAGACTGAATAATCTATTAATGCACGTGATTTTTAACTTTTTTACACACTATAGATAAATTAAAGATCAAAATTGCAATAGAATTACGGCCGGAATCTAAATCTTCAAATTTTGGAATTGTAATAAAAATAATATTGAAGCTCTCCTCTCACTCTCAGTCCCTTAGCTAACCACTACGTCAAAAGCACTTAAACAGAACAAATCTATGCTGCTTAATTATAGTGTTTATACAGTACATATTACCTCCGTTAATGTATTTTCCAATAGGCAAAATATATTATCACTTTAATTGGACAAGTGCTTCGTATACTGTACATATTTTATTTTTGCCAGTGAATAGTGATTATTACTGCAGAATTGTGAAAGTCAAATAATTAATAAACACGACTCGAAACTTGCCTTAAATATGAAGAAGGCACATGCTTTATCCGCGTAATTCGAACAACTAGTGCTAGTGGGTTTTGCTTAAGTAAATACATTATACAAAAAAATGAAAATTGTTTGATTAAAATATACAAATTATCTTAAATATGCTTGACTTTACAAAAGTGGTTTAAATTTTCTTGAGTTACGCAAACGGTCCAACTCCTTTGGCATTGCATGAATTTTCTTCACGCGTTATACTTTCATTTCATATCAAATAAAACGTCGCCGTTTAGAGACACTCTTTTTATTTCCCCCCTCACGAGAGAGAGGCTTGGACTTGGATATGGAACACGGTTAAATTGATCAGAAGTCAAACTCGTTGTCCTATCTTGCCAAATTTGGGGGAGTTTATTTAGAAATTATTAAATAAATACGCATGATAATAATCAATTTTTTTTAAAAGTAATGATTTATAACGTAACGCATGATTTTACTTAGATTTTCAAATTTATTAAAATATATTAACCAAAAAAATATCTTTAAGAATATTTTTTGGAAAAAATGTAGTTTTGAAGTTTATTAGTTATCTTTAGGAAGATATATATGATTCACAAGTTCTAGGAGTCAAATTTATTTTTAAGACTTAAAAGAATAAAAAAAAAGTTAGTAGACATTGTTTCACATAAAAAATGGTCTCTTAAGTATCAAGTCTAAACCATTTTTCTTTTTTGGTCAAAAATATCACACATGTCTGAATTTGAATAGAAATTACACAACAAAAGATAGGCCACTGCCAACAAACATATTTACCCAAAATTCGATAATGGACAAGCTACATTCAAATCTATGCTTATGTTTTCGTTCCGAATTTTGTATTACGTCAACTAGGGTTAAGTACTCTACGATATATACTCTTCACATACACGTACACAAATCTACATTGATAATACATATATATATATTTGTTAAGTATATTTCAAATTTATTAGGCTATATGTTTTGGTGAATTTTACCTAAATAATTTGTCATCTGTCAATAAATTTTAATTTATATTGTATAACGAAATTACAGACAAATACATGTGTAGGTAATGAATTAAGTAAGATATCAATATCTGTCGACAAATAAAAGCATCAATATGTATGTGCATTCTATTAAAACTGATTCGATTTCATGAGTCACTATGTATACAAACATATCCAAATACGTATCTCATGCCTGTCCTCTAACTTAAAAAAAAAATATCATACCGGCCAGCCAATTTAATGCAACAAGATCAATTACTAATTGATCAATAATTGGATACGTTACAACTCTATAAAATTATTATACATTTCGTTTTGGGCAATGGCAAATAGGCAATCGAAGTAAAATCAAAACTTAAATAAATGAATTACCATTTGTAACACTCCGAATTAATTTACATTCGTATCCAAAATATTTTTCCAAATGTCCTGTGTACGTATCATTCTAAAGTTATTCACCTTATGCATGGAACCTTCCTAGTATACAGTTTAAAAAGGAATTTTATTTGCAATATATGGTCTATAGTCTATCAGAGATTATAATGTCAAGATCTTGACTTTTTTGTTGATGTGTAATGTGCTGTTTTACCAACATGTTATATATATAATCGAAATTTTTCTTGAAATGCCTAACGTTGGTTGACAATTTTAACCCTTGCCCTGATTATACAAATTGCGGTAACAGAAGTTTGGTCAAATTTTGACTTTTCAAGTAAATTCAAAAAAAAAAAAAAAAAAAACTAAAACACCCATTTATTATCCTCACGGATGGAATTTACTTCTTAATTACAGCGACTATTTATCTAATTTTTGGTGAGAGACATATCTATGCGTGTGAATATTATCACAATATGGTATATATGTTGAATATTTTGACACCGCCACAATTATATATGTAATATGTACACACACATTATCATTGACTTGAACTTGTATGTATAGTCAAATTCAACATTCTCAAAACACTATATATATATATATATATATAATCCAAGCAACTTAACAAAATATCTCCAACCAAAACACAATTAAGCTGAAAACAAAAACAAAACCCAAAAAATGTCTCAAAAACTCATGTTCTTGTTCACCCTTGCCTGCCTCTCCTTGTTACCATCTCTTTTTCTCTCCGCCGAAATACCGGCCACTGAAAATGCCGCATCACCGTCAAATATATGTAGATTCGCGCCGGATCCATCTTATTGTAGATCGGTTCTTCCAAACCAGCCCGGAGATATATATTCCTACGGACGTTTCTCTCTCCGAAGGTCCCTCTCCCGAGCCCGCCGGTTCATTTCGCTGATCGACGCTCAACTTGACCGGAAAGGCAAAGTGGCTGCTAAATCCACTGTAGGGGCTCTCGAAGACTGCAAATTTCTAGCCAGCCTGACTATGGACTACCTCCTTAGTAGCTCACAGACGGCTGATTCCACCAAAACGCTGTCGTTATCTAGGGCCGAGGATGTTCATACATTTCTGAGTGCTGCCATCACCAACGAACAGACTTGTCTTGAAGGACTTAAATCAACGGCGTCGGAAAATGGTCTCCCCGGTGAACTTTTCAACGATACAAAACTCTATGGGGTGTCTCTTGCCCTTTTCTCCAAAGGTATAAACAAAAGTTATCCAACATGCACGTAATTCCCATTTTTTTGTTCATATATGACAATTTAAATATACACGTAATCGTCTATAATGTGGCACGAAATCTTCTTCATTTAATTCGCTTTTTATTATTTTCTACTATTCTTGCTTTCGTGAAGAATGTATCATTTTGTTATAGGAAAATCTTTGACCCACATGACTTGTGGCGTAATTCGTCTGTGGATGTGTGTCATTTTGTCACCATCCGATTCAAATATGCATAATACATGTTAGTTGACAAAAAAGAATCGTTAGAAATAATAATAGAAATCACAACCACAAATTACTGGGAGAAATATGTGTTGTATATTAGTATATATATAAACTAAAATATGAAAATGCATTTTCGTATTTGACTTTGTAGGTTGGGTGCCAAGAAGGCAAAGATCGAGACCGATTTGGCAACCACAAGCCAGCTTCAAAAAGTTTTTTGGTTTCCGTAACGGTAGATTACCGTTAAAGATGACGGAAAAAGCACGTGCCATTTACAACACCGTGACTAGGAGAAAGCTTCTCCAATCTGATGTAGACGCCGTTCAGGTGAGCGACATTGTGACGGTGATTCAGAACGGGACGGGAAACTTCACGACCATAAACGCCGCCATTGCAGCCGCGCCAAACAAAACTGACGGTAGTAACGGTTACTTCTTGATCTACGTAACGGCGGGATTGTACGAGGAATACGTGGACATTCCCAAGAGCAAGAGATATGTGATGATGGTCGGTGACGGCATCAACCAAACGGTTATCACCGGAAACCGGAGCGTCGTTGATGGATGGACCACTTTCAATTCCGCCACATTTAGTAAGTTCGTATTGATTTATATAATCACACAAAACCAACTTCATATTAAAAATTTACATTTTTTATTATTTTCAGAAAATAGTAATTTACGTAAAAAAGTAGAACTTAGCATTCGAGTTTTGTCCACACAATTTTAAAAATTATTAGAAAATACGAAGACATGTGCACAAAACATGGCTTCTTCGTGCAAGTGCGATGTAACTATATTGTTTTAGAAACTTTTGTTTATCAAATATATAGATCATTTTTCAAGAAACAATAATTGTTATAAGTTGAACATAAAAATAATTGTAAGTCCACTTAGCTTTTAGTATAGACTTTCCCATGCAATGGATGGCGACTTGGTCGGATGGTCCACCGAAAGTCTTGACTCCACGTCAATTCGTCGTGTCCTCAACTAACCTAATACCATAGTCCAATAAACTAAAACACTTCTCATATTTTTGCTTTTTTTCCAAATATTTTGTTTCATAATAGTTTTCTTAATCATAACCTCTAACGAAACTAATTTGAATTTTATAGATTTTTTTACTGAAATAATTAACTAACTCTACATATTGTTCACAAATTGCAGTTCTATCAGGTCCCAACTTTATTGGTGTAAACATAACAATCCGCAATACGGCAGGACCAACCAAAGGCCAAGCCGTGGCATTGAGGAGTGGTGGAGATTTGTCTGTTTTCTATAGTTGTAGTTTTGAAGCCTATCAAGACACGTTATACACACATTCTCTCAGACAGTTTTATCGTGAATGTGATGTATATGGTACCGTTGATTTTATATTCGGTAATGCTGCAGTGGTATTACAAAGCTGTAATTTGTATCCACGTCAACCTCGCAAAGGTCAAGCGAACGAGGTTACGGCTCAAGGTCGTACCGATCCCAACCAAAACACTGGAACGGCAATTCATGGTTGTACTATAAGACCGGCAGATGATTTGGCTACGAGCAACTATACAGTGAAGACTTATCTTGGTCGACCATGGAAGGAATATTCTAGAACCGTTGTTATGCAAACTTACATAGATGGGTTTCTAGAACCGACTGGTTGGAATGCATGGTCGGGCGATTTCGCATTGAGCACACTTTACTACGCGGAATACAATAATACCGGACCTGGTTCTGACACGACAAACCGAGTCTCTTGGGCAGGTTATCACGTCATCAACGCTACTGATGCTTCCAATTTCACGGTCACCAATTTCCTTGTTGGTGAGGGTTGGATCGGACAAACCGGAGTGCCTTTCGTGGGTGGACTGATCGCATAATCAACCAACCTTATACTATATGACATGTTAATTAGTTATATTAATTATTTAATCATTCATGTGTTGTTTTTTTAATCAAATAATTATTTAGTGGTGCCTGTTTCAATACGATTTGTGTAACAGTAACTTACTTGTGTACAATCGAATCGTTTCTTCAAAATTTAATAATAATGAACGGGTGACAAATTGGACTATTGGTTCATTTGGATGAGAGCTTCTCATACTATCAACGAAACGGCAGCGTTGTAATAACGGCCACGTGTCAAAGTTCATGCGGTTTTTGAAAAAATAGAAACCCATTTACCCGCCCGCAATCAGATGCTCCATAGCCTTTTCAAAGACAAAACCCGATTACCCGGGAATTTGGATCCGTTTTCGATGGGTAGACCCGGGTTTGAGCCTTGGAATTCAAATTCTCTGGGAATCTCCACAATGATACCGACGAGATCAATTGGTTCTCTCTCGCAAGTCTCCGTCGGAAATCTCAGCGGAGAAGAAGAAGAAGATCCGGTTTCAATGACCTGAACCGGGGATTGAACCGGAGCTCTGCAAAGCGGGCAAGTGGATCGGGAACGGAACCAAGTATCGATGCAATCGACGTGAAAAGAGTGGCCACATTTAGGGAGAAGACGGCCTTCGTCTTCTTCCTCGAACTCCGACAAGCAAACGGAGCACTCCTCCTTCTCTTCTGGTGGTGGTGGATTCTTGGAGTTGGAGGAGTAAACGAAGATCGGAATCTTGTCGAGAACAGCCGGGTCGAGAGCTTGGTCTCGGGGTGAGGCGGAGAGAGTGCGGAGGTGAGCACGAATACGGCGGCGAATGCGACGGTTCTGACGACGGAATAACCATCGGGCGTAGCTGTGGAAACAGAGGATCATAATAATGGCGACGAAGAGGACGATCACGGAGGAGAGCATGATTTTGCCGTTGAGAGCGTAGCCTGAAGGCGCGTGGCTCACACTCCCCCAAATTGGCTTTGTGCTTTCTTCTCCGATTCCCATAATTCTAAAGAGACCAAAAAGAGAGTGAAGAAGATCTTTTAGAACAGAAGTAGAGAGACAGAGACTAATAAGGGTTTTAGGCAGAAGGGAAGAGAATGGGGATGTTCTTGAATGTTTGGGTTTTAGAGCTCCTTTATTTATAGCTAATATTTTTATTTTTGTTTTGGTCCCCATTTGTTTAATTTTCCAAGTTTTCTTTCTCCATAATTAAATAAAGGAAAGTTTAAATGATTTTGTTTTCTAAACCCAAAATACTATAATATGTAATTTTTGTTATTTTTAGCCTTTTTTGTCTAGCTTATAATTACATAGTTTTGTATAAAAAAATTTCGCGGGTACATCTTCCACATTTTCAGTTTTTATATTAACTTATGTGTTTCTGTGGCAAGTCTTCTTTATTCACATTTTCAGTTTTCATATAAACTTATGTATTTCTGTGGCAAGTCATATATATAGTTGCTATATTTAATAATTTATTTTTGAGATTAAAATGTTGTGTTTTGGACTCTTAAAAGATTTCTTTTTTATTACAACATTTAATTGTTCATTAACTTAACACAATTTCCTTTATTTGTTTTTTTACTGCGGTTGTAAACTGTAAAGTATATTGAAATAAAGTCCTTTTGGGTCAAAACGGGAAAGTGTTTGCCACTTTCTTCATAAATCATAGAGTTTGTCGTACACCTAAAGAAAGTCTACAAGTTCTTGAACCCACTTGTGACTTCTTAGTCTATTGATATGCCTAAAGAAACTCGACAAGTTCTTGAACCCACTTGTTATTTCTCTCAGTCTATTGTAATATTACTCGAGCATCCCATACATTACTCTTGTCTAATTCTCCCCGAATGTTTTTTTTTTTTTGGTACAAGGTTAAGTTAAATGTTTTCTATTCTAGATTTTGTTTTGTTTTTTTTTAAACGATTGTGATGATTAGTAGCCGGTTAAATCGAACAATGATTAGAAAAAAAAAAAAAAAAAAAAACAATGAACAATGATTATGCAATTGTACATTTTCTTACAATTCAGTCAGTTATATTCAGTCAATCTACCGTTATGCTATTTTTTTTTCAATATATGATTATACACACTTGTTATTTTTGATATATCTCATGATTTGGTGACTTTAATTTGATGTTTAGTCAAGCATAAGTCTATATTTATTTTCTTTTAGATATGGATATCAAAAGCAATACTAATTAACACAGTATATGCATGAGTCATGCAGAATGATCTAATTATAGATACGAACTGAGAAATTCATAACTAAATAAATAGACACAGACGAATATCATTAAAGTGTTCTTGCTTAGATGCTAAAAGAGACTGTCTCAGTCTTAGACGACCCTCCTCAATTTGCTTTGCTTTGATAGATCTAGCACTTGTTTTCAAAATAAGTATTTATTTTCTTCTTTTTAAATATATTCGTCAAATGTAGCTTCTTTTCTTTTTTGTTTGAGTCGTTTTCAAAATATGGCTTTAAGACCATTTTTACACATCAGAACCTAATAAGTGTTTTGTCGTGAAGAGGATGTAAATTGGGTTTCTGTTGGAATTTTCTAGTCTGTTTTACAAATTGATTACGACCTTATTGCTCTTCGCCTTTTTCTGTCTTGTTTCTACTTTACATAAAATTGGTCGACCTCGATAAAAAAAAATATTGTTTCGCCCATACACAACATGGGTCACAAAATATATGCTCTTCTATTATTACTTGCCAATTGCCATCACCTTTTTATTGTTCTTTTCACTTCCCCATTTTTCTCACTCGTTTTCGCAGTTTTCTTGCTTCTCAATGTTCAACAACATTACAATTATTAAACATACACAAAAAGTTAACGTAGTCTTAACATTGGCCAAGTTTAGTTAAATGTTGTCTAAAATAATATTTTGATGTACAAGTTGGTTTTTTAATTCACGGGTTTGCTCATACGGCGGCCGCAGAAATAGCGAATCTGTGGGTATTCACTTAGTTGCCATGTTGGGTAACTTTATTTGATTATTGTCTAACCAATTGCAATTAGAGAGAGAAAAGGTTATATTATGATTTGATGAACAAGATAAGACTGTCCATTGGTCAAAACATTCCCCAAGTTGGGATAAAGTTCTATTTTCCTCCTCCTTCCATGTGATGTGCCGTGCGGCAAATCTAGAAAATGTACTATCAAAGTTGTCATAAGAAAAAGGTAAAAAACTACCAAAAATTCAAAATATCAATAACAATCTTTGTTAGTTTGTTTCCTTTTCTATGGAACCAATTTACGACACACCAGAATGAAATGCAATCTACATGTGGAAGACCATGTTTTGTTGTTTAAATCATTTAGTTAACAAAATGATGATACAAGAAACAATCACTCACTTCTATGAAACTTCAGATGACCACTTTCTCTTTTTAAATTTTATTTGACAGGATATTGTTAGTCAAGAAAAGGCAAGAGAGAAAAACATTTACAAAAGAGTTAGGCTGAAAATAGGGACATTTGTGAAAAAGTAAGAATTGATTTTACAGAAAAAATAAGAGAGAAGGAAATACAAGAAAATAAAGAAGGATAGCTACTAGTATTAATTTAATAAAAATTCCCTATTTCAGTAAATTATTAATCAAAATGACAATTTATTTCAAAAGTAATTTTATAAAAATAGAATTAAGCTCAATTTTATTGTAAAACAATATGTTAAGTATAAATTCTATATAAATCTAACTAGTTTCGATCTTTCGATAATTCTTTTTCAGAATTTTGATATTGTAGGTACTATGATCCATGTAACAGCGGAGTCAAGGCTTATACATTTGGGCCTAGTCATGGCCAGCTCAGTCCTCTCCCTTTGTTTTCCCTTTACTTTCTTTTTTACTTGTAAATTTTTTTCCTCAACTTTTATTTATTTATTTTGGTTTTCTTTCTTTCAAGTCATTTCGAATCCAAAAGATAAAAAAAAAAACTGGAACAATAACACTTAGCAGCTTTACTCGTTTAGCAATCAGAGAGAAAGAAAGACAGCAACGCCAATATGTTAATTAGACAAGCTTAAGCATTACAAAGATGAGGAAGAGGCAAAACCTTCTTCACTACACAAACTAATCATAGCGTGAGAAGATCTTTTGGATCAATTAAAGGTATTGACAAAGAGAGTTACCCAAATAGAAAAAGATCAAACATTTGATCTAATCCAAAACCCGATAATGAGCAAAAAAAGAGGAAAAGAAAAGTTTTGAAAGCCGAAAGATAACCGATTACTTGAGAATTTAGTAATATTCCTCTTGTTCAATAATTTTCTAGATTACCACCACTACAAGGGTCAAGGAATCATCATGAATCCAAGTTTCCATTTATGATGTACTAATATAATCAAATACTATAAGGATAAAAAGCAGAGCTAAGAAAGAAAGATTTCTCCAACTAAGTCTCATATATCTCATTGTAGCAATGTCAAAGTATAATATATAGACTGACCATAATAACTCTCGAAGGAAGTTATGATGTAGCTCTTAGACCTTGAAGTTTGGTAGCTAAGCTTAGACCTTGAAACCTCTGCTCTTTCTTCTTCCTCTTGCTTTCTCAAAATTTTTACCAGTGGAACGTACATAAGGTTTGGTGTGGCTGTGTGGCACACCAGGAGCTGGTCCAAAGTGCTTCACTGCTTCACGTGCGTTCTTAGGACCTCTAAGTAGAACCTGCAATCATTAAGGAATGCTACATCAATCGCTACTGCAATAATGGAAAGTGGACATATAACCCTTGTAAACTAAGTACAAGTGGTCCTAGAGATAGATATAGTCTAATTTTCATCGAGATAGCCTTTTTAACAAACACTCTCAAGCAACTGGATTTTGATAGTTAGGACAGTAACCTCGCATTCCAATCATCAAGAAACGAGATTAAATCATAGTAACTGAACTAAGCAACATACATCACGACCAAGTAAACGATGAGTGCCTTTTTATTCCATCAGATAGTGAAGCATTAAGTGATTAACCACGAATGGCATATACCGTATTCTGACCAAGTGGAGCACGGAGAGCGAGCTGATCAAAAGTGAGGCACTCTCCACCAGCCTTGTGGATCCTAGCTCTAGCACTCTCAGTGAACCTCAATGCAGTAACTTTAAGAGCGGGAACATCGTCGACTCTAACATCATCAGTCACAGTACCAACAAGAACAGCAATCTTTCCATCCTAATAAAATCGAACACACACAGAGCATTAGTTCATGAGTCGCCACCAAGTAACATCGTAGTAACCTAAACAGCAAAAAATCATACCTTCCCATCCAGGTATCGGATAAGACGAGAGAGAGACAATGGCGCTTTGTTCACATTGCTCATGAACAAACGCTTCAAGATCACGGCATTGAACTTGCTTTCTGTTCTCCTCACCAGCAATCGGTACGCCTAAATATCACAATTGCAGATAACGAATCCAAATACCAAAAATAAAACAATTCAATTTCTTACGGATATTAGAAAATCAATAAAATCCTCGACGTTAAACGTACCTTAACAAGGAGCTTGAGATAGACATCGTCGGATTTAGGTGCAGTACGCTTCGTCTTCTTGCTCTTACCTCCGGCTATCAAATCGATACCCTAAAATGATGAAACACAGAAGAAGCCCAAAGTGAGAGCCAAAATCTTGAAGAAGCAAAAAAATGAAGATTGCTCATTTGCTTGGGAGTGAAGATAAGAAGTGAACCATTGTTGCTGCTCTGCCTTTGCCTTGTAAATAAAACCTCGAGAAGAAACTACTACTAATAATATGTTACAATTTAGGGTTTTTGATGGGCTAAAGATATTAATAGGCCCATTAATAGGAATATTGGGCTAATAGATGGGCTTTAGGAGGAACAGAGTTTTGTTCTGGTGAAAAGTAGTAAAACCTCACCCTTTTTTGTTTTTCCGCTTTGGCAAATTCGACGGAGAAATTCGATGGAGATGCAGGAGGCTAATCAAGGAGGAGGAGTAGGATCGGAGGTTTCTCCGAATCAGACGATTTACATCAACAATCTCAACGAAAAAGTGAAGATCGATGGTGATTATTTGCTTCTTTGTCTTCTTCTTCTTGTTCTTCTCCTCCGATTTTTGAGTTGATTGAGATATTTATCTTCCTTATGTTATTGGTAACTTTCTTCTACAGAGCTGAAGAAATCGCTGAATGCAGTGTTCTCTCAGTTCGGGAAGATACTGGAGATATTGGCGTTTAAGACGTTGAAGCACAAAGGACAAGCTTGGGTAGTCTTCGACAACGTCGACTCTGCTTCCACTGCTATTGCTAAAATGAATGAGTTTCCTTTCTACGATAAGCACATGGTACGATTCCCTCCTCTCCAATTCTTCTTTATCCATGGGATTTGGTTGCCCAGAGTTCGTGGAATCCGTAATTAGGGTTTGAATCTACTTAGTGGAGGTTTGATTTCAATGATTGGAGGAGTCTTATTATATCCATGAACCTTTTTTAGTTTTTATAAGGATTCAACTTGAAAGACCAAGTTTTGTGGTTGCTTTTAGGTTATTGAACATGTTTTAGGTTGTGGAAATACTTTTATTTTTCTAGGCTCTGTTTATGAAGTTCTTATCAATCACTTCGCTATATAATTTAACGATCTGGACAGAGAATACAATATGCCAAAACAAAATCAGATGTTGTTGCCAAGGCCGATGGTACATTTGTTCCTCGCGAGAAGAGAAAGAGACATGAGGAGAAAGGTGATACTTTGAAGTTTTTTTTTTACTTCATTGGCTCACTTGAACCATTGCTGCATATGTACATGTTGATTTATTGCTCTGTTTCTCATTTTCCATGTTCTGCATTTGATCATTAGTTGTCACATCACATGCACATACTATATTAAGCCGTGTCTCATTCATAACTTTGGGATATCTTTGTTTCTCCACAACCTAAATACAATCATCTAAAAGTCGTCTTTGGGATTGCAGGAAGCAAGAAAAGGAAAGACCAGCACCATGATTCTACACAAATGGGCATGGCCACGAACTCAGCATATCCAGGTGTCTATGGAGCTGCACCTCCTGTGAGTTATCTCAACATTTTCTTAACTCTAATCTTGATTCATGCTTTTACGAGACGCTCTTAATTCTTTTCCCGTATTCTGATGATTGTTCTTATTGCCACTCTTTTCCCAGCTTTCGCAAGTACCGTACCCTGGTGGTGTGAAACCCAATCTGCCCGAGGCACCAGCTCCGCCAAATAACATTCTCTTTGTCCAAAACCTTCCTCACGAGACAACTCCAATGGTGCTTCAGATGCTGTTCTACCAGTACCAAGGGTTTAAGGAAGTTAGGATGATTGAAGCCAAACCGGGAATCGCCTTTGTGGAGTTTGCTGATGAGATGCAGTCAACGGTCGCAATGCAGGGACTTCAAGGTTTCAAGATTCAGCAAAACCAGATGCTCATCACGTACGCCAAGAAATAGACAATTTCGTTTGATCTGTGGTTCCCATGCCATGTTTGTATCTGTCAGGGTTACTTCTTCCATGGTTTGCGCAAGAAGGACACTTATCTTTCTTGTGTGTTTGTTGTAGAATTTCTTAGAATATTACACATTTTTCTAACTTAAAATTTTTTCATCTAAACAATAAGCGTCTCGATTTGGTGTTTGTCTACCCAATATTTCGTCACCTTCTTCCACTTATGGAGATGCCTCTTCTTTGTCTGTAGCTCTTCTTCCATCTCCTCATTGTAGAGGTATTTATTTATATAACCTATCTTTAATCAGCAGATATCTGAAGACCTTTAATTTGACTGGTTTAACGAAATAAGTAAAACTATTCTCGCTAAGTGAACTTTGATCTAAAAGGTTAATGGTTGATTGTTTTTTCCAAACGAATTCTTGGATATCTAATTAAAGAAAAACAAGAAAGAAGAAGCAATCATTATGTGATGTTGGATTGGTGAAAGAAAAGTCTTTGTAGTGTAGCTGTTTTTCTTTGTTGCTGATGAGGTCAGCGATTATTAGGTCCAAAACTCGTGCGTCAAGAGAATTGAGTGAGCTCTCTCTTTTTTGAGATATTGGACGGAGGACACTCCATGCATTTAAGTTATCAAAAGCATTAATTAGACGATGGTTCAATAAATGAGTGAGCATTTAGTGGGAAACACGAGTGTGATACGGACACGTAAAAGCATTAATGTGTTTATATATAGATTTGGTGATGACTTCATTGTCTGACTCTGTCTCCTCTTTTTACAAGACAAAAGATTTGTTGCTGATTCATCTCTGCCTCTCTGGTCTGTGTGACACACACTGCCTAATTAGTGTTATGTTGTATCTCACCTCTTGCTTACTAGCTTATCTTAGTACTTAGTAGTAAAACATTAATGGAACATTATGTTTATGTCCAAATCCAATGAATCAACACTATAAAACATTAATGGATCACTTTGCTAGAATCTTCAAATACTATAACCTCATCATATAATATACACAATTAATGTAAGGAGGAGGAATGATATCAACATAGGGACCTTACACAACCTCATCATATTTTGAATGTTTTTTTCCTTCTATGTTAGAGAAAGTTAGGACAACACGCAAAGCCCTACGTGCACTCTTTCATTATTCCTCTCTTCTTTTGCCCCCAACAGTCTTTGACGACCCACCTTGCCCTTTTTGACCCTTCTCTCTCACGCACATGTATGTTATTAATTCAAATGGTTCTTCTATGCTTCGGCATTTATCATCATGATATATTTACATATTGATCGATAGAGGAAATAAAAAAAACCATTTATGTAGTAGAAAATCTACAGAGATAAAATGTATACTGTATATCAATATTGAGTTTGAAGAGTTTCAATATTAACTAAAGAAAAATTAAAGTAAAATAGATTATTATTTATTAGTGGGTCCATTTTATTTTGTTAATTATACCCGTAATTCATTCGAATCCTTCTGATGAAGTGGAAGAATACGGATACTACTGTATTTTTTTTACCATGCCCTAGAGCAGAATGCTAGCTAAAGATTAATCGTGAGAGAGGTCTAAGGTCTTGTTGCTTGTCAACGCGTGACCGGCTCAATAGGATCCTAGCAATAACACAAAATATGGTACACCTAGCTAGGACTAATATACGTAGAGTTTATGAAATTTAGGGCACACAAGCCCCCACATAAAAAAAAAAAAAAATATGGAATCAAAAAAAGCTTTCAAAACTTAGCAGTTATTAGACAAGGTATTGTTTGGCCCTAGCGATCTTTTAGCTATCTTCACTCTCTCACTTTTGTAGTTCAACCCTTCTTTTGCGTGAGATGCCATCATGGCATGGCATGGTTCTTTTGCCTTACGTAAAACACACTCACGCCAACACACCACATAACATAATTATACATATACGTATGTGCGTGTGAGTCTTCCATTAATGCAATATTTGGGCCTATATATACAAACCTTCCAAAAGACCAAAACCAAAGTTCTCTCATACTACAAAAGCTCTCACGTACTTGGAAATGCGGGTGAGAATCTCCATGTTGGAGAAGCAGGGCACGTGCAAACCAACATACACGAAATCCGTCTCATGTGTTTAATTTGCACGTACTCCCCTTCTCCAACATGAGCTCCTCACCCATTGATGTTATTATCCTTTAAACATTGTTGATAATAAATTCTAGCAACTCAAATGTTTTTTTGGTTGTTCTTAACTAGCTCTTCTTTTTGTGCGTGTGTTAAATCATATGAGTTCGAAGGTTGATTGAATTTTTAAGTTCTCATATATGTAATGTAAATGTAGGCGTGGGCGTGTGTTAGCTTTGGTTATTTTTGAGCTTTAGTGAGATTTCGTTTTGAATTTTAGTATTGTTTCATATAGGTTTCCTATGTCTCAAACCGATAATTATTTGCTTATGGAGTTGGTTAAGATTTGATGTTTGAGTAGTCTAGAATTGCTTTTCTTCATTTTCAGCAAAATCTGTTTGAAAAATGGCCCGAGTAAGGTCGGTTGATCTATATGTGACACTGTGACAGTGTGAGTATGTGATTATTTTGAAATTAGACTCCGTTGGTTGTATATTTGTATAAGCCAAGTTGATGCATCAAAATCACATTTCTAAAAGCGGAAGTGGTTCGCCCGTGCATATATATAAGGATAACTAACGTTTTCTGCAATTTCTTAGCAAGCAGTTCTCTTAATCATGTTAGGGTGTCCATGATGAAGCTAAAAGGTTTCAAGCTCTATCTTTCTCCATATATAGTTCTCATTGAGCTCTTTGACTTGCATCACGAGAGTGTTTTCGAACTTGTCGTTGTATACGATCACTGCATAGACCATTATTATTCGTTTCAAATTACCTACAGAGTACAGAGTTATACATTTTGCTTTTGTGATCTGGTTTTTGCAGCATTGAGAAGTTCATTATTCATATACACGAAATGGAAGGAATATATGGAGAGTCCCATGATCTGTAAGATGGAATTAATCTACTGCTCTTTTACTTGTTTGAAGATCAGAAACTGCTTCATCAAGCTTGACTTGTGCATATTCTCCCTCTCTTTGTCATTTTCAAAATTTATTATTGTTTTACAATAATGTTAGTTTTATCTTTTTTTTTCTTGTGTGGCAAAATGATAAAACAGAGGAAATGTATAATTGGGACCTTTGATATTTTAAAATAAATTTATTATTCAATTTTTTTTATCTACAAATTTTATGTTAATTAATTTAATTGACCAAATAAGATTTCAGTGAGAATGTTCAGAACAATAACTGGATTAAAAAATGAATATATAAAAATTAAAAAATTTCTTCATTAGTAGTGATTATAATAAAAAATCAATCAATATTTCTAAAGTTGAAAATAAAATAACAGTGCCACCAACAAGCTAAAATATATTTTACATATAACTTTTAATTATTTGATCTAAACAGAAATTGTGTGGGGAGACTGAAGAGGTAAGAAAATCGACGAGGGCTTATCATCCTCAATTCATCTCACACTCTCCTTCACTCTTCTCTCTACACGCAAAAAATGGATTCGAACATTGAAGAAAACCTAAACAACCCTGAAACAAAATCCGCAGAAGAAGAAAACCCACTCGCCATTATCCATTCTTCTCTACCAATCGCATCTCTTTCTCTAACCTTGTTCCCCACATCTACTCAATTCCTCAAACTGTTTTCTCATCACCCAAACAAGGTTAAGATCCCTACGCAGGCCTCTTCTCTCACTCATCTCTCTCTTTCTTCTTCTCTCTCTCCTTTACCTTCCAGAATCTCTTTCAAATCCACCATCGCTGCTAACCCTCTTCACTCCCCTCTCTCTATCGTCCCTCGTCGTCCCGTTGATCCTTCCTCCGCCGCCGCTCTCCGCCGTGCTGCTGTCGTCTGGTTCCGCAATGACCTCCGTGTCCACGACAACGAGTGTCTCAACTCCGCCAACGACGAGTGCGTCTCCGTTTTGCCCGTTTACTGCTTCGACCCTAGGGATTACGGGAAATCCTCTTCCGGGTTCGACAAAACGGGGCCTTTTCGAGCCCAGTTTCTGATTGAGTCCGTCTCGGAGCTCCGGAAGAATCTCCAAGCGAGAGGGTCGAATCTAGTTGTCCGTGTCGGGAAACCTGAAGCTGTTTTGGTGGAATTGGCTAAGGAGATTGGGGCAGATGCTATTTATGCTCACAGGGAAGTGTCTCACGACGAGGTTAAAGCGGAAGGGAAGATAGAGACGGCGATGAAAGAGGAAGGCGTTGAAGTCAAGTATTTCTGGGGAAGCACTCTCTATCATTTGGATGATTTGCCCTTCAAAATTGAGGACTTGCCGTCAAATTACGGAGCTTTTAAGGATAAAGTCCAGAAATTAGAGATTAGGAAGACAATCGCAGCACTTGATCAATTGAAAAGCTTGCCCTCTCGAGGAGACGTTGAGCTTGGCGATATTCCTTCTCTCCTTGATCTTGGCATTAGCCCCACTGCTAGAACCAGCCAGGTTTGAGTTTTCTTCATCTTTGCTTAGCTTGATTGATTCCTAGCCATCCAGGTTTAGGCATTTAGATAAGGTGGTGGAATTATAATTCAAAATTTGCCAATTGGTTCCATTCATATAAGAGAAGAGCTACTTAGCCATAGAGATTAGAGACAGACTCATATGGATAAATGCTATCAAGTGTAAACAGTAGTAATGCTGTTTGAAGGTCCATGGATTCTTTATAGGATCAATGAACGTTTCTCTTTAGGTCTAATATGTGTCTGCGGCTCTTACACCTTTTCTTAGGAGTTAACACTTTGTTCGGCACAGGAGGGGAAACCGACAATGGTTGGAGGAGAGACAGAGGCGTTGACTAGACTAAAGAGCTTTGCAGCGGATTGTCAGGCTCGTTTGAGCAAGGGAAGCCAGAAAGGAGGCAACAACAGTGTCTTTGGTGCAAACTTCTCTTGCAAGATATCACCTTGGTTAGCCATGGGAAGCATCTCTCCTCGTTCCATGTTCGATGAGCTGAAGAAAACAATCTCTGCATCAACAACCACCACAACTCCAAGGTAATGTCTCAGAAACACAAAACATTTCAGGGAAATCTGGTGAACATAGTAAGGGTATGTGTCTAATTACCATTCTTTGAAATGATTTTCTCAGGAACGGACCGGGAGATACAGGACTCAATTGGTTAATGTATGAGTTGCTCTGGAGGGATTTCTTCAGGTGAGCTCTTGCTTTCTTAACTTGTCCCCGAGTAGAATTTGTCTTTTTGTCTGAATCTCTCTTTGATGAGTTTTAAACTTGGAACAGGTTTATAACCAAGAAATACAGTTCAGCGAAGACGCAGGTCGAGGCTGGTCCGGCTACAGCCTGTACCGGTGCCTTTGCTTAAACCTTTGAAAACTTCTGGTGACCGGAAAAGTTAGAACCCATCTGTTTTTTGCCCTACTCTTGGTGTATGGTGAATCTATTCGCTATCTGGACAGGACTTAACTGCTCACTTTTGAAACTTGAGTGTCTGGAGAATGAATTATAAGCTTCTTTTTTTGTTTTTGGCTCAAACAAGTTGTCCGTTCCCTGTTCTAAACATTTCAGATACTCATTCCATAAAAAATCTCTAGAATTTGGTTAAGACTTGAGAATGTATCTTAGAAAATATCTCAAGTAGTTGTGTCTATGAATATCAGAAGAAAGTAACGAAAATATGCACTTTGTGGAAAATAGGCATTAGAACCTCTACAACACTATCAAAGTACCGTAGTAAACACTAGTTACTTGGATGGAAGTTATATAAAAGTTTCTATTGATCGACTAAGATTATTTGCCTGACATTAGAGAAAGTTTTGCATTTTCACTAATTTAAAAAGACTACAAAAATCATTGTACCACCATATATGTACTCCATACACTGCAACTAAATAAAACAAAAACTGCAGGATAAATAAAATGTCTCAATATATGTACCAACTCCTAACTAAAGATGAAGCCTCCAAAATCATTCTCAATATGCTTTATATTTGTAACACATATTTAGCCAACTGCCTTTGAACTTTGATAATTTTATATAAAACCCCTTAACAAGTAAGAAAAACAAAAACCGAGACATATGAATAAGGCTTTCTCTTCTACTCATGGGGTTTTTCCTTTTGTTGCTTCTTCTATATGATGCCTGAAACTTTCAAAGAAGAAAGAACAACGAAGACGACCCAAAGCATCATGAAATAGGCAGAAGTAAGCCAAGCCCATAGCCTTGGACCTCCAAGCTCAGCTCCTATGATCAACCTTCTCAACACAAGCACCACAATACATCCCACTGATGTCGCAAAGAATATCAGCAGCGAAAAGCTTAATCCTTTTGCGTTTTCTATGTATAAAGGCTCTCTGTATGCAAAGTAGTTGTAGACTGTGTTTATCAGCCACGGGACTCCAATCCCCACATAGATGTTCACCGAGTTACTGCAGAATTATCACGAAAAAGATCATGAAAAGATCTTTAATTATTTGAAAAGAGTTTTGAGATTTTTACCTGCAGGTGATGTTTGCAATGGCTGAATCTGCGGTTAGTTGTCGCTCTGCAGCGATTTTACTTGCTACTAAGTCTGGCCATGAAGTTCCACCTGCGAGTGCTGTGAATGCTATCACATATGGGTTTATTCCTGCAAGATGAAAAGAGTTTCAAATGTTTTAGAGCTAAAAGGTTGAATCTTTAAACTTAAGTTTTTGAAAGCAGTGAGTGTGTGTACCAGTGACACAGCTTATAAGGTCGGTAAGTCTTGTGACAACAAAGGCTACTCCACTGATGAAGAGGAGAGAGCAGATGAAAGCGATCCAACCGTGAGCAATGTTGCAAGGAGGCACAAATGCAAAAAGAAGTTTCCAAGGGGCGAGGAGTAATTGCCAGAAAGATTTCGCGATTCGAAGATAAATGCTATCCACTTTCTTTGATTCTGATGTTTCCAACTGTTTGATTAATAATGGGAAGAGAAACAAGTTAAGAAAGATGTGTTGCTATTTAGTAATGATCAAAAGCCCAAAACAGGATATAGAAGCATCTAAAAACACTTGGTAAGTTGAAGATTTTTACCGTTATTGCATCCACGAATTGATGTTTCCAAATGTCGAAAACAGTAGAATTCTTCGCCTTACCCTTCTTAGTGGCTGAATCGGGTGGAGTATCTGCCACTGTATGATAGGTGATCCCTGCAAAAGTGTTTGTTACAGGGAAAGTGTTGCTTTATAACAATACCAGAGATAAATATGTGAATCACACGGATTTGGAAATTAGCAAATTACGCTAAAACTGATCTTATATCAATAGAAAGACAACCTACTCATACTTAGTACCTGTATCATTGTTAGCTGAATGAATAGAGAAGATATCCACAATGTTTCTGCTTCCTGATTCAACAGCTTCTTGAGCGGCATCCGAATACACATCATGAACATCATTGTCACTGTCATCTTTGGATGTATCAATCTCCTCTGGAACCCACTCCTCTGGCCTATCACCTCTTGACCTGCAAGCATCAAATACAAACACAAAGATTCAATCTTTAGTGGAAATCCATTTTGCAGAAACTAATATCATTGTCTGGAGAAGAAACCCACATTGGTAAAGACAAGTAAGGCCATCGCTTGTCTTGGGCGTACGCGTGAACTAGAAGTAATCCGTATTGCAATACTGTCAATAATGCCTCCACAAGTGTAATTACGTTTGGTGACCACACCTGTGAGACGTGAAAAGAAACAGATTTTTAGACTTTATCAGTATAGATAGACTCAACAGAATCTGTTTAAACCGCTTTTCACAGTTACCTCGAGGATTATGTATAGCCAGATGTAAGCCCAAAAAGACCACACTAGCTCAACTAGCCAAACGCCTAAGTCGGATATCTTTTTCAGTTCTCCAGCTTTTGGCACAACGACACAGACAGCGTGGATGGGGAAAAGATCAAATGCAGCTGAGCCAACAAGTGTTCCTGGACCAAGACCTATATGACAAAACATGATATCAGAATTCATGAACTTTAAAGTCAAAACTCGACTTTATGGAATGAATAAAGTGGAACAAGAACCAGACCTCCAGCATATCGCTCCCCGATATTCCGTATTGCATCGATGGTAGCCAAAGAAATCTGAGGGAAGCTAGTTCCAAACGCCAACAAACTGATGTCTGCAATAGTAAAGTTCCAAACTTTCTTGTATGTGATGACTTCAGCTTTAGTAATGGGATCAATTGCAACCACTTTACGCGAATGTTTCACGACATTCTCCATAGACTTGAAGAACCGTGCAGTGATCGCTGACAACCCGATAAAGCAGTAGGCAAGACCGAGAAAATATAACACACCCCTCAAACCATCTGACAAAGTATTTTCTCCGGGGAATATAAAGAAGTTTTCACATCTTACATGCCCAAGAACCTTAGAAGCTTCTTGCAATTCCTGGGTTTGATTAAGAATTGAGGCCATTGTAGCTTATTCAAACCCCACCTCCTAATAAGTCAACTGAAAACTTGTCCTTACTGAGGAAAAGAATCTGGCACACCAAAAAGAAGCTTACAACGTTTAGAAACTGATGAAATATTTGGCCTGATCGATGGAACAGTAACAAGAGGATGCGAAACAAACGGAACATGCAAAATAGATTACTTTCCAGAGAATCCGTAACACAAACTAAACACTGCAAAGGATCCAATGGCATGTATCCGAAATCTAATCTATAACCAAACTCTTAACAAATTGCATGTGCCACAGTATGCGTAATCAAAATCCAGAGGTAACCAGATCAAAGGAACAACAAAAGATTGTAACTTTCATCATGGGTTAGATAAAACAAGTTGGGTTCTTTTCACAACATTCGAGAGCCAAAAACCCTAAATTTCTCGAACAAATTGCAACAAAAAATAAAGTAGCTAAAAATAAGAAAAGAAGAGAGCATGAAGGGGAATCTGATGAAACAGAGTGACCCACGTGACGAAATAAATCAATGCGGACGTACCGGAGAAATATCTCGGTGAACGGCATTCACAATCCGCCGATCACGGGAGAGATTTTCCGATAAACGGAAATCGAGAGGCGCTGATTGGAATGGATCAAGCTCAAGCGTTGGATTTTGCGGTGGAGACTTGTGAGCCATTTATACACATCTCTAATCTCTGCATGACACACACTTCAATTATTGTATCGAACAAGGATTCAATCGTACATTGACCGACACGTGCTTTTATCTAATTGGATGATTTTGTTGACTAACTAGGATTTATTAATGTGGCCTTTATTTGATAAGGTTTAAGAATATGAGACCCGATTTGCAAGTTTTTAAATTTCTTTTTAGTCCCTGAATTTTGTTTCATGTCATTTTAGTAAGCATTAGATTTAACCTGATGAAAAGTTAGTAATCTTGGGTTTTTATGACCTCCTCAAGTTTAGTTAGGTATTAGACATATGATGTCTACTAATAAACCTAAACTGCCTAATTCTATAATAGATATTTTCTTTGAACTATATATACTTTTTAGTTGATGTTGGGCATGTATGACATTGACATAAATCTACCTATTATTGATCACGTGTAATTCGTGTAAAGTGTAAACTAGAAAGTTCAAATACGTATTTGTTCTTGTTCTGTTATGTATGTATATAGGATTGCCATCCAACAGACGTCATAATGGTAAATCTACCATTTATTACAACATCAATGAGTAAACGAGCAATGTAATTGGATTAAATCGCTAAACTCTATATGGTCAAGATAAATTTGATAAGAAGATATCTCATACGTCACATATTACTAGGAAGTCAAGAACTATTAGTTTATTTTTCTTCACCAACGCTTTATATTAACTTGATGAAAACAAAAAAACTTGACGAAAACAATTGCATCCAAAGGCACAATTGATGATAAAAACGAGGTAGAAAAGATCAGAAAACAACACTTATCGAAACGTAACCGCTGTCAAGAATACAGAACCTCGAAACAACAACTAATGAAATTTGGAAACGAGCTCACCGTATGATTTAGAGTAGCTCAGAGGTGTCGGTGGCTAGTTTTCTACCCATATCATATATATACATCAAATAGCAGTTTCATTAACGTTTTTAGGAAAGTCTTTTTCTTTCTTTCGTTTGTGGCTAAAGGTTGGTACAGTGGAAAATCTTAACCGGTTCAACCAAATGAAAGATAAATAAGGGTATATTTGTAATTAAGTTGGAGAGGCAATTTTTTTTATATTTTGATTTATTTTAAAAGAAAAAATAAACAGAAAATAGAGAAGCCCTATCTATCCCTTTGGTACTGGTATATATAAAAGGCAAAACCCTAGCAAGGCGATACTCTTCGACTCAGCCGTCCTTTCGCACCAACCATTTGGAGTTGGAACCTAGGAGGAGGACGACGACGACAATGGTATCTCTCTCTTCCTTGGATCTTTTTCGTTTCATTTGGGATCTATTAGTTGTTTGTTTTCATCGTAGAATCTTCGAATTAGACTAGTTTTTGTCTGGCACGATTCTCGCTTTAACGATGAACACACTTGGGTTTCGTTGTCCTTTCGAGTGGTGACACCATCACTGCTGATCTGCTTTGGATTTAGGTTTTGTTAGATTTGGTACTCGATAGCTAATGAATGCATCTAGAAATTTGCTTAGAGAGCAATGTCACCCATGTTCTTTACTTATCTAATTACGCCACGATTTCTTCTTAGGCCCCGAAGAAAGGAGTTAAGGTAGCTGCGAAGAAGAAGCCGGTATGTATTTAAACCCTTTATTTTGATTTCCACACTTATATCCTTCTTTTTATGTTTTTTCTTCTTCTCAAGTTTGTGTTTTGATTTGTGTTTTTGTGCAGGAGAAAGTTACAAACCCTCTATTCGAGAGGAGGCCTAAGCAATTCGGTATTGGTGGAGCTTTGCCTCCTAAGAAGGATCTCTCTCGCTACATCAAATGGCCCAAATCTATCCGTCTTCAAAGGCAAAAGAGGATCCTTAAGCAGAGGTTGAAGGTCCCTCCAGCTCTTAACCAGTTCACCAAGACTCTTGACAAGAATCTTGGTATGTCTCTTTCATTCTCAATCTACTCTTCAAACATTTACCACTTGCGGTTGTTAATTTATTATTGAAATTTTTGCCATATTCTGTATTGATAAATGCAGCTACCAGTCTCTTCAAGGTCCTTCTCAAGTACAGGCCAGAAGACAAAGCTGCCAAGAAAGAGCGTCTTGTCAAAAAGGCCCAAGCTGAAGCTGAGGGAAAGCCTTCCGAGTCTAAGAAGCCCATTGTTGTCAAATACGGCCTCAACCATGTGACCTACCTCATTGAGCAGAACAAGGCTCAACTTGTTGTCATCGCTCATGATGTCGACCCAATTGAGTTGGTTGTCTGGTTGCCTGCTCTCTGCAGGAAGATGGAAGTCCCCTACTGCATTGTCAAGGGCAAATCTCGTCTTGGCGCGGTATGTGTTGTGTCCATCTTTGGGTGAGGTCTCTCTAGTTGGCACTAGCATGGAGAGTTTATCTTTATTTCTGTCTCTTACTTTCAGGTCGTTCACCAAAAGACTGCTGCTTGCTTGTGTTTGACCACTGTCAAGAACGAGGACAAGCTAGAGTTCAGCAAAATCCTAGAGGCTATCAAGGTAAAAGCTTCATGTCTTCAATAGAAGGGTAGATTGTTGTGAAACATATTTCTTGGAGATTCTGATGAATGTGTCTCTGGTTTTGGTGTATAGGCTAACTTCAATGACAAGTACGAGGAGTACAGGAAGAAATGGGGAGGAGGCATAATGGGATCAAAGTCTCAGGCTAAGACCAAGGCCAAGGAAAGAGTTCTTGCAAAGGAGGCTGCCCAAAGGCTGAATTAAGAGGCTGGCTTCTTTTGTGTGCGTTTGCTCGGATTCTTAAACTTAATAGAGCTTTTTGTTTAGCTGTTTCTTGAAGTACTCTTTTTAGTTGAACCCTTGTTTTTGGATGTTTGCACTTTCTTGGGACAGTTTCAATGTTGTTCAAGCTGCTGGATCCTTTTTGGTCTCTCAACCACTTAAAACTTTACATTATGAAATTATTTCCAAAAGCAAATTGCATTCTGAGGAGAGTTATAAGTCTAATTCTCATCTTCTTTTACAGCTTAACTGATAATTTGCCAGCCTAATGAGTAATTTTTTTGTCTTTTGGGTTGGATGTTTGAATAAATAAAAACAGATTTCTCTGTTGTTAGTCAAACAGATATAACAACTGGAGTTATATGGGTAGATTAGTCGAAATTAGTAACCGAAGACCAGAAAGTTGGTCTGACAATAAAGGGTTAATAAACAAGTGGGCTGATAACGAAAAAAATAAATAAGTGGGCTGATAGAAAATAACAGATTGGGCCTTGGTTTTAATTTGAATTTATTATATTTGACCCAGTTCAGCAACTATTCGAAATTTGACCTTTAACTAATTTTCTCTATGTGATTTGGATTTTGCGAATTGCGATAGATATAGAGATTCATCTGAGGTTTTGTTTGATATTGGAGGGAATCGGTAACGGGCATGGAAGCCACTGATCCAAGCGCAGAGCTTGAGCTCTACACCATTCCTGCTCAATCCAGTAATGTCTTCTCTTTCTCTCGCCCTGCTTTTAGATTTCTAGGGTTTCTTCTTCTTCTACTCTTTACTCTCTCAACTGTTTTCCTATCCACCCAACAATTTATCTCTTAGGTGTCTGCCCTACTTTCTAGGGTTTGTTTTCTTTGGAATTGATTTGGGGATTTTTCGTAGGTTGGTTCTTATGGGATGATATCCACGAAATTGAAAGACGCGAATTTGAGGAGTTCTTCACTGAGAGCTCAATCACTAGAACCCCCAAAGTTTACAAGGAGTACCGAGATTTCATCATCAATAAGTTTAGAGAGGACACTTCTCGGAGGCTCACCTTCACTAGTGTCCGCAAGTTTCTCGTTGGCGATGTCAATTTGCTTCAGAAAGTGTTTCTCTTCCTCGAAAAATGGGGATTGATCAATTTTAGCTCTTCCCTCAAGAAAAGTGATCATCTCTTGTCCGTGGATAATGCTAAAATCGAACAAGGGACTCCCGCTGGAATTCGAGTTACTGCAACCCCTAATTCTCTGAGGCCTATAACCGCACCGCCCCTTGTTGAGGAAACAACTGAGACTGGCATCAAACTACCACCGCTTACCTCTTATTCAGATGTTTTCAGCGATTTGAAGAAGCCGGATGATGTATTGGTTTGTGGACATTGTAGAGAACGTTGTGATTCTCCTTTCTATCGACATAACAAGGTAATTTTTGCTTGTTTTTATTAGCATGTTTCATACTCTCTGGTCTGTTTTGTTTATGCTTTTTTCTTTTTCTTTCTGGCATATGATGTTGGCAGAGTATTGTCAACATATGCGAAAAGTGTTTCAAGAATGGAAACTATGGGGAGAACAATGCTGCAGATGATTTTAAGTTGATTGGGAATTCAGCTGCAGCTGTGTGGACCGAGGAAGAGACCCTCCTCTTGCTAGAATCTGTGCTGAAACATGGAGATGATTGGGAACTCATTGCACAAAGTGTTTCTACAAAGAGTAGACTCGATTGCATTTCGAAACTCATTGAGCTCCCGTTTGGAGAGTTTCTGATGGGTTCTGCTTCTGGAAGACTCATTTCCTCTATCCCCACCGAGGATGAAAACGTGGAACAGGTGAAAACTGATGGTCAAGAACATGAGGAAACCGAGACAAGGGAAGAAAAAGAAGATCACGTGGATGAAGATGAGCCTCAAGCAAAAAGGAAACGTGTTGCACTGATATCAGACGGTGATAGTTCACTTATGAAACAGGTGAATGTTGGGTTGAACTATATGCCTTGTGTTCATTATCTTCCATATGAGTGTAACATTCGGGTTCTTCTCTGACCTTTAACTGTAGCAAAGAGTGCCCTTTCAACTCTACTGGAAAAGATTTTTCAAGAGATAACATCTTTACGTATTGCACAACAGGTCGCTGCCATGGCAAGTAAAGTTGGTCCATCTGTCGCAACTGCTGCTGCAAAAGCTGCACTTGCAGCTCTTTGTGATGAAGCCTCATGTCCAAAAGAGATTTTTGACACTGGTGACTACAGCAATTTCACAGTTGACAGGTTCAATTCTCTAAGCCCTCAATTTGCTTGTGGTTTGGCTTCTCATGTCCTTGTATACGCTAATCTCAAAACTTTACTCACAGAGCTGATGGAGACAAAGATACAGATTTGGAGGAACAGCAAGAAGACAAAGGTAACTTGTGTTGTGATTCAATTCACATCCCTAGGAAAGGTTTCTAGTGAAAGCTCAAGACTTAAGATTTGGAATCCTTGTATATTTACAGACGAGCTTCAGGGTCTACCTTTAGCATTAAGGATAAGAGCGTCAGTGGCAACAGCTCTAGGAGCAGCGGCTGCACAAGCGAAAATACTGGCTGATCAAGAAGAAAGAGAAATGGAACAGTTAGTTGCGACTGTAATAGACCAACAGGTTGGTTCTAACTTGTGACATTAAAACATTTGTGTCTGTTCCACTGTGTTTGTGTCTTGAACCGGACATGTTTTGCTTCTGTTTATATTCAGCTCAAGAAACTGCAGAGCAAATTGAAGTTTCTGGACCACTTGGAATCGATAATGGATGCAGAAGAGGAAGTGATAGAGGGTGTAAAGGAAACAATCATCCAAGAGAGGATTAGCGTTTTGCAATGCGCGTTTCGTAGCGGGATTACCAAACGTTGGGATCATACGTACGTGAAATGATCTTCTTTTTCTTTTTTTGTTTCGCTTGGGGTAGATTTGTTTTCTCCTTATTCCTGAAATGAAAAAAATAGATTTGTTTTGTTGACTTTTGTGGATCATATTAAGTTATCATCACTTACTAGTATTTAATGTGCCAATATATATACTTATATATTCTAGAGAAGAAGCTTTTATTGACTAAATGAAGAGAGTAGGTTTAGGTTACATACATCTTTTGTCGATATGTCTGACCAATGGATGGGTGCGCCCAGTGTGATGACAATTAATGAAATTCCGAAAACATTTTCTGAGCTTTCAATTTGTTTTCCATATTTCGTAAAAAAATAAACAAAAGAAAAAACAGTGACACTCTTGTTTCTATAAATTGGTGAGACCGCCCTCAAAACCCCTTCGTCACCTTCATTCTCTCTCTCTCAAGATCTTGCTCCGGTCATGAAGTCATCGGAATTCCAATACCACGAGGTTCTTTCTCTCTCCCTGCTTAGAGATTCAGATATAGTAGTAGTAGAAGTTTAACAGGAATTTGCGTGGTGAGATGATAGATTGATAACTGAATAAACCAATTATGTGGAGACAGGAATACATAAGAAATTCTCGAGGGGTAGAGTTGTTCGCATGTAGATGGATCCCATCATCTTCGTCTTCTCCCAAAGCTCTGGTTTTCCTCTGCCATGGTTGTCATTATTTCCTTACTTGTTATTTCTAAAAGCCACTATTCTTCATTTACATAATAAAATTAACAACAAGTTGGTGGTGGATTTGTGCAGGTTATGGAATGGAGTGTAGCGACTCCATGAAAGGTTTTTCATTTTTCTTCTTCCCTCCAATTTATGTTTTTCACATGCTTTCCTTCATAATATGCATTAGATCTAACGAATCTCCAAAAAATACTGATATTTTTTTCTCTTGCCTTTACTTGGCGGTGGGATTTTAGATACAATTAGCATGTTTTTTTTGCGTCTATCAGTTCTCTGAATCAGGAGGGGTTACGCATGATACTTTGTACAAAATGTTGCAAATCTTCAATTTGGAAGTGATAAAAAAAAAAAAAATGTCATTTGTTTCACTGCGTATATACAAATTTTATCTTTATATTTTACAATTGATGCATTATACTAGTAAGGAGGATCTGTGTAGTGATAGTAGCAGATCATGGATCTTAAATTCACTGTGGACCTTAGAACATTTATGTGCGAAGTAATACTTCTTAAATGCCTCTGGAAAGCAAGTCATGGAGGGTGTTAGGACCGGTAGGTCAACAATTCTTACTTTATGTGGTTGGTTTTGGTTGGAGAACGACCCTAAATCATTTTTAAATTGTATATTCCTTTATTTTTTGGTCTTTCCTCGTTTAGAGTGTGTATTTGATCCCGTTCAAATTAAATTACCTTCTCTCTATGGCCTTGGTGGTTGAGAAAATTTATTCGGACGTTGATCCATGTTTGAAACTAAACAAACTGATACATGTTTTGATTTTAGAATGCGGAATCAGGCTGGCTTCAGCCGGATACGCGGTTTTTGGTATGGACTATGAAGGTCATGGAAGGTCCATGGGATCTCGTTGCTACATCAAGAAGTTTGCTAATGTTGTGAACGATTGTTATGACTACTACACATCTATTTGTGGTATAACATTTACATATATAACAACAACTTTCATATCTCTTCTTCTCCATTTATCAGAAAGAAGAGATTTTCTCAATCCCAAGTTACTTGTTAATTTTATTTGACACCAGCGCAAGAGGAGTACATGGACAAAGGCAGATTCTTGTATGGAGAATCCATGGGAGGTGCAGTCACTTTATTGCTTCACAAAAAAGATCCTTTGTTTTGGAACGGCGCCATTCTAGTTGCTCCTATGTGTAAGGTAATAACCAGCAATTTTTAGATTACAGAGTCTTAGGAGATTATACTGGAATGCAAATATATTGCTATGTATGAATATGCAGATATCTGAGAAGGTGAAGCCACACCCCGTAGTGATTAATCTGTTAACTAGAGTCGAAGAAATCATACCGAAATGGAAAATAGTTCCAACAAAAGACGTGATTGACGCTGCTTTCAAGGACCTCGTCAAGCGAGAAGAGGTCTTTGTAGTGTATATGGAGTATATAACAAGCTCTCACCATCTAAATTTGTGATATGTAAATAGTTTGGTGTGTGTAAATGCAGGTAAGGAACAACAAACTGATATATCAAGACAAGCCTAGGCTCAAAACAGCACTTGAGATGCTCAGGACAAGCATGAACCTCGAAGACACTCTCCACGAGGTTCATGTCTCTTATATCTTATTCTTGATCCCATGATATGACATTTTCCTGACATGATTAGTTGACCAAGACAACAACATGCGATCGGATATTGCAGATAACAATGCCATTCTTTGTATTACACGGAGAAGCAGATACAGTGACGGATCCAGAGATAAGCAAAGCTCTGTACGAGAAAGCTAGCACAAAGGACAAGACTCTCAAGTTGTATCCTGGGATGTGGCACGCTCTGACGTCAGGTGAGCCTGACTGTAATGTGGACCTTGTTTTTGCTGACATCATCAATTGGCTTGAGCTTCGAACCGCTGACCCAGCCTCTCTCACTGTCACTCCTATACGAGTTGGTAACACTACGACCGTCGAGAGGGTTACTACTGTTAGTAACGGTCAAAGGAGGTCTAAACGTCCCTTCTTCAATCTCCTTTGTGGTTTGAACCGTGGCCGTTTGGTTCCACGATCCTCTGTGTAATAAAATTTTATGAAGGCAACAGAAACAATTTATGGAAAAGAGAGTTATGATTTCGTGTGGATTATTAAAAGATTTGTCAGCTTGTTGATAAGGCCCGTTGTTGTGTTTAATATAAAACATTGGAAAACATTAAAGCCCATATAAATTGATAAGGCCTAAGTTAATTCTGTTGTAGCGCCGGTCCGCCAAGTACTTTCGAGTCGTCCTTCTTCTTCTTCTTCTTCCTGTGAATGAGATCTGTGGAAAACGAAAGCGAGATTTATCAGAGTAAGGTAAAACCCTAATTTCTTCGATCTGCCTTTGTGTTAAAATCTGTTATTCTACTTTCCTTAACCTCACTCGTATTCCTTAACTTCGATAGGTTCGGTGATTGTTTGTGGAGAAGAAGCTCGCGATAAGTCAACATGAGGTATCTCTTTCTCTCTCTCGATGGCTCTAAGTTTCGTCTGCGTTTTATGGTGCTCAATTCGAGACTTTTCTAACACTGTTGTGTTTCTCTTTGATTTTCTATTTTTTTCCTTGCAGCAAGCCAATGGAAGAGGATACCAACGTAAGCTTCCTTTTAATTTCTATCGTTACTGCTTTTATCGATTTGCTACTGCCCTAGTTCATCTAGTGATCTTAGCTACCGCCTTACTCTTTAGTGCTTGAGTAGGACTGATCCACTAAATTGCGTTTTAATGGGTGTTTTAGTGACTGACTTCATATGGAAACGTGTAGAGAATTGGTTGTTTTCATCTCTCATTTCGATTGATCTTGAGTTCTGACCTTTGTTGTATTGTCATTTGATTGTTGCTGTTATAAATTCGATCTTGCACTAGTTTCCTTCTTGTCTGCTACTCTTAAGGATGTGTTCTCTCCTTGAATGTTGTTTCTAATCATCATGCTTGATACTGTTCTTAGCAGGGAAAGACTGAGGAAGAGGAATTCAACACCGGGCCACTCTCTGTTCTTATGATGAGCGTGAAGAATAACACTCAGGTATAGAGATCACTATCTAGGAGATATATTGAGTTTCGGTTTCATGAGACAGATTGTTAGATAATGTTGTATATGAAAACTCATTAAGTGGATAGATGTTTTTGAGCTTTGTTTAGTAACACCTTCATGAGCCAGATGTTAGACAATGAAATATTGAAATGTATATGAAGAGTGGTTAACATAGAAGGTTATTAACAAGGTAAACTTTTTTTTCAGGTTCTAATCAATTGCCGGAACAACAGGAAACTTCTTGGGCGAGTGAGGGCGTTTGACAGACACTGCAACATGGTTCTTGAAAACGTCAGAGAGATGTGGACTGAGGTAAACAATATTCTTCTGTAATCAGTTTGTCTATATAAAACTTGTGTGCCTGAAATGGCATTGTTTGGTTTAGGTTCCGAAAACTGGGAAAGGAAAGAAGAAAGCACTTCCGGTGAACAGAGATCGGTTCATAAGCAAGATGTTTCTACGTGGAGACTCAGTCATTATCGTCCTCAGGAATCCAAAATGAGAGAGTGTGATGTAAAAGACATGTTCCTTGTTTGTGCTAAAAGTGATAAATTCTTGTAGGTATTAGCATCTTTTAAGTTTGACATTTATATGTCTCGTTTTCGTTTATGCCTGAATTGATGAGATCTTTTTAAAGGTGTTTGCCAGCGTAATCTCATTTGTGTTCAGTTTACATGTTCGCATGTCCAAGCTCAATACTAAGGTGATAGCATTAAAAAATTAAGCTTTAAAATTGGTGAGGTTCAATTTCCAACTACATTGACACGAATAGAAATATCGAAATCAAAATTTAAAAATGAAAAAACGAAAAGAAACGAGATTCTCTCCTGCTACTAGAATTACTCTGTTGATGATGAAGTGGTGGAAGATTCCTGCTTTTGGTCGCCAAAGACACGTTGACGGAAATCTTTGACCATAAGTGGGAGTCCTTGGCGCAGAGCCACCTTTGGTTCCCAACCAAGAAGCTCTTTGGCCTTTGTGATGTCTGGTTTCCTCTTGTGTGGGTCGTCCTCTGTGTTTGGTCTGAACTCTATCTTTGCGTTCGGGTCAATCGTCTCTTGAACCACCTGCTCACCACCATCCACTCCGTTGGGGTCAGATACAAAGTTTTGAGAAATCCTATTATATGTAACAACAAGAGAAAAAGGTACCTTAGCGAGCTCGAGCATGGTGAATTCACCGGGGTTACCAAGGTTAAATGGACCGACATGTTCTCCCTCCATCAACCTCATCAGACCCTCCACCTATCTCACATTCAAGTTTACCAGTACACAATAATAAACAACCATGTAAGGAAATGGAGAGACAAAAAGAAGAATGATTTTTTCAGCTGGACATGGTAGGTATAATAAAGATCCGTTGTTGGTCCCATGATATTAGTGAATCCCGGTCACAAAATCATATCATAGAGAGATTGTAAATACAAGTGATTAGACTACCTATCCAAACCCTAAATATAGATTCTGAGCCACTTATTGTATCCTAGTGAGATCAACAATATCTTTGAGTATTATCAAGATACACTGTTTTACCATGTCAAGACTGAAGTATACCCCATGAAAGTAACAGTTGAATAAAAAAAAGATGAGGTCATGACAAAATTTGAAGCAGTAGAGCTACATTGAATTGAACTTTTCCTTGTTTTTATCTAATCATGAATTTGTAAACTTTAGGAGGAAAAAGTAAAAGGGGGATTACCAGATCAGAGACAAACTGGAAACTCCTTGTCTGCTTACCATCACCATAAACAGTCAAAGGCTCTTTTCTTAATGCCTGCACAATCATCAATACCAATTTCATTACGTATAATTCAATTAATCATTGATTGATTAATTAGTTAAGCCACTTTAATCCTGCACCTGGGCAACGAAGTTGCTAACCACACGACCGTCATCGATACACATCCTTGGGCCATAAGTATTGAAGATCCTAGCAATCCTAACCTGATGAGCAATCAATCAATCAAAATCTGTATACACATTTTCTATCAGCGAACCAAAATGAAAAAAAAGAAAAAGAAAACAGACCTCAACATTAGCGCCTCTGTGATAGTCCATGGCCAAAGTCTCAGCGGTACGTTTGCCTTCGTCGTAACAACTCCGAACACCTGTTCCAATTTGCCATATCACACTCTATCAATATTCCAGCAACACAAATATTGCTCAATCTACTAGTTCCGAAAGAAGAAAAAATCGACGAAAATTTGAATAAAACGGGGTTAAAATCGTCAAATTAGGAAGATAAAAAATATCTCCTGCGGGTGCGTCTAAGAAAGGGACACGTCTCAGAGCCGCACGATTAAAGGACCCAACAACATCAACGCTTCAAATGGAACTTTGACCAGATCTCAAAAAAAGACACTCTGTTTTTTCTGCTAACGTGCGCTTTATTGTTGTTATACCGGACAAACAAAATGAGGAAGAAACAGAGAGGGAGAGAAGGTACCGATGGGATTAACGTTGCCCCAGTAAGTCTCAACCTGAGGATGTTGAAGAGGATCTCCGTAGACCTCACTTGTACTCGTCAGCAAGAATCTTGCTCCTACTCTCTTCGCTAGCCCCAACATGTTCAATGTTCCCACCACATTCGTCTTGTATCCACACACAGAGTTAAGGACAAGAGCAAGATCCAAACAACAAATAACAACATTGATGATGAATTGAAAATCCAAAAAAAAGAAAAAGAAAAAGGATATGATAGTCTTGACGGGATTGAATTTGTAGTGAACAGGAGAAGCAGGGCATGCCAAATGGTAGATCTGATCAACCTCAAGTAGGATCGGCTCCACTACATCGTGACGGATCATTTCGAAATTAGGGTTACTAAAATGGTGCATCACGTTCTCTTTCCTTCCGGTGAAGAAATTGTCGACCACGATCACGTTATCTCCTCTCGCCATCAACCGGTCCACCAGATGAGACCCGACGAATCCTGCTCCACCTGTCACAACCACCCTTAGCACTTTCCGTTTCAGGCCTAGAGGGATTTTGCCGCCTGCCGATCCGATCCGGCTCATGTACTCGATGCTCGCCTTCTTCTGCATCGCCGGCAAATACGATGATTCCGATCGCATTCCGTATCCGGGAAGCGGATCCACGTCGTACGGAATTGGTTGGTTGGACGGTTTGGAGAAGATTGTGAATCCTAATGTGGCGATGGCAATGCCGACGAGGACGAAGACGAGCCTCTGTTCTCGTAGCATGTAACGGATCGGACGAATCGCTACGAACCACGGCTTTATCGGCTTCGGATAATAAGATTCCGCTTCTGGTTGCTCCATCTCGTGTCGCCGGTATGTCAGCTCAGACGCCATCTTCTTCTTCTTCTTTGAACGGAGGGAGGGTGTTTGATATTTCCGAGTCGAACTCGCCGGAGACTGAGTCGACCTGTAGGACGGGGAGTGAAAACCGATTTGGGTTTTCTCTGTATTTAAGTAGACGAAGATGCGTTACTGTTTTAGCCTCATTCTTTCACTTTTATTACAATTATGCCCCTGTATTTACTTTTTCTCTCCTTTTAGGCGTTTTTCAGATTTGAAAAGTAAACGATTCTTCAAAACCGGAACATTGATTACTATCTTCGTCCATTTGTTGACCAATTACAGATTTTTTCATTTTTTAAATGCTGTCTTTACAAAAATTAAATGATTACTTTCAAAAATAAATTTATTTATTTTCATGTATTTATTACTTGTTGTGAATTAATGTAGTATCATTTATGATTTATTATATAACTTTGATGTTTATTTGGCAATTACTGACAATTTTTTTTTTTTTTTAGATTTTGCATAAATTATAGCTATTGTATTCATTGTCATTAAGGAGTAAGGACAAATGAATATAAGTTTTCTAAAGTTTATGAATTGGAAACTGTCGACAATGTAATATGAGTATCGAATTATTTAGAGAATACTTCACACTCAATAAATATTATTCTTTTATGATAAAAAAAAAAAAAGAAATTAACAACAAAAATGTTTCATAGAGTTAATTAAGTAGAGAAATGTACCTTAAGAAAGTCAATAAGCGCCTAATTTGTCACGCAAAGCCAAATTTGATGGCAACTTTGAGTGATTTCAACGCTCATTTATTTCTTCTGTTTAATTATTTTACCCACTAGTCATTCACCTAACAGATATGATAAATTATGTATATCGTACTAAACGTTCATTGACAGTTTTATAAACTCACATTGATAACGTTTTTACTTTTTTGTTGAGAAGAAAACGTGACATAACAACGTTTTAGTTCCCACGGCGGTTTAATTAAATTATGAATTCTGGCCTAGTTGATACAAATTTTGTACTTTCGTACAGGCATATTAATCATGTACGTGTACACACAAAAAAAAATCATGCACAAACATGTTTTGATGATAACTTTTTCTGTGTTAGGTAATTATATCGTGTCGGTGATAATATTTAACTAGGTTTAAGTTGGTTATTATTATGCACAACTCAGTTGTATTTGGACCATTTGACGTGGATCAAACTCGAGATCAATCGCGCACACAAAAAAAAAAAGCTCATATATTTATAAAAAGTTTATAAATTGACATGTTTATTGAGGATAATGGTTATTTCGGTCTATTTCGAATTGAAATCGTGCTTTAGAATTGACAACTAGTATATTGGATCATCTTGCTTAGATCAATAACTGGAGCTCTAGTCACATGTAAGGATTCATAAACTTCAATTTAAAACGAAAAAACGAATATAAGCTGGTGAAGAGAAATCTGAAAATGAGAGGAAGAAAAAAATGATATGGTTAATTACAATGGAATATTAGAGTTTTATAAGCTAGTAGTAGGGATCAACAGCAATCATATGATTGAACATAGAGATTTGGTGTCGGTAATGGACAACAAGAGGCACAAATTTTATATTTTTAATTTTTATAATATGAGAAGACAATTTAATGTACTAAACCCAAATTAGAATGAAATTGAAAAGAAGAAATGACGAAGATGACCACGAACGACTACGAGAGAGGAGGAGGCTCGCACGCACGTCGGGGTGAAGGGGACTTAGTCGTGAAGCCACGTTGACTCATCATAAATTGCCACGTGTATCTCTATTATTTCTCACGTTTTCTGCACGCTCTCCTTTTCCCCATTTTCGACCCACCGTCACTTTTGATATTGCTGTTGTAACGTTTTTGTGAAACGAAAAGAAACATTAGTTTGTGCGGCCTTTGGAGTAGTCACGAGAAGAAATCCGGATCCACATTTTGGGCTAAATGTAGGCCCATAACTGATATACCAAACCCCGTTAAATTCAAATTTGGGCTTAACTAATATAGTGACCAATGACCATTTCGCTTCCCTTTTGTTATTTATTCCCCTTAATAATTTTTTTTTTCATATTGAAAAATATTTGCCTCAATAATTGAAAATTTGATAATAATTTGTTTTATTCCAAAATTCAATGGACACTTCCACAATAAATTTTGTAAATTACATTTATTAAATATTTTAATAAATTGAAAACCAGATGTAATGACTATACCTGTGGAATAAATAACGAATCAATAAATGTTTCTGAAATGTAGTTGAAACAACTTTTATAATGTTTGTCACCAAACTTACGGAATGACAAAATGGTTCGATACAAATCACGATACGATTGATAAAGAATAATAAAGTTAAATATACGGAAAAAAAGGAGATATTTGCAAGATAGAGATAATTAATAAACCGAGGCCATATGACTTTTAATAACTATGAAATGATAAATTCATGATAATTTGTGTGAGTTAAGAATAACCAGGACAACAATCATATTGTTTATAATTAATACTATAATCTATAACAATAATAGTTCAGAGTAAAATAAAGTGTTTTTCTATGTTTTTATAATGTATGATTTGTATGGTAATGAATATCATAGCGTAGATTACAAGCCATCAAAAGCAAGCTTGTTGAGGAGAGCCAGAGCATTGCTGCATAATCGCATACACTTGGTAGCCTTCCTCCGAACCATCCTGACCGTCCGTGATCTACTCGACGTCTCTTCAAATCCATCTAGACACGTGTCCTCATCTGTGAGTGCTGCGCTTAGCCACGTGGCGAGATCGCTTATCTGCCGCTGGAACTCATCCGCGTTCAGTGTCCGTAGAACGGCGAGTGACTTGTACAGGTTGTCGAGGGAGTCGACGAACAGCTCTCGGCAATCCGACATGGCGATTCGCTCGCGTTCCCCAACCGCTGAACGCTGCGTTTTGAGCAAGAGTCTCAGCATCCGTTTGGTGTCGGTTATGGTCACCGCGACGCTAGCTCGAGCCCACTTGCTGGTGTTGTTTCCAGCGACGATTGCAAACGGCCATAGCGTTCTGACGCAGAGGCGTTGGTATCGCGTTACGTTGCACGCGTTTCTAACGTATGTGCTGTACTGCGTTACGATGTCGTTTGCGTTGTTGTTGCTACTGGTGGAGGCTAACGACGGATTTGGGTTTAGTGCCAGAAGAAGAGATAGAAGCAGAATAGAAAACGTGATAGAAGAAGAAGAAGAAGTCATGTTCTTCGATATTGGATCTAAACTTTAAGAAATTGGGACGATATTTTAGATGGAGAGATAGAGACTATATTATATACACAAGACGAAGGAGCCTATGGGATTAAGGTTTAACCTTTTTAATTAGGGACGTGAAATTGAAGTTTATGAGAGTATTTGGGCAGTTCATTTGTTTTGTAGGTATTGTAGTAATCATTACAAACGGTTAAGCATTATATCGATGATTTTCAAGTCTTCTAGCCATTTTGGGTTTAGCTTTATGGTATTGTTTTGAATTCGGTTTTTCTTTCTTTTACTATTTTAAGTAAAACTACTACTACATCCTAAAACTAGATATATGTGTTAATTTTTTTAAAAAATTTGCATTGGTTTTGGCTGGTCACAAAAATAATATAAATAATATGGTCACCATAAATCATATGAATTTCAAGTAAGCATTGAAACATAAAAACTAATAAAGAAAATAGCAAAATGGAAGGGGTATATCTTTTGTTATTAAACTCCTAAAATAATAAAATGAACTACAAGAAATCGTTTATTTTTTAAACTATGAATCTGTGATGATTATAAATACGCAGAATCATCGGATTGCCAATAAAAACAGAAAAGAAAAGGTGCTAATCAAGAGAGGGTTGCAGAGGAAGCAAGAGAAAGGTGAGAAGCAATAATGAAAGTTAAAAGGGTATCAAAAGTCACTTGGAGTTGGTAATTCTTTAAGCTTAATTTTTGATCCTCTCTAATCATTTAATGTTATGAATTTGATTATTGTTTTTCTTTAAGCAAGAGGGAAATTTTAGAATTTTTTAGAACATATCTGAACGTGGATTTCATTTTACAATAATAGCTATGTATACCTGGGGGTCTGAATCACTTCATTCAATACCAAGAAAAAGGACCGGTTAACATATCGTTATCCAAACCGGTTGATTCACATTTATTATGATGTGTGTTCGTATTGAAAATGAGTGAGGCCAGTGATGTTAACCCAAATTCACGACCTAACCACATTTTTTACGTGCGTCACTTCTGGTATTTTAATATCGTCAGGGTTAGTTATGAGTCTGGTTCGAATAATAAAAGATAACATCAGATAGAATAGAAGAGATCGTCACATGAATTGAAAGGTCTAAACATGGTTATGGCCATTCACATGATCGTCACGACTTAGGGACAGAGACAAAACTCAAAAATATCAAAAGGTAAGAGTTTTTTTTTTGTCTTCTTTTCCACCAAGAGATCATTTGTTGTGAAGAGATTTGTGAAGAAGAGAGGTGTAGTCACCGAACTGGATGTCAGAAGGCGAATGGAGATTAAAGACATAGGAGATTGGTCTGGAGACTAGCATAGGCTTCTGGATTGTTAATGTGTCTTGAAATTCACCAAAGCTTACTGAATTGTGTGGGAAAGACTCTCCAAGGAAGAAGAAGCTGTCTCTGGCTAGCTTCTCAACCTTGTAAAAAAACAAACATACACAAATAAATGAATGGAGTGGACAAAACAATGAAGGTGCTGATGCAACAAGACTTTTTTTTTTTACCTGTAAGAGTGAGAATCTGACGTTGTTCATTGTGAGAATTACTCGGATTTCGTAAAGATTATCACCGAGTAATCTGATTGCCATGTACTCGAAGAAATTCTGCAGAATAGTTTTCTGTCCCTCAGGAGTATCAGCATAGCTGTCTGGGTTAAGGAACCACAACACACATTTCACTTCGTTCCAGGGGATTGGGTTCTCCCCTCCTGCTTTTGAGATGATTGTCTGGTAGGGATGATTGAGACCCCAGAAGATTCTTGTGTTTGCAAGTGATGAATCACAGAGAAGCGTATCTGAAGATGATGATGTGGCGAGTATTCTCCAGGACGGATAACCATTGGCTATACTTGAGGTGAAATGCATGGCAGAGTCATCAAACACAAGGATACATCCCTCTGAAGAAGTAGGAAACAAATCCAGAAGGGGAGATGTGGAAGAGCCATCTTCTTCTGGAAGGCATTGGGGAGGTGGACGATATGATGTTGTCCGTCTTCGCATGACGTGGGAAAACAAACACAATTCTCCATTTCGGCATCCCTGCAAAACCGACTTATTAGCACAGACACTGAAGATGGCCCAACTAGGATAGTAACTTAATGCACCTGCAATGACGCGAAAAATTTGCAGGCTGGTCTTGTTGACTGAAGAGTATGAGAGAACGTGCACTGGTCACCACGGTTACAAAATCCATTAAGAAAATATACACAGACCGGGGCCTCTCCATCCTCAACGTAATCCTCAGGTTCGATTGCTCCGTGGCCATTATCAGATTCAGATGGTGTGCATTGAGTTCTTATCTATGGCAAATGGAAACAGTAAAAGATCAATACGCTGTAAAGAAGAAACATCGTTTCCAGGTATAGCATCCGCCACACTCTTATCATTGAAAAACTTGGCACAATGAGAAGATTGATAATGCCTGTAAACGCAAGTTCTAAATACACGAAACAAGGTCGGCAAATGAATACCTCTTTGATAATACTGGCCATGTTTTCTGCAACAGCATAAGCTTGGAATGCGTTAGGAGGAACAAACGGCATTGATACACATTTTCTTACTTCAGGAGGTGGTTGATTGTTATCTTCGTCCTCAGAGTGTAGATATTTATCCTCAGAGGGTTGGCACTCAATATAGCATGTGTGATCAAATTCATATGGATTGTAATAGGTTGGTAGAGAATCAGAAGAACTGATGAATTGTGGTCTGAAACGATGAAATGAGCTAAGTGTATCTTCATCTGTAAAAAAGGCGAAAGTTCCCAGAAGAAAATAGAGAAATTAAAAAACGGGCTTTTAGCATGTTAATGTGTCTCTAAAATTGTTTTCCATGAGTAAAATGGAAAGGCTATGAAAAAAGAGTCGATGAAATGCCATGAACTTACACATCTCAGACACATGATAGAACGACGACTGAAGAATATTGTGGAAATCACACCACTCTTTTTCAATCTCAGGAAACATCAACTTGAGATCTTTGTCTTTCTCTTTTGCCAGAAGTTGTTTCAAGTTTTCAAGACGATGCTTATCCTTCAAGGTGAGAAACATTGGCAAGATCATCAAGAATAGAAGCTAGTATTTCTTGGGAATATGGCGAAGCTATAATATTACCTTAAAGACACGTTGCCAAAACTGAAAAGCACAAAAGTTTGCCATGAGTACCATCTCTCTCCGCCCACTACAAATGGTCTTGCTGCCACCAAAATAGTGGTCAACATACTCTAGAAACTGTAAAAGAAGACATAGGTGAAGTAGATGATTAACATCATGATCAAAAAGACGTGCAGAACTGTAGATAAATCTACCAATAGGATATACCAGTGAATCATCTCCAAAAGGATGATGGATAGGAAGTGGTTGGGTATCCATCAGGACACCTAATAGAATCCCTTCTCTTAGCATTCCCATCTCACCAAACTTGACGACCAGAATAGATGCATCAAAGGACAATGGGAAGCTAGCAAGTAACCGTCCATAAAATGTGGGCTCGTAACGTCCCCTGGGCGATTTCCGCAATGCTCGTATGCTTAATAGCATCTTTAATGCATCATCAATGACATATGGGTCTGGTGGATCCATAGCTTTTGCCAGCAACACTATGTTATAGAATATAATAACACTCAGTTCAACTGACGGAATCTGATTAGATAGTGGCAAAAACATTTTGGATACTATCTTGTAGATTGGATCTATTGTATTTCTAAAGCATATATGCATCCACTTTTTAAGAATAATGGATGGATACTCCCACCATAAGCATTTAGCTTCATCTAAGGTACCTCATTGTTAACTATATCTACAGAGCAATCTTCATGTCAAACAGGAACATGTAATCAGACCTTACGTGATAAGTACTTATGCAGTAGCAGAAGACCTAGTAAACCCGACTGTCCTTACTAGTTCACAGGTAACCCAAGTTTGACATTGTCTATTATAAAAGAAGTTAAGCATTCTCTACACAATTCTAACATTATTACCATTTGCGTCATTAATGGCTCTGGATTCCGTGCAGCAAATATGGAGAACTTGTTGTCTCAATGACAGCTTAAGTATAGCTGGGGGCTCATGTTCTTCAAGCTTGTTAAAAAATGCACTCGGCACCAGGCGATACACCTCACCATCACATGTTCGACCTGTCCTCCCTCTACGTTGCTCAGCCTATAACTCCACATAAGAAACTAATTTTAGAACATCCACTATTGTTCCATAAATGGTAAATTCTAGCAATACCTGAGATCTAGAGACCCAAACAAGCTGAACTGCGTCTCTTTTTCTGGATGCATCCCAGAACACTTGCAGAGACCGGCACGAGTCAATGACATAGGCTACTTTGGGTATTGTTACAGAAGATTCCGCAATGTTTGTAGCCAATATTACCTGAAAACAGTAATTTGGAAGATATATATAACTATGAAATCACTGAAGTCACAAAATGGTAGTTGCAACTCATTGCATCAATACAACCTTGCGGCGGGATCTGCATATCTTCATAGCTGCCAAGGCTTGCTCAGTGTCAATGCTTCGGTGCAATATGTGAACCTCAAAAGATGCACGAAAGGGTTCCAATTGATGCCACTGCTGCTCAAGTGAGTAGTATGTTGGAAGGAAAACCAAAATACTCTTCTCAATGTCTGGTTCCTTTTCATGAATATATAAGATGAGATCATGAATAAGATTTTGCAGTTCAGGTTTGATTTCAGCATCAGCTGAAGAAGGACTTGGACCAGGACAGTAAGCTGACAAATCAGAACTCATACCAAGCAATCCTGCAACCTGCTTCACAAACAGTGTCATATTTAATTAGCTTGGAAAGACTTGCCGTCAGGAAAGAAGAAAATCAATTGGATAATTATATAGTTTCATAAAGAGCAAAAAATCTCAAACATATTCTCAAAAAGTTTAACCTGCTCAAGATATATTACTCTTCTCTGGAAAATTGTTCTCTGGTCAGGGCTAGGAATAGCAACTACTTCTACGCGTTCACCCCTGCCTAGTTCTTTAAAGTAGTCTCTGTACCTTGTAATATCAGCAGTTGCAGACATCAAGACCACCCTGTAAAAAATCACGTCACCTCTTTAATAACCATGACCTCAATACAAACGTTTTCGGTAATAACATGTTTGAAGTAATGAATCGGAATAGTATTAAAATGACTTATCGTCTATCAGCAAACACAACCACACGGAACAGTTTAAGAACCTTAAAGTAATTACGTCATGTTGTAGAAAAGGGTTATAACCTGAGGTCATTGTTCTTCATGAGAAACTGCTTAACACAGACAAGAACAAGATCGGACTCCACAGATCTTTCATGCACTTCATCAAGAATGATAACCTTATACTTAAGTGCATTCAACCCCTTGTCTAGCATTTCATCCAACAGAACTCCAGCAGTTTTAAACAGAATTTTCGACCTGCATGCAACAAAAAAGCCAAATATCATCAGTTTACATTTGTCCTGAAAACTCGGACACAATAGAAGAAACTGAAAAGGAGATACTGTTCTAGAAGTCAAGAAGATGAAGATTATGATAGTTACCCTTCAGTCAAAATCTTAGAATGTCCAATGTGGTAACCTATTTCTCCGCCTAAATCAGAGTTGCGAGATTTAGCAACCATCTTAGCAACAGCTACAACCGCAAATCTCCTAGGCTGTGTACACAAAATGGGAGCCATGTTTGCTTCCAGAAGGAATTGTGGAACTTGTGAACTCTTCCCTGAAGCAACGAAGGACAAGTAAGTAACCACACTACGGATGAGATGAATCGAAAATCCAGTTATCCATTACAATCAAAACAGTTCAAACAGTGGCCCTACTTGTACTATTTTGGTTTTATGCGTTAAGTAGAAACGAATCAAGTGAAATATCCATTCATAGGAAACATACAAAATCTGGTGTCACACATGAAACCCTAGGAGAAACAAAGCGAGTCCAGAATCGACGGAGTATTTCTATAATCAAAATGACGAATACGACAAAAAGAAAAGTAAAACCCCAACGGAAATGCAGATTACTAGAGTAAGTCGTCGAGTAGTGAAGTAGAATAAGAGAAAGAAGAAGGCGAGCGCACGTACCGCATCCAGGCTAGCCGACGATGAGAGTGACGCGATTCTCGAGGATTTTGTCGATGATTCTCCTTTTCATCGCCATAATCGGAAGCGAAGCGAAGTTCGAGGAGGGTAAAGGTAACGATTCAGAAGAGCTGGAAGTCGAAGTCGGCGAGGAAACCGCCATTGTTGTCGTACGCAGAGCTCTCTCTTCCTCTACACGCAGAGTCTAGTCTAGTCTCTGCTGGTACGAATGACTAATACTGCCAATCACCTCCTCTCTTTGCTTTTAGAGGGGTTTTGGGGGGAGCGTCGATCTGGTGCGACGAGCGTACGTTTAGGTCGTTGATCTCTCAAGTCTGATTAGTTGACTAAGTTTGACTAGTCAAAATGTGTGCGGGTGTATAGTGCTTCACACACACTGGAGAGTTTGCCGCGAATTACCTGGGTCCCTCTAAGGAAAGGGCATATATAACATGGGCAAAAAAGTGCCGCCAATCAAAATAATTGAAAAAAGAAAATAATGTAACGAAATAAATCGGCCCACTTATAGCCCACTAAAATAAAAGTCCATTAACGGGTATCTCGGGTCATCCAAACCCAAACCCGAACCATTTTCGTTGAAGAAGTTGACGAACCTGTCTGGTTTTGTTGCGTTCTTCCGATTTGGGTTGGAGAGGAAATGGCGTCGGGATGGGGAATAACGGGAAACAAAGGGAGATGCTACGATTTCTGGATGGATTTCAGTGAATGTATGTCTCACTGCAGAGAGCCCAAAGATTGCACTCTTCTTCGTGAAGATTACCTCGAGTGTCTCCACCATTCCAAAGAGGTACCCACTTCTTTCTTTTTCTTTCCGGTGATATTGTTTATAGAATTTTCATTGATTTGATGGTTCTGATTTTCAGTCTGATTGTGATGTCTAGATCACTGAGTTGTAGAAATTCCCAAAATCCCAGATCAGGTCGACCATAAGGGAAATGAGTCCACACCTTTTGTTAATTGGGCATTTTAGAGTTAAGATGACATTGGAAGATCATGTTCTCTTGTTTAAGATAGGATGTATCGATCAGGCGTTTCTGGAACTAAATCATCTCTGTAGATGTTACAACTGTTTCTTCTGCAATTACATACATGTCTCTCTTAAAACATTACTGTAGGAAATTGTTACTATTGATTTACACCACTGGTGGTTTCTTTACTTTGTATGAAGATGCTGCAGTGAGCATAGTTTAAGCTTTATGTGTTGTGTATCTGTTACAGTTTCAAAGAAGGAACAGGATATACAAGGAGGAGCAGCGTAAACTAAGAGCAGCTTCGAGGAAAGGTGAAGAAGCCGGAGATGGGACTCATACCCATCACTAGTCTCAACAATCCTCCTCCAGAGAAGAATAAAAAAAGGTTCATGGAAGATTTTGTATCTTGGAATCTCAAAACGCTTTGATTGTTTTTCATTTTTCAATTTATCCAATCATGTTCTGCTTCCTTTTCATGTTAAATCGTCTCAACACACCTTGAGACATGTACTTTTTCTCCTGAATTATGGAAATATATTGTGCAACATTTACTTCTTCAGTTTTACTCCATCCAACCAGGATCAATGGTCAACTTAGCTGCTCAAATTTTGGTCGGAATCTTCTGTTTAATCAATTATAACAACGGTTCTTAGAAAGCTCACAATGTACATTGGAAACCAGTTATAGTTACATCATAAACAAGTTTTGATCGATCAAACAAGTCCCCAGTTTTCTTTTATACATTGATCATTAAGCCTGATAGAATTCTCCCAGGCGACTTTAGAGTACACAACTTCTCTCAGAAGTGTCTGTGCCACAAGCTAGAGATCGTGCGGTGATTCGACGGGACAGGGAAATGCGGAAACCAATCCCTCTCCCAAGCATGAATTTGATCTGTTTCTGGTTCATGGTGTCCACCTGGATAAAGGAAGAATCCAACGTTCTGATCTGGCATTGGTGGTGGTGGCGGCGGTGGTAATCCCCTTCTTGTCATGGAGATGAGAGGTGGTGCGAGAGTGGGACCATTGGCATGATGTTGCCTCTGATGATTATAAGCATGATGTTGTGTATGAAGGTGTTCACGCATTTGGGTGCTGCTTCCTTGGTAACTGTTAATTGCTGGTGAGGTCCTTTGATTAGACCTACATTGCCCGAATCCAAAAAAATATATTGTAAAACACTGCAAGAAGTTGAGAGCAATATGGAGTTCCAGAAGCTAACCGGTTACTAAAAAGAAATGGGTGTGCATAAGGTAGGCCTCGTGCTGCTGAAGAGTCAATTTCACCATCAACCACATGAGCACCGGGTAGTGAAAACGATGGGGAATGATGATGATACTGGGGGGCAACAGCAAGCTGGTGAAAGTGATCGTTAGAGTGGCTGTTCCAGGGATGATCATCTGTGCTGTTGTTGTCGCTAGTTCTCGGGGTAGCAGCTGGGCCCGGTCCAACATATGCAAGATACGAATGATTCACAGCAGCGGCGTGGTGTCCATGGAACTCATTATGATCTAAGGAAGAAAATGCCTTTTGATATTATCAACGGTTTGCTAGACAAAATGAAATGATCATATAGAGAACAATCAGCGTCTAACTTACATGTAGTGGTTGCAGGTTCCAGTTCCCTGAAACACACAGCAAAAGTCAATTCAAGCTTTCGCGTTTGAAGGACCAAAAGCTTTTTAAGGCAAAACATTCTCTTGCCTTAGCAAAGAGAGATAATAGCAAAAACCATGGTAAAGGTGTACGCTTACTCGAAAGAAGCTGCTTGAGAGAGTTCACCAAACGGGCACCAATGGACCCGATATTGCTGCAAACACCGTTAAAGTTCAGGATAAACGATTTCACATTAACAGGTTGTTTGATAAAAGCACAGTTCTCATGTACACGAAAAGAAAGCATATCGTTGCACAAAGTACTGAGCTTTTACCATTTCCGGATAAGTTAAAGCATACAAGTCTTCTTCAGGGATCCAATCTTCCATGGAAAACTCTGGAAAGGGGCGAGTAGAACCGTTTGCATAGAACCACTGACCCTTTTCGACATTCCGACAGTTGGGGCATTGCATGGATCCTTTCATGTTAAAAGCCGATCCAATGCAATCTGCAAGAAACCAAAGAACAAGCTGCTAAAGGGAAAGCCGTAAATAGCAACAAATTCACCAGCCACATAATAGAAGTAGCAAACCTTATTCTATATCTACACAGAGAAAAAACCAATTCACAAGATACTACACACATTTGTCAGAACTCTGGATAGAGACATCATCGCTAGGATCATCCAACTGCAGAGTCGTGGCAATCTAAGCTTCTAATCAAAGCAAGGGATTTGAAATCCCTCTATATTCTCATATGCATTCAATTATCGTCCAAATCTACCATTAGATAATTGCACAAAAGCTCGTAGGCAAGCCCTTAAAGCCATCGGATCATTATGAAACTTTGATTCGAGGATTACTAAACAAGCAGAGACTATATATCAAACGAACGCAGATTGGCAATTGTGATCGAGGAAACGCAAAATCGTAAAAGATAGAGGACAGGATTGAAATACCCAAATGGAATTCGTGACCACATTGGAGCTTAGCCTTGGATCTGGTACCATCGTCGACCACCAATTCGAGGCAAATCGAGCATGATACTTCGACAGGAGACGAGGCATCCTCCTGGTTCCCGCGTTTTCCAGGGCCACATCCACCGTCCGATTGACCAGCAATTCGGCGATGATCATCGCAACCTGAATCTTTAGCTCCGGCCATATCTTCACCAGCTGGCCAAATCGGAGGGAAGCCACGAGAATTTCGTTTTCAAAAGAAGAAAAAAAAAACAGAATTGTCAAACAAAAATCAATGAAAAATCATCTCTCGCTATCGCTATCTCTCTATTTGTTTCTCTCCGATTTCGTCTGCCTTTTGGAACGCCGATGCGGTAATAATCTTACAAATCTATCCTTCCTCTTCTCTCTCTCTCTCTCGTCCGACCTGTTAGAGATGACGTGGTTCAAAACCGGACAATGACATTGGACTCTCCCATTTCTTTTCTTTTTCTCCCTTTGTGGATAATTTATTTATTTTATTTAGTTTTTCGATTCATCTGAACCAACAACATTCATCCAATAACCACACTAATCTTGTTCATTTTAATCATAATTTATACTATAATTTGTTTTGTTTCTTGCTCACGAGTTTTGAAGTTTTTGATCACTTCTTTTTATCACATTCACACACCCATTTGTACAGATGTAAAGTTTTTTAATGAGAAAGATTAGAATCTATATTATTAATTGGGAATCATTAAATATTAAGTAACCTTATGAAGAGTAAAATATTACAAAAAATGCCATTGGTTTTTAGTGTTTTTAAATAACTTCATTAATGGTACAATAGTAATCACAAAATTAATATATTTTTAAAAAATAGTTTAATTCTTTTAAATAATTATTAATTTCCAAAAAAATAAACTAATTTTCTCTCTCTTATTAATTATAAACGAAAATTTGAAATTAATTTTTAAAAAAATTTTAACCAATAAGAATTGAAAAACTAAGATTTGATATCCAACTAAGATTTTATCTAAACCAATCGTAATAGACTATTCTATATCAAAAATAAAAAGAAAAATAATATCATTTTAATTCAAAATTAAAAACACTATCGTTTAAAAGATTTATCAATGGAGGACTTTAAGATTAAATTTCAAATTTTGTAAGAAAATTAAATACAAATATTTTAAGATTCAGATTTGTTATAATATTTTCACAAATTTTAAAATATAAAACAAAATTTTATTTCACAATTTCTAAATACGATATTAGATATTAACAACTATTTATATTTATGATGAAATAAACTCAAATAATAATAAATTTAAAGTAATTATCATTATAACCTTCGTTTAGAGCAAGTTTGATAAATATCTAACAATAGATTGTATATATTAATTTCTAAATTATTTTGCGTTTTATTTTTTGTTTTTCAACCGGATCTTCCTTAAATAAATCCCTAATATATTGCACACAGTTTTCAAATAATGTAAACTAATTATATATTTTGAATTCAAATCAAATTATGCAGCAATTGCATATCCGTTTTAGAGATGTATCTCAAATTTTTATTTTTAGTCCAAAAATCAAATTAATTATGATTAAACAATAAAAGAAGAATATGCAAAATTTAGCTAAGGAAAGAAACATTAATAAATTTGTTAAAATATATTTGTAACTTTAGCAGCATATATATTAATCTGGAAAACTCACAGTATATATTGTATGGTATTTAAAAGTAAGCAAACAAGAATTTGGAACATGATTTTAATGGAATGAAATGAGAATAGGAATTACGAGACGGGATGAGATGAGAACATAAATTAAAAATCAAACTAAATACCCAATTGGTATGAGTTCAGGTTATGAGCACTATATAAAATAAATTTGTTTACATACATAACCTTGTACGTACGTTTTCAGTTACACATATTCTATTTATGCCGGATACTGGACCGTCATATTTTTATTTCACGTATACGAGACGGGTTATGGGACCAAGAATTTATGACATATATATGACGTGATAGGTTTCCCGTTCTAAAATAGTTACGCCTAGCTAATATACATGAAATAACCAAACTCAAACCGAATCTATATCCTATTTAACACATGTAATCAAACTATTAGAAATGTTTTGATTAGTTTAGAAAATAAAAAAGTAACATCATTTAACTTTTACAACTAAATTATATCTTAGTTTTATCTTAAATATAATTTCGCACGTACGTGTAGGTCCGGATCTTAAAATATAACTATGCACTAACGCAACTGAATTTCGTTCATTACTCTAATTTTATAATATTTATACTATTATAAATTTTACTAACACAACAAAATATTTTATATTTTTAAAATCTATATAACAATTTCTATAAAAATATCTCTGCACATATGTGTGAATCCAGATCTAATACACTAAAATATATATCATAGAAACAACGAATAATCTATATTAAATTAAAATTTGTTAGAACTTTTTCAAAAATATGAAACCCCGCACGTATGTGCGGGTCATGATCTAGTACTACTCTTAAACACGAATATATTGTTTAGGGATACCAAAACATTGTATGTAATAAACAATTACACATATAAATGCAAATGCTTATTAATATTATTTCACTTCTTCTTCTGAATTAGACTATGCAGAGACTTTGCTTTGACTGATACACCGAGTAGCTTTGCTTAGGTTTCAGCCCTTGATCTTAGGCTTCTTCACGATCATAACCGAGCAATGAGCGTGATGAGCGCAGTAGTCGCTCGTGCTTCCGAGAACCGCCCTGTCACCCAAACCGACAAGTGATGATTGTCAAGTGAATCAGAATGGGTGTATAGTTGAAAGATTAATTATAAGAATTAAGGCTGAATGAAAAATACCTCTTGATAGCTCCATATCCATGGCTTCCCACAACAAGAATAGAAGCATGGTGCTTATCTACAACTTCACATAGGATATTCCTTGCATCACCTTCAAAAACTTCGATCACCGCACCATGAACCTACACAACAAACCTAGGATGATTGAGAAGAAGAAGGTAGTTGCGCCCTAGTAGCTAACTAAAGCTAGATAGTTACTATAAAAAACCACTGCTACTTAGCTCGAAGCTCTTGAATGTGCTAGAGATTCACATTACCAACCTCATCTAACAGTCCAATACAATATATGATGATAAAATCCAAGAAACACATAAAAAAAAGGACCAAAGAGAATTCGAATTTTGATAAAATAAAGACCGTACCGATTTGCTCTGACAAATTGCTTTGGCTTTCTCGACAACCTTAGCAGCGGTATGCTTCAGATCGGCATCAACATAAGGTACAACCTCCGCAGTTCCTAAGACAGAGATTAACAAAACCTAAATGATCTCATCGGTAAAAACAGAACCCTAGAAGAGAGAGAAGAATCGAGAGGGAAGGGCGTACCGGGACCAGCGAGACCAACGGCGGAGACGGCGTTAGGTTTGGCGTGGACGATGAAGAGCTTAAACGGATAATTGGGAGCGTAAGGAGCAAAGAAGCGATCGAGCGTCCACTCCAAGGCGTAAGTGCTCTGCTCGCTGTCGTCGACTCCGACGACCATCACCGATTTCTCATCTCCGGTGGCCATGACTTCGGCGTGAAGACAACGCGCTCTTGTTTTGTGCTAGAAAGTAGAAAGAAGGAAAGAAAGAAAGAAGCCTAGAAGAATCCTCCAAAGTGTTGCACAGAAAAAGAGAGTTTTGGTATTTTCTTCTTCTGAAAAAGAAAAGAAAGAGGAATGTGATACTTTGATTTGATGACGTGGATGGTCCTCGTTCCTTGATGCCTTTCATTAGTAAATTTCCGAATATTTATTTTTCTGCTCTAAAGTTATTAATTACTTTACAATACCAACAGCTTTTAGATAAGAAGAACCCACAGATTTTACACAAAATTGTTCTACTATAGAACATGTTACAGATATAAATTGAATTTTACCCATATTAAAATAGAAGGATTTTGCAGGTTAACAGTTATTAGCTTATTAAACTTTGATTAATTTCTTTAGATATATAGAAAAGTTAAAATTAGAATGAGGCGGCGGTCGCCTGAAATATCTCGACGTGAAGCAAAAGCAGGAATGCGACAAAACCTCTCTAATAACCCACCAAATTGCTTTTAGTTATTCTTCTTCGTCTTGACGCTACTGCTTTTTATCCGATTTCAGATTTCTCCAGAATCTTCAGATTCCATGGCCACCGTCTCCGCCTCTCCCCCTTGGCCAAACCCCATTCCCACTTCAGGCTCTGATAATGATTCCGGCCGCCAGCTGGATTTGAATCCCAGTTCACCGGTGACGTCACTTCCTGCCCTGCTCCACATCTCCTTTAACCAGGACCACGCTTGCTTCGCCGTCGGCACCGATTGCGGCTTCCGAATCTTTAACTGTGATCCCTTTAGCGAGATTTTCCGGCGTGATTTCGACCGAGGCGGTGGCGTTGCCGTTGTGGAGATGCTTTTCAGATGCAACATCTTGGCCTTGGTTGGTGGTGGACCCGATCCTCAGTATCCTCCCTGTAAGGTCCAGTGCCGGCTCAGAATATGGGGCGGGCGGTGCGACGGCCAGGGGCCCAATCCCGTGTTATAATAATTAAGGGGCCCATTTTTTAAAATATTTTTACAAAAGTATTAAAAAAATAGATTAAAACATAAAAATAAAATTTATAAGGGCCAAAAAAAAATTTATTTATTGTTTTTAAGTTTTAATAATTAAATTTTTATTAAAAATATCATAAAAAATATTTTATAACACAAAAACACTAAAAAAAAAAATTCTAAGGGCCCAAAATTTTTTTTGCCCTAGGGCCCATTAAAGTATTTAGCCGGCACTGGTAAGGTCATGATTTGGGATGATCACCAGAACCGTTGCATCGGAGAACTCTCTTTCAGGTCTGATGTTCGCTCCGTGCGCCTTAGGAGGGATCGGATTATAGTCGTTCTCGAGCAGAAGATATTTGTCTACAACTTCGCCGACCTCAAGCTAATGCATCAGCTCGAAACCATTGCAAACCCCAAAGGTCTCTGCGTTGTTTCTCAGGGAGCTGGTTCTTTGGTGTTGGTTTGCCCTGGTTTGCAAAAGGGCCAAGTTCGGGTCGAGCATTACGCATCTAAGAGGACTAAGTTCATCATGGCTCATGACTCCAGGATAGCTTGCTTTGCCCTCACGCAGGACGCCCACTTGTTGGCTACGGCTAGTTCCAAGGGTACTCTCCTTCGGGTCTTCAATACTGCTGATGGCACCTTGTTGCAAGAGGTATTTTCTAACTCCTTTTGATCGAACGAAAGCCTTGGCCTTTGCATTTCAATATGTAAGTACTACCAAAGCTCAGTCTAAGAAGTAACTGCCTTGCTATATTTAGTTGTTTAGGCTAAGCAAACTCTTTTAACTAAGTGTTTCTGATTCTAAGATATAATTCTGCAACTCATAGTTTCTGATTCTAATAATTAATTCTGCAGAGTGCAGTGTGATGATTTCCTTTTGAGTTGGTTTTGAACTTGTTCGTATTCGACTTTTTATAGCATTATTCACTGTCACCTGTGAAATTTTGTTCACTTCTCACCTCAATGTTAGCAGAGCAATTTTGTTATAAAAAAAATCCATATTGTTTGCTGTCTCTCTGTAGCTATACGGAGGCCCATCTCTTTTGACTGTAGTCACCCTTATGTTTCACATGGGTAGCTTCATAGGAAAATGTTTAGCATTGAATCTAACATTCCTCATTTATTCGATTCATAGCTTTTAAATCCATTAGTTTCTTGGCCGCCTCTCTCAGTTTGGTGCAATTGATTATAACTTGTTGTTGTATATATTGTATGCAGGTAAGAAGAGGTGCAGACAGAGCTGACATCTATAGTTTGGCCTTCTCTTCAGATGCCCAATGGTTAGCTGTCTCAAGTGACAAAGGAACTGTTCATGTATTCGGTCTGAAAATCAACTCTGGATCTCAAGTGAAGGATACATCCAGAATGGCACCTGATGCAACTCAGGCTGCGTTATCACCGTCATCATCTCTATCATTACTCAGAGGTACATACCTTAAACCCCAAACCAGTTTCTCGGTAGCGTTTTGAGAAGTCGTCATCATCATCAAACCTTGCTGTTTTTCCAAATAGGAGTGTTACCAAAGTATTTCAGCTCGGAGTGGTCAGTGGCTCAATTCCGGTTGGTTGAAGGATCTCAATACATAGTGGCATTTGGACATGAGAAGAACACTGTGGTGATTCTTGGGATGGATGGGAGGTAAGCGAACCAAAGCCTAAACTTAATAAAATGTGCAACAAGTCGGATCAGCAATTTTGTTTGACATTTGGGTGTTTTGCAGCTTCTACAAATGCCAGTTTGATCCAGTGCACGGAGGAGAGATGTCTCAGCTCGAGTATCACAACTGTCTGAAGCCGCCTTCTGTGTTATGAAACATCAACAAGTCATCATTCTCTTACTTCCTTTCTGTATATAAAAATCTTGTTGAGTTTCTGGGTTTTAAGCTTGTGTCTCTGGTAGCATATGTGATTTGCGGTTAGGTATGGAATGGTCGGTCAATCTCGAAGCATCAAGAGAGTATCTGTATATATATGTAAATGTTGAACCACTAATCACTTATTGATTTAATTAATTACATTGGATCTCATATTGAGAATACTATTTTGCTTTAGTTGAAAAGAAAAAAATGTTTTTGTTACAAAACAAGAAAAAGAAAGGTCAACATTACTAGAGAGAGTAAAATGGCATATGAAGAGAGTGATAATGAAAGTTGAAGTGTCTGTTTATGAATTCTTGACATCTACAATCCATCAGATGAAGAGGGAGATGGTTCTGCTTGCAGCAACCAGATTTGGTTATAACATAAAGAAGAAGAAGAAGATGAATCTATCTATCTTTTGTAATAATTTGGTGATGTAGGAAAGTAAGGATTGATTGTTTTTGATCCTTCTTCTGATGTTGAATTTGATTGAGAGTTAGTTGGTCAAAAGGTGTTTAGAAAATTAATAAAAACAGGTGGGCGTTGTGGGTACTTGTCCTTTAATTATTTTGTTTTGGGACCTATTTAATATTGAATGATACGTTTACACGTAAAAAGTCTTTTCTTTTGAGTCGTCTTCTCAGGAAAGATGGATCAAAAGATTCGTTTGTACGAGAGGTTGACTTTTCCTTTCGACTCCTATATAGAGTATAATCTTATGTCATTGATGACGACGTGTTCAATTAAATTTGTTCAAACGTTTTAACAGTTTTTTTGGTAAAAGTTTTAACAGTTTATGTGATGTTTGTTTCTTTGTATTTTATTCAGTGAAATTTGTTTATATGTACAAATTTTCTGCAAAATAACAAATTTAGTAAGGGGAATTTTGTTTGTGTCAATAAATCGTGATTAAAAAAATGTGAGAGGGATAATGGTGCAATAAATAAAGGGAACCAAAAAAAAAAAAAGAATAAAAAAAGAGGACGTGAGTGTGGGTGGTGGTGAGAAGTTTCTGGAAAAATGGGAGCAATTCAAGCTCGACTTCCCTTGTTCATCTCTCCTTCTATAAAACACCATTCCTTCCTTCATTCTTCTTCATCCAATTCCAATTTCAAAGTCAGATCCAACAAATCTTCTTCTTCGATCATCATGGCCACTATCAAGGTTCACGGAGTTCCCATGTCCACCGCCACCATGCGCGTCCTCGCTGCTCTCTACGAGAAGGATCTCCAGTTCGAGCTCATCCCCGTCGATATGAGAGCCGGTGCCCACAAGCAAGAGCCCTACCTTTCCCTCAACGTAACCCATCTCCCTCTCTCTCTCTGATCTTTACGAACAAACAAACACTTGTGTTTGGTTTTTCCAATTATCTCATCTGACAGCGATTTGATTCTGCTGTTTGTTTTGTTTCAGCCCTTCGGTCAAATTCCTGCTCTCGAGGACGGTGATTTGTCGCTTTTCGGTCAGTTTTTGCTTTGATAATCCTATGATTTGACTTTTTAGATTTATAGATACATCATTAGGTGGTCTTACTCACTTTGTGTTGGATAACGATTCATCTGAAATGACACATCAATCTATCTGGCCATCAACTTTTTCTTCTTTTTTTGGTAATATTTTGCAGAGTCAAGAGCCATCACACAGTACATAGCTGAGGAATACAGTGAGAAAGGTGAAAAGCTTCTCTGCCCAGGCTGCAAGAAAGTGAAGGCAACCACCAACGTTTGGATTCAAGTCGAAGGTCAACAGTTTGACCCTAACGCCTCTAAGCTTGCCTTCGAGCGTGTCTTTAAAGGCATGTTCGGTATGACCACGGACCCTGCCGCTGTCCAAGAGCTCGAAGGTAAGCTCCAGAAAGTCTTGGATATCTACGAGGCTAGGCTCTCCAAATCTGAGTTTTTGGCTTGTGATTGCTTCACTCTTGCTGATCTTCACCACCTCCCAGCCATCCATTACTTGATGGGCACTGACTCCAAGGTGCTCTTTGACTCTCGCCCTAAGGTTAGCGAGTGGGTTAAGAAGATCACTGCCAGGCCTGCTTGGGCTAAGGTTATTGACCTCCAGAAGCAGTAGTGAGGCCTCTCTCATTCTTCGCTTCTTTTGTTTTCCTTTTGTCTAAATAAACGAGTCCAGTGATTCTCTTTCTTTGCTTATGTACTTGTGTTTTTCAGTATCTGTTATATCATCATCCTCCTCTTTTGTGTTATTGTTGGGTTTGTTCATATATGTGAACCACCTTTAGATTTCGTCGCTATTTCTACATTTTACCTGTAAGAGGTTCAATCTCACGAACCAATATTTACTTAATGACTCAAATAGCTGTTAAGCTTAGAATAACCTTAAATATTACATGTCTTTGTTCAAGAGCCGGACATTAAACTCAAATCGGATTCATCAGAAGATAAGTGGTTTTAAAAACCAGAGTACCAATGACCTGAGAGTTTGGGAGATCTATCACTGAAATTGACTGAGTACATTCCAAAACTATTCTTGTATCCGCATACAAAGTAGCCTCTCATGTCTGATCCATTCCTACACGTAGTAGTCATGTATTTTTTTCTCTTTCATACACCAACAAGAGCAGAGAAGAAGAGAAGATGCATTAAGAAACACTTGACTTACAACAAGCTTCTTCCTAAACGGCTTTATGTGTCGGAAAAAAGGTTAAAACAAATAAAAATGTGGAAAATGCGCATCCAGGGAATCGAACCCTGGTCAGTACCGTGGGAGGGTACTATGATACCACTACACCAGATGCGCTTGTTGCTACTATGAAGATTATTTCAATTATTAATCTTAATGCGTATTCTGCCGGGAAATTTACCTGATTGTCTGATATAGTAAGAAACAGAGCAACTTGAAATACAATGGCGTGAGGAGGATTTGATGGATACCGGAACCAGAGAAAACCTGCGCCGGAGTTATAAAACGGCGAAGGAAGAAGGAGAAACAGAGTGGAGCAAGCGGTGAAGCAACGACTGTCGTTGTAAGTCGATAAAATTACTTATAATAAATAAAACAGCGAATCCGATCGGATGGTTATTACAGTCACAGAGAGTGTAGTAATGATTAAAGCTCTTTCTTATAAAAGTCTGAGGATCACGGGACCCAAGTCGGGTCACGAGGGCTAAAGAAAGAAGCCGTTACGTGTCCGTTCAAGAGCTTGAACGTTGCACTGTTGGACTTGACACATCTGGGCGTTTTATACTGATTAAACGACCCTCCCTGGCTTATAATCAGATCCATCAGTTTCTCGAACGTTCCTGGTTTCACCACTCTGATCTCTAACGCCCCTATCGATCTCTCTTTCGTCCTGCATTGTCTGTATATGTAATCCAGCTCTTCCTCCACCGCAACGCAACACTCTTCCATCAGCTTCGGCTCCAGATGACCTTGGATCTCCCAGAATAGCACGTAGTGGCCTGGCACTAATGACGTGTCCGCGTAGCTCGTGTACTCCGCCAGGAATGCGTTGCTTCCAAGCTTCTTCTTGGCTAACGTTATGCTCCTGTGCAGATCTTCTTCGTTGGTTTTGTCTAAGTCGATGCTTAGAACCACGTTTCTCCTGCAGATGAACCGGAACTGTGGTGCTTCTTTGTAGAAACCCGCCACTTGAAGAACGTCGCCGATTCGGTATCGGTACAATCCTGTTTGAGCATACGAATCAATCATCAAACCATCCAAAACACTAATTCATACACAAAGAACGTTTCTTTACCTGCGAAAGTTGTGACGACCAGTTCATAGTAGCGACCGAGTTTGACATTGACCAAATCAACGACTTTATCACATGGAACTTGTTCATCCTCGTCAAGATCAAAAGAGAGTGTCCCGTTTTTGCCGAGAGGGATAAACTCGAAGTAACACATGTTAGGCAAAAGAGTGAAAACGACGTCGGATGGTTTGGAGAGTGGTTCCACGTTGACTCCAAAGTAAGTCTCAGAGGAAGCATACATTGGACAAACTAATGGAATCTTCCCTTGGCTAAAGAACTCAAGTGCTGGTATGTATTGAGCCATTGAGCCCGTCACTACTGCTTCGATGAACTTTGCTTTAGGCCAGAGCTGACACAGAATCCCTTTCCACGACGACCGTCTACAGATCTCTTCGATCTCGCTAGCTAACTCTGGATTCGGTGACGTTAGAAGACAAGACATTGCGATTTGGCACCCTGGATCGGTGATCATGGGGTTGAGACGACCGGTGCGGATGTCTTCACAGAGCTGACTCCATTTCTTCTCGAGATAAGAGATTGCACGGAGAAACGCAGAAGCAAAGACAGCTCCTAAACGCATCACTTTGTGGCGGTGAATCAGACCGGCTAGTAACTGACAGTACATGCTTTGGTTGCTGTCTTCACAAAGGATGGTTTGGATAGGACTGGTTAAGTCGTTGAATGGATCATAAGGTCTGCACTGGAAATGCTTGCTCTTGTAGTAACTAGTGAGGACAGCTCTGATTGGTAGACCACAAGGAGTTGATGTTTCAGCCTTTACGAAATTCAGGTACATTGCTTTGCCTTTGTCAAGTCCTGGTATGTACCTGTTGTAAAAAAGTTAAAAACAGAGCAAGAATAAGATGGTAAAAAAGGTAACCTCAATGGATATGAAAGATTCTTAAGGTTTAGTGAGTGCTATTCAAAATTCTCAGAGAATCTTTAGTGGGGACATCAAAATTGGCGTGTGGATAAAAGATGATGGAAGCAAACTTTATAGTACATGACATGATACCACTAATTGCCCCCAAAAAAAAACAAAAACTTTAAGAAGAAAGCAAACTTCTTTTTCTTCCTAAGTGAGGAACCCATTGTGATGATTTTATTGGTACCACGGCCAGTACCTCTTATGAGTGTTTGTTGTATGCATATGTATCTAGTCCAAATATGTTAGTGGTACAATGATTATGAAACCATATTCACGCTGTGGTAAGAAAATTGATTAGCATTTTTGTTCTTTCAATATTAATGGATAACATTGAAGAATTTGATGTGATTTCCTTCCACTTCCATAGATTTGCTTTTGAGACATATCCATTATCCTACAACTACAGGAACAGTCCTAGTGGTTCTTTTATGTAATATGAGATCAGCCACTTCTTTTTTTTAAGGACATGATGGTCACCTATTGAGTAAATATTCATGTGCACACAAGACGTACAGTATTTCCATTTTCACTTTAAAGATTTCAGAAAGTAGAAAAAGAGCTTGCCCTTAAGCTTTTAAACTGCATCCAGGAGGATGTTAAAGGAGATCATAGAAGATGACAGGATAATTATGAAAAGGAGGAATTCACTGACTTGTTCACGATTGGAATGATAAGATTGTAGAGAAAAGTGCGGCGATCAAGATCTTCAGAAATGGTAGGCATGAGCTTTGGCTCTCCAGCAGAAGTCCCAGAGCTGAAAAATGCAAGAAAACAGTTACATTTTCATTAGCTATAGATGACACACACACAGAGAGATGATGTAGAGACTAGAAGAAGATTCAGACAGAAACAGAAACTGACCTGCATAATATTTCAGTAATAGGATGGCCAGTAATGAGAGAAGAGTCTTCTCCATTAGCAATTCTCTGAATGTACGGATAGATATCTTTGTATGTGATGATTGGCACAGATCTTTTAAACTCCAGAACGTCTTTAGAGCCTTTCATGTACTTACTCAAGTACTCTGTGTCCTTGTTTCTTTCTAAGATCCCACATAAAATGTTATCTTGAACTTCAGCAGCTTTCGAGGTGATCCTATCGAGCTCTTTTAACGCATTTTCACCTTTGTAGTTGTAATCAAGCTTCATTACATCCATTTTTTAGCTTAAATCAAAGACAAAAGAAGAAAAAGAAGAAGAAGAGGAGAGGTAATGAATGCCTCAGGACTCAAAGGAAGGAGGTGTATTTATAGTGGGTTTAGCCATATTTACATACATACCCAGAAATGGATATTAACTTTGTCCTTGACACATATCAGTTAAAGGGAAAAAAGAAAGATCAGTGCTGATATCATCAATTATGCAAGCTCTCAGTTTCAAGGAAGGACAATACGTATAAGAAAAATCATGTACTTAAAGACACTAACAAAACAATATTGCGTAAACACATAGCAGCTTCTCTCTACTTTTTACTGTAAACAAATCCAGCATCTATATCAGTGTTAAGTTGACTTTCTGACACATAGCAGAACCTTATATAATGGCTATGAATAAGATAAGTCTACAACAGCAGCCTGAGTCATGTTACAGCTACCAAAGAGTCCTTAACATGTTCTCAGTAAAATGAAGAGACTTTGTTCAGCATGAGAATCAGGGGAGCAATCACAACCATCCATTTTTTATCAAAAAGGGGGCCACATTTTTTGATGATCAACCACTGTCATGATCATCAAGCTTTAAAACATGATGCGTTTGGTGCTCGCCGCATCTGATAATTGGCGAAAGTCCACCACTAGCTAAACAATTGCTGACGCTGCTCTGTCCCTCAAGAGGAACAACTCTAACCAGACATTGTGGAGGCTGTTGGGTGTGGATTCTTTTTCCATATGCAGAAAGGGTTTAGTGACAAACAAAAAGCTAAACTTGCTTCTCTCTGTTATTTTCGTGACTCACTTTAGCATATAATGTATCGCACTATTGACCCTTTTCCATGCATGGTGATTCACTTCTCACCATTCCCATAACAAAACAAAAGAGATCTAACAGTCTTTAAACTCAGATACTATTGGTTCGTAGTCTTATCCACAAGCTAGATCTTGTTCCCTCTCCAGATTTCCCTGTTTAAAGCTGAGTTTTAACAGCACAGCATCAATTAAATCTATGTGGGTTTTAAAATGTGAACCAATGTTTTACTTAAGGTGAAAAAGAGAAGTTGTTACACGAAACTACATGGCTGTTCTAGTGTCACAATCAAACTTTTGACTATTTCAGTGACGTATTTATTCTTCCTGTGCAAGTTGTAGAAAGGTTAAGAACTTCACTTTTCTTGGCATTTCCGTGTTAATGGAATTCACACTCAACAAGAAAGCAACAGACAAGCTGTTATCAGCTGTAAGAAGAAGTTATCTATGTAAGGCAAGTCTGAAAGCTGACTATTAACATTTTCATGAGTAAACATTTCCTTTATCTTCTCATGAAAGAGAAAAAAAACAAACACAACTTTAGATTCAATGGATGCAGAACACTGTATGCCATATGTATCAAGACTATGTAACCACCGAGTCTTATCTTATTTATTAAGAGAAAGAAAAGGAAATGAAGATGGCTCATGGGTAAGGAGCAAAAATAAGTAAAAGCAATAAAAATAGATAGACAAGGTGAAGCAAAAGCCTATGAAAATAAGCTCATGTCTTCCTATTTTGGGCGTCAAGCTTTCATTTGCCAGCACCAACCAATGTTTTAACAGAGACACTTCTCTACTAATACATCACGAGACCATAAATTTAACTACAACTGAAAAACTCTTTGTTTACCTTCTTTAGGCAGTTATCAACAGAACACAAAGACAGACAGTGACTAATAAACCAAGAACTATAAAGAAAACCACAAGTCTCTTTTCCTAGTCACTGTGGAGGTTAAGGAAACAGTTTTTGTATCAAAATGATGTGTTTTTTTAAAAAAAAATTTAATCACAGATGATCATTCAAATATGATCACAAATAACAGTTTGACAACGAAAGGTACTATTTTCAACAAACAAACAAGTGTTGATGGTAAAGTGAACATGGACAATAGTAATTATTCTTGGTCATCAGTGAATGTATAACAAGAATCATGAAGGGGACAATAGAAATTTCTTGCTATAATTTTTTTATAGCTTCGTGGTTTTATTAGACAACATGAATCATGAAGGGTGTAACAGAATGACCTCAAGTCCTTAGTGAGCTGTGGAGATCTTTCTATGGCCGGTTTTAATTCGCTTCCTCTAGATTCAGCTTGATCCAGTCCACTCCCATATTGTTTATGACTTGCCTTGACCAATGATCATAGAGTAGCTAGGTTCTATGCTACATGATCAAGTTCAATGCCAATGAAGTTACTAAAAGAATAAAGACAGAAAGAAAAATATTACCTTGGTAAAAACACAATAAGACAACAACAACAACAGTGAAAAGTCTACTTATACATAAGTTAGCATATCTGTTGAGGAAGAATTTGCACTTGCAAGGACAGGTTATTACGCAAGAAGGCACATATTCTACATCTACACCAAGTCAAATCAAGGAAAAGCTAAGAACCCAGTTTCATAGCATAACTATTATAAACTACGAAATTTAAAATTCTCATCTTTTCTTTTCTTCTTTCTTTTAGTACAGTAAGATTCCCAATGCCGTTGAAAACAAATTCCTTATGTCTAATTCTTATACATTTCGTACTAAAATAATTGTTATAACTTAGTTGCCCAAAAAAAAGAAAACAATTTATAAATCACCATGATTACAAAACTCATACATTAAAGTTAACAGTTAATTTTATAGCTTATCTCTAAGTTTTGGAAACAAGAAGAAAAAAAAGAACATCAAAAGGTTCACTTATGCTTTTTGTGTATTTGGGATTTAGGGTCTTCTTTGAGCTGGTAAGGATCGTCTGAAGGAGCTAACCAGAGACCGACTAGAATGAGAAAGTGTAGACACAATAGCAAACCCGAGGAGGCTGGTGTTGATGGATACACGTTCCAACAGAGCTCGATGCCGAGGAACACGATCAAGCTTTTTCAGTTAAAAGAAAAACAAGAAGACAGGGTTAGGTTTTGGAGTTTTTTAGTGTCGTTACGGGTAAGAAATGCAGAAAATTATTTACCGCAGCCAAGTGGGAAACGGTGTTCTCCATAGCAGATAAGGTAGCGAATAGAAGTACCTGTTATGATCATATGATATGAGTATTGGTTTTGAGGACAAGAATGTACGAGAAAATTAAGAAATACCCGGGGTTTTTTGGTTACCATGAGTAGAACTGGTAGTGCAGAGAGCGAGCACATACAATGCCGATGAAATTCCCAACAAACATGGTCGTGACGATATCTGCGAATCAAATGGAATGCCTGTAAGTATGGGCACAGACAAATATAAGCTAAATTGACAGTAAAAGCTTACGTTCTTTCGTAAGAATCCGTGAGAGTGAAGAGGGAAGCGTCAAGAAGAAATGCCTAGAACGCATGAAGCCTATAATCCCGCTTTCATGCCTATGAAAACCAACATATTCATTAAAACTGATGCTAAACACACAAGATATGGACTGTAGTGGCAGTACAAAACTGCAACTGCTTTCAAGTTGCAGCTGTCTTATGAGAATTAATTCTGTGATTGTACTTACTTGCACCATTTATAATTTGCAAACACCGCAAGGAGACAAAGGTGAGCAATGAGCAAGCATACTGCAAATTCTTTGGATACAAAAACTCGTTCTGGAACAAATTTGAAGTTAACAGACCTGTTGAGAGCTCACACTAAAGTTAGAGGTCAAAAGATATTTTTAGATCCCATCAACATGTTTATAAGATTTAGCGGGAGAGGAGTGAACAATACCAGAAGTGAATGAATACACGTCCAAGATCAAAGGCGTTTGCTATGTATGAAACCGGATATGTTATGAGAAAGGGCAATCCCACAAGTATCTGTATAATCATTCATTGACCAGCTGAATGGTACTGCTTCCATAATCAAAACTATAATTCGCTGGATACTGCAACTCACCTATTTACATTGAAGGAACAGTTAACAAGTTTCCAAATTTTCATGGAGAAACAATGCTACGCAGAAAAATTGGTGTATAACGGGACTTATAAGAGATAAAGTGAAACCTGAACAAGAGCTGCACCAGCCAAAGCAGATACCACTCCAATTATATTCATGGCCTGTGAATAGTAAAACTTCACATATGAAGAAACAATGCTAAAAGAATAATAAACCAAATCCATAAACTAATTCTCTTCCTCGAACATATATACCTTTAGTAGCAGAAGTAACAAAGGTGGAGCATACAAAAGTACATTCATCTTTATAGAAACAGCTCCACTGTATAAAAAGAAGGGTAAGCAGACTAGTCAATCTCAAGAATAGAGAAGCAAAAGCCGCAACCTTACCTGAAAACAAGCATCCCTAGATGCCATTTATGATAGAGAAAGAGGGCCATTGATGAATGTAGGAGAGTCATGGCAAAACAATCATTAAAGAGACGGAGAACAAAGATTGAATGTATCCTCTTGGATAAACATAGTAGACATAGCGCCCACCATGGCACCTGAAATAGGTAAGGATACAAGAAGAGATATCATCCCTAAAATCACTTCCATTACAAATGGACAAATCAAAACCAAAAATTCTTTCATTAACATCGTAAATGGGACAAGGATAGTCTCAGGGAAGATGTCCACTAATACTTGATGAAAAGAGATAAGAAACAAGGCTTCATTAGTACCACATCAGTCTTCACATAGATGAACAAGACGATCCCCAGATTGACAATGTAGAGAACACCAAAAAGAATCTGCAACATGTAAGAGACTAAAATTGAGAAAATGAAGCGATGGATTTATCAAATTCCGCAGCTAATCCAAAAAAAGATAGGAGATTCAAAGAGAGGCAAGTCCAAGAACCTGAGCAGGGTAGACTTGCCCTCCAGTTAAGTTCTGCACTGCAGAGTAAAGATAGAGGAAACCCGCTGGATAAACCAATGGCCCTGTATCGCCTTTCAAGTTCCCATAGTCTCTCTCTCCCCCTAGAAACCCACTAACCTGCCCCAATACCAAAACTTTTACTTAAAGACGACTACTTTGAAGAAACCACAGTTGACCATTGACACGAACCTGTGACATGTAAGCATCCCAATCGATCTTCGTGTCTGTTTAAAGCAAATGACGAAATTAGGTTAAAGCCCATGTCCAATGAACATTTCGGAAGCAAAAATGGAGGAAATTAGGTCTCACATGGAACATAGGCGATAATAAGTCCGACGAGGATTGCATCAGCAAGAATTAGCGCGAATGCGAATAAACCTTTAGGGTTTTTCAATAGATCGGAATAAATCGTCTCCTTCCCGAGCTGACGGTTACGAGAAGCTCTCAAACTCGCCGGTGATGAGGCGCCCGCCATGAAAACAGAGCAAATCGCACCAGTTTCTAGCCAACGCCGCGAAACAGACAACTACTTTCATATTATTACTCTTTTAGTTAGCCCAAATTAAATGTGCCTAATGGGCTTATTGTCTTAGACGGTGTAAAGCCCAATATGTTTTCTTAAAAAATAATTAAGCATCGTAATCGTCCCAAAAATGTGTATGCATCAGACATGAGCAGATTGGTAAGCACGTGTCCCCTCTTTTTCACAATGTCGGTAGATTAATATCCAAAAACATAACAATTAATTAACATTCCACGTGTACACATCACTCGCCACGTGTCGCTCCATCACCAGAGCCTTGGCCTCTTTGCTTCTTCTTCTCTATTAATATCATCATCTCCTGATTATACTCTTTTGACCAAGCTGCTTCTTCAACTTCTTCTCCATCTCAAATCTCAATAATCTTGTTTCTTCGATCCTGTTTTGGACGTCGCAATGGATTCTCAGGACATCAGATACCGTGGCGGAGACGACAGAGACGCTGCAACGACGGCTATGGCTGAGACCGAGAGGAAAAACGCTGACGACAACAAAGGAAAACGCGATCAAAAGAGGGCGATGGCGAAACGCGGTCTCAAATCTCTGACGATAGCGGTTGCGGCTCCTGTGGTCGTGACGCTCTTCGCCACGTATTTCCTCGGCACAAGCGACGGCTACGGGAATCGAGCTCGGTCGTCGTCGTGGATCCCACCTCTGTGGCTCCTACACACCACGTGTCTCGCGTCGAGCGGTCTGATGGGATTGGCTGCGTGGCTTGTATGGGTCGACGGTGGCTTCCACAAGAAGCCCAATGCTCTGTATCTTTACTTGGCTCAGTTTATGCTCTGTTTGGTTTGGGATCCGGTTACGTTCCGACTCGGGTCAGGGATAGCCGGGCTTGCGGTGTGGTTGGGTCAGTCAGCTGCGTTGTTCGGATGTTACAAGGCCTTTAATGAGATAAGTCCGGTCGCTGGTAATCTGGTAAAGCCGTGTTTGGCTTGGGCTGCGTTTGTAGCCGCTGTTAATGTAAAGCTTGCAGTCGCGTGAGATCTGTAAACGCCCCCATGTTTGTAGAGTCATATGAGTGTTTTCTTTCGTTTTTGTGATATATACATAAAAGATGTCATTGCGATCCAATGGTCTGCTCATTGTGGAGTAATTGACATGAACATGATATACTTGAGAAATAATGTGGTATCTCTGCATCTATACAAGTTTTAAGCGTTGGTTATTTCAGTGTCTATGTTGAAATCAAACAGTGAGATTCTTAAAAGCGGGTCGTTTTTATATGTCTCCAAAACGGAACCAATTCAAACGGTAAAGCCAACTTCTTTAGTCAGTTTTGGGTTGGGCCGTCGACACTATTTATTGGGCTATTCATTTAGTGGTAAACTAAAATTAATATAGGGGATTCGAGGATTAGGCCCAGTCCATTTTGTAACACGTGCTGATATCATGTAAGGTAGGAGGGAATATAAAAATTAAAAAAGTGGATGAATGATAGGGAACGAGAGGTCCTTGTGCTTTTTGATTTGGCCTCGACACTCGTGCCGACGGAGTGGCCGTGCCTATCGTGCAACAGTCTCGACCCATACCCCGACACGTGTTGAAAACGGTCCACTAGTAGTTAGACACCTGTCAATAGGACATCTGTCCTAGCAGTCACTCGTCTCTCACAATCCAATCCCTTTCGCTTAAAGCTAAAAAAAGAGCATGTCAGCAACATGCCACGTGGCTTACCATTTTCAAATCTGATCCGTCGTCCGGTGATATAAGACTTTTTAAAGACAGAGAGGTTCGTTCGTCTGCAACGGCTCCAAGTTTTTGACTATGGCTGAAGATGAAATAGTAGTCGAAGAAGAGCAATCACAGCCACATGAGGTTACTCCAGTTCCACCGTCTTCTTCGCCTTCGCCTTCGTTAGTGGTGGAAGACGACGATGAGATGAAGCTCAAGCACTTGGAATTCATCCAAGTCGCGGCGGTTTACTTCGCCGCCTGTTTCTCCACGCTCTACGAGTTGGCTAAAGACAACGCTGGTCCCCTCCAACTCGGTGTCGAAAACATCGAAGATTCCGTTCGAACCGTGCTTGCTCCATTATACGACAAATTCCACGACGTTCCTTTCAAGCTTCTCCTCTTCGTCGATCGTAAGGTAAAACAATCAATGCGATTCTTAATTTGAATGTCTCCTCTTTTTCAATGGATGATGATGATGAGTGAGACGCAAATGATTTGCTTGGTTTTCAGGTGGACGATGTGTTCTTCGATGTTGAGACATACGTTCCTTCGCTGGTGAAGCAAGCTTCTAGCCAAGCGCTCACGGTGGCCACAGAGGTGCAACGCGCCGGCGTTGTGGACACCACCAAGAGCATTGCGAGGAGTGTCCGGGACAAGTACGAGCCTGTGGCAGAGTATTACGCAGCGACGCTGTGGCGTTTACTGAATCAAGTGCCCTTGTTCCCTGAAGTTGCGCATTTAGTGATCCCCACGGCGTTTCACTGGTCAGAGAAGTACAACGACGCGGTTCGTTACGTTGGCGACAGAGCCTACTTTGGGGCAGAGTATCTACCCATGATTCCTATTGAGAAGATCTCTGATATTTTGGAACAAGATCAGTGTCGAGCTGACTAAGGAGCCAAAGATTCCTTCTTCTTTATTAGAGTGTACTCTGTTTTTCTTTCCTTCCTGCAATTTGCTATTTCAAGATGCAATCTTTCTTCAATATTCCATTATAACAACTTTGCCTTTTAATAACAAGAGACATAAAAGGAACTGTCCTCTTCAGTCTCAACTTTCATAAAAAGACACAAGACGCAAATAACAGTACTATTCGTTTATTATTAGTAAGGAGAGTGTCTGTTTTTCTTGCGGTTCCTTGGCGGCTTAACAACCAACTCACTTGAAGTCCAAGACCGATTATTCTCTGTAGAATTCTCATCGGACTTCCAGCAACATAGCCGCCCATCTTCACCGCCAGTCCATCCAAATAACCCTGCAGCTCCTCCATACTCGCATGGCATCTGCAGAACACTCCTTACTACATCTATGTGACCTCCACCAAGGATAGCTTCAGCGGTACCGATTGATCCAGGCTGTTTATAGTTCACTGGAAAATAACCAATGGTTCCTGCGCAGGTTCCACCAATCACCCATAAATCTTCACCTCCTGGACAATGGCAATCAACAAAATAATCAACCTGCAAAAGAGTAAATGGGATGTCTCTTTTAATAACCAGAAGGTTTCGTGTTAGTGTTGATGTTTCACTAGAAGGAAAGAATGAGATTGTTACATTATCCTGAGCCCAGCTATCAGATGCGAGTTCCCGAGCTTTCTCTAGGTTGACTTCACAGCTTCCATCTTGCCAGTTCCAAATGCTAGAAAGGAGTAAAGAAATTAGAGACAGCACAATTAACAGACAGTTGGAGAGGAGGGCGTGAAAGAGTAGTACCTTAGAGTTTCTATATGAGTGAGACACCAGAGCTTTTTATAGCAATCTCCGAGGAAACCTATTTTGCCAATTGAAGTTCCCACATTGATCACCTAAAGAACGGTCAAGGCAAAAGTGGTTCAGTAATCTCGTCTACTATCTCGATGCAGCGAAAGAAGGCTGATACCTTAAATCTAAAACTTACAGATTCCAGATGGTCATCGTCATTGATATCACCTTCAGTGTTAAATAGACATATCAATCCATCCACGGAAGCTGAAAGAAGCTTGTTGGGGTTGTTAGGAACAAAGTGTACCTGTAATTAAGAACACCAACACAACAGAGTTGAACTCTAGTAAGTAACAACAAACTAGTTCGACTCTAGAGATACAAAGGACTACAGTTCCCACTTGAGCAGAAACAATCAGAGAGCAAAACACACCTGAGTGACGTCGTCCATGTGGGATTCCTCTAAACAAGCAACTTGCTTTGAGTTTCTCCAGTCCCAAAGAAGAACCTGCACCATCGCTTCAGATTGTAACAAGCTAAAACATAGAAAATGCTCAAAACTAGCCCTTTTTTTTTTTTTTCTCAAAGTGTACTCCTTTAAAAACATTTAGAGATAAAATACACGATTCCACAGCATTGAGATGCCAAACCTGCTCTTTGCATCCACCAGCCAAAAGATGATCTGCAGCACCTCCATAGGAGAAGCTGAAAATCTCCTGATCATCCCCAGCAACAATACATGAAACCTGAAACACCCACCCATGATCAACTTAAATTCAATGTGATCCGAAAAAGGAATCACATTTAAGACAGAAATTAAAAAGTCACCTGTTGGAAACTTCGCGTGTCCCAAGATCTAATGGTACCATCGGAGGAACAAGAGTGCAGAACGTGAGGAGAAGCCGCTGAGTCGGAGGAAAACGCAATCTGATTGACGGTATCGGAGTGGCCTTTACATTCGCCGTAGTATTGACCAGTCACCGGAGAGTAAAGCTTGACGGTGTTGGTGGATAACGAAACCGCAATTGCTGTCCAATCGATTCTGTCAACAAGGGTTCTCTCTCAGTAGCCAAATAATTTTGTATGGTAATCGAAAAGAGAAACCTTACTTTGGGACAATCTGGAAGACGTAGTCAGAGCCGAAGTTGGTCTGAATAGAGTTCTTGAGCCCAAAATTCTTCACGTTTTGCGCTGAAGAAGAATCCGAAAGCTGGCGATTTTGCACCTCCACTTCCATCTCCGACGACGCTTCTTCCATTGGTTTGCTTCCGTTTGAGCGAAATTGAAAAGGGTTTAACGGTTTAGGGTTTGGTCGTTACGACGAGTGGAAGAAGCGTCTATAGGTCAAAGTGATATGGCCTGTTTTAACCTTTAGGCCCATTTCTGAGCCAACATCACTCACGGTCCATTACGATTATTAAGATTGTTGTACCAATTAATGTAATGTTTACATAACATATATATACTAGATCGATCACCCGTACTACAGTACGGGTTGAATTTCATTTATTACAAAATTTATATATTATATAGTTATAGAATAAAGTCGTGATATATTATAATAGTAAGTAAAAAATATTAATTTTTTTCTGTCAGTCCATATATATAATAGTAGAATGAATATATTTTTCTTTTTCTGTAATCCTCAATTATGGATATATTTTTTAAAGATATGAAAACGCAAAATAATATTATTTTTTTAAAAATAATATTGTTTGAACAATGAGTTAATTTATGTTAACAACCACAAAATGAGAGTGCATATAATTTAGTTAGAACAAAAATCAAAATATCATAAATGAATCGCATCTAAAACGTAGATTATTTTGAATTAGTTAAAAAGTTAGCTATTATTTTGAATTAATTTAGGAAATTATTTTTTCAAATTCTTATTCATTGGTTGTTGAAATAGAGATTTGTTTGAGCTAATTACGGAATTTATTAATTATTCACATAAACGAATATGTTATGAACATATATTTGGTATATAATAATACCAAATTTGATCCGTGTGTGGAGTCTATATTTTTATTTTACAATCCCTATGAAAATATTGCGGCATAATCTATTATTCATTATTTCCAAAATTGCTTGCAGAATTAAATTTTCAAATATTTAGAAGAGTCAAACTTTATTTAACTCATCTCATCATAAAATCTTAAAATGTCGTCTATTATAAGGATCATAACTTTCTATCATATAATACATTACTTTTAACCCGCCGCCTACTATAAATATATTAAACATATCTTTTTAGAAAATCAAATTAGTATTTATAATATTTTTTTATCTTTTTAATCTATTAAATATTTATGATATTCTTTAATATATTAAATTAAAGTTTGTTTAAATGTTCCAAATTAAAATCTTTAAAATTTTTATTGTAGTATGTAAAATTATGAATTTTAAAAAAATATATGAAATTAGATATAAATATTCAAATAGTTATAAGGATCATAACTCATTTCATCATATAATACAAAAAGAATATATTACTCAAATATGAATTTTTAACCCGTTAAATTTGTTCTTTCATACATTGAAAATTTTATATTCGTTTTTAAAAATTTAAATCTTTGTATATGCGGAAAAAAATTTACTTTTTTTATTATGTAGATGATATAATAATTTATTTATTTTATAGAAATAGAATAATATAAAGATGAGAGGTGAAGTATAATGATTAATAACAAATTAATATGATAAGCTAGATATCAAATCTTATATGTTCATTTTGATTGGTCATTCTTTTTCAAAAAATTAATAATAGATTTTCGTTTTATAATTAAATTAAATTAATTAAATTACAGAAAATAGTATTTGACTATTTTATCCTTAGTGAATTGAATTAATTTACTCTATAAAATTTTATTTCTAATGGCTTTCTCATGTAATTTTTTACAAAAGAAAAGGTTAGTTAAGGGTTTCTTATAAAGTGTATTCCCCAAATAATAGTATAGGATGTCTCGTCTATTATTAGCCCAAGCAATTTATGTCTCGTCTATAATAGATTTTTCAGAAAGTAATGTTTCAGTAGTGATCACTGTCAACTTTTAATACAAAAAATAAAATAAAATAATAATAAATATGCTGGCCAGAACAAAAACATACTTACTAACTAAAAATGTGAAAAGAAAAACGTTCAAAAAGAATTAAAGCATATAGAAAGGCACGTGATGGCAGCAAACAGATTCAGTGGTTACAACAACAAATATCATTGATATTGAGATTTACGAAAATTTCTTTTTCCAATGGCCCCGATCGGTCAATGATCGTTTCTTCAGATGTAAAGGTGTGTTGACTTTGCAACATATAATAATATTACTAATACAGGTAACATGGAACCATACTTAGGTTTACCCCTGGGGTGAACCTTTAAATTCACCCAACAGATTATAGCCAATCGTTTTGCCATGTCATTACTAATACTAGAGAATTAATAAAAAAACACAATTAAAAAAAAAAGGAAATCAGAAAATAGATTTAGGGTTTAGGGTTTAGGGTTTAGATTTTACAATTAAAACGAAATTAGATGTCGGTTTGGGTTGCCAAATGAGTGGTTAAGGTTTAGATTTTATAATTAAAACGAAATTAGATATCGGTTTGGGTTGACAAATGAGTGGTTAGGGTTTAAATTTTACAATTAAAACGAAATTATATATCTGTTTAGGTTTGTGAAATATTTGTTATATAAACCCTAAACCCTAAACCCTAAACCCAAATCCTAAACCATAAACACTAAACCCAGCGGTGAACAGATATATAATTTCGTTTTAATTGTAAAATTTAAACCCTAACCACTCATTTGTCAACCCAAACCGATATCTAATTTCGTTTTAATTATAAAATCTAAACCCTAACCACTCATTTGGCAACCCAAACCGACATCTAATTTCGTTTTAATTGTAAAATCTAAACCCTAAACCCTAAACCCTAAACCCTAACCGATATCTAATTTAGTTTTAATTATAAAATCTAAACCCTAACCACTCATTTGGCAACCCAAACCGACATCTAATTTCGTTTTAATTGTAAAATCTAAACCCTAAACCCTAAACCTTAAACCTTAAACCCTAAATCTATTTTGTGATTTTTTTTTTTTTAATTGTGTTTCTTTTTTTTTTAATTCTCTAGTATTAATAATGACATGACAAAACGATTGGCTATAATCTGTTGGGTGAATTTAAAGGTTCACCCCAGGAGTAAACCTAAATATGGTTCGGTAACATGCGGTAATTAATTCTATGTCGATCTTTTTTTCCTCTACTCTATATATATCATTTTTATGTAGTCCTATTTTTATTTTTTTGTCGTCTGGTTTTATTTCAAAATTAAATGAAGAACATGAAACAGAGTTTGTAAATCACATAAAAAGAAAAAAGAGCGATACATCTCTAAAACATAAAGATTAAAAATAAAATAAAAAATAAAAAAGGAAAATATGATGCATATAGTATGTTATGAACGAAATATGGAGTTTGATGTTAAAGAAAAAAACTAAGAAAATGGTACCCCCAAAACAAGAATCGTTATATTCCACATGGCGCCCATGGAGAAGAAGAAGCAAGTAAGTAGCCTGCACATAATTAAGACTCTCCTCTGATTGGAAACTGATATTTCGGCCTCTCTCCCACCTTATTACAGTACGTAATAAAATTGGGAACATCAACTTATATCAAGGGAAGTGTATGGCTTGTAATTATGACAACGTTCTGATGAGGGCAGTCAAAGTGTACGTCTCATATTATCTATCACCACTTTTTAGTCTTTGCAGCTAGCTACACATAGTTTTACTTTAAATACAGTATGAGAACAGGGAACACTTTTTAATGAGAGCGAGACTATTCATCATTCCATGATATAATAAGGGTTCCAATAATTGGTCCAACTGTCTTAATAGACTTTTCTACCTCTCGAGTTAATGGGGATCCTTGACTCTTATTCATCTTTCTTAATCAATTCGAGCATCTCTCAATGGAAAACAAATCTCACACGACCCTTTCCACTTTTTTGTTACCACCTTATTATGATAGTTTCTTCGGCTGATATTGTCAACAAAATACTAAACTTTTCCTAAGCGGCTGTTTTATATTTTACTGTTATCAAAGGTTTCCGCGTGTCTCTTGTTTAACTAGACTCAAATTATATATCTTAAACTCGATTTTCTCAACCAAATTTAGAAGATACTACTTGTAATAACTCATCAGAGATTCGTATCCTCAGGATTTTCTTTCCAATGAATTTGTCTTTTCTTTGCCCAAAAAAAAGAAGAATTTGTCTTTTCTCAACGCATATATGTATTTTGTGTAAACTGGTCAAGGCCTCAAGGGATACGTCATCAAAATACTTGTGATCGAAGCATATGAACCTACATCAATAATTTTATTTCCAATAAGTCCTAGTCTAACGGATTCTCTATTAAAGATTGAACAACTCTGAGTTTTAAAATAAACTACTTTCAAGAAAACAAAAATAGCAGATATAGTTTACGGGTACGACAGGATGACCATATATTTTACTGCAAAATGTTAGAACATTAGAACAAGCATTAACACAACGAAAACTGAATATGTCTCTGTAAATAAATATAACAATTTCTGTTGAAAAAAAAAAAACTGTGAAATTTCTATAATTTTGTTTAAGAATAAAACAATATATTTTATAAAATCATGTGGATAACTGACATATCATGGTTAGGTGGGAATATTTTAATTATTGTGATAATACATATTCAATTGGTTGTAGGTGTAGGAAATCAACTAATGTAATCTTCCAGAAATACTAGTATGCTTAAAAAGCTGATTTTCTAATGAGCACAAGGATTAGTAAATAGAATATGTGATATAAACACGTGAATAGTAGAGTTTCAATCATATTTTCAAAAAGATCCATTTACTGATAAAAGTGGTGGAGATGAGATTGTCAACTTTTCTTTTGTTTCCTTTTTGTTGCAACGTCATTGTTGTTACACTAGTCAGACTATTGTGTGATAATCGTTACCTTTTAATGTCAGAGGTTCTTTCTTATACTATTTCCAAGTTCGACCGAACCGATAATTCAGAGGAATTTTCTCTTCCTCTCTCTTTTTTTGTTTGTTTCTGAGGAAAATGTGGTTGCTTTCGTCTTCTTCTTCTTCATGGCTCTCTGAGCTCTCCTGTTCATCGTCGGCGGTTATAGAACCTACTACATCTTCAGTTCCTGTAGCAATCCAATGGCTCAGATTTGTTTTACTCTCTCCTTGCCCCCAGCGTGCTCTCTTCTCCGCCGTTGATTTTATTTTCCTCCTCGTCCTCCTCTGCGTCGCTCTTCGCAAGCTCTTTTCTTCTTCTTCTGAAATCAACGGAAACGCTGAGATTAGGAAACCTCTTATCGGAGTCAGTGGAAGAATCCCAACCAGAACAACCGCCTGGTTCAAAACGACAGTCGTAGTCACCGTTCTACTGTCGTTTTGCTCCGTCGTGCTCTGCGTTTTGGCCTTCACGGGCAAGCGACGGACTCAAAGACCATGGAACCTCATAGACCCGCTCTTTTGGCTTATTCACGCCGTCACACACGTCGTCGTCGCCGTTCTCGTCCTCCACGAGAAGAGATTCGCTGCTCTATATCATCCCTTATCTCTACGAATCTACTGGATTTCGAGTTTTGTCCTCACCACTCTCTTCGCCGTCACCGGGGTTTTCCATTTTATCTCCGACGCCGCCGCCACGAGTCTGATTGCAGAAGACGTCGCTTCATTCCTCTCCTTCCCGTTAACAGCCTTTCTGCTCATCGCCTCCGTCAGAGGAATCACCGGCCTTGTCACAACGAAGACCAACAGTCCTACGAAACCATCCGACGCCGTTTCGGAGGACAACGTCTCTCTCTACGCATCTGCTTCTGCTTTCTCCAAAATGTTCTGGTTATGGATGAATCCTTTACTCAGCAAAGGCTACAAATCTCCATTGACGCTCGAAGAAGTTCCGACGCTCTCTCCGGAGCACAAAGCAGAGAGGCTCGCGCTTCTCTTCGAATCGAGTTGGCCCAAACCGTCGGAGAATTCGAGCCACCCTGTCCGTACGACTCTACTCCGATGTTTCTGGAAGGAGATCCTCTACACGGCGATTCTAGCCATCGTCCGTCTCGGTGTCATGTACGTTGGTCCCGTCCTCATCCAGAGCTTCGTCGATTTCACCTCCGGCAAGAGATCTTCGCCGTGGCAAGGTTATTACCTCGTCCTCATCCTCCTTGTTGCGAAATTCGTGGAGGTCTTGACGACGCATCAGTTCAATTTCGATTCCCAGAAGCTTGGGATGCTTATAAGGTCAACTCTAATCACTGCACTCTACAAGAAAGGTTTAAAGCTCACCGGCTCAGCGCGTCAGAACCACGGTGTTGGGCAAATCGTGAATTACATGGCCGTAGACGCGCAACAGCTCTCTGACATGATGCTTCAGCTCCACGCAATCTGGCTCATGCCTTTGCAAGTGACTGTTGCACTAGTGCTTCTTTACGGAAGCCTAGGCGCGTCTGTTATAACCGCGGTGATTGGGCTGACTGGAGTGTTCGTCTTCATCCTCCTAGGGACTCAGCGAAACAATGGGTACCAATTCAGCTTGATGGGAAACCGAGATTCTCGGATGAAGGCCACCAACGAGATGCTCAATTACATGCGAGTCATCAAGTTTCAGGCTTGGGAGAATCATTTTAACAAGAGGATCCTTAAATTTAGGGAGATGGAGTTTGGTTGGCTATCCAAGTTTCTCTACTCCATTGCTGGTAACATCATTGTCCTCTGGAGCACGCCAGTGCTTATCTCTGCGCTCACCTTCGCCACCGCGCTCGCCTTGGGAGTCAAGCTTGATGCTGGGACTGTGTTCACCACCACAACTATTTTCAAGATCCTGCAAGAACCCATCAGGACGTTTCCTCAGTCTATGATATCTCTCTCGCAGGCAATGATCTCGCTGGGGAGACTGGACTCATACATGATGAGCAAAGAGCTGTCCGAAGACGCTGTGGAGAGAACCCTGGGTTGTGATGGTAGTACTGCCGTGGAGGTCAGAGATGGAAATTTTTGTTGGGATGATGAGGACAGCGAACCTGCTCTCAGTGATATCAACTTTAAGGTTAAGAAAGGAGAGCTCACTGCGATAGTTGGAACCGTTGGTTCAGGGAAATCTTCCCTGTTAGCTTCGGTTCTCGGCGAAATGCACAGAATCTCAGGCCAGGTGCGGCTTTTTTTCATGTAGCTTAAAGATTCAGAGAACTAACATTCGCAAGATCGATTGATTCAAAGCTAGTTTATTTGTAGGTGAGGGTTTGTGGGAGCACAGGATATGTAGCGCAAACTTCGTGGATCGAAAACGGGACGGTTCAAGACAACATCTTGTTTGGTCTTCCAATGGTTAGAGAGAAGTACAAAAAAGTTCTCAATGTCTGTTGTCTTGACAAAGACCTACAAATGATGGAGTTTGGGGATCAGACTGAGATTGGAGAACGTGGAATCAACCTTAGCGGAGGGCAGAAGCAGCGTATACAGCTTGCACGTGCTGTATATCAGGAATGCGATGTATACTTGCTCGACGATGTTTTTAGCGCTGTGGATGCTCATACCGGTTCAGATATATTCAAGGTAACAAGGGACCTAAAAACTCTTGATGTATTATTATTCCCTTTAAAATGCAACACAAGCTGATTCTTGTAATTGTGATATTTTTGCAGAAATGCGTAAGAGGAGCTCTGAAAGGCAAGACCATATTGCTCGTAACCCATCAAGTGGATTTCTTGCACAACGTTGATTGCATCTTGGTATAACAATGATTCACGCATTTATTTTCTAAAAATCAAGAAACTGCAATTGGTGCTTACGAGATGGAGTTTCAGGTGATGCGGGATGGAAGGATTGTTGAATCAGGAAAATATGACGAATTAGTCAGCTCCGGGTTGGATTTTGGGGAACTCGTGGCTGCACATGAGACATCAATGGAGCTTGTTGAAGCCGGTGCAGACTCTGCAGCAGCAGCAACAATCGCGACATCCCCAAGAACACCAATGTCTCCCCATGCACGCTCTCCGAGAATGTCAATGGACTCTCCTCACTTAAGTGATCTAAACGATGAACATGTCAAGTCATTTCTCGGTTCTCACACCGTAGAAGATGGCTCGAAGCTCATCAAAGAAGAAGAAAGGGAAACCGGACAGGTCAGCCTGGGAGTTTACAAACAGTACTGCACTGAGGCCTATGGCTGGTGGGGCATTGTGCTTGTTCTGTTCTTCTCTCTGACCTGGCAGGGTTCTCTAATGGCCAGCGATTACTGGCTTGCATACGAAACATCTGCCAAAAATGCAATTTCATTTGATGCTTCCGTTTTCATTCTCGTATACGTCATTATTGCACTTGTTTCCATCGTTTTGGTGAGCCTTCGGTCATACTACGTCACCCACTTGGGACTCAAGACGGCTCAGATCTTTTTCCGACAGATTCTTAACAGTATCTTACACGCTCCCATGTCGTTCTTTGACACCACACCATCGGGAAGAATTCTCAGTCGGGTGAGACAACTTTTCGCCTTATTAGTCCTTTTATATACTAATTTTAGCAGAGATCTTAAGGGTTTTTCTCTTTCAAACTTTGCAGGCATCAACTGATCAGACCAATGTCGATATCCTTATTCCGTTTATGCTCGGACTTGTGGCCTCAATGTACACCACTCTGCTTAGCATTTTCATAATTACTTGCCAGTACGCTTGGCCAACTGCATTCTTTGTGATTCCCCTTGGCTGGCTTAACATCTGGTACCGGGTAGGTATCTCTTTGATTTCATGTTCTGATATTTTTCTTTTTATGTATGATGTTATAAATGTCACTTTGCTTATGATCTTCAGAACTATTACCTCGCTTCTTCCCGTGAATTAACACGCTTGGACTCGATCACTAAGGCTCCCATCATCCACCATTTCTCAGAGAGTATAGCTGGAGTGATGACAATTCGATCATTCAGGAAGCAGGAGTTGTTTAGGCAAGAAAATGTAAAGCGTGTAAATGCCAATCTCAGGATGGACTTCCACAACAATGGCTCCAACGAATGGCTCGGGTTTCGGCTAGAGCTGATTGGGAGCTGGGTGCTCTGCATCTCAGCTTTGTGTATGGTATTGTTACCCAGCAATGTTATCAAACCAGGTACGGATCACTAAACACTCTTTTCAGTAGTTGATATCATTATTCCCTTGAGACAATGAGTCACATGGAGTTTCTTTGGGTCTGATGCAGAGAATGTAGGGTTGTCCCTTTCGTATGGACTGTCCCTGAACTCGGTTCTGTTCTTTGCCATATACATGAGCTGCTTTGTCGAGAACAAGATGGTTTCTGTTGAAAGGATCAAACAGTTCACTGATATTCCCTCTGAATCCGAGTGGGAGAGAAAAGAAACCCTTCCACCTTTGAATTGGCCCTTCCATGGCGATGTACATCTCGAAGACCTCAAGGTGAGTCAAAGAAACCAAAACATCTTCCTAATTAAAACTCACCTTTACTGTTCAAACTTGTGAAGGATGATGTGTGTTGTAAACAACAGGTGCGCTACAGACCAAACACTCCACTTGTGCTCAAAGGAATCACTCTTGACATCAAAGGAGGAGAGAAGGTTGGTGTGGTTGGACGAACGGGAAGCGGGAAATCGACTTTGATCCAAGTCTTATTCAGGCTCGTAGAACCATCAGGAGGAAAGATTATCATAGACGGGATTGATATAAGCACTCTAGGGCTACATGATCTCAGGTCAAGATTCGGAATCATTCCGCAAGAACCTGTCCTCTTTGAAGGAACCGTGAGAAGCAACATCGACCCAACGGAGCAGTACTCTGACGAAGAAATCTGGAAGGTGATGATAAAACCTATTGTGCCTCTTCATCTTCTAAGCTAGAACCTTTTTTTTTACATATAACCAACATCTATTTTTCGTTTTTCTGTTTGCTCAGAGCCTTGAACGATGCCAACTCAAGGATGTTGTTGCTACCAAGCCTGAGAAGCTCGATTCTTTGGGTGAGTATTAATATGTATCAATGGAGCTAGTGTGATCCTAGAAATCTCTGTATTTAAATTTTCTCAATAATGTTTGAGTTTGATCTATCATCTATATGGAATATTAATATACTAATTGATTGGAACAGTGGTTGATAATGGGGAGAACTGGAGCGTAGGGCAGAGGCAGCTTCTATGTTTAGGAAGGGTTATGTTGAAACGTAGCAGACTTCTGTTCCTAGACGAAGCAACCGCATCCGTTGATTCCCAAACCGATGCCGTGATTCAGAAGATCATTAGAGAAGACTTCGCGTCTTGCACCATAATCAGCATCGCCCACCGGATTCCTACAGTGATGGACGGCGATCGAGTCCTGGTCATTGATGCTGGTAATAAGAGAAACAAACTTGTCATGTTTTCAATTTTACAGTGATTTGAAAATCATGAATTATATGGAATTTGAACAGGAAAAGCGAAAGAGTTCGATAGCCCCGCTCGTTTGCTGGAGAGGCAGTCTCTGTTTGCGGCGCTAGTGCAAGAATACGCTCTCCGATCTGCCGGAATATAAAACTTTTACGCCAGCCGGGAAGGAAAATCATGTAATCGACTCAAAATGTTTTAGATTAAAAGGACATCGTTGTTTCAGTGCAGCAACAAAGTAAAATTTTAATTCGCTAAGACCATCCTTATTGGGAGGTCCTTAGCTTAGTTCTTAGCTCACGAGTGATTAAAATTAAAGGTTGAAATGTTGATTTTGCTAAGGAATGGTTCTTAGTTAAGAGCAAAAAATTGGTTTAAGAGCAAAAAATTGGCTTAAGAACCAAAACTAAGGCCTCCCCAATAATGTTGCTCTAACTACTTAATCAACCAGTCCAGTGCTGTCAAAAAAAAAAAATCAACCAGTCCAGTATTCCACCAACACGTGGATTTTAACTTTTTTTGTTTTATTTTAAAATAACGTTCTATGTATCTTACCGGGGGAAATTTGGTAGATGCACATGTCTACTATTTCTTGTGTAATTGTTAAAATAATAACTTCAGAATTTGCGTGAAACGGGAATCTTTGGTTTTTTGAAGGAATAATTTAGACGTTTTTGAGTATTACTATGTGCCTATAATTGGTCGCTCTTCTTCAAACTTTTTTTCGTACTTACTTAACTTACTAAGAAACAATTACATTTTATATTATAGAGAAAATAATCCAAAGTTACACATAATGTAAACATAACGTAACTAGATCAAGTGATGGTATCGTCTTATGCGTCTTCCAAGGCGGTTAAAAAGAAACTACATAGCGGTCGTTTGGAGTGTCTAACCTAAAATACTCGCTACTAAATCATTTTAACAAAAAATTTAACACAGTTAATTGGAGGAAGTACTCAAACACTAGTACACTTATTTCCACACAAATCAATCTTTATCACAACGAGATAGACACATCTTTCAATCATAGTAAAACCATAAATCATACATTTTCTCTCCCAAATCCAATCAAGATGCAAGTGCAGAAACCATGCAAGACACTACTAATTCACCGAAATTTGGCAGCATGTTTTGTTCCCAAAACTTTTACAAGAAATCACTTAACACGACGTCAAAAATCACTTGAGTATTTTTTTTTTTTTTTACTAGAAACTTTTACAAGACCTAATTATTAAAAAAAAAAAACTTTTACAAGACCTTTCATAATTGGATTAACACGACATCATCACTAATACACCCTCTTTATTTTTTTATTATTTTTTGAATGTACACTAATTATCTCTTTAACTCGTCACTAACCAGTTCCTAGCTAACTAACACACGAAAACTTGAGATCAACACCATCATGCGGAATCATCCACTGCAAACAACATCACAAAGGAGATGAAAAGGACCAACAGATACAAACTCAGCTTCATGTTGACTCCTCTTTAGGAGGAATCATATCCGCTTTTTGGTTCATTATGTTCGAATCTCTGCAAACAACTCCAACTGTGGACCTTCTTAAAGTGCCAACTACTTAATTTTCATCTTTTACTTTGCACAACCCTAACACAAATTTTTTTACCTCCGTGTAAAAGCCTCGGTATGATTAATATATATAAATATATATCTACCCTTTAACAAAAAGAATCTGTTGAAGACATATTTTATTTTTCTATCTCATTAGCCAAAACACTTGGCTCTCTCTAAACAGCCAGTTAAATCTTAAATAACATGATCTCTTTTTATGCCCCATAGTCATGTTTACAACGTCGATACCTACCTTTATGATTTATGATAGGCCAACATTAACAACATTTATATTAAAAAAAAAAACATTAATTAACAACAAAGATTCTTTATTTTTTTTTTAACTTAAGATTCTCTCTCAACTTATACATTTCGTATTTGGTCAAACTTATCAACAAATACATATATAACATCTTGGGAGAAGCGGAAGCCGAAAATATTTGCTTGATCAACAGTTGAAATGGTACTTCAAAAAAAAAAACTGTTTAATAGTCGTCAAATTGAAATTTGGAGTAAACAGTATACGTTCATATCTAACGTGAGTCAGACATGTATAAATGTATAACTTTCTTTATTTGGATGGTCCAGGGATCTTGTGTTACTAAAAATCAATAAAAAAAACATGTGACAACTGGTCTGGATTTATGGACCACTCGCTTAACTAATCTAATTTAGCCAATTTATATTTCTTACTACTATATACTGTTTAGAAAGGTAATCACGTCCAAAAGAATAAATCTATATCGACATAAGGTTTAAATATCCATCAGGTTTTAAAGAAAACAATACCAAAGTAGTAAATTTATATCTACATGATATGTGTACGGAATAGCATTTTAGTGTGGATAAATTAATGCGAATAATCTATATGCAAATGCCATAATGATTGCTTTCTAAAAATATATCCAAATACTGAATAGTCGACTAATCTTCACTTTTTGTCGAAAAAATATAATTGATTTAACTGAATAGAATTCCACAAAGTACGAAACTTGATTTCTAATATATTGAGGATTAATTAGCTAGTCTAGACTAGAGCATAAGGACATGGTAGTATATATCCTCACTGTCGAAATTAATCTACAAACTTGATGATATTGGTTCATCTTCATGATTTGACGGTTTTAAAAGTAAGATGGTAAACAGTTACAACCGGTTTGGTGGGTTGTGGCAAGACCTGTATCATGATGTTCGATTGAATTTTGTTTTATACCAGTCGAAAACTAATTGAATCTAAATGAATTGTTTGAAAACATTAATGAAGCAAAAAAAAAAAAAAAAAAAAACACACACACACACACACACATACATCCGGATAATGGTTCATACTTCATACTAATAATATACACATCGATCTCCACTTTCTAAATTCAATAATTAGCAATTTATCCGATATATATTGTATATATAAATAAATAAAAATCACGAAAAAAATAACAGAATCAGGAAGAATTAATACAGATTTGTTCAGTACCTCAAACCACACACATGTTATAATCATATATAATTATTTATATATGTGGAACAATATATGAAAAGCTAGAAGAAGCTGGTTGGAGAAGTAAAAAAGATGACATGAGAATTAAGGGAAATCAAACCGATGGAAGAATTAATTATCCGACGAGGATTTAGGTCCTCCTTTGACATGATGATTAGGTTTCTCACCTTCGAGAACTCGGTAACGATGCAAGTACTTCTTGAGCTGGGCGGCGTAATCATCAAACCCTAGATTTGCCATAGCCCAACAGATATCGTCTCCATTGACGGTCTTTCGCTTCTCCTTGTGACATTTATCGGATGCTTCTCCGGTGACGAAGCTAATGAACTCGGAGACACATTCTTGCATAGTCTCTTTGGCTTCTTTGGAGACCTTCGCGTTTGGTGGGAGAATGTTCTTCATGATCCTTCCTACGTTTGCTATCGGAAGTAGCCTGTCTTGTTCTTTTATCATCATGCTTTCTTCTTGTTGTTGATCCTCCACCACCACTAAGCCATCATGTTGATATTGATGTTGATGATGAGACGAGCTGCTCGCGAAGTTATAATTCTGGTATCGAGGGATTGGATTTTGGAACGAATCCATCAAATTTTATAATTAAAGCAGAGGATAGATCTCGTTTTTTTTTTTGAGGGCAGTATGCAATATAGATTACAACGATTGATATATACTGAAACTTTCAAACGACAATATGTAATTTGCCAAACTATATGGCACACACAAAAAGAAAAAAGAAAAAAAAAAAGAGAGGTTTTTACATAATGTGGTTTATGTATACATCTGAAAAATATTCGTTTTGACAGAGATCTGTGTGGTTAAATTAGCTTCATATATAAGTAGAAAGACAAGCTAGAGAGCTAATTAAGGAGTATCTACGTATGTTTGTTTGGTCAGAGAATGCTGGTGACGTGTCATACCACCAATGGGAGTGGCCTAGGTCACTGGGGAGACAATGTGGCAGGTCGAGCTAATTTCTCTTTCTTTTTTTAAAGAAAACATAATTTTCACTAATTATTCTTTCCTAAATCCTTTTTCGGCTAAGCGTATTTTGTTTTTAGCTTTTAATTTGTAATATGTAGTCTTTCCGTTTCTTTTTTTTTTTTTTTTTTGTGGAAAACAATATGTGTTCACCAAAATAGTTTAGGGTTGATGTTAGCCTAAAAGGGAAAGGTGGCTTTAGAGTTTTGGTCCTGCTTAAGTCAATACCGTCTATCTATGGATTGACTCTAGGTAGTCTGGATTCTGGAAACTCCTCTTCTCAACCAAAAATTAAAATTATTCGACATTTCGCTTAATTAGTAGTTTAGTACCCTACAAATTATCTTTTGAAATTTGTTTTCCTTCTATTCACTCTTGGTTACAAACTCAAGCGAATCAACCTCATGTAATTCAGTATTGGTTTAAATGCCAAAAGTCTAAACATTATTATTCATAATCACAAAAAAAAAAAACTGAAATTCAAATTAAACACCATTAGTATTGTGTAACCATGAAACATTTCTTATTTGATATTTAAGATGACACGAAACTTCGTATAAACAGTTTAAATAGATAAGAACTAAGAGTCACTTTAATAAACAATAATTATCGAACTTGTGGACCATATAAAAGCACGTATTGTGGTCTATAATTAGTAGTCTGCTTGCCAAAATTGAAGAGCCTATAAATAGGTCGTTTGTTACTTCTTTTTAAAGCATAAAAATCAAATTAATTTGTCACACCTCTCTTTGTGTTTTAGAAGAAAATGTTGTCCTCTCTCAAAGTCTCAGTGTTGATCATGTGAAATAAACAGATAAACGACGATCCTTTATTTCCTCTTACGTGGTTTTCTCTCTTGGGTTTTGTTATTCATATACACTTGACAAATTTGAGTTTCGATGCAAACTCAGTTAAGTTTTAGAACTAGTCACTGACATTTTTTGCTAAGTTTATTAGCTTTCAAATTAAAATAATTTAATAATTAGCAAATTTAATCATATTTTCATATTTTCTTTGTCCCATATTATATGACGTTTAAGAAGATTTAATTTTTTGTTTCATTTTATAACATGTTTCACAAATTTTATGCAGATTTTAATTATTTGATATTTTGACTCTTTAAATTTTACAGTTCTTTTTGTGATTGGTTGAATTATATATTCAACTAATTATTAAATAATGTTGTATTTTTTAAAATAGATTTTTTATTCATCGCAATTTTATTTAAAACATTTTCTATAATAGAAAAATGGAATATTTAATTTTATGTTTCACAACATTTTTGATATAACTTTTTTAATACATAAGGTTTTTTTCTTATCCATCTCGAACTCAATTAGAGATAATATAACTTACTTGAATCAAACTACCATTTACATTCTATGAAATTTCAAATCAAGATTAATAATATATTTCTTTACCTCTTATATGTGACTTTATGTTTTTATCAGTGTTTAATTTATTATATTATTTTTTATTATTATCAATGTTTAATATTTAAACGAAAATTAATTATATCCACAAAACTGTTATTGAATTAGTTAACTAACTATTTATATTTGTAAATTAAAATTAATTTCATTCGATAAATTTTGTAACTTCTGCATTATATCGAGACGAAAACATTTACAAGCTTTGTCGCCTTCTTATGGATGAGAATATGAGCTGTTTAACAAAACATTCCCATTTTTGAATGCATTATGTATCTGAAAAACTCAAAAAAGTAATGTAAAGATAGATTTTTAAACTACATAAAAAAATGACTTTACATAATTTTAGAGAGCATGGTGTTCTAGAAGTATGATATCCCATGATATTTTGGCTATTATTTTATTTTATTTGTTTTCCCGAAAAACCTAAGTCATTAGTTAAATATTACAGCTATATATGTATGTAAAATCATTATTAAAGTGAGGACAAGTGTCGGCCGATGGTGGATCGGACCACCTTGAAACGGATAAAATAATTTTGAACGTCTTTAGTTATTAATTAATTAACTATGCATGATGACGTTCATAGCATTTCTATATTATAAGTAATAATTATAATTAGTTGCTCATTAATAAATTGGTTAATAATTATATCTACATCCTAATCAAAAAATGAAATTGACTCGTCATAAGTGGTTTCAAACGGTTTAAGGTTGTAACTATTTAACGAAACTAGCTAGCTAGGTCATGATTATATGGAAGTTTATTTTTCGAATCCTATACCAAAAGTGTGTTTTAGTAAAAACTAATGATGTGCCTTACTTAGGTATAAGAATCAAAATGTACAGTAACTAATAACGAATAACTGTGAATATAGAGTATGTTTATTTGCTGGAAAGTCATGGAGAAAACATATAAAGCATTAGTTGTTGAAAACATTAACACATGTATATATAAATATATAGGACAAACTTTAAGATATTAAATCCTAAAGTTGGTCGATAAAATAACACCTTTGTGAAATGCTCTCTCAAATATGGCTTGAGAAAAAAGCAAACTACTGATTTTTTTAAGTTGTTAAGGAATATATTATCGATTCTCCAATATCTAAAATTAAATCGGAAACGCATATATTTATTCATGTCGAATAAAAAAGCTGGTATGGTCATGCAATATTAATCTAATTAACATTAGCATAAGCAATATATGTTTCATGGCATTTTTATTGCCCCCACTTGTAAAGATCGAGTTTAGTGAATCTATTAAGCGTGCGAGTAGCTTTGTGTGTGGTCCATGCAATTAAACATTGTTTCAGTATGTTTAATACAAATTGTTAGTCTGTCTTTTACTTCTTTTAATTAGACTTTTCTTTTCTTTTTCTTTTCTTTTTGTTGTCTCAGTTTTCTCTCGTTATTCGACAAGAATCCAAACTACACAGCACCTCAACTGGCGAAATTGTTTAATACTTGTCAAATATGTTGACTTGACCCAGACCCGGGAATGTATTTGCAGCTTGATCACTGGGCTTTCACATATGGGCCAGTTGATGATCCACTGAAAGGCCCGTTGGCTAAAAGGATAAACATCTCCATGCCCCATGGCCTGTCGTCCACTACTTACTACTTTTCTTTTGTTATTTTGCCCCAACTTATTATTTTACATATCCAAAAAGTATATGTTAGTACCCCATTTTGGACATCAATTCAAACAGACTAGAATTCTGATGCGGCTCAATTGACGCCCATGCATGAAAGTTTTAATACTAGACTAGTTTTGATTGAAGTATTAAAACTTCATTTTTGCTATGTGTAAAAATATTGTTGGAAATTATTTCTCTATACATATTAAATAAAAGTTAAAAAAAATGAAAAGAATGTTTCAAATCGGTAAAGTAAAAAGCAGGACCATCACAATGCTTTTTGTTAAACAGTCGGATTATTATTAGGGCTTCGATTCAAGGTTGGGCTGTGTTGTGTATATGAAGAGAATGAATGAATGATGATAGGCGCTTATTGGGGCGTTATTTGGACATCGAGGATCGTAATGCGCTTAGCCTCTCAATTTTGGGCTCCCCTTAATATTATGTAGTAATGAAAATAAGTCGTTGAGAGTTTAATTATTTTATCTTGCTACCCAAACAAACAAACACCTAAAAAGAAGATTATTTACAAAAGGATTGTACGGAGTTGTTAGACAGTCGTCTTTTTTTTTTTTTTCTTAAATTTATTTATTTTGGTCACGTTAGACACTAGTGTTATTAATATATGACACCTTAATAGAAGAAAATAATTGAAACAGTATAACCAAAACAACATTTTTCAAGTTTCTATATAGTTGTCATTTCTGTTAGTTTTAAGTCTCATATATTTTTTAAAAAAACTAAATAGAAGACGAAATAAAAGATAAAAGGATCGTCGTGGGTATAATTATCTAAACCAGTTTTACAGATAAAGTCCATTCGTGGGTGTCAACATGCATTGGTCAAGTACTCTCTACATAAATAAATAAAATTCTCAAGTACTCTCTACATAAAACTTGAAAAAGAAGATAATTAGTAAGAGGAGCGTAATTAGGGTTTATATTTTACCGTTTTACAACAGACAGAAAGTATAAATAGTAAGTAATTAAACACGGACGGAGGCTAAGTGAAGTAGAAGATAGGTTTAATTAAAAAAGGTTCACTTGCCAAAAAAAAAAAAGAAAGAAAGTAAAATGACGGAAAGAGGTGAAAGGAAGACGAAGAGACAGGCGTCAAGACGAGGTTAATTCAGGCATTTTGAGACCCATTTATTAGAGAGGCCCATCTAATCTCTAGTAGAGAACAACGCGTGGTCTCACGCTCTTATTACATTTTTCAATTCTTTTTAAAGGATTTTTATTAATTAACACACACAAAAAAAGCGTAAGTAAGATCCATATCATATTCATTCAGATAGCAAAAGACACATTTACATATGTTAATGATTTTCATTTTTCGGTTAGCTCCTTGTTGAGAAAGTCTGCGAGAGAGGAGAATTCGAAAGTATTTTGGTGTTGATGCAAAAAGCTGTGACAAGAGAGGTAAATCTGAAAGCTCTTTCCTTTCGACCACGTCTTCTTCTTCTTCCTCTTCGTCTCCGTCTTTTTACGCGACTTGTCTTTTCTTTTCTATTTTTTTCCTTAATATAAAAAATAAAAAAGACAACTTTATTATAGTAGTAATTTTTATTTTGGTGTATCGGTCTGTCTGTTTCGGCGATTGTTGTTGTTCGTATCGTTAGCTCTTCACACGCGAAGTTGACATCTAGATTCAATATATAGATTCATTTCTTTGGGCTCTGCTTATAACTTTATTGCTCGACGTTGAATGTTCCGACTTCTTCCTCTTCTTCTTCTGTGGAGGTTAGTTGCCAAAGTCTTCTTCCTATGTCTTGTAGTATGCATATTACTTACCAATAGGGTCGGGTCTATTGTTCAAAATCATTCCTTTTGTCCAAACGCAATAGGTGTTTTTTGATTTGTGGCATCCCTGGGTTTTGTTTTTATGAATTGGGTCCCTTAAAGCTGGTTTCATCATGGTTCATATTAAAAAAAACGGCAGCTTTGGGTTTCGAAATCGTTTCATTCAATGTTGTTGTTCGTGTCTTAAGACTAGATTGAGCTCCTGATTTTTATCTGCATTCTCTTTCAATGTTAGGGTTTTCCTGTATTTGGGGATGACTTTGGCTCAGAAACACTTAACAAGCTTGCGTTTTTCTTCTTCTTTCAATGCTGTAGATTTATTGGTGATGGAGCCTATTCATTCAGATGACATGGAAGGTTTTGTCCATGATTCCTCTAAGCTACTCAATTCCCCTTATCTCAATGGTATTAACGGGGATCCTGAGCTACTTCCTCGCATTGGAGATCAGTACCAGGCTGATATACCTGTGCTACTCACTGACTCTGATCGTTTAAAGCTCATTAGATGCTTTCATTCAGATCCTCCCCTGCATAATCTCCTTACTTTTGGCTTGCCTATCCCACTTATGTGGACTAGAAGTGAGAAATTCAGAGGTTTCCGCGAAGCCGATATTGAAAAAGCCACTCCCCCAATCGATCAATTTTTGCAGAAAGCTGCTTCCATGAAACCCAGGAGTATTGTGCTTGCGCTGCCATGCCAAAAAAACGCTAAGTTCAAGTTTGACTGGCTCGATAAGAGCCTCTATCCGTTCCCTGGGACTTTGGGTCAATCTTGGGAAGATGCTGAGCAAGAGAGGTTTCTTCTTGGCCTCTACTGTCTTGGGAAAAACCTTGTCTTGGTGCAGAGGTTTGTTGGGAGCAAGCACATGGGAGATATGCTCTCTTACTATTACGGCAGCTTTTACAGGTCTAATGAATACCGGAGATGGGTTGATGGACGCAAGTCCAGAACCAGACGCTCTGTTCAAGGCCAGAAGTTATTATCAGGTTGGAGGCAACAAGAATTGCTCTCTCGGATCTCGTCTCATGTCTCTGAGGAATGCAAGAGTACCTTGCTTAAGGTACGTATGCTTCTGGTTAGTTAGTGGTTGCGGTGTAATCTGAATCAAAATGCAGAATCTTGAAATTTCCATGTGTTGTTTTTGTAGGTATCTAAAGCTTTTAGGGAAGATAAGATTGCACTGGAGGATTATGTGTTCGCTTTAAAGAATACTGTAGGTATTGATATGCTTACACAAGTAATTGGTATAGGGAAAGGGAAAAGAGACCTGACCAACTGCGCGTTAGAGCCAACCAAGTTGAATCATGGAGCCTCTGGTAACTCTGAAGTACGAATACGCAATGATCTTCCGATAGCGGATATAGTCAAATTCCTAACAGGGGAATATAGGATGAGCAAAACACGGTCCAGTGACCTCTTCTGGGAAGCTGTTTGGCCACGTTTGTTGGCAAGAGGGTGGCACTCTGAGCAGCCGAAAGATGGTCCAAAGAATTCTCTTGTTTTTCTCATTCCGGAAGCGGATAAGTTTTCCAGGAGGAAGATGTCAAAGGGGAAGCACTACTTTGACTCTCTCACTGATGTCTTGAACAAAGTTGCTCTAGACCCCTCACTACTTGAGCTTGATGAGGATCTAGAGAACAAGGGGAGCAAAGAAGAGGTAATCAAGAATGACCCTCCCATAAATTTAGAGGAGTTTGATGATTCTTCACCAAACAGCAAGAAGAAGAAAAAGTACCTACAACCACGTAGCAAAACAAGAAAAATTCAGGAGGTCATGATGTTTACGATTATCGATACCAGTGAGACGAATGGTGTGGAAGGATGTACATTGAAAGAGCTCAGATCTCTGCCTGTTGGGACCGGCAGTTCCCAAGTTCACTCCCCAAGTTACTTGAGTGAATCTGAAGATAACCTGTCAGAAGAATCTGAAAACAAGGCAGAGACGACAGCTAAATCAATGGCTTCGAGAGTGTGTGGTGGGGGCAGCATTAATTCTGGTAAGAGCAGCTCTGTAAACATGGACAATGCCACGAGTCGAAGCACCAATTCTCTCAATGAGAGACAGCAGAGGAACCGGAAAGGTGGGAGACCAAGAAATCCAAAGTTGTTACCTGTCTGCACCAAAAGGAGTAGCTTGGCAGATTGTACCTTGAGAGAAGCAGGTTGTTTTGGTGAAACCCAGTCCAGGAAGAAGAAACCAGTGAAGAAGGGGAAACATATGAGACCAAACCCATTAGAAGCTGATCTAAATGTAGTGTTGATGAGAGAGGAGCACATCGATCAAGATCAAACACTGAAACTGTCCTCAACCAGTTCCTTTGCAATAGATAGCTCTTGTCGAAGAAACGAAGACCGAGAAATATCACCAGAACGATCTGAGACCAGAGAAGATTTTGATTTGAACGTTTCACAAATCTCCCTAGAACGTGAAGCTGATAATACTGATACTGTCATCGTAGACATTGTACAGAACAGTGAGAGCTCTTGTGCCGAGCAGTCCTCTGTTCAAGTGGATGTGGAAATGCAGTGTAAGCCTCAGGAGTTGCAAGTAACCGCAGATCTCCTTCCTGGACGGAGGCAGAGTACAAGGACCCGACCGTTGACTACAAAGGCACTGGAAGCTTTTGCTTTTGGGTACCTTGGTAACTCGAATAAGAAGAGAAAGGCTTCAGAGGAGTCAAGAACAAAGTCTACAAAGCGCATCCACCGTCACTCACTTGTGTCCTCCAAGTTCAGAAATGGAACTGTAGAAGATGGTTCAAACACTGACGAGAATGAATAGACTAGCTTCGATCTGAAATTGACATGTCTGCATATACTACAAGAACAAGCGCCAAATTGGGAGGAATTTAGCAGTTAGAGTCAATATAGCAACATAGTTATAGTAAATGTTTTGCCTTTTGTTTCTGTCACCCTCATCGTAGCACTGCCAAGGCTGAAAGGAGCTATGGAAAGGTGTAATGTTATTTTACTTTCATCGTATCCAATGCATCAGAATCAGTGCTCAACAATTTTACATTCCCAAAACTTTTCTCAGCTTTGGACTCATCAAGTTGCAAATTTTCGAGATTAAATTGCTCATCAAAAAGAAACAACTTTGATGAGCAGTGTAAAGAAAGCCAGAAATATCAACAAAACATCGACATGAGTATGAACAAAGTTAGCTCGTTGTGTATTTAAAAAAAAAATTTAGTTGTTGAAGCCATTGCAGAGCGGTTTTCTCTTGTCATTTCCTTCAAAGTTATTCGGAGTTAAGACTAAGCTGAATGCTGACACGAGCCACCTTTGGGGCTGCCTTCAGAATCTCTTTCTCTGCATGTTCAGCGGCTCTCATGACGTCCCTGCAGCGAAGCCAAATACTTGTCGGATGGTTACAAGAGAGTGGCCAAATGGCCTAAAGGTACAGACATGTAAGAGCTTTACTGTATTGTCATGGTCGATGGCATGGCGACTACGATTTGGAGCAAGATCTTGCTATGCAGCAAGTGGGTTGTAATTCGTTTGATCGTCATTTTCTGCAGATATGCGAAAGATTCCATTGTTCTTGAAACTAATAAACAGGAGTAACCAGAGCTTGGGTTTGGTCTGGATTATAGACAAATGAGTACCTCAGATAACTGTAACGAAAAAATGTCTGAGACAGTGGCTTCAACATGTTTAATCTCTTGGCAGATGTTACTTTCTTGATTACTTTTCGTTATACTGTCATGATCCTTCGTGCTACAAGAAAACTGTAAAAAGGCTGGATCTGCAAGGAAAATTTGAGATGATAGCTAAGACCAAGAAGCAGTGAATAAATTGATTAGACATCCATGCAGCATGCTGCATACCTATATGAATAAAAACTTCGGACACTTCAGGATGGTTCATATTAATCTGTCTCCGTACATATTCTCCTAACTCATGGGCAACACTCACACTGGAAAAAGGATCTACCTGTAAGGAAAAGGTGATAATGATTTATTATATTGAGATAATTCTTTCTACTTTGAGGCAGAGGGAAGCAGCACTCACCACAATGTGTACATCAAGATACAACGATGAACCAGCTCTCCTACCCCTTAGCCGATGACATCCCTATGGATAAAGATTATCATGAAAGTCTTGATACTCGTTAGCAATTATTAAGAAAAAACATTAAAGCATGCTTTCTAATTACAGATAAGACTGATTATAGAAAAGAACACCATATCGTTATATAGCAAGGTCGAATGCCTATCATAGTGAAATGTACAAAGAACTACAATCTGTACCTTGACTCCTTCAACCTGTAATATGGTTTGTCTTATTGGCTCTAATTGCTGAGCTGGTATAGCAGCATCCACGAGTTCCAAGATACTAAACAAAGAAATGAGGTTTCAGCAATTGACATAGTGTTGGAACCAAAAAGACATATTTGTAACCATTATTCCATGTCCAAGCTATTACAACTTTTGTATGGAGAAAACTAATCGAAAAAGCAACATATATAGCGTGAGTACCTTCGGTGTCCTGTTTTCAGCCCGGCATCGAAAATCATTATCGAGACAACGAGGCCAGCTAGAGGATCTAAAAAGTTAACTCCGAACATAGAACCTCCTGCACAGAAGTAGAAATATTTCATGATATTTGCAGAACCTGATGTCTCCCTTTCTCAATAGTTCCCTATAAAGGCTATGCTACAAAAGCTGGACCACTTCATTGTGTCCCTTTCTTTATTAGTAGGCATATGCGTGACCAGGTCAGGGATAGTGAAACAAAGGATATGGTTGATTTACATATTAACTGATAGGAAAGAAATGGTTACCAACTCCAACAAGTGCAACTACAGAAGAAATAGCATCTGATCGATGATGCCAAGCATTTGCCATCATCAATCCACTCCCTTGTTTTTCTCCAGCTCGTTTTGTGATCCAATAAAGCCTGAGAAACATAAGATTCAGGCAGAGTGATCAAAATAAGTAAAGAGATAGGGATGAAGGAATAGCACAATTAATAAAAATAATAATATCTTGCTGTTTCAGAGAGACTAAAGAAAAGGGGAAGTAGATCCTGAGCTAAATAGAAAAGTTAGAATTGTCTAGTTAGAAACTATGGGGTATGAGAAAGTAGATGGGATGAAAAAGAGTGATGAATGTACCCTTCTTTGACAGAAATGGAAGCAATAGTAACAGTCAAAGCGAGAATGGGATGATTCATATCTATTCCGTGATGATGTCCACCGTGATCATGAAGGACCTCAGGAGCTGCGGACAGTGCAATCTGCAAATGCGGAAGGAAGAGAGAAGAAGAAGAAATCTCTAAATAGAATTTTCTTATTTCCCAATAGAGCAAACAATGTAGGATCGACAAAGATAAACATGAACTGGAGATATGTCAGTTGATAATAGATTAGCAATATCTCAAGCAATGAAGCAAGGTTTTGCAGGTGGGGGTGGAGTAATTAAACAAAAGAGGGAATAAATCAGAAATGAGAGAGAAAGAGAGAGTGGTCATACAGATAAAAGGTCTAAAGCATGCCAGGCAATACCAGAGCCAGTAGCCAAAAGCATGGCAGAGATGCCAAGGGCTCCAAGCGTTTCAAATTTACCATGACCTGCGGTGGTTGCCCACAAGAGGAAATGTTTGTATCGGGAATTCATATTCATTATTATATGTATTGTAAAATGAAAGAGAAGAGAAAAGGTAACCATATGGATGTTCTTTGTCCTTGGGAACATTTGCAGCTCTGTAAGACACTAGAGCAACACCACTTAGTACCTGACATCACATGATGAATGTGAGAAACAAAACAAAGGATCATCATCTCTCTCGACAAACAAAGCAAATGAGAATTACCACATCGGAGACGGAATGAGCAGCGTCGGCGATAATGGCGGTGCTGCCGCAGAGATAGCCGGTGAGAGCTTTTGCGACAGATAAACCTATATCTGCGGTGAGACCTAGCCGGAAAATCTTCTCCCCTTCTTGTCCAGGCCGGTGATCAGGGTGACCAAAATGCCACCTTCTGGAGAAATCAAAACCGAAACTAGGGTTTTGCGATAGTCGGAGTGGTGATGATGGAAGATCACGGCAAGACAAAAGTGTAGACCTACAAATCCTCGGATTCAGCATTTGAAATCTGATACCCATTTTTTGATCTGATCAGGAACGCAACCCTCTCTCTCGATCAAACTCCCTAATTGACTTCTCTTTCATTGCGCGGTAAGATGCACGGCGCCCATTTTTTTACCGTTTCCATTTTACCTTTTCACCCGACAATTTATACTCGGCGCTCTTTGTTTGTTGTTACTATTTCATTTTGGGCCTAATCAAATCAAATCTTGTATAACTAACAAACAGTACAATGTTTATGTACCAAAATTTATTAAAAAAAACCGGTATGGTTATTTTTGGATTCAACTAACAAACACTAATTGATTGGTTCTTCTTCTCTTCTTACAAACCAGAAAGAACCGGTTCTAGAATCGAATAACCAACACTACTGAGTGAGTGAGAGCAGATTTGTCGCCGGGATTAGAGTTGTCTACCGGCGGCATCAGCGACAAAGGGAATGTAGGGCGTTTTGCCGAGTAAGCAGCTGACGACTCCGTAAACAAAACACATAAAGCTGAAGACGAACACACCCGTGTGTCCCCACATCATCGCCTTCATTCCAAACCCGCCTCCTTGACCCGGATCCAGTATTCGGGTCAGCAGCACCGGCACCGCCAGCAGCACATCCAGCGTCACCGCCTGCATCGCGTTGAACCTCACGTACCTACTCAAACTCGTGTTCCTCACCACGCCCAGATACAGCCCGAAGAATGCCACGAAGCTCGCGTACGGCACCGATCTGTAAAGGTTCAGGATTGGGAATATTGGCTCGAACAGCAATCCCAGCCTAGGGTACTGCGCGAACAGGAATCGCCCGTACTGCAGCGAATTGAAGAATGGCAGCGCGTACGACGCTATCGAAATCACGCGCTCCGTCGCCGGCGTCGGGGTGTAGGAGGCGCGTGTCGTCACGGCGGTTGCGCGTCTGCCTGAGGGACGGATGGAGACGGTGGAGGATCCGGGGAAGGAGAGGCTGAGTGGTCTGCCTCTGAGAGCCGCCAGGGGATTAGTATTTAGGGTTTGGTGGAGAGAGAGGCACAGAGACGCCATTCTTGTCTCTTTTTTTTTTGGGATGAGTCAAGTCGGCAGTGTTGGATTTGTTGACAAGAAGAGCAAATTAGTAGTTCAAAATGCTGCGTTTTCGATTCTATAAGTTTGACCCGCGGCACACTAACTTTATTGGGCCGACCTATCTATATAAATGGGCTTATATATGGTATTACTGGACTTCACTTCATGAACAGAAGGTTTTGGCGCCGACAAATGAGAAGCGGAAACGAAGAAATGTGATGGCATTGATTGAAGTGAGTCGACTCGTCGGACCCAGTCAGAGCGAGTCGAGAGAGAGCAGTTAAGAAACAGTAGAAGGTGAAAAAGACGGATGTGTCCCCACTTTCGGACCAGACCACTCCCCGAGTTAGCAAGAAGTGAGAAAAACTGCCTGTTGGCCACTCGCGCGCTATCCCCGACCAAGGGCCTTACCGTCATTTTGTTTGGAAACTAGTAAAAATTGGTATGTATAATTTATTTGTTGTTTTCTCAAGTATTTTTTTCTTGGAAATATCTTCCCTTTTCTGGGATGCTTTTACTTGGCGACCCAAGGACCAAGAGAGAATCAAAAAATAAATCACAAAAAATATATTACAAACTATATAAAAGTATTAAAAAAAAAACACGAAAATAAAAAAGAAATTGAAAGCTAAAAAAAGAAACACAAGTGCAGAGGGCAGACCGTACGGTATTCCTGAAGAGCGAAAGAAGAGAGAGAGAGAGAGACCGACCAAAGAAGCTCCTCTCAATCACTGTCGAAGCATCTCTTCTTCTTCTTTTTTTTCTCTCTCAGGCTCTCTAATCGGCTTCTCCGGTAAATCTCCGTCGATCCACCGATGAGCTTTTGACATTTTCTTCATTTACTTGTAGTTTGGTGAGGAGTTTTTACTAACTTTTTTACTGTACACCAAATCCCTAAAAATAAGGACATGTATGCTCGCAATCCTCCCATCAATGGCTCACAATCTGCTCAAGCTCCCGACTGGACCCCCGGAGATGCCGATACTACTGGACTCGAAGGTCTCTTCTTCTTCTTCTTCCTCTTTTTACTCGCATGCGCTTTGATTCTCAGCAACTGTACGGTCTCTTTAGGGTTTCCGCCTAAATGGCGCTTCTCTGCTCAATTTGTGTTTTGCAGAATCGATGTGGCGATTAGGGTTGGGTAGCGAGTCGTACCCTGAGCGACCAGGTGCCCCTGACTGTGCCTACTACATGCGAACTGGTGTCTGTGGTTACGGTAACAGATGTCGTTACAATCACCCTCGCGATCGTGCCTCGGTAATTTTCTTCCTTTCTTCTTTCTCAGTATTGTATTGTTTGTTGCTTCTCTCTGAAACCATCCATACTAGGAAACAAATCAAATGCTCCTCTCTCTCTTTCCGTAATGTGGCTGATCACTGCCCTTATAGAGTCTCTCAAAACCCAAAACTGGGAAATGTGTCAAGCTTGACTGGTTGTGCTTAAGTCAGGTTTTTTGTCTTATGCATCTTCACTCTGCGTTTCACTCCTGTGTTTATCTATATTTGCTGAGAGTGTTGTTAGTAGTATTGCTGAGAGTCTTGTTTGATTTCGCTTTCCTTTCTATGCTCCCTTATCATTTTGTCGTTTGTTTACTATTTTCTTAGACTGCAGTTTGCAATGTCTTCTTTGCATTGATTGATGTATAGGTTGAAGCAACTGTTAGAGCTACAGGGCAGTATCCAGAACGTTTAGGTGAACCCCCATGCCAGGTAACCCCGATCACTCATTTTTTATGATCAAGTGATGAAACAAGGTTTTTAGTGATATTATTGATCCTACATTCCGGTTATGTTCCTAGTTTTACTTGAAAACTGGAACCTGTAAATTTGGGGCGTCATGCAAATTCCACCATCCAAAGAATGCAGGTGGATCCATGAGCCACGTTCCACTAAATATATATGGATACCCAGTACGAGAGGTAAGCTTTGTTTCCACTCTTTTCTACATGTCAAATTAAGGCTAGTGTCGAGTTTGCATCATCTTTTAAAAACTCTTTGTAGGGTGATAACGAATGCTCCTACTATTTGAAAACGGGGCAATGCAAATTTGGTATAACCTGTAAATTTCATCATCCTCAGCCTGCTGGTACAACTGTCCCACCACCACCACCAGCATCTGCACCTCAGTTTTATCCATCGGTGCAGTCACTTATGCCTGACCAGTATGGAGGTCCATCTTCTAGCTTGAGAGTTGCAAGAACTCTTCTTCCCGGTTCCTATATGCAAGGCGCCTATGGTCCAATGCTATTAACCCCGGGGGTCGTTCCTATTCCAGGCTGGAGTCCTTATTCGGTAACCTTTTTTTTATTGTTGTATCATCAATACATTTATTATTCACCACAGTCTCTTTCTGACTCACTTTTGCTTCAGGCACCTGTGAGCCCTGCTCTATCTCCTGGTGCTCAGCACGCTGTTGGGGCAACTTCTTTATATGGAGTTACACAGCTCTCTTCCACCACTCCTTCGCTTCCCGGGGTTTATCCATCTCTGTCCTCTCCTACAGGTGTTATACAGAAAGAACAGGCCTTTCCAGAGAGACCTGGTGAACCAGAGTGCCAATACTATTTGAAAACAGGAGATTGTAAGTTTGGAACATCTTGTAAGTTTCATCATCCTCGAGATCGGGTTCCACCAAGAGCTAATTGCATCCTCAGCCCCATTGGTCTTCCTCTACGCCCGGTATGCTCTCTCTAAATCATGAAGGTTGTTGATCATAGTAACAATTCTCTCTAAACCCGTTGTTTATCTTGGGTTGAAAACAGGGTGTGCAACGCTGCACTTTCTATGTACAAAACGGCTTCTGTAAGTTTGGATCAACATGTAAATTTGATCATCCAATGGGAACCATCAGATACAATCCTTCTGCATCGTCTCTAGCTGATGCACCGGTGGCTCCTTACCCAGTGAGCTCTCTCTTGGGTGCTCTCGCAGCAGCGCCTTCTTCTTCATCGACTGAGCTCATAACAGGCGGTGCAAAAGATCCGTACTTGACCGGTGTGCCTACATCAAGAAGCACATCAAGCATCTCGGCAGGTTTGATTTTCTCCCAGAGTGGTGGCTCAATTCCATTCTCTGACCTGCAACTCTCGAGCCAGACATCTCTTCCTCTAACAGGTAGCAGAATCACAAGACAAGGGCGAGAAATTCGTCGATCCTTTTGAACTGATCACCTCAGAAAAGGGTACGCATACGCAGTCCTCTGGATCACCTTTAGCAATTCTTAATCTATATGATTATTATATAGAATTATGTGATGTGAATTTATATATATAATCTTCGTACCTTAGAAAAAAAAGCCTATCTGAGTAGAAGACTAAGTGAGAATCACATATATATGAGAGGAAATCTATATGTGCATATATCAAAAGACAAAAACAAAACAAAAAAAGGCTTCTTTTTTTATTTATTAATTTGTGTATAATGTTGGTATAGAGACAGACAAGGTTTCTTTGTCTTGTCCGTACTTCTACTTCAGATCCATTGCGGCTGAGAAAAAAAAACAGAGACAAAGAACTCAATTCTCTTTTTCTTTTAGATTTTTTTTTTCCTTTTAGTCTACCAATTGGTGAACTTCTCATGTTAAGGTTTGTTTTTTTATTGTAGTTGAATGATGTGTGTTGTTAATTTTGTTATGTTACTGCTTCACACATTATATATGTTACGGTGAGGAAAAAACCAAACATTTTAAGACTAGTTTTGAAGATTGGCACCATTATCTTGAATTTATTTATTTCTTAAAAAAAAGGTTTTAAAATGTAGACGAGGGGAAGCACACACTAATCCTAGAATCGATCAATAGCATTGGGAAAGTGGTAAGAAAAAAGAGACGAGAGAGATGATGGAAACAAGTTTTTTTTTTAAAAAAAAAAGGAGAAGTAATCTTAGAGAAAACCCTACCTGAGAAAAGAAACCATCATGCTCAATTTAAAATATGCTTCGCCTCGCCATCATTTGCTCTTATTTGCCTCCCCCACTTGTCTCTCTCTCTCTCTACTCTTACTTTTCTTTTTGTCAAAGCCATTGTAATTTGAGAGCATCCGGTTTAAGATATTAAACTTGGACATCCGGCTTTGGATTTACCAAAATATAACTTTGATTGAGTGAGACAATATTTAATGAATCGCGTATTACAGTATGATTTTTTTAGTAGGTTAGGAGTAGTAAACTTTTTGTTTTTCTTGTTTTCTCGTTTAAGCTACTTTTTCCTCTTTCCGGATTTGAAAAAAAAAAAAAAAAAAAAAAGAAGAAGAGAGACATAGAGGTATGATTACAACCCCCAAAAGCAATGCAACCATTCACATTTCCTGCAGTGTAGTTTTTCTTAAAAAATATATATATAAATAACCCGGTGTAAAATAAATAAAAAGACACGATAAGAAACCTTTTAAACTTTTCACCGAAAAGCACAAGTAATAAACAGCACACTTAATTGACTTTTTACGCTAATCAACATACACATATATAAATTGCTTTTCAATTACCAAATAAAAAGTGAAACATACACAACATTTAGCAAACTACCTATATATATTGATATCTTGTAAGAAAATCTAAATATTAATACCACCTTTGATTAAAAAGAAAGAAAAAAAAAAAAGCATTTTGTATCACCTGACGTGTGGACTGTGGGATGAGATCATGTAATCATACAAGCACTCTCACACTACCTATAGCAAGCGAGATTAGTGTCCTAATTCCCGGAGGATAAAGTTATATACATTCACCTAATTTTTTTATTATATGATATGCACATAAAGAAGAAGAAGAAGAAGAAGAAAGTCATAATTCCGCTTTAATTCTGCATGAATTCATGTGTGTTTTTAACTCTCACTCCATGGCACAATCTTTCATATTTGAAAGGCAGAGAGAGAGAGAGCAATCAGAGCATATGCAGCCGACAGTAAGGAACATTTTTGGTAGAAACACAAAAACATATTTGCAGTAACACAAAAAAAGGTTTGCAACTTTATTTGGGGAGAAGAGAGATCTACTAAATCTAATGGGTGTTGTTACTGTTCCTGAGTCTAAGCAAAGTGTTGCTGCTAAAAGAGCGTTTCGTCCAAGTTCCAGCATCAGACACACTCCTCAATGGTACTCACTAACTCCTCATCTCTTCCAGTTTCTTGTGTGCAAATTTTAGGCACCAAAAGATGACAGTCAGTCTCTTTGGTTTTCTCTTTTTGCTGATTTCTCTGTTCCAGGCCTGTCTCCGACGTTACGAGTGACTTAACCATCGAAGTCGGCTCTGCCAGCTTTTCCCTTCACAAGGTAACGAAATTCAAGCTAGCTAATAAACTCGTGAACTTCGAAACTGCTTTACACAAAATCGTTGTCTCTTGTTTTTTTGTTTTCAGTTTCCCCTCGTCTCCCGGAGTGGGAGAATCCGGAAACTTGTTCTGGAATCAAAAGACAAGAACCTGAACCTAGCCGTAGTTCCAGGCGGCTCAGAATCGTTCGAGCTCGCTGCAAAGTTCTGCTACGGCGTTGGCGTCCAATTCAACTCGTCCAACATTGCGGCTTTGCGCTGCGTGGCTCATTACCTGGAGATGACAGAAGAGTTGTCGGAGAAGAACCTGGAGGCGAGAACAGAGGCCTACCTCAAAGACTCCATTTTTAATGACATTTCGAATTCGATCACTGTTCTTCACTCCAGCGAGAGGCTACTGCCTGTAGCTGAAGAGATCAACCTCGTCGGGAGGCTGGTCAACGCAATCGCTGTAAACGCCTGCAAAGAACAGCTAGCCTCTGGTTTGCTCAAGCTTGATCAGAATTTCAGCTGCGGCTTGCCGGAGACTGAGAAACCTTGTGACTGGTGGGGACGCTCTCTTCCCATCCTCAAGCTCGATTTCTTCCAGAGAGTTCTCTCCGCCATGAAATCCAAAGGTCTCAATCACGAGATTATCAGTGACATCCTCATGAGCTACGCTCGCAAATCACTGCAAATCATCAGAGAACCGAGTCTCGTCAAATCAGATTCCGATCTGCAGAGGAAGCAGCGAATCGTCCTTGAAGCGGTCGTGGGGCTCCTCCCAACGCAAGCCAACAAAAGCTCTATTCCGATATCGTTCCTCTCTAGCTTGTTGAAGACCGCTATAGGATCTGGAACCTCCGTCTCTTGCAGATCGGATCTGGAGAGACGGATCAGCCACCAGCTCGACCAGGCGATCCTGGAAGACATCCTTATTCCGGCGAACATCGGCGCCATGTACGACACCGACTCGGTGCAGAGAATCTTCTCCATGTTCCTGAACCTTGACGAGTGCGACTACAGAGATGATGATGACGACGAGGACGCTGGAGATGCGGTGGACGAGAGCGAGATGGCGATTTACGATTTCGAGGGGGCTGAGTCTCCGAAACAGAGCTCCATCTTCAAGGTGTCGAAGCTCATGGATAGTTATCTCGCTGAGGTGGCTCTCGACTCGAGCCTCCCTCCCTCCAAATTCATTGCTCTCGCAGAGCTTCTCCCTGACCATGCTCGCGTCGTCTGCGATGGTCTCTACCGAGCCGTTGATATCTTCCTCAAGGTATTGTAATCCAATCCAAAATATCATAAAAGAATCTGCTTTTTCACTTGACTAAATTATTGCTTTGTGATTTTTGATTACTGTGATATGGTTTTGGATTAGGTTCATCCCCACATGAAAGATTCAGAACGTTACCGTCTCTGCAAGACAGTCAGCTGTAAGAAACTGTCGCAGGACGCAAGCAGCCATGCGGCGCAAAATGAGAGGCTTCCGGTTCAGATTGCTGTTCAAGTCCTGTTCTACGAACAGACACGGCTCAAGAACGCCATGACCAGCGGCGGTGGCACAGGAGGTTCGAGCCAAAGCCAGTTCTTCTTGTTCACAAACCGCTCGGGAAGCGGGATGGCAAGCGGAGCGATCTCGCCGCGGGACAACTATGCGTCAGTGAGAAGAGAGAACAGAGAGCTGAGACTGGAAGTGGCGAGGATGAGGATGAGGCTAACGGACCTCGAGAAGGATCATGTTTCGATGAAGAAAGACTTCGTGAAGCCGCAGAGCAGGAGAAGGCGTTATGGAATGTTGAGGAAGCTCTCAAGAGGTCTGAACAAGTTGAACGCAATCGTTTTGAGATTTAGGAGCAGCCAAAGTACTCCCAAGAACGGTAAGCATATGGAGGAGAAGACGAATTCGGAAAGACGATTCATGTTTCAGAAGAGAAGATGTCACTCTGTTTCTTGAGTTTCTTCTTCTTCTAGGCTTTCTAATGCTTTTGTGCATGTAATCTCTTTAAAAGAAAAAAAAGTGGAGAGAGAATTTGATTGTATAAATTTGTAATTTACAGATTCCAGGGTTGCATTATGGAGTCAAACTTTCCCAAGTTTGTAAGCTTGTCTCTTGTTGTATATAGCCGTAGTTGATGATATGGATCAACAAGTTTTGCTTGATTGCTTTGTCAGTACAAATAGGAATATAAAAAAAAAATTAATGTATACTTATTGAGAGGCCTTTTCTAAGAAGTAGGCCTAAATAGTATTTATTGGGCTCAACGGCCCATAAATATTCTTCAGGGATAAAGTGGTTTCAAATTAGACGAGCAAAAAAAATGTGAGAGTCACGGGCCTAATCTTTCCTTTATAGGTAGAGAGAATTTGCAGAATGTCAACGCGTTGTGATGAATGAATGATTCTGATCATAAGGAAAAAAAGAATATAATCTACGACCTATATAAAGCCCATGGACGGTCGAGATTTGAACTAACAGAAAAACTAATAAATATGACTGGTCCTGTCTTTGCCACGTCGTTTGATCCCCCTGACAAGGTAATTTATCTGTCTTACCTAAATTTCGTGAAGATATTTTCAATGGAATATATATACATATATTAAGATTTTTCTAATTACAATTTTAAAAAAGTTTGAAAACAGAGGGATTAACCAAACACACTGTCTCTTATCTCACGTCTTGGTTTGAAAATTGGAGTGGTGATTCCGCAACTCAATTGCTGTGACTTTTCAAAGTGTTTGTTAGTCTCACTAGAAAAGCGTTTTGTCTCCCTCTGTAACAGGTTGGCCAAAAACCTAAATGTAAGGAAAATTAACTATATAATTAATCTGTAATAACAAAACAAAAAAAAAGCCTATGATAACTTGTGATGACACACTGCACCACACAAATCCGTTTTTCGTTTTACTTTTACCATCCTTTCAAACAAATGTTTTTTTTTGGTTATACGACACTTTTACACACACCACACCAGTCAACACCAGATTTTTGCTTTTTACAGATTCTTTTGACTTTGTTGTATACTATCATTATTTTAAAATTAACCGTTTGAATAACTAATTCACTACAAAAAAAAACAATAAATATCACCTTTTCTCCACAAATTTATTCCAAACAAAAACTAGTGTATTATGATGTATAGACAAATGTCAAGGGTATGTGATGCTGCTGCCTGTCGCAGACCGAAAGCGACCAGACTTATCTTTTTGATAACACACCAAAATATTTAATTGATCGCGTTATTCATTATCCGAAAATATATCCAGCACATGCGGGGCTATAAATAATAGTTTGATCGATCGGTTTGTTCATCATCATTACACTCAAGGCTTCGAATTAACATCTCTTCGTCTTCATCGATGGAACGAGTAAGAGATTTGGCATCGAAGAAGGCGGCAGTGATATTCACGAAGAGCTCGTGTTGCATGTGTCATAGCATTAAGACCCTCTTCTACGAGCTCGGGGCAAGTCCTGCGATCCATGAGCTTGATAAGGACCCACAAGGCCGTGACATGGAACGGGCCCTCTTCCGGGTATTCGGGTCCAACCCTGCTGTCCCAGCGGTTTTCGTAGGAGGGAGGTTCGTCGGCTCAGCTAAAGACGTCATCTCCTTCCACGTGGATGGCTCCCTCAAGCAGATGTTAAAGGACTCTAAAGCCATATGGTTGTGAGTTGTGACTAGTCATCATGCTTCTTACTATAATTAATTCGCCACTAATTCATATTCTGTCATTTATTTTCGTGAATGATATGTTACAATTTACATATATTTATCTAAGTTGTTGATCAGCTATACATCACACATTCTGCGTGAATTATAATGTTAGAAATCGTAGACGATTATGCTCGTAGAGTCATATATATTAGTTAAATATCAGTTGATACGAAGAAACTTTAATGTAAATTAATTATCACATAAAGGTAATGTCGGAAAATAATATGGATTTAGCATAATATCTTCCGATAATGGAAAAAAAATGTATGTATAACTAACCGATATACAAATGAATTATTATCGAACTATAACAAATATGATCAGTTTCGAATCAAACATAAAAGAGAATCCCGCTCATAGAAAGCTATACTACACTCACAAATGACAAAACGATCGGAAAAGTAAACCAAGAATGACACAGGTGATAGTTAACATATGCGTGTGATCCACGCGTGCGTCCGGCAAGAAAGACATTCGAAAGAAGTGAATCAAACATTAGTGTAAGTCTACGTGAAAGAAGAATATATAAAAAGAAAGATGGAATCATTTTCTTTGGCAAGTTGGTGTTGGCGGAATCACCATGTACTGTGCATATTGTTGATACATAGAAGATATACATGTTTATCACCGAAAGGTCCAATCTTTTTCATTTATCCTCACCTTGACGCAATGACTCAATCAAAGGAGATATGTTAAGAGAATCCGTTAGATTATAAATTGACAAGCCTCTTTTCTTTTTCTAGCTAGGGGTAGCCTAGTATCATGCTATATTTCTTTTTACATTAATTTGAATATCAGTTTAAAGAAATCGATTATCAGTTCACATGGCAAAAGTTATAACTAATTTCGTTAGAAGATTTTTTTTTGTATAAAATTATTGTTTCTATCATCTCCATTCCATACAAATTGAAAATTGGGTATTACAACAAGCTAATCCAGGCTTTAATTTGTAACCATAGCAAAACAAGAAATGGAAAAACATGGCAACAAATGATTTTAGTGAGGATATAAACCAACAATTAACGCATCCATAGAAGTATTACTTATTCTCATTTCACATTCATAATTATTCTTGTGCTTACCATTTAGATGTTTATATTGATGTCACGGGGAATGCGTATACTAATATTTACGATTAACCCGCAAAAAGGTGAAATTGATTACAATTTTTAGAATCGTATTCGTAAATTACTAATCAGCATGTTATATGACGATCGAAACAACTGCAACGTTACAGTAGAAATAAAAATAAATCGAATCATTTAGAAGTGAGAGCACTGTCTGCAATTTGTGCAGTCAAACAGAATATAAATACAAGAAAAATACTCAAATAGCCATCTTTTTTGAGCATCTGATATTTATCTTTCCTTTTTGATATTTTCTTATACTTTTTAAATGTGCTTTTCTTTCTAATTAACAAGGAAAAAAATAAAATAAAAACACTCGAAAGACACACTCCCTTTCCTATAAATAGGCAAGCAGATGCCAAGCTTTTTACATACTCAAAACAAAACATACATCAAAACGCTAAAGTTTAAACCCTAGGCATCATCAGATCTTCAGATTTCTGAGGATCATGGACAAGGTGATGAGAATGTCTTCAGAGAAAGGAGTGGTGATCTTTACGAAGAGCTCATGTTGTCTCTGCTACGCCGTTCAGATCCTGTTCCGTGACCTTAGGGTTCAACCAACCATCCACGAGATCGACAACGACCCGGACTGCCGTGAGATCGAGAAGGCTCTTCTCCGGGTCGGCTGTTCCACGGCGGTTCCAGCTGTCTTTGTCGGAGGCAAGCTTGTTGGCTCCACCAATGAAGTCATGTCCCTTCACCTTAGTGGCTCTCTCGTCCCCTTGATCAAACCCTATCAGTCCATCCTTTACTAGCAAATCAAACCAACTCAATATATATAATCTAATTATATATTAGCTAGTGAGAATAAACACGGTTAAAGCTAGAGTGTGAGCTAGCTAGATATTCAGTGAGGACTTCGTCTGAAATGTATATCGTATGTATGTTCTATTGTTTAGCTTCTCTCGTGTTTCAGTTTAGTTAATCAACTGGCGTATGTTGATGTATAACTCTCTGTTTATGCTAATGAAAAATAGTATTCAAACTTCTTATGTTATTTTCTTTGAAAAACTTTTTCACATATTATATTATGAACTCTTGTGTATATTATTAATTAAGCAATTTAGGGCTTTCCATTTAATAAGGCAAAAAACTGTTTATACTTCTTAAATTTTTTTAAAAATGGTACCAATTGAAGATGAAACGGACTTTTATTCATGAAATATTTCTGATTATATATGTTAGTTAAGTAGGCGGTTAGGGTTTTATAATAAAAAAAAAAAAGCAAAAACTTGCAAATAACATTTTGAAAATATAAAAGCTGCATTTTTTTCTTTTTTACTTTGTAGCTAAAATAAAATGTGACATTAAGTATGAATGGACTTGCTAACACATATGCATATGCGTGCATGAACTCGTCTTCTGATTACTAATTAATAAGTCGGCGTCATCATTATTAGTAAGACTATTGATATGTAAGATTATGTCGGGCGATATATGCAGATTTAGCCTAGCTAGGATGTTGTGTTTAGAGCGTAATTTTATTCACGGATGATTTTTCTTAGCCATTGCCCATTAGAGCATATACATCCAAATGTGAAATATTAGAATAGACTTGAGTCTTCACCGTAAAAATTCGGTATATAAAAAACAATGATATGGTACCAAATGGCCTAATGCAACTAAAGCAGTTTGAGGAAAAGAAGAATCAATTATGGATTTGCCATTTTTTGGGATGGCATTTGTGGATTTTGCCCTTTTTTGAATAGTTTATGGATTTTGCCATTTTTCAGGCTACGGAAATATGATTTAACATGCGTTTTATTCGTTATGTTTGGGTTTAGTCGGTTGTGGTTGTTCTTAGGGTTTAGTATTTTGTATAAACTACGTATTTTTATCAAAAAAAATCCGAAATACGTACATTTTAAAGTGTTAGAAAATGACATTTCCGTAAGATTTTAGTAAAAATGGCAATTTCAAAAGATTTCTATAAAAAATGGCAAAATCAACAATAATCCCGGAAAAGAATGGAAGATCTTTGGCGGTCCAAAGTATATCATGGCTACACAAAATCATTGCTTTTTTTTTTTTCCTTTCTTTTATTCTTGTTTCCTAGAGAAAAATTGTATTAACTTTTTATATATATGAAACTCTTTGTTTTTTCGTTAGCTACTCGTGTTGCAGACATATGCTCATAATCAATAAAAACATGCAATGTAATTTTTTTTTTCTTGCAAAGAAACATGCAATGTAATTAAAAGGAAAAAATTACTAACGTATCATGAAATAGTTGTTATATACTGGACATTCACGATCCTCTCAGCGATATAGATAACGAAGCATATAATTCTTCTTTGTTCCACTTTTTGTCACTTGAGATTGAATGGAACTGCTTTGTAGATATCAAAATTTAAAATTTACGTACAGGTTTAACCACGTTAATTAATTAATAAATAATGGATTTGAGCTTCACATGCATTATATAACCATCATTATTTATTTCCCTTTAGTTACATAAAGTTACCAAAATCAACTACTTCAAAATTCTCCAATCAAGCGAATAAAAGCCTCTATAGTTATAGTATATATATAGACCTTGAAGTTTTGTTTTTGAAGAAAATATGATTACATTGAGTTCAAAAAGGTAGAAAGGAAATAAATAATAAAGGTAGAATCCCTTTACATGATGTGTGGAACAACTTTTCTTGACCTCCAACTTCTTGGGATCGTGGGAATTGGGAGAATCTAATCGGAAGTTGTATAGAACGTGTAAGAACTAAGAACCACATTCACTTTGTTGTCATTGTTATGAGATTCAAGATTCTTTGACCGGCGCGTGATAAAAGCATCCACCTATAGGCTCAAGAATCGTATCCAAGAAAATATCGAGAACCTCGATGATTACTTAAAAAATGGACCATTTTAAAAAAATTTAAAAGGAACGAAGCTCATGCGAATATTGAAATCCACCAAAGCGAAATGGTACAACATTCGGTTTCAGTTTAGTTTCTATTTGTGTGTTATTTTTTTTCCTGTTTGCTTTAGACTCTGCTAATTCATATTCAAATTGATTCTTTGTTAGTTTCAATCGGAAAACTCTCAAGGTGTTTAAATGAAGTAATATTTTGTTTCGTAACTTGTCTTTAAATACGTTCATATATATATACTGATACATACTAAACCTGATTCACCGATGACTAATTGGATCTAGTAATCCAATGGCTCCAAATTCAATTTCGATTTTTTAAAAATCAATTGTTATAGCCATGTTACGACTTACGAGGATGCAAAAGCAACCCTAGCTAGACTAATCTAGTGATATGTGTTACTTTTCAAGAGCAGTAGCCAGTAGTTGTCGAGATCATGTTATTGGTGTCGCTGGGATGTTCGAACAGCCCACTAATATATTTTTTTGTTGATAAAATGTGAATTATATTACCAAAAGAAACAAGGTTATTTACAACAGCTTGGGGCAGGGAGCTTCTATGGCCAAAAAAAATTAAAAAGCCTTAAGGCATCTCCAACCCTACTCTATTTTAGAGTTAAAATGCAAAATTCTTCTCCAACCCTACTCTATAATTAACTCTAAAATAGAGATTTCTGCAGATTGACTCTATATATAGAGCAACTCTATTCTCAACTCTATTTTTGAGTTCAATTTTTTTTATTTATACTTTAGTCCCTCAAATTTAAACTTTTTTATTTAATACATATAATCATTTTATAAACAACAATTATACGACACATAGCTTTCTAAACTTAACAAGCAAACAAGTACTAAATTTAAAATAATTTTATAAAGTTAACAAGCAAACAAATACTAAATTTATAATAAACAACATAAGGTCAAATTGTAAATTATATAATTAAAAGGTATTAGTATATAAAATAGAAATAGAATATTTCAAAGTATATTCTTTTTTAGAATAGAAAATAGAGATATACATTGGAGAGAAACCCTCCTCTAAAAATAGAGTAAACTCTATTTTAGAATATGATATAGAGCTCTACATTGGAGATGATCATAGATAACTATTACATAGAACAGCCCACTAATATTACCCAGCCTGTCTCTTTTTTCGGTTTTCCATCGTGTCCTATAAGTCAAAACTATGCGTCAAAACTATGGTTTTAGTTAATCTTGAATAGGTTTAAGTCAGTACCGTTCGAGATAACTCTAATTGACAACTACCTTCATGGAGTAATAGTTATTGAGGAACGATGATGAGATTTTAGTGGAGATAAGCAATTTTGGACTCAATAATCTTCAATTAATTGTGGGATCCATTTTCCATTTTATCTATATATATATTTGCAAACAAACAAAAAAGTTGGATAAAAAAGAAGAAAAATTCACTATCGAGCATTCTAGCTATGTCGGTAACGTGACAAAGTCCTTTTTTTGTTTGCCTGTTTTTTAAAAGTTAATCAAATCGGCCAACGCTGCCTCAACAACGAGCTTCCTTTTTCTAACGTCCCTAATTTGCCACGTCCATTTTCTGGACTAGTCTCGGTTTAAAAATCTTAGCTTATACATTTTTGTGGCCAACTTCAACCACTCTTTCTCTTACTCCCTTCTTTAGTTCTCTTAGTTTTGTCATTATTTTGTAATAACCTAACAAAAGTATTGTATATATGGTATTGGTAGCCAAAATGTGTTATGTTAAATTCTAGGCTAATCTGGTATAATATATCATGTCAAGAAAAGTGATTAATTTGTTTGCTTGTCTATTCCATATATAGTGTGTAGAAGTGGCTTTGTCTTTATCACCTACTATATCAGAATTATTTTACTTATGGGCATTAATGCTATTTATTTATACGGTGAAAAAAACTTCAAAATTTTACGATTTCATTTTGTATCACGTTCACTACTGACAGTTTTACTACTTGTGGACGACAAACTGTAGTAATTCAGTAAATCCATCTACTAATTTTATTTAAACATTTATACTTTTTAAATTTATAACAAACTATGTTTATACTAATTGTATCATCATTCGAATATTCAAATCCCTTGTAAGCAAAATAACTATTTTTCACGAGTTAAGTGAGAGATAAGGAACAAATTAAAGAAAGGCACGGGAAGGTGAAGAGAGTACAGTAGTGTTTCCAGCTTCTTCCCCAAGAAATAAGAATTGACTTTGTCTAAGCAAATGGCGTCACTTTAACGTCATTACCTAGAATGCAATTAAGATCTGGCTTTTACATAAGCCACCAAAATTGGTTTGGTCGCCCCAAAATATCCCAAGAAAATAACAATTGTACCTTGATTTTCTTTCTTCTTCTTACCAAATCTGTCGGCGTCGTCTCTAATCTAAGCTCCTCCTATGGAAGAAGAAGAAGGTCATCAGCAGCGTCACCGCCTCTGCGACTATTGCGACTCCTCCGTGGCTCTTGTCTACTGCAAAGCTGACTCCGCCAAGCTCTGTCTCGCCTGCGACAAGCAAGTCCACGTCACCAACCAACTCTTCGCCAAACACTTCAGGTCACTTCTCTGCGACTCCTGCCACGACTCTCCCTCTTCCCTCTTCTGCGAGACGGAAAGGTCTGTTCTTTGCCAGAACTGCGACTGGCAACACCACACCGCCTCTTCCTCCCTTCATAGCCGCAGACCCTTTGAAGGATTTACCGGCTGTCCCTCCGTGCCTGAGTTGTTGGCAATCGTTGGCCTCGATGACCTCACTCTCGATTCCGGATTGCTTTGGGAGTCACCGGAGATCGTTAGCCTCAACGACCTTATTGTTTCGGGCGGGTCGGGTACTCATAACTTCCGGGCCACGGATGTTCCTCCTCTGCCTAAGGTATAACTTGCTCTGTTTTCTTCGAGCCAATTGCTCTGTTTTTTTCTTTCTCTGAAATGCTTTGGAAATCTCCAGAATCGTCACGCCACGTGCGGTAAATACAAAGACGAGATGATCCGACAGCTCCGTGGACTAGCGAGATCCGAGCGGAGTTGTCTGAAATTCGAAACCCCGGAAGCTGAGATGGATGCCGGATTCCAGTTCCTGTCGTCGGATTTGTTTTCTACAAGCGAGCTGGTAAGATAGATAGTCAGTCTGCTTTTGGTTGTTTTTGTGCTTATCAATTGATTTTCCAACGCAAATATGAAGGAGAGTGGACTGAAATGGTTCGATCAGCAAGATCATGAGGACTTTCCATATTGCTCTCTGCTAAAGAACTCGTCAGAGTCAGATGAGAAACCTGAGAATGTAGACCGAGAGTCTTCTTCGGTGATGGTTCCGGTTTCTGACGGCTTAAACCGATGTGAGGAGGAGATTGTGATGGTGCCGGTTTGCACTAGTACAAGGTCGACCACACATGAGATCAACAGTCTTGAGAGGAACTCTGCTCTCTCTCGCTACAAAGAAAAGAAGAAATCTCGAAGGTAAACTCTCATCTCTAATTTTAAAACCATTAGGATTGGGATTGGGATTAAACCATCATGTCTTGATGAAACAGGTACGAGAAACACATCAGGTATGAATCACGCAAGGTTCGTGCAGAAAGCAGGACAAGAATCAGGGGACGTTTCGCTAAGGCAGCAGATCCATGAATGATGATGAGGTGTCCAATTACCTTGATAATCAAAAAAATCCTTGTATTATTAATGGAATCATATAATGTATATGATCAGATAAGTTTTTGTATTCTAAGCTTAGGAGTTTACCACTGTATATCCACCACACTCTCAATTAGTCACTTAAGAAACCGTCTGTTTTTTTGTTTTGCTTCCGATTCCTAATTTGCCTAAGGCAACAGGGAGGATCACAAAACAAAACATGGTTCACACTTATATACAACTACACACAAGCAAGCAGCAAAAGATGCAGCTTCTTGTTTATGAACCAAGGATAGATAGACTTGTTGTAATGTTAGAAAGAGAGATGATCTATGGAGCTGTAATAAGCCCATGTTTAAAACCACCACTTGTACCATAGTTGGCCCAATTCATAGGTTGGTATGTTTGGGCCATATGCTTTTAAATAAGCCCAAGTCTAAAACCACCACTTGTCGATGGCCGGGGAAACAGAAATTCCGCTGCGAATACAAAAAATTGACAACACTTTTGCTCGATCAACATGTCTCTGTCCGATAATAATGATATGACAAAGTAATGGTCTTGAGTAGCAACAACGATTAGATCATTGCTGCTGCGATGAATCTGGACCAATGGTAATCTGAGATGTAATGTGAGTTTTAGTTGAACAAGGAATCTGGAGAGGTTTTACTTGTTTAGCAATCAGTAAACACTAAATCGTTTATCAGACTTGTGGTTCTATTCTCTGTCTTCTTGTTACTAACTCAACTTGGAGTTTTTTATTTGTTGATGGTTTACATTTTTGGATTTGAACATTTGGTGAAGAGTGGTGGAGATGAGAGGAAGAGTGGTTGCAGCTTTAAGCAATGTTGCATCTCTCAGTCTTCGTCTACTGTTTGTTGACGTTGAAGATTAGGCTCCAACAAACTTATATATAACCCAGCCTTCCTCTGTTAATTCTCCTGTCTTCTTCGCACAAGAGTGCTGATTCCCGTAGAGACATCTTCACCACACTGTTGAGAGATCTCTGACATGGGACCTGGAGGACCTGGAGGACCCGGAGGACCTGGTGGACCAGGAGGACCAGGGTTTTTGCCACCTGGAGGACCAGGGTTCTTGCCACCAGGAGGACCCGGCTTCTTCCCACCCATTGGTGGTTTCTTTTCTGGGTTCTCAGACATGATATGTTCCTGGTAAAGACATTTTCTGTTTTGCTGTGTGTTTTGTAAAGAGTTAAGTGGTTAGATTGACTGTGGAATCTTGCAGTCTATCTTGTCTGTGCTGCTGCTGGCTGCTACGAGATTGCTTTGGCGGCTCACCACCACAAGGACCGCCACTTCTTCCTCCCTATTATTGATCACATTTGGCTCCTTTGGTCACTAGCATAATATTAAAGCTATCACTGTACATGGTATTGCTGATGTTTGTTTGTTAAATCCAATCTTATATATGATTCGGATACTTCAAATATCTGGATTTCTGCCCTGTCTGGATATATATTCTCCAAAAAACACGATCAAATTAATTATCAGAGAAATGAAATCATAGTCTGAAACTACAATCACTAGCAACACAATGCAACAACAACAACAAACATAATCTACGGTCTTCGATTCTTGACTCTCTCTTTTTGTATGGACTTGCCAAGACTTTTGAAACTATGTACACACACTTCTAAGACGAGGCCAAACCAGTCTTCTCTTTCAACATGATACAACTAAATAAACCCGGAGTCACACGGTTTGTTGGAAATCATTCACATGCTATCTTGGTGTCGAAACTGCTAAGGCAAATGGTGAAGGCCTGGAAGGCAGAGATTGGGTACTGATAATCCATTGTGAACACATCTTTTCCGACTTTCCCGAACTGGAGAATCACGTTTTCGTGCTCAGGTCCTGCAGGTCCATTCTCAGGAGCAGCTACCAGCTGAAAGTTTTTGACCGAAGCAACAGTGACTCTCCCATTGAAGTTGAGGCACCAGCATTGGAGCTGTTCATGCCATCTGGGCGCTTTGTTCTTCAGGACAAGCAGTCCTTCCTTCTGAGCAGCAGACGCTGGACCAGAAGAAAGACTCTCTGCACGAATTGATTTCGACCTGAAGAAGGAGAAAGACGGAAAATTATCAAGATTGCTGTGGATAAGTTCCGTCTGAGTTGGAGCTGTTCCTCCAGGTTCTACAGCTGATGCAGGGATGGCATCCATGACACACTGCATCCTCCTCGGTCCTCTGGTTTGATACGACAATGTTCACAATTAGCAAAAGCCATAAAAGCAACCACCGTTTTCTATCACAATGTATCTGTAAGCAAGGAGATAAATCACCTGGAACCCAAGACGTTAAGCTCATATGAGATGTGTGCTACAGGATAGTTGCCAGATGGAATTCTTGGGCTCACTTGTTTCAGACTGAGAAGTCTGCTTGAACGGGTTCTGGTAACCTGAGTTCCAGGATTCGTCGGCTGAGCGTCATAGACAGTGAACTTGGTCCCCAGAAAGTTAGATCTGAAAGAAAGTTAAGATAAAAGAGAAGGGTTATGTCAAATATATGAAAAAGCAGGTATTTAAAACCATGGGGTCAATCGGTAGCTAAGTACCTTAGCTTTCCGATATAGGTATTGCTTCCTCTGGAGACATCATCGCAGTTTAAGGAGATGATGTAGTCAGTGCAAGTTGGCCTCCGAAACCTCTTAGCAGCAAGAAGGAACTTTCCATCATCATTTGAAGCTGCTGCTGAACCAGGAAAAAGTAAACTTTTCACTGTTATTCACAAAGACATAAGGTATGCAAAGAGAAAAGAAGTAGCATCTGTTAGTTTCACCTTGGTTTAACCCGAGGTATAGGTAGTAGGTTTGATTGCTGCGGTTTCTCATAATATAGCATTGAACAAGTGATCCCCTTGGACCCGGCTAAAAGAAAGTCGGGAAAAAGATTAGCCTGGATAAGCACAAAAGTCAGATATAAAGTAAAAAAGAGAATGTGATGGGATAGTGAACCTGTTTCAGGGAGATAGGAAAAGTCAATTTGCTAGAAACCTCAGGAACTTTGACAATCTCCTTGACGATCTCACGCCAGTTCCTGCAGACACCAGCGCAAGAAACAACATTCTTTCTAGAGGGCCAAGTGTCTTCGGATAGCTCAATCCTCATCAGAACATCCCTGAGGAGCTCCGGAGGCATGTTAGCCCAGCAGCTCTGCTTGAAAGCATCAACAGGAACAGAAGTATCCTGAACAACACGTTGAGACCTGGATCTACCATAGCCGAATCTGACATCGAATCCCTTTCTAGAAATACTCCCAAGCTCTCCTCTCATGTCTTGAATGAGACTCTTGAAGGACATGGCTCTGAATTCTAACTAATAGCAAGCTTTAAGCAGTGTCTATATCTTGGTAACGCATCTAATTCAAAGTGGCAGACTTTGTAAAGAACCCTAATAAACCCACATTCTGATTGAATGAGATCTCATCACAAGATCTATTCCCCACCCAATCAATACGAATTAAAAACACAAGGTACTCCTTATCACATTCAGATCAAGAGTAAGAAGCACACACAAGCTTGGACAAAACAAGATCCGATAAGACAGAGATCCGGAAATAAAGAATAAATACCTAAAAATCCGATTAGCGGCTAAGTAAGGAAGAAACTAAAAACCACGCATCGATTCACAAGTTATCGGAGCTTTCACATCAATGGCTTCCGCGACGAAAAAAACGAGATAGAGCAACCAAAAGAATCAGGGTGGAGCTCGGGAAACAGTACCCAGGTGCCAGATTGGGGCATCGAAATCGACAACCAACACTCGAGAGCTAATGCCTTTGACAAGAGAAGAAGAAGCGGTCAGAGGAAATAGATTTTAGGGTTTGGGCAATTTGACGGGGGAGTGTGTATAATGAATGTACGTATGTATGTGTGTCTCTGTGTTATCCAATCGCTTCCTTCCCTCTCTCATTTTTTATTGTTGTCAGTCAGTCTTCTTTTTTTCTTAATTAATTTGGTACCAAATTAATACATTTCTATACTGTATTTACCCATTTATCTTAGAGAACTTTTCAATTATACAAATAAATTCTGCCACATGAATGAATCATTGAAGCGATAATAAAGTGTGCTTTCTATCAATTGAAACTGATTAACGGAAATAAAGAACAGAAAGTGATGACATTTCTCTTTCTCGTAGTTATCTGGAAATGTTGGAACTTCACCGGAATAAATATGGTGGTAACTGACTAGATTTTAAACATATTGTTCAATAGTATAAAGTTAAATCATAGTACTATACAAAAGACATTTGAAGATAAGAAGACTTTGGTTTAATGGAAACTTTCTTTCCGTTTTTCCTCTTTTTACGCAATTGTTGTATTTGACAAAACAAATTAAGCAGTAGGCTTTTGTTGCCGTGATCACCGCACTTTCGCCGCTTTGAAGGACCAAAAGGTGTTTTAACGTTTTACTTTCTTTCTTTTCTTTTTATAATTAAGATGAAATCTTCCTTCTTTGGACAAAAATAATAATTTGGACAACTATTGATTTGGTCAAATCCAAAGACATAAACAATAACAAACAATAAAAAAAAAAAAAAAAAAGAAACGTCAAAGAAAAAATTATTAGGCCGTAAGAATCCTGTTTACCGCCGATATGGGCCGAATTGAAGTCATTAAATGGGTCTCGATCCTAACTATGCCTACACACCATAAAGAAGTTAACAACGGCAACAAAATCATCATCTGGCCTTTTCTTTCAAACCTGTAAATACTAATAGAGATATCCATTCAAACCTGTAATACTACTAGAGATATCCATTCTCGGGCACTCTCTACACACTGTGAAGTGGCTCTTTTGATGCTAATGTTCATATTTGATTGCATAGGTTAGTTTTTCCCTCAAATCATTATCTCTGCTACTGTTATGGTAGACATTGGGGACTTATCTGTATTCTCAGTCTCCCTCTGTTGAATAGCATACTGCACTACACCTGGGCATAACGCGACTGGAAAATGATGAGCAAACCACCGAGTAGTGCCATTCGTTCTGTCTGTGGCAACTATTCTCCATTCTTTAGGTGGTGGTGGTGGTATGTTGCAGAAATGCCTTTTCCACATTCTATGTTGGCATGGATGCGCTGGATATCGAGAAGTGGGTGATTGTTAGCCCATGGTGCTGCAACTAGTCATGCCTTTCTCTTCTGGAATGTTGTTAGGCTATTTGCTGCTTCACGACAGCAATGCATTTGTGCGGTGAAGGAAAAAGGATAAAATGGAAAGAAATGAAGAAAAGGCCAAAAGAAGAAGATAAAAAGAAGACTAAGACACAGAGAGAGAGAGATACTTGGTTGGTAAGCGTCTGTGAATGGCCACAAAGGCAGGTCTTCTCCCGTGGCTTATCCCATCGCCGAGACACGTGTCGCTGTTCCCAGTGGTTCAATTGCCGGCCGGATGGTGTGTAAGAAAGAGGAGAGCAGCAGACGTAGCAGTCTCCGTCGCCTTCAATCCTTCTGGCAATTTCGACATCTCTGCCTTCGAGAATGACCAAGGTGCCTACTTGCTCTTCCTTTTTCGTACCCAATTGATTGACTCGAATAAAAGGCTTCTAACGAATTTCATTGTGAAAGGAAGCAGATCCTTCAGATAAAGTGGAACCTCCGATGCCTCCGACGACGGGACGGTACGAAGTAGTGATCGACAACGACTCAATTGGGAGGCTTGACCTATCCCCGTTTCAGAGAGCCACCGGCATAACCTCACCTTCCTCTGGTAGGTATACATTAATTTATCCCTCATGTCTGTCATGTGAATGTGAATGTGATTGATTGATGATGGCTTCTCCTTGTGTGTAGCTGAACCAAAACGGTATTTGGATCGAACAATCGGATTCACCATCAACTACAGGAGAGAAGACCCAGGGGATCCGCGGGAGCTGTCAGAGTACCCAGACATAAGACTGTGGTTCGTGAGGCTGGACGCGATGTACCCATGGCTGCCTCTGCTGCTGGACTGGCGAGCTGGAGAGCTTGCTCGATATGCGGCCATGTTAGTGCCGCACCAGATGAGCTTGAGAATGGGTGTCGTTTTCAATCCGGAGGCGTTGGAGCTTTTCGTGATGAACAAAGTGTTTGTGGTTTATCCGTGGCTGAAACGGCACGGCGTCCCTAAGCCCAGGTTGAAGACGAGCGACATGGCCAGGATGCTCGGCTTCGGTATCGGCGATGAACTCTTCGACTTGATCGATCATCAATAAATGAATTGTGTTCTTCAATCAGAGCCCTGATTACATAAGTGGGCCTAATTATGGGCTTCTAATGAAAAAGGCCTGAAGATAGTGTAGTAGTAAAAAGAGACTTTTTTTTCTTCTTGATATTAAATACACACGTGGCGAATAGCCATTGGACGAGGCGTATTAATAGCCGTAAAATCTGGAAAAATAAATTCAAATCTCGAATATACTGCTGAAGAGAAGAGAGATTCAAAATTTGAAAAACAACAAATCCACGCTCCGTTTACTCTCTTCTCTCTAGTCTATATCGCTCTATTCCAAGTGAGGCAGAAGCAAAATACAATTTCGGATCGAAAAAAGAAAAGGTATGATTCTCTCTTTCTTCAGTAGCTAAGCATTGAGGTTGCGTTGGAGTTTATAGATTTTTATTTTGTTGAAATGGGATTGTTGTGTTAGGGAAGAGAACACCAAAAACAAAAAATGGTGAGAGAAGAGGAGAAATCGAGATGGTGGTGGTTCGAGAGCCACAAGAGCTCCAAACACTCTCAATGGCTTCAATCAACACTCGCTGGTTACTTTTTTGCACTCAGATCCATTTTCTTACAAATAGCTCTCTATGTTTTTTTTTGTGGTTTTTACAAAATTGGTGTGAATTTTGGGTGCAGAGCTTGATGCCAAGACAAAGGCAATGTTGAAGCTGATTGAAGGAAACGCAGACTCTTTTGCGCAGCGTGCTGAGACTTACTACAAGAAACGTCCCGAGCTTATCTGCTTTGTCGAAGACTTTTATCGAGCTCACCGTTCCTTAGCCGAGAAGTTTGACCACCTCAAATCTTCCGACTACGGATCTCGCTCCTCTAAGTTTCCCCAACAATCCATGGACTCCGTTTCTGACAGCAATTCTCAATTTGAAGATGCCGATTCTGAGATTGCAGACCCTGAAGATGACGAACTTGACTCTCCCTTTGCTAGTCACAAAGAAGATGAGACTTGGAATTTGGAACAAGAAAGAATGAAGCTGATCGAAGAGAGTGATGCTCTGAGGAAACAGCTGCTAGACAAGGACGAAGAGAAGAGAGAGGTCATCAGACAGCTTTCTCTAACCCTTGAGACCCTCAAAGACGAGAACTTGAGCCTCAAAAGACGCCTTACCCACCATTCTCTCAAGCGACGCACCGTTTTGGAGTTCAAGCCACTCGACAAGTTCTTCGGGAAGCTGTTCTACATTGTGCGCGATGGCAACAAGGTCGTTTAACTGGGGCTCATCTCATCTACCTCATGAGCTTAGCTTCGCTAGTTTCTGTGTTTGATTTCACTGTTTATTAAGATATATCCTGTCGTTTCTGTGGTGTATTATAACCGGTAATTATCCTACTTAACGCATGCTTTTTTTATTTTGTTCAATCACAAGAATCCAGTTTCAGACAAGGACATGTGATGATCAATCAATTTTGACTTTGAGGCACAAAAAAACACATACACTATCACTGTTACAAAGTACAACAACTGCGCACCAGCCCAAACTGCAGACTGCTTTATGAGCAAATCTCACACGAACACTAGAAGAAATTATCTTAATATTACATGAAAAAAATTCAGAAGAAGCAGAGAGTAAAGTAAAGAATACATTGTGAATCTTTTTTTTTTTTGCAGAAGAAGAATGCTTACTCGCTGTTTCTATATGCTTACTAGAAGATACTGCAGAAAGCTAGTGGCAACATGAGGAGGACAAGAAGCAGAGATGAGAGTTGTGATGAGACCAAACAAACAGAGGAAGAAGCAGGCAGAGGTGACCCAACTGGAGAAAATTCGAGCAGAGGATCATGAGAGACAGCATCTGGGTTTGGTGGACTTAGGCTTGAGGGGATTGTTGGCATGATAGAAGATTCTGACGGGGAAGGAGACATTTCGCTTGAACCTGGAGTTGGGAACAGGGGAGAGGTATCTGGAGACATGGCCGGAGGAGAAGCTGAGAAACTCGATGGAGCTTCTGGCAAAAACGAAGGTGCAGCTGATATGGTGGACAGCTGAAACTCTAGGAACTCGGATGTTGAAGTGTGTAAACAGAGTGAGAGAACGGTGAAGGCGGTGAACAGAGAGACACTCATGGTTACTGTGAATGTGTTGTATATGAGTCTCTCTGCTTCTCTGAGAATGTTTCTGAGAGACCTTAAGAGGTAAAAAGAGATGATAAATTGAAGAAGAAAAAGGTATACAGCTATAGAGGAGGTAAAAGACAAGATTTGTGGGTTTGGTTGTGGACCTCTGGTTTAGGGCAGAGCACATGAAATATGGATTTGTCGGGTTTTGATTTGTGTCGGAGTGTTTGTATGTTTTGATATTGTGAATAAAAATTAAAAAAGTAATTAAAAAAACAGAGTAGAGTCCCGTGAAGCTCTTCCCTGATATATAGAAATGAGTGCCAGCTTTTAACTTGTTATGCTTTTTCCTGATCTGCAACAATCTTAGGTTTATTGTCAGTTGATGAAGACAATAGAATTGGTAAAAAGGAAGCAGTGATTCACCGATATATATTACAGAAGACATTGCTGTATTTTCATTTCTCATAAAAAAATCAGACATTAAATAATTTGTTGACTTTTGTCATGATTCTGGCAATGCTTTTAGCAGTACATTCATCTGCACACAGTGGCCGGGCATTCTCATGGCAAACTTTCTATTAAACTCAATCCCTAGAGGTTTTGAAGAAAGAATTCACTAAACTTGGAGCAGCTCAAGACCTTATGGAATGAGGATGAAGCTGAAAGCTTTCCCATATGTTCGGGGAAGCTGTATGAGCTTTCAGTGGCTTCCACCTGCGGACACCTTTTTTGAGCATCTATGCCCACACCAGTCCATCAAAGCCGATTTCCAGATTTGACACAGGGCTGTCTCCAATACCTTGGTCAAGCGCTTGGGTGTCAACTATTGGATCTACATATGGCTCGAGCAGATCAGCAGATCTTTCCGAGGGAATTCCATAATCTTTGAGGATGCACAAGGAAGCAGAATTTGAAGCTTCTCTCTCCAACACAGCAACATAGTTGTCTTCAAACTCAAAAACGAGATACTTATCTTTGCACATGTCAATGAGATGTGCCAAGTGATGGATGTTTCTTATAGGAATTCCATTGAACTTCAGGACCTGCTGGTTATTCATGTCCTCATAGCCGATGTTTACTTCATTTGCCAAGACCTACAGATATACTCGTCGAGTGAGTGAATTATCAAATTATTGTTGCACTCACCAAAATGCACATTGAATTAAGAACTCATTATCCTCTGAGGCCTTACCTGTGATAGGATGACGATTTGTTCTCCTCTGAATCTTGCCACAGAGTAGCGTGCCTTTGTTAACAATTTCAACTGCAAATTGGAAGGAAAAGACTCAAGCTGAGAATGCGAAAACTGTTATAGTGGATTCACAAATTAAATTAACAGATAGTTTAGTAGAGTGAGCTTACGCCTATGGTATCCTCACACTCCTCCCTGTTTATACATAAGGAAAAAAAGCAGAAAACAGTCAGGCATTTGGGAAATAATGAAGAAAGTTTCGGTTTACTTTTGCATCTTAGCAAGCTGAGAAGAACTTACTCTATCAGGGGTTCTGAGAGCGGGGTAAACACCAAACCAGCAACAATAATGTATGATGGTTGACCTCCATCAATATGATACGGTACCTATTTAAAAGCACAAAAAGGCAATGAAGTATTGGTAATTAGCTTACTAGGCATGACGCGCAAAATGCTTAAAATGGTAGATGCAGAGAGTTGTACCAGGTGCACTCGTGGTCTTAGAACTACTTGAACTTTCTTATGTTCTCCTGCTCTAATGATACCAAGCTCAGCGATATCACCTGCAAATCTGCTCAGTGAAATAAAAGCCAAGTATGAGAATAGGTAGAGGAAGTTAATACATCTCTGAACAAGAAGAGGTATTTACTTTTGACTGATGAGATAACGGAATGCAATGCGTTCACTGGATCGGAAGGGTACAGTTCCTTCACATCCCACATGTAGATCATCAAAACTTACAATCACATCTCCCTGATTTAACAATCAGTACTCGTCAGGTATACCAGAAATCAAGGATGAGAAGATTTGATTGTAGAAATTCTAGAGCAACAATCCATGATCCACGCTCTTTACCTCTTTCAGGACTTTACTTGCATCAGATGTAGGTTCAACTCTTCGCACCAGTACCCCCTACAAAAAGAAGGTTACATCACCTTGAATAGACTCAAACTGCTAACAAGAAAGACTCAATATCCTCCACCATTATGTTGGCAAATCCTTAGACAAAAGACAGACGAACTAACAAAGCAAGCCTACCTCATTTGTAGGAACTTTGAGGCACTCCCGCAGAGCTGGATTTTCTAATTTCTGCAGCAATACTCCAAGGCAAGGGTAACCTGCAAGAGAGATATCTTTTAAGTATTAACAAAAGAAAGGCTCAACTAGAAGATAATGGTCTTGCAGTGGAACATATGAACATCAAGAGAAAACTATTACCAGTGTACTTTCCGTTCCTCTCATAATCAGTCAAAAAGTGAGAAACAACGGTTGTTGGAATAACATATCCAATATTTTCAGTTTCTTCGGATCTGTAAACCTAGAGGAAGTCTCTTGTGAGGCATACGTTTTGGAATGAGAATTAGAAAAAGGTATTATATTCCTGAAAATCCCAAAGCAAATACCTGGAATGCTACTCCAATACATTGCCCCTGGTCGTTGAATGCAGGGCCACCACTATTCCCTACAATCTAACAAGTATAAGAAGTGGCTATCACAATAATACTGATGAAGGTTCTCAGAAGCAATTTTAGTGAAAAGTACGCTACAGAAAAGAACAAGTCATATGCAAGTTTTAGAGTAAAGTGCAAGATACTAGGATCAAATGGAAAATAGTTTATAAGAAAGGATCCACTGACCTGGATTTATTGCAGCGTCGATTTGAATTCCAAGCAAGTCAGATGATCCATGAGCATATGATGTTACCTGCATTTCCAACATTTCAACGAGGAAAAGTTCTTAAAATCAACACAACAATGGCGGCATAAAAGCAAAGCCAAAGATATCGGGAAACCTCTATACGTGATACAACCCCTTTTGTAACGGAGATTGTATCTCCTCCAAGAGGATATCCCACGACAGTTACTGAATCCTGCATATCAAAGCCAACATGGGAACTCTATAAAGAACAGCTGTATTCAGATAGATAATTAGAACTAAAGAAACAGGGAAGAACATCTTAAGCCTTTTACTTATTAATGCAGAAAAAAGGAATGGAGTATGGATAACATTTTTAGGTGGACGCTTCAATAAGACCACATACTGACTTAATTTCCTATATTGCACACCACAAGAATGGACAGCATATCCAATACTGTAATATTATGATTTGATAGTATAAGATCTGGTTTTTTGTTTTTGGTATTGTTCATGCCTCACTTAGACCGTCAAATGTGTTCTTTAAATATTTGAAGAGGACTGAACTTGAAGAAAACTGAGATGACTAAGAAATACATGATTATCTGATGAGATCATGAAACCTGAAGGCGGGGTAAATGGCCCAGCCGCAGTGGTTCAGCTCCTTTCCAGAAATCCTCGCTTTCTACGGAAAGCAAAGCTATGTCACAGTCCACACCCCTTACTAAAACCTGTGCAGCATAAATGAGAGGGAAGTTATCTTCAATTGTATAGAGATAGGTACATGTTTAGTTGAACTTAACAGAGAAATAAACAAATTCTATTGTAGGAGCTATAATCAGCATATTGATGAATACATCCACATGCTACTTAATTCAAAGCAGAAGTAATAATCAGCATATTGATGAATACATGCACATGCTACTAATTCAAAGCAGAAGTAGTTATCACAGTTGGAAAACAAACCTTAGCCACATACTTTCGATCATCTCCCCTTCTCTTAACTTTAACCTGATCAAGAGATATGTGATCAAAATGAGAAGAGAAAAACAGATAATAAGAAAATGAAGTCCAAGAAGGAAAGTAAACCTGAGTATCATGTTCGACACAATGGGCATTAGTCAAGAGCTTGCCATCTCCAATCATAAAAGCACTGCAATTGAAGAAGAAGCGATGGACACATGAAACAACCTATAAGCGAGAAAAAAGAGGAAGAACATGTGATTAAAAAAAACTTGCCTTCCAGTGCTAGTAAATTGTCTTTGCTTCTGCCATGGGAGGGAGTAATCAGGAGCAGTATGAGTGCAATAAACCTGGAAAGAAGCACGTTGTTCAAAGATGAAGAAGCAAACAAAGTAATTGAAGAAGAAAGCAATTCATTACGAAACATAAGAGATGTGAAAGTTTAAACCTTGACAACAGCGTTGAGAAAAGATGCATCGTGAATCTTGCCAGGATCAGTCTGCAGAAGGAAATGGCAATAGACAGTTTATTATTAAACACGAAATACAAAATGCCCCGACGAAAATCAGTTAGGAGAAGAAGGAGATATAGCAAACCTGTTGGTCTCGAGTAAAATCAGAAAGAGAGTCTTTTTTCTCCTTTTTAGGTGACCCAAAGGCCTTGAAAGCCATTTTTTGAGGAGGATTGGGACTATCATCTCGAACTCTACCTGGGTAATTCTTCTGGTTCTGTGAGATTCACAAAACAACATAGGAACGAATTCGTAACCACACATAATTAATTATTAGAAGAAAAAACAAAATGGGGAGGAATTGAAGAGTTTTGGTGGGGAATGTACCTCTGGGTTTAATATAGGAGATGATGAATCAGACCTCGACGATTTCCTCTTAAGATTGGAAGCTCTGGGAGCCAACGACTTCTTCTGAGATGCGGCTACGAAACACCACGGTGAGGAGACGGATGAAGATTGAAGTTTAACGGAGGCATTGAGGACGGAGAAGCTGCAGTTTGCTACGGAGACGGCCATATCGGCCGGCGAGAGAGAGAGAGACTGATAAGAGAGGAGAGAAAGCCAAAGCCTTTTTGATTTTCTTATCCACTTACTTCTTTGGCGCCTCCATGTTGACTTGACCCTCCTTCTCCCCCATATTTTCCTAATTACCACTGGATCCTAATGGGCCCTCTTTTAACATTAATGGGCCTCCTTCCTTTTATTCTATGGAGCTGCCCATTTCACAACCAGATGAAGATCTCAAGCCATGAGAATAAGTAGGGTATGATATGCTTTCCACATACAACATAGTTCTTTTTATAAGTATAATAATACAATAATATCTCTATGACTTTCTTTTTTTACGTATAAATCTTTTTCACGATAAAACAAAATACATGTGGATAAGTAACCCTTTATGTATCTGCACTTATATGCAATGATCGTTCTCGTTCCAAAACCTTAATGATTGCTTATATGTATCTCTGTGTTCTTTTTTTTGGGATAAATGATTAGTTTCGGTTATTTAATTCTTTTAATCAAAGAGCCAGATTTAATGTAAAACTTATACTAGTACTACTTTTCTTAAATAACCTAGGCAACTTGTTCATGTGGGTCTATTCGTTAGGTGATTCATTTTGAATGATCATGTCTAATTGCGTAAAGAGATAAGTAACTGATTAATTGTTTGTGCGATATATATATCAAATTTAATTTTGATTAAAGAAAGAGGCGGCATCCCCAAAGTCAACAATTAAATCAAGATTTCTGGTTTAATCCACGCGTTCGCGTTCCCCATCAACATTACCGATTCTTAAACGAAAGCGACGCCATTTATTTTGTCTCAGTAGCACCAAAATTATGACCATTGATATGATCATTTACTACGTGGTTCTTTTTTTATTTCTTTCTTTTGTACATTTTAGGTGGTATCATTGGTTTATACACAAGCACAATATATATCATTTAAATATGCAACACAAACATATAAGTATGCAGCACAATTATATAAATATGCAACACTAAGTCACTAACCACTATTGATGTGCAATGGTAATTTAGATTTAAGATCTAATTATAGAGTAATAGGCTAGAACAATTAATTAATACGAGTATCGCTGGTATTCATTGGTTTATACATGTATTGTACGTGTTAATATATGAAGTAGATGAAATGATTTCGATTCATGACTCTTATGTTGTTGAGTGAGAAGTTGAATAGCCTGAGACAACAAATTAAAGTCTAATAGCTTTGACACTAGCTAGCTAGGACTTGTGTCTGAATTTTGGAATTGATATTTGGGCTTTCTAGAAGACCTGTTGAAAAAGCATAATACGCTCCATTTTCAAATTTGGCAATTGCTTTTGTTTCGTGTCTATATGTAATGGATTATCACTATTTTATTTTGGGTAAAGAACGCACGTTTTTGTACACCGCCCTTCTAGAAGCCCAACCCCACCACACATACTCTTACGTCATTTGCAGACAAACTCCCGTCTTCTGGAACCAATGAAATCACTATTACAAAAGTTGCTCTTAAAAGAAAATACAAAATACAAAGAAACCATTTTTATATTGTCGTCAATAATAATGGCCACTTTCTGATTACATATATATATGGATGTATATACTACTATAATACGGTAGCTGCTCGTGTTTCTTGTCTAAGTTCTCTGTCACTAGCCAGGACAAATAAAGAGAAGAGAAGAGAAGAACAAAAAAAGAAAGATGAACAACGTGTTTGATGTGTCACCGTTCTTGCTATTAGAAGCATCTGCAGATTCCGAAGCCGGCCACGACAGCGTTGACGATGACAAATGCGTTAAGGATTACGATATTGATGATGAGTCTTGTAGTGCGAGTTCGTGCGAGACGTCTTGCGTGACGCGGACGAGTCAGAGACCGATCAGTGACCTGGACGATACGGTGAATGAAGAAAGAGACGCCGGAGAGGAAGAAGACGACGAAGGAGAGGTGAATAGCTACATAAGATGTGGAAGAAGCCAACGTGAAAATCTGGCCGTAGATTCTGGTGCGGTGGTGAGTGAGATGGATCAAAATCGAATGTTCTGGGAAGCTTGTCTCGCATCTTGATCTCTGTGTTTCTTGTCTCATCAAAAGAGAAAACAAATATCTAGCTTAGCGTGTTCTTGTCTGGGTCGCCTTTAATGCACAACTATGAATGATATATACATCATCAAACTATACAAAAAAAGCCTCCACTTCCCTTTCAACAACAAAAAAATGTTTCCAGCTGTATCCAAACCATCCAACATCTAACTAAACGTTTAGAATTTTTTTTAAAAAATTAAAGTTTTGATTTTATCTTCGTGTGTATATATTCTGAATGAGATTTAAAATTTCACATATAGAGGCTCAATAGCTAGCTGTTAAATGATAAATGGAACCAAATAATTATAAGAAATGAAATTAAACGGAACAAGTATAATAAGAGGAATGAAACAAAGAATATATGTATATATATTTAATTTTTTTCTCTTGTTAACTCTTGCAATAGACTTTCAACGAAATATTGTCCACTATGAAAACGGCAGCACAACCATCGTTTAATTAAACCAGGAGAAGGCATGACGACGTGTAATTTGTTTTGATTCGTCAAGAGAAAAAGTGGTCTACTGGTTGGAGAAGAATCTATATAAAATCTGTTAAAGGAGAAACAACTAGGCATGCAGTATAATAGTGATCTTTCCTCGTAAAGGTTGTTATACTGATCAAATTACTAATAATGCTCACCCAACTTAAATAAAATAAAACCAATACTTTTTGGTTTGCAATTAACACCGATTCCCAAAATTAAAGATTCCATGGCTAACAAAGCTAAAGAACAAGAGGAGATTGGTATAGTTTTACTATATGCATCTTTGTCTTTATTGACCAATAAAGTAAATTTAAATTCTTCCCTTTATATCTTTTTTATTTGATAGTGGTATACTTTTACTTGCTTTTATTAATGGTGTACAATTATATTGGACTCACCAACAAGAATGTGCTTGTTATTCTTGTTTTTATTTCATTAGTCTGTCTAGTGATGATCACTTTTTCACCTTCACACATGGAAGCTGAATTAATCACTAAGATAATCAATGCTAGTCGAATCTACACTTGTTAGTTTTAAGTTGGGTTATTCTATTAAAACAGTTGATCGTTGACAGTAAAATAAATTTAATCAGCCAGAATAACTAACAAACACCGTCGTCAAATATGACATGGTTTTGGGTTTCTCTAGCGAGAACAACCTTTCATGGGCCAATGATATGAGGCCCAGTAAAGAAACAAAGATCGGCCCATAATAATGTAAGAACATATATAGCCCACTATAATGTAGACATATCTATTTAGTACGAGGAGGAAAAGGGGTAAAAAAGGAACAAGGAGAAAGAAAAATGAGCGCGACGCAAACGCAGACGCATGGACCGCACTCGCTGGCCTTCAGGGTGATGCGACTCTGCAAACCGTCTTTCCATGTCGATCCTCCCCTCCGCATTGACCCTTTCGATCTTCTCGCCGGCGAGGATTTCTCCGACGATCCCTCTTCCGCCTCCTTGTTCCGCCGCCACGTTTCTTCTGCCGACGCTGTCGACTCCGATCTCAGCTACCGAAATAGATTCCTCCTCAACCATCCTACCGATCCAATCGGTCTCTCTGGTCTTCTGCTTCTTCCTCAGTCCTTCGGGTTCTCTCTCTCGTTTCTCCTGCCGATTTGTAGTCGATAGATATATCAGCAGCAGCAGCTGTCTGATTCTGATTTTTTTGTTGCGCAGAGCGATCTATCTCGGAGAAACATTCTGTAGCTATATCAGCGTCAACAATAGTTCCACTTCAGAAGTTCGGGATGTTACCATTAAGGTTCTTCTTTACCTGCTTGCAACATTTTGTTTTCCCTCCTTATGTATTGCAATCTGAAATCTGTGCTAATAGTTGATTGATTATCACTAAGATTCGTCACCTGCGTAGTTCATACACATATCTTTCGTTCTTGCTTTGGGTCTTGCCCTTATTTCACTGGTTAACTTCAATCTCTGCTGTGGAATACTTCTAAGGATCAAAACCAAAACGATGCTAAGCTATGTATCTCCCATTTCTTATTATTGTAGGCAGAAATTCAAACAGAGAGGCAGAGAATCCTACTTCTGGATACATCCAAGTCACCTGTTGAATCGATACGGACAGGGGGACGCTATGATTTCATAGTGGAACATGATGTCAAAGAGCTTGGAGCTCACACGTGGGTTTACTCTGACTTTCTTATCTATCTCTTATCTTCCTTCTTCTTGTCCTTTTTTAAATTTCTCCATGCCCATGACCCTCATTCTTCTCTTAGGTTGGTTTGCTCTGCATTGTACAATGACGCTGATGGTGAGCGTAAATATCTTCCCCAGTTTTTCAAGTTTGTCGTTGCAAACCCACTCTCAGTCAGAACCAAGGTCAGAATACTAGTCACTTACGTATTGGCATTTTATTTGTCACTTGTTTGAGTCCTCTCTTTACGCTTTTCTAATTGTTGCTATTTCTGATTTGCAGGTTCGAGTTGTAAAGGTAGGTTCGAGAATGTTCCCTTCGCTCCGTGAGTGCTTCTTTAGAAGCTTTAGTTTTTTCTTGTACATGGATCATAGATGGGAGGTTTTTCTAAATATCATGATGATGTTTTTGGCAATTATATCGCCATGTCATTAGAATTGGATCACTTTTCTTGACTTATTATTCGTCAATGATCCCCTGGAAAAGTTATTTCATCATGTACTTGAACTACTTCTGTTCTGGTCCTCACTAAGTAATCTTATAATCCTCGTCCCCAATATCTTGAACAAGTGGTTTTGTGAGATTAAACAAGTATTCACTGCTCCGCCCTTATCTCCTGTCTGTGTAGTTGAACCTGTATTTATTTGTTTCTATTGGTTGTAAAATCAATATACAAGCTCATGTGCTGTTGATGTTTGGGATATCGTTATATCTTTTACACCAGGAGACTACATTTTTAGAGGCTTGCATTGAGAACCATACAAAAGCAAACCTCTTTATGGACCAAGTTGATTTTGAACCTGCTAAGCAATGGAGTGCTGTAAGATTACAGAATGAAGACTCAACAGAAGATCCTCCAACCAGGTCTGTCAGATTTTCCCAGAATCGTTATGTGCATCATAAGCCACTTACTCTATCAAATCGTCCTAATTTGCTGTTCCATCTCTGTGTATCAGTGGTCTTAGTGGACTGATACCTAAACCGCCAGTTATAATCCGATCTGGCGGGGGTATCCACAACTATCTCTACAAGTTAAACCCATCTGCAGATGTTTCCGGGCAAACAAAATTCCAGGGAAGTAATATCCTGGGTAAATTTCAAATAACATGGCGCACAAATTTGGGTGAACCTGGTCGCTTACAAACACAACAAATTCTCGGTGCTGTAAGTTTACAATTTCTACTCTGTGACAACATGACGTGAATTTGTGCCTATTTGTTGATTGTTTGTTGTTAGGATTATGTTCTAAGTCTGAGTGTATTTGGTTTCCTTAGGGCTTTGAGTTATTGCAGCCATTTTTTTCTGGCACCAAGTAATTGATTCATATATATAACTAATAGTTACGTAAACAGATAACCTGGAGAAAATAATGCAGGGTATCAGTATGGTCGAGTTAGTCTTAGATTTGGTGGCAGTTAGAACAACTAGGAAAACTCAGGTTGCACCAATATCTTTATTTAGCAGTCTTATACTCACTACCTTGCATTATAGACCTGACAAAAGCTTGCTTAATTTAAAATTTTCTGTATCTCCTTGTATGCTTCCTATGAGATGCTCATCTCATCTTCTAACAAACTTCCCTCTAATATATATATATTTTTTTCAGCCAGTCAGCCGTAAAGAGATTAATATGCGAGTTGTAGAGGTTCCAGCTGTTATACACTTAAATAGACCCTTTCCGGTAATACAACTGTTTTCTCTCTCTAATGTTTGTGATACCCAAAGATTTAATTGAATTTACACTGGCTTCAAACTGAGTGTAAACTGTTTTCCATAGGCATACTTGAATCTCACAAACCAAACCGATAGGCAACTGGGACCCTTTGAGGTCTCACTGTCACAAGATGAATCACAAATGGAGAAGCCGGTTGGTATTAATGGTCTCCAGACTCTGGTAAGTGGCAACATATCTAAACTTTATGTTTTCCTATTTTGAATCTTCTGTCGTATAATCATCACAATTAAGCATACATGGAGGCAGACTAGTAAAACCATGTAGTTAGAACTTTGCACACACATACACGGTGGCAGAATGTTGTGAATCATGGGTAGGCAATGTGTATGGCATCAAAATTTTACAATGCTAGTTGAAGCCGATTGATCACTAAACCGTTTTTATTATACGAGGAACTGACACCATTGAAACTCTTGCAGATGTTACCCAGGATTGAGGCATTTGGCTCCAATGATTTCCAATTGGTATGACAAACTGGCCACCTCCAAAGTGTTCTCATCCTTTTTAGATTGTAAAATCTAACCTATATATATTTGCAGAATCTTATTGCCTCCAAGCTGGGAGTCCAGAAAATATCTGGGATCACAGCCTTGGACACGAGAGAGAAAAAAACCTACGAACTTGTTCCAGAGATGGAGGTCAGTGTACTATTCTTTTTTTTTTTTTTCTTCTGGGTTCTAGGCCCCCTATCTTTAATTAAAACAGGAAATTGGTTCACCATAATCGATATTGTTTTTATTGGCATTGTACTGCAGATATTTGTAGAGTCAGACTAAGTTTGAAGACAGCCTCCCCGAGTGGTGTTCTTCATCCACAGGTTTTGTTATTGCACCTCCTCTGTGTTCATTTTTTTTTGTTTCGTAAAAAATAGTTTGGCTCTTTGTAGAAGAAGAAAAAAACTAAACGGCTTTAACATATGTAATACGCCGTTTGTATCTTGTTGCGAAACATGTACTGTTCTGATCAATGTTAATTCAAAACTGTTTGGTTTAAAGCATAACTACTGAAGTCTGTACTTACTAACTATGGAATCATTACAGAGGTACAACTTACAATCTTTTGCTTTGTCTGAGATGCAAATAAAAGCCGTCAAACACAGTCAAGTTAGCAAAGATTCGTACAAAGGAAAAGAAATGGGTGCATAAAAGAATGTTGTGCTCAGCCTGGAATAATCATTAGAATCTTGGTCCGTATATAAAATGGGGAGTATTCCCAGCTTTCTCCAAAAAAACTCAATTCCCTTATAACAAAATCAGCAAACGACCCGGCCTGTCAAAATTATAAAAATTGGGGGACAAGACAGAACATGAAATAAAAAGGAGAAGTGTAAAGAAAACCCAAATTTCTAAATATTTGTGGGAAAGAAGGAAGAAAGGAGGAAGACGATGATGCTCAGAATCCGAAGCAGAGATGGACTGGAGCGAGTGACAGCCGAGGGAGCTCATATAACTGTTTCCCAGCTCAAAACCTTAATCGAGGATCAGCTTCAGATCCCTCTCCATAAGCAGACCTTATCCACCAATCGTGATCTCCTCCTCGCCAAAACTCCCGCTGATCTACTCGCCTTCACCGACCTCACCGACCCAAACCTCCCCCTCTCCTCTCTCACTCTCGGCCATGGCTCTATGCTCTTCCTCGCCTACGATGGGGAGCGCTCCATTCCTGGAGCTCCTCCCGTCACTCCTGCCGGATCCTTCGGCAGGAAGATGACCGTCGATGACTTGATCGCCCGCCAGATGCGCGTTACTCGTCAGGAGACGTCTCACTGCGACTCCGTCTCCTTCGATCGCGATTGCGCCAACGCCTTCCAGCACTACGTCAATGATTCTCTAGCTTTTGCCGTCAAGCGCGGCGGCTTTATGTACGGCACCGTCACGGAGGAAGGACAGGTGGAAGTTGATTTCATCTACGAGCCGCCGCAGCAAGGCACGGAGGCTAATCTTATTCTGATGAGAGATGCCGATGAAGAGAAGCGCGTGGACGCAATCGCCATGGGCCTGGGGATGAGGAAGGTCGGTTTCATTTTTAACCAGACCGTGATGCAGGACAAGACTGAATACACCCTGTCCAACGCCGAGGTGCTACAGGCGGTGGAGCTTCATGCCGAGAGCGAGCTGCAGGAGTGGGTCACCGCTGTGGTGAAGCTTGAGGTGAATGAGGATGGTGGCGCCGATGTCCATTTCGAGGCGTTTCAGATGAGTGATATGTGCATCAGGCTTTTCAAGGAAGACTGGTTCGAGACGGAGATTATGCCGGACGATGATCCAAAGCTCTCTAAGATGAAGAAGGAGGTGGTTGTTGGTGTCAAGGATCTTAAGGAGGTGGATAACGATTTCTTCCTCGTTCTCGTCAGGATCTTGGATCACCAGGTTCGTTTTTCTCTCTACCCTTTGAATCATTATTGTTCTTTGTACTAATGCTCTGCTTGGGCAAGTAAAGTAATGAATCTGGAGCTAAGTCTTAGGTTTATGAAGCTTGTTGTGTGAGCTCAGTCAGTGTTTGTTCTTCTTCTGTATAACAGACAGTGAGATGATTGAATTTGCACTTTGTCAATGGTCCCTTTGTTTTAACATTGGCTGCTCTGATCAGGGACCTCTGTCATCAGCATTCCCAATAGAGAACCGGAGCAGTCGAGCAACGATGCGGGATCTGAAAACACATCTGGACCGGGCAAAGAGCTTGCCGTTGGTGAAGAAGATGTCAGATTTTCATCTGATTCTCTTTGTGGCTCAGTTTCTGGACGTGTCATCGGACGTCCCTGCCTTAGCTGAGTGTGTGCGTCTGCAGTCGCCTGTTCCAGAGGGCTATGCGTTGCTCATCGAATCAATGGCCAATACTTGTTAATTTGTGTGTGTGTTTTTTTTTTGTTTCTTGATACATCATCATGTTCCTTTAGTTCGTTTGATAGCCCAGAAAAACTGTTATACTAGTTAGACAAATGAAAATCTAGTGTCGTGATGTATTTGATAAAAAGTTTGGTGGTTAATTTAGAAACAACTTTTAGAAACAAAGACAATTGACTGAGTAATAAATAAATAGGTATTAGTTCAGGGGCAAATTGGCAAAAAAAGGAGAGCTACTAAAATTTTCGAGCGAGCGAAATCGAAAATGAAAATTTTAATTCGAGCGAAAACTGAAATTTAATTCGAGCGAAATGTTAAAAAGCTGAAAATTGAGGAAGAGCTTCTTCATTCCATTTTATAATCGTCGTCACAGATTCGATAGATAGAGTCAATTGGCGGGAGAGGTTAGTCTCCAAAGTAGTGGAAGCCCTAGAGGGAATCGTCTGCAAACACCATGGAAGACAGTCCTCAAGGCCTTGTGAGTCTCTCTTGCTTGTTTGATTTTGCTTTTTGTTTGGGAATTTTGGATTGCTCTTTAAGTTTGTCTGCTGTGGGCGTGTAGAAAAGGAGTAGAGATCGGGATCAGGATGAAGACAGCGGCGAGGCTGGCAAGGCCGACGGCAGCGGAGGAGAGAATCAGGAGCGCAGCAGCGACCAGAAAGAGCTCGATGCTTCTCCTGACGACGATTTCCAGGAAACCCGTCCCAAGCCCAAGCGTAGTCGCACCCATCCTCCTCCTCAACAGAATCTCATTGGTACTGTTTCCTAAATTGATTGATTGATTGTTTTTCTTAGAGCTTCATCTTGTTTGGCTAGATCCTGCTCTCAGCTTTCCTTTTCATTTTATTTCTCTAACAGAGGTTGTCAAAGGCAACGGGGATCTTATTTCTAAAGCCGTCAAGATTTGGGTTGAAAGATATGAACACTCTCCCAGACTTGCCACCACTGAGCTCTTGTCAATGCTCTTTGAGGTACTCCTATGCTTCTTATCTATATATTTGTGTGTATTTGCCCTAATCCGGCCATCTCTTGTTGCTGATTGAACCACACCATGGATTCTGTAGGCTTGCGGTGCTAAATACTCCATCAAGGAAGATCTGCTTGATGAGACTGATGTCGATGATGTTGTCGTTGCCCTTGTTCATCTTGCTAGAACCGTAATTATTTGCTCTCTTTTCATTCTTTTATTTACATTTTGTTTCTTAAGAAATTTTCATAACTTTCTTTTCCTTGTGGTTGGCCTATAGGGGGAAGTTGAAGATTATCAGAGTTCGAGAAAGAAGGAACTCAAGAACTTCAAAGAAAATCTTGTTTCATTCTGGAATGATCTGATTATCGAGTGCCAAAATGGACCATTGTTTGATAAAGTCTTGTTCGACAAGTGCATGGACTACATTATCGCACTCTCATGGTTTGTGTTCAAACATTACAAACTTATGTGGTTATATGCCTCATACAATTCTATTCATGTTTGTCCTTTCTTTTTCTACTGCAGTACTCCACCTAGAGTTTACCGTCAAACTGCCACGCTAATGGGCCTCCAACTAGTCACATCTTTCATTTCTGTTGCAAACACACTCGGTTCACAGCGAGAAACCACGCAAAGACAATTGAATGCTGAAAGCAAGAAGAGAGCTGACGGCCCTCGTGTGGAGTCCCTCAACAAAAGGTTGTCTGTTACTCATGAACAGATAACTACACTGGAGGACATGATGCGCAAAATTTTCACTGGGTAAGATTGGATAACGATTATACTCTAAGCTAAGTATTACACCCACTAAAAAAGACAAAGAGTAGAAAAGAAATGGCTAGTTTTTTTATGCGAGTGTTGCTGACTGTTATCATTATTACATCTTATTTTGAAGGTTGTTTGTACACCGATATCGAGATATTGATAATGATATTCGGATGTCATGCATTCAGTCTCTGGGCATTTGGATTTTGTCTTATCCTTCTCTCTTCTTACAAGATCTGTACTTAAAATATCTTGGATGGACGCTTAATGACAAAGTAAGCTCCTTTTCTCTCTCTCATATGTTATCAAATATATGTTCGTAATAGTCACTGATCTTGTCTGTTTATTGAATTATCCGAAGAATGCTGGAGTGAGGAAAGCTTCTCTATTGGCATTGCGAAAACTTTATGAAACGGATGAAAACGTCCCCACGCTTGGTCTATTCACTGAGAGATTTTCCAATCGAATGATCGAGATGGCTGATGATGTTGATATGTCTGCAGCTGTATGTGCTATAGGGCTTGTAAAGCAACTGCTAAGGTATTCTCCCTCAAGATAATTTTCTCAACCAAAGCTTCACCACAATTATGTTGAACTGCCATGAGTTAAAACTTGAGCTTTTTTTGTTGCGCAGACACCAGCTGATACCTGATGATGACCTAGGCCCTTTGTACGATTTGCTTATTGATCAACCTCAAGAAATCAGACGTGCGATAGGAGAGTTAGTGTATGACCACTTGATCGCACAGAAGTTTAACAGTTCTCCGTCCAGTCTTACAGGTTTCACTCTGAGATAGTCCATGTCATGGGCACTAGAGTTTTTTACTCTTAGAACTTGGTTCAGAGTTATTATATCCTTTTTCAGGTCATGATGATTCTTCCTCCGAGATCCATATCTTCAGAATGTTACAAATATTACGGGAGTTTTCCACAGATCCGATTCTAAGTGTTTATGTAATAGATGATGTTTGGGAGTACATGAAGGCCATGAAGGTAGAGTCTAAGAGAAATTACTTTTCACTGTTGCACGTTCATTATATAGCTGTGAAGTGTACCTTCTGCCGTTTTTTTTATCATTATTATGATGCTGCTTTTCTTGCAGGACTGGAAATGTATCATCTCTATGCTTTTGGATCAGAATCCTCGAACTGGGTCTACTACTGACGAGGACTCGACAAACTTGATCAGACTTCTGTTTGCGTCAATCAGAAAGGCTGTCGGGGAGAAGATAATTCCTTCAACGGATAATCGAAAGCAGTATCACAGTAAAGCTCAGCGTGTAAGATTTTGTCTTTGCTCTTTCTGAGAAAATCTTCATGTTGTTACTTTGATATAACGTTGCAGAAGCATGAGGACATAAATTAATTTTGTTTCTTTTTCCTTGAAAGAAACTAGGAAGGACAAAATACATTTAAATGACCTTATAAGGCACTGTACTCTGTTTATATTTTCTTATACTCTTGTTTCCCTTTCAGTTATGAAGATAATGACTTTGATGTTTCATTGCTGTGAATAACAGGAAATGTTTGAAAACAACAGGAAAGACATAACGGTGGCCATGATGAAGAATTATCCACAGCTTCTACGTAAATTCATGGCTGACAAAGCAAAAGTGTCGTCTTTGGTTGAGATTATTATGTTTATGAAACTTGAGCTCTATTCTCTTAAAAGACAGGAGCAGGTGGCTAAAATCATTTTATTTCTTAAAGAACACCTTTTTTTTTCTTGTTATTCACCTTTCTCAGTGAAAGTTACATTTTGTCCCCTGTGTCAGAGTTTTAAGGCTGCCGTCCGACTCATAAAGGATGCTTTTTTCAAACACGGGGAGAAGGAAGCACTAAGATCTTGCGTCAAGGCTATAACATTTTGTGCATCAGAGAGTAAAGGGGAGCTTCAAGATTTTTCCCGTGGGAAGCTTAAAGATCTTGAAGATGAGCTTTTAGATAAGCTCACTTCTGCAATTAGAGAAGTCAAGGTACACTTTACTTCCTTTGCCCTCTATCTTCATACTCGTCTTATGGATGCCATTTTTACATCTGTTTTCTGTGCAGGATGGAAATGATGAATACTCCCTCCTTGTAAATCTGAAAAGGTTGTATGAGCTTCAATTGTCAAAGCCTGTGCTTGTTGAGAGCATGTTCGATGAGATTGCTTTGACGCTCCATAATTTCAGAAATTTGGACGAAGAGGTGCTCAAGGAATTAGTTTAAAGCTCTTACTATTTTTTTTTTGTGTCTCTCACATCTTAATGGAACAATTATTCATGGTTGCTTAGGTTATCTGTTTCCTGCTTATCAATATGTACATGTATATGGCGTGGTCTCTACACTCCATCATAAATTGTGAAGCTATCTCTGAAGCTTCTTTGTCTTCCCTTATATCAAAGCGTGATACCCTGTTTGAGGAGCTTACTTACTTCCTGAATGGAATTGAGGAATCGAGGAAATATGGTAATCAGCTATCGCTCAGGGTAAGACTATTTGACATTCCAATTTAACTTAAACATTTCATTCCGTATATGTGCTTGTGTTATCAAGGAATGAGACATTTCACCTAAAAAGTGAAAACTTCAATGCTGCAGATCTGTGCTATACTCGCCGAAACATGGTGTTTGTTTAGAAAGTCAAATTATGACTCGAGTAAACTTGAAAGATTAGGATACTGTCCCGACAGTGTCTTTCTTGAGAAATTTTGGAAACTCTGTGCAGAAATTTTTAACACTTCAGGTAACTCTTTGTTTTGCTTTTCTACAAAGCCCTGTCATTTCTTGATTTTCCAAGTTACGTATTATTTCTGCGGGACTTTGACACAGATGAGACTGATGAGGAGGAGGAAAATAAGGAATACATTGAAGAGACAAACAGAGATGTTGCGGTCATTGGTGCCTGCAAGTTGGTTACCAGTGATGTAGTGCCAAAGGTACTCACCAAGTGCATTTTACATTGCTGTTATTATTTTAGTAATGTTCTGACACCTATATTGATTGATGCTCACATATTAATTTTTTATATGGATTCTTTTCTGTTGCAGGATTATCTAGGACCAGAGATAATATCGCATTTTGGTATGCATGGACCTGGCGTGACAGGCATCATAAAGAATCTTATTACATGCTTAAGGAAAAAAGAAGATGACATCTCTAATATCTATCTGGAATCCCTGAAAAGGGTAAGCTTTTGGCAAAGATTTTCAGAAGATGCAAAGTTTCGTAGTCCAAGAAAATTGCTGACACTATGTAATTGGGCAGGCCTATCACCGGTATTCAAGTGAAGTTTCTAGTGGCTCTGAAGAATCCAGAGTAGAGAAATGTCTTGAAGTGTGCCGGGAGCTTGCAGGTGGGCTCTCAGGAATGTATATCGGGGCTGCGCGCAACAAATACAGATTGGAGATTTTGAGTGTGGTCAAGGAAGGTGTTGAGTTTGCTTTTAGGGACGCCCCAGAGCAACTGTTGTTTCTGGAAGTTGCTATCCTTCCATTTGCAACCAGACTCTCAGTGCCTGACATCATTGACATGTAAGACTGATGACTCTCTGAGCAAGTAGGAAGCTCTCTGCTAATAAATAACTTTATATATGCTCTTGTTTGCTTGCTGAACAGTAAGAAGGTCGTTCAAGGGCGTATAGTGCATGTTAATACAGACGAAGATCCCAGCGGATGGCGTCCTTGCTTCACCTTCTTGGAAACCTTGGAGGAGAAGTGCTTGAAAAACGAGGATTTGCAAGGTATGTAATGTGCACTCGCACAACATTTGATTTGGTTTAATCAAAGCCGGTAGATGAGTATTATATGTCTGCATACTTAGTCTTGACTTGTGATGATCCGTCTGTCACAGACGACAAGGAAGCAGCAACTGTAAGACGCAGGGGACGGCCAAGAAAACGTCCGGAAACAGAGCGAAAGAGACTGTTTGATGAGCAAAGTGGAAGCGATGAGGATGAGTCTATTAGTGGTGGGTCAGACAGAGAAGATAAGCTAGATGAGGACGCTCCTCTAATCGAGACGATTAGATCGGCTGCCAGACGGAAAGCGCTCAGGGTTGAACGGTCCAAGGGACACTGACGGGTAAAACATTTATCAATCGATATGTTTGTGGAGATAATTAATGTGTTTAAAGTTTGTTTCTAGTTGATACAGTTAAGGAACGCCAACAAAACTGCTCTTTGTTATATAATTCCATCATTTCAAGTTTAAGACATTACCATAAAATAATATCTATCATTAGCAGAACAAAATTGGAAGCATTAAAACAAGAAACAAACAAAACTTGCATTGATTTGATCAACTTCTACCAGCAATTCTCATCAAAGGAGCAATAACACCCTGAATCTCTAGAAGAGACTGTTGTATCCTAATCTCCTGATTAACCTCCCTCTTCAAGTTCCTGAGAAGACCTGTAAACTCGGTTTTACCCTTAATGTCCTCAGCTCTCGTCTCTAAAACCTTCTTCGTCAATCCCATCAACAATCCTGAATACCTCTGCACAGTGCAGTACCTTTGTAAGAAACCTAGCAGCATTCCCAACTCGCCTTCCTCCATATTCGACACGCACTTCATCAGCTTCCTCCTCGCCACTAATTCTTCCATCACTGCGACAACATTGGCCGGTTTCTTCTCCTCCAACACCGAGACCAGAGCTTCCTTATGCCTGAACTTCTTCAAGAGCTTGTCGTGTCTTGTCAGCTTCAATCCTTTCTTCTCCTTGACCAAGTAATCCTCTTCGGATGGCTTCTCGCTCTGCCCTCTCTGGAAGTACCTGAAATACGTCGGCCTCAGTGCCCTTCTCCTAGTCTCATCCACTTGGCTCCTCACACTCCAAAGACTCAAACTTTTCTTCTCTTCAACAACATCTCTCAGCTTCTTCTTACCGGCAAAGACCATGCCATTAGACCCTCCGATCACCCGAGTGGAACCATCGGGGGAAAGGCCAAGAGACATGAGAGGAGCTGGAAACCTCATAGAGTAAGTAACCTTTGCTCTCCCGTAATCAAACACTTTCATGTATCCGTCCAAAGCAACGCTAACAAGTCGACTCTCAGCGGATTCCAGTCTACCAACGCAGAGAGACGTGACAGTCTTGTTGTGACTCTCCATTGAGCAAACCATCTTCCCGCCTCCGATCAAGTCCCAAACCTTGACGCTGTTCCCACCGGCCGTTGCAATCATTCCACCAGAAGGCAGGTATACGACGTCCTCCACTGGGAGTCCATGGTTGATCTCGGCAATCCATTTGGACTTGTCGACTCTGGTGTCCCACACCTTCACCGTGTGATCGTAAGAGCCAGTTACCAACATTGAATCGTTGACGGGGGAGAAATCACCGCAGCGGACATAGTCCTTGTGGCCTAACAGATCTGAGATGACGGTTGCTCCGGCGACATCCCAGTACTTGACCACTCCGTCGTCGCCTCCGGATACCAAGTGGAGCTTGTCCTGAAAGGGATACTTGACGAATCGAGCGGGTGCGCTGTGGGAGCGGAGGGTACGGAGAGCCATTCGCTCCTTGATGTCGAAGACCTGGACGACACCGGAGAGATCGCATGCCGCGAAAAGAGCTCCGTCGGAACGGAAGCAGACGGAGGAGACAACATCACGGAAGGAGAAACGGCGGGAGGAGGAAAGCGAGTGCGAGGAAAAGAGGGAGACGGTGGCGGAGTGAGCGACGGCCAAGGAGTAGGGGTGGACCGGAGAGAAAGCCAAGGCGGACACGGAGGAGACGAGATTAGGTATGGAATGATTTTTGAAAGAGGACCAGTATCTGGATTCCGGAGTCTCCGATTTGGAAACAGGTTTCGCCGTTGATTTTGGTTTCACAGGGAAAACCTTTGACACTTGATGGTCATTCAGCCGAACACGAAGCTCTTCCTCCATTCTTCTACAGTAGAGAGAGCTTGAAGAGTAGAGAGAGGGAGGGGAACAAGGAAGAAGGAGGCTGGTTTAGGGTTTAAGCAATGGCACGACGGGGATTGAAGAAGAAGACACTTTTCTATTGAAATGAAAACTTTGGGCCAAAACAAAACCCATATATTTTATTTAACTGTCGTTAGAGCCCATTATGTAAGAGTACTATACTAGCAAAAAAAGCCCAATACTCCGTTTTGTTCTCCACAAGGCTTTGTTTCGTAAGAGCCGAAGGATAGTAAAATCCAATTCCATAATGATTGCCAACCATTACGAATGTTTGATGTGAATTATTTTTAATAAACTCTAGAGGATCATATTTCAAACGAGCACTACATTTGTCTCTACTATTTTGTCTTGAGAAACCTTCTTGTTTAACGGTTATCATATTTAATGCGACAAGGTTGGACCAGCCCTATACATCCCAACTTTGTGATTATAAAAAACATAACCCTCACTATGCTAGTGGGAACATAGAGCAAGTGCGGCTCCTGCGACCCCTCTTGCAGCGGCTACTGCAGTAGCTAGAACCACAGCAGTAATGTGTGTTATTTCGAGGCCGCCACTTTCACGGGAGAGTAGTCTCCTTGAGATCAGTTTACAGGACTTTTCAGCTTCTTTGTAAAGTGAACAATTGGCTCCTCCTTCAGTGATGGCTTTTTCGTTCTGCAAACATCGCAGGTCAGGTCAGAGATGAAAATACAACTAAGCGGAGGGTGAAATTAGTTATAGCTTAGAAAAGTATAGAGATATGATACCTTTAGCCTGAAGCTATTCATAGTTTGATTGACAGTGATAGAATCACCTGGTGATGATGATAATTTAGGGGAATGAACCTTCCATTCGTCTACAAGCTTACTAAGAAGAGCAACGCTAGCTTCTAGATGCTCCTTATAGAGAATATCCCAGTGCTTAAAGCAATCAACGTTTTCTGTCACAGACCAGATAGCGATTGCTGCAGCTTCCTTGGCTAGACCAGAATTTCCTGTAACAAAAGTAACAACTCATTAGAACTCCCTTTGGAGAAAAGAGAGAGGGAAGCAGAAAACTCGAGGATTCAAGGTTTCGTTTGTAAATAGCACCTTCTCCAGCTAATTTCAAGGAAAAAGTGAATATCTATTCCACTGCGTTCCCTTCTGTTGCAGTCTCTGGTGCAAGGGCTACTTCTTTCAACTAGGGATAAACTTTCTCAAACCTCTTTGTTGCCTGTGCGCATACATACAGAGACCATGCTTGTGATCAGAATCTACAAACGCATCAAACGTTTTTTTTCCTTTGATAAACTCCAATACTAGTGGTTAACCTTTACTCTAGCGGATGAAGGAGGGAACGTAAGCCGTATCAAGATCTCAAAGGAAGAAGGTGGAATCAGCCGCTCTCCGTCCCTAACAGCTCGATTTACAAGTATGGTCCGAGCCTCTGGATTTGACAAAATGCATAAACATGGTTGTTACATAATAAATATAGAGCAGAGGAGATGACAAGAATAAGTTGGACTCACATCTCAACAAATTGCAGGATGAGATCCAATGACCGAGGGGTGCAACACTCGTCATTACCCACTAGTGGTAACAAGTTATGCGCCCATGAATACAAGCCAGCAGATAAATCACCTTGGGAGGCCTGCCACCATAATACAGTTGAAAAACTTTTTAACAAAAAGACAAATTTTCGACACTGAAAAAAATAAAATAAAAAATATGGCAGTAACCTGAGCCATCATCCAAACTAAAAGCGGAAGCTTGTCCAGGCCTTGATAGATAGGTCTGTCCCTCAGCTTTGGCAAAACAGCAGTCAAAGCAGCAGGCTTACTACGCAATATCATGGCTAATCCAATAAGTAATGCCACCGGCTAATGGTAAAACAAGATGGAGTTAGACAGACAAAGGTAACTGAATAATAGACGCATTCAATGACACATGCATATGTTAAATCCCAAAATGACCTGATAGGTAGGTTTGGCATCTGCAAGGGATTTACAGACCCAAAGTACAAAGGCTCTGAGTGTCAGAAATGGAAGTTTGTTGATCCAATCGACTGATGTGTTGTAGACAGATGTAGAAATATGAGATAATGGAAACTGTTTTAATATTAGCAAAGCAAGGAAGAAAGATATATCAGCTTCTTCAGGAATCCCAACCTAGAAAACGAAAACGTAAAAGTAAGAAAGAAATAGGTGCTCACATGGATCAGCGTGGATAAAGGAGACTCTTTGAACATGTTGACCCATGGAAACGATTCTTGGGAAATTTTAATCTCAAAGTAATTGATAAATCTCAATACCTGGTCCTCCGGAAGACACCAAAACTTGTCCTATTACAGTATTAACAAACAACATTAACATTAATTTTGACTTCTGGGTTATCGAATTCACATATGTCATTATTCACTTACCAATAATTGTTCGAGGAAAGCCGCAAGATCTGATGGATCAATCTTTGCCGCGGCTTCAGAAAAAGAAGCTATCGCCTTTTCAGTTTCGTCCGCCTTCGAATTCTCATACCTCGCCGCACCGTTCGATTCATCTTCCACAGCAACTTCCATCCTTAGGTTTTCGACCATAGCAACTTCCATACATGTAAGCCTTTTTGTGTTGGGTTTTATTTATATACCCACAAATTTTCAAAATTAAGAAAATTTTCAAAATTAAGAATACACGTGTTTGCTTTTTGTATAATTTAGTTCTCTCTCATCAACTTTGACAAAAATGCCCTTCCGCAGATAATATTCATCCCATAAAAGGTGTTTCACCATCTTGTGCTTCAAACACAACACATAAAGCATGTGGATGGATTTACATCAGGCAGATTGGAGAATGATCAAGTAAGGATTCTCATAAACAAGTTTTGTATACTGATCAAGAACCACAGCACGAAACTATTCATCATGTCTATCAACATAAGCCATGGCAAAAGAGCAACTTACAATCTACAATCAAGAAACATGGTGGATGCTATCTTCCTTCTTCAATTCAATGGTTTGATTCCTAGCTGCTATAGGGTTCAATGCAGACATTCCTTCCAACAAAATGCTGCGTCTCTCTTATATAACATTTCAATCTTGTTGTATCCTATTTTCCCATAACTCTTTTACTCTACTGCCGATTCTTATCGGTTCACTATTATAGTCCATCATTATACTGCCCCAACTAAGCTATGTGAAGTCAACCATGAGTTTCTGAAAATTGCTGCATCGTTCATGACCAAGGGAAGTCCTCACGTCTCCAAAGGTCATGTCCATGCTTTAACATCATTCCTGTGATTTGATTGACCTTATGTTCCTGTCCATGCGCTGCTGCGTATACTCTATGCAGAATGCAAAGCGTCTTCTTGGACCGGCTTATGTTAAATCTTTCCATTTCAGAGAGGACGTTTTCCATCTCTTTAAAACGCTTTTGAGATCCATACATGACCATTAAGCCATGGAACATAGACCTGCTCATTTTCCATCCAGCAGAGTTTGCACGCTGCATGAATTTGGCAAGCTTATCAACCGCATTGCACCTGAAGTAACTAGCCACAATTGATCTCATAATACCATCTGTCTCAATCTGGAGTCCTTTTGAAATAGCCTGGTCTATGAAATTCTCCATGGCGTGTAGATTATCATCCTGAGCATAGACCTGTATCAAGAGCACATACAACCAAGGCTTGTAACTTTTCTTGGGAATAAGCTTGGATAAAGTCTTGATTTTTCTGATCCTATCCTTGTGAGAACTCCTGTAGTATGCGCATATCATGGACTCGATTAACGTAATCTCATTCCTGTCAACGTGAGGTTTGACAGCTTGATACAAGTCCTCCATCCGTAGCAGGTTTCCTGAGTTTGCATACCCTCGGAGCATCAGCAAATAGGTGGCAAGCGTAGGCTTAACAAGGCCATTCTTCATGGTGTGGAAAGTTGCTTCCATCTTATCCCAATTCCAAGCATAGATATAGCCAGCAATCAAGTTGTTGTAGGTGCTGGAATCAGGTTGGAAATTGAGTTGTGTGAGCTGGAGGAATACTGCTTCCATTCGATCAACCATAATCAAACGGCCATAAAGAGAAATGAGGATGTTGTAAGTAGAGACAGATGGAGTAGAGGAGTGCCCTTCTTGTTGAGCATTGAAGTCAAGGAAGAGCTGCTTGCAATCATCTGCCAAACCGTTCCACATGTAAGCACCCATCAAAGCATTGTAGACGGAGGTGGTCTTGTTTGCGGACTCGTTAAACAAGGAAAGAGCCAAATCGACATTCTTCAGTCTACCAGAAATTGTAATGCCCTTAGCGTATTCATCAGCAGTCATAGGCACACCATCGCATAGTGCCTTGTTTCTTCTCCAGTCGAAGACCTGCAGCAACACATCGAACATCAGCAATAAAAGAAGAAGAAAGCTTCGTTGTGAATACAGCAGCAGAGTCAAAAAAAAATGTATACCAATTGAGACAAAACGGGCCATGGACGTAACTGCCTAAGGAGCTCAACAAACGCAGCTCCTTGGATGTTGTTTCTCTCCAAAACAGAGGCAACTTTATCGGAATCATTACAGAAGCGCAACAATTGGGTTTTCAAAGCCGAAGTTTCACCACCGGATTTGAAGGGAGGGTGTATAGGAGACCTGAAGAGGGTGAAGCAGAAGGGGGTCAGAGTCTTCAAGGTTGAAGAAGACCCACGAGAAAGGCAGAGAAGATCAGAGATTTGGGAAATCAGTGAGATTCTCCAGATTCGCTTCTTCATGGAGATTCAGATTGAGATTGAGGTTCAAGAAATGGTTCATCAGAAAGAAGATTCCAACCATCGCGAGTCTGTTGTTCCTCCATGTTCGGCCCTTTACGTTCTATTGGGTTTCAAACTGCTCGTTTTGGGCTTTTCAGTTTTCTTCGTTTCTCGGCCCATTTTAAATCTGCATTTATCTTTAAAAAAGGAAAAAAAAAAGTCAAATGGAATATAGAATACGTATATTTGGCGGCCATCACGTGTAGAGTAGTACTGTAATTATGAGCAGACACTTATGGTTTTAATATTTTTTTATTCAAAATTAATGCAATTAGGCTTGTTAGTACAATGAGAAAGTAGGACCTTTTCAGGATCCAATCGAGCATTTTTAATATTATCATCAGATTACCACTAACGACCATTGATTGAATCATTGAATAATACTACGGAAAGGTGAAAGGAAAGTTGTCATGCAATTTCTTTTAGATTCATGACATGTTCTGACCCTTTCAAGAAAATCAGTGGTGTTCTTCTTCAAGTAATTAACACAATCAATAATACACTTAATATATTTAACTAATGACCGAAATAATAGTGGTTTACTCACTTTTCATTTTGGGTCAATGGTTAAAAGAATAAAAGAAACAAAGAAAGATTAGAAAATTTTAGAAATTAGAGAAAAAAGAGAGAGAGAGTGTTAATAATGTCTTTGTTGGGGTCGTCAATTAGTAAATATCTGGTCTCTTGTTCACTTTTTTTCTTTTGTGCCGGCGCGCCAGATTAGATGCTGTTTCTCCGTGGAATCGCCGTCGTCTTCATTCTCTTCACCTCTTTCTCCGCCGCTCAGAACTCCACGTGTCCTCTGGACTTTTCCGTCCTCCAACCGTTCCGGCGTCCGAAACCCGATGGCGCCACCACCTGCCAGTACCTCCTCCAAGGCCTACGCCTCCTTTACTCTCACCATCTCCGTCAGACGGGTTCCTTTCTCCCGCCACCCGATTCTGCTCCCTCTTGCTGGGCTGCTCTCCAGTCTTCCATCGCCGGATTCCTCCCTCGCTTCGACGTCCGGTCTACCTGTGGTTTCCAGACGCCGTGGATTTCGCAGGGGTGCATGAACATCACCACCAGGTCTCAGTTCGAATCCCTAATCCCTAATTCATCCCTCACCACCACCGCCATGCGCTGTAACACCTCTCTCGAGAGCAATACCCCTTGCGCCTCCTGCACTCAGAGCCTCTCCGCGTTTCAGCCTTATCTCACCGGTCCTTCCCTCGGTAACGTCTCCGACTGTGCTTCTTTTCCCTCTATCTACGCCGCTGCTTTCGCCAATTCCTACGGTCCCACCGAAAAAGGCACCGCCAAATGCTTGTTTCAGCTCGATTTGGCTTCTCCTAGCTCCGGTAATGGCAAACTCATCAAAATTCTTGTTTCTTTATCTATCTTGCTCGTTGCCTCTGCTTTGGTTATTACCGCTTGGTTCTGGTACTGCCGGAGGAAAAAGAACAAACTTTTTTTCAAGCCTCGGGATACCAGTTTAGAAGCTGGCACGCAATCTAGACTCGATTCCATGAGCGAGAGCACCACTCTTGTCAAATTCAGCTTCGACGAGATCAAGAAAGCCACCAACAATTTCTCGCGCCACAACATCATTGGCAGGGGAGGTTACGGGAACGTCTTCAAGGGCGTCTTGCCCGACGGCACCCAGGTTGCCTTCAAGAGGTTCAAGAACTGTTCTGCTGGAGGGGACGCCAACTTCGCTCATGAGGTCGAGGTCATCGCCAGCATCCGCCACGTCAATCTCCTTGCTCTCAGAGGCTACTGTACAGCAACCACTCCCTATGAAGGTCACCAGAGGATCATAGTCTGTGATCTTGTGAGTAACGGTAGCCTTCATGACCATCTCTTTGGAGACTTGGAGGCTCAGCTTCCCTGGCCTCTCAGGCAGAGGATCGCACTTGGCATGGCCAGAGGGCTTGCTTATCTACACTACGGCGCACAACCCTCCATCATCCACAGGGATATCAAGGCCAGCAACATTCTCTTGGACGAGAGGTTTGAGGCCAAGGTTGCGGATTTCGGGCTGGCCAAGTTCAACCCCGAAGGAATGACGCATATGAGCACGCGGGTCGCAGGCACAATGGGGTACGTGGCTCCAGAGTACGCACTGTACGGGCAACTGACTGAGAAAAGCGACGTTTACAGCTTTGGGGTGGTGCTTCTAGAGCTTCTGAGCAGGAGAAAGGCGATTGTGACAGACGAGGAGGGGCAGCCTGTGTCGGTGGCAGACTGGGCGTGGTCGCTGGTGAGGGAAGGCCAGACACTGGATGTGGTGGAAGACGGGATGCCAGAGAAGGGGCCCCCAGAGGTTCTGGAGAAGTATGTGCTGATAGCAGTGCTGTGCTCTCACCCTCAGCTCCACGCAAGGCCAACAATGGATCAAGTGGTGAAAATGCTGGAGAGTAATGAGTTCACTGTTATATCCATACCTCAACGCCCAATCCCTCTGGTGGCTTGTAGGGAAGAGATTGACCGCTCTGTTAGTAGCAGCAGCGGCTCCGGAAAGCTCACTAGCCCCACGGGATATCAGGCCTTCTCCTTCGGAGGTGATGGACCCTCAGGGAACACAAATACCACTTAGCTGAGATATGTATGTTGTAGATATTAATTTAGTGTGCATTCATTTCATTCTTTGATGCTTCTTCTGTCACTTATGTAGTAGGGTTTACTTTTTCCAATAAACTCATCTTGTTGTAACATCTTCGGATGCAATATTTATACAGGTCGAATAAAGCTAAGAAATATACATACATGTGTATGATGTTATATACACACATCACATCACATTATTATCAAATGTCAGACGACGACAAAAGCTTGTTGGAAAAAGACACGAAAGATACGGAGGTCCATGAAGATGTCCATGTGTGTAAATACACACACAAAACACTTTCGTTGATCCGCTCCGGTGATCCCTCTGCTAGCGTCATTAATCAACGTTGAAATCATATTTTGGTGGTGGGTTATCTTAGAGCATCTCCAATGGGGAGCTCTCTCCATGAGACTCTCTTCAATTTTTTATTATAAATTTTTTGAAAATGTGAGATGAGAGCTTTTGCTTTTTAAAAAGAAAATTCATAGTCCAATGGTAGGTTCTCTAGTGAAGTTCTCTTAGGACAAAAAAATTATTAAAAATATTTTTTCATAAAATTTAATAATTATTGTAATTCATAAAAATATTAAACATACATTATTTCAAACATTTTTAAAAAGATGTGTAAAACCTTTTATCAAAAAAAAAAAAAGATGTGTAAAACCAAAACCGGAATAACGATTAGTTGTACTGATGATTTTTGCGAAATTTTTGCCACATATGCTCAACCAAATTAAATTGTAAAAATCATAAATCCAATCCTAGCAATAGTATATTTCGTTAATTTGGTTTATAATTAATTTTTGTGCCAGAATTTTTTCCGTAATTATCCAAAAAACAAAAGTGAGTGGTATTATGAAAAGAGATAAGAGTCATAATTATAAACCAATAAACCATCCACACTAACCGGTTTAATCACCAATTTTGTTCGTCTGTCTACAGTTTCTAGCCCTAGGATTCTTCTTCCTTTCTCCTTTCTCTGGCCAAAGTTGCGATTTTTGCTTCTCTCGGAGGCTAATCATGGACGCCGTGGCGGCGAATTTGGTTCAATCTTCAGTCTTAATACGTCAATCTTCCGAAAGTACGTCTTCATTCTACTGCGTTTGATTCACTCAACCCTAGACATCAATTTAGCTTTCCCGAATCATGTTTGTTTGTGCTTAATCTACCCCATAATCGTATGAAATTCTAGAATTCTGATTCGAGAGAGAGAGTCTGTGTTTTATTTTTTTTGTCGAGAGAAAAAAGTAAAACAAATGAGTATTTTTTTTTCTTTTGTTAAAAGCATATCCTCCAATCGACACGTGTCCGCCTCTCTCAAAGTCTCAAAACTCTTTGAAGAGAGTCGATTCTCTCTTGTTTAATCAATTTTGAATTATTTTTTGGGCAATTACAGATGAGAACTCCTCAAAAAATTGAAGAGAACCTGCCTTTGGAGATGCTCTTAGATTCTTTTCTTTTATTTTTACTTTGAGTCTCTGCAAATCTTTTTGAAAGAACTAACGATCGAGTTACATAAGCAAGATCGATGTATTAACAGTCACGTGTTCTGATGTTAACAAGAAGAATAAAGACAGATCTGATTCAAATTGGTCTGCGTGAATTTTGTGTCTTTCTTGGATGATTAATGAATGATTCATAGCCTCACAGGAATATCAGAAAAACTGAGATAAAGTTTTTGACAAGAGGCCAAAGACAGCCATCACGTGTCTGTCTCTGTCCAATCCACGCCAGCCACTAGCATATGTGTGCGTATTCAATTTTACTTGGTACATCTTTTTTTCTTTTCTTTAATGTGAATTTTCTTAGTATATCTTACAGAAGATGTTAGTATACACACATATATAGTGGATAAATAGTTTATACACTCAATTTTGTTTGAACTCCCCCAAGTGGCTCAACGTTGTCATTAGCTATATTCTAATTTAATGGTTATCATCACAAACTGAAACCCAATTTTTGGAATGTAATCCATGGCTGCTCTTGGTAAAGGACATAAATCAGCTTTCATCTCTTGGTAACAAACCCCACAAAGATTTCTTGCCTAAAGGGTCACTCTTACCTATAAAAAGTTTTCATCTTTAATTCTTGTCCTCCGCTTTTCTGTTTTTGTATGTTTCTGTCTTCTTACTCAACTTTTGCTTCAGGCTTCGTCTCTTTTGCAATTTTGAGTTAGCCAAGTGCTCAAGGGAGATACATAATACCTGAAGATGTCAAAGGCAAAAAGTGATGCCGTCAGAGAACCATTGGTGGACAAGAATATGGCTGGATCAAAACCAGACCAGCCGTGGATGGTTTATCTCAGCACATTTGTTGCGGTCTGTGGTTCTTTTGCGTTTGGTTCTTGTGTAAGTGAAATTTAGATCCCATGGAAAGTCACAAACTTTGTTTCTGGTCTAAAAATGTCTCTTTGATGAACGTTATCCTAAAAATTGGTTTTGATGCAGGCGGGATACTCTTCACCTGCTCAGGCTGCAATTAGGAATGTCCTTTCACTGACTATAGCTGAGGTACATAATCCTTCAAGGAAAGACTGTTCATCAATTGATCATTGAAGGTTGCTTACCTTTACCTTGGATTCTGCAGTTTTCACTCTTTGGCTCTTTGCTAACTTTTGGCGCAATGATTGGCGCTATAACAAGCGGGCCTATAGCTGATTTGGTTGGAAGAAAGGGGGTAAGGAAAAGTTTGAAACTTTCCATCTATTTAGTTGCCTTTCTGTTGACAACGCCTACTTACTTGTGGTGGATCTGTATTCAGGCGATGAGAGTTTCCTCTGCATTTTGTGTAGTTGGTTGGCTAGCAATATTCTTTGCCAAGGTATTACTCAGGATCCCAAACAGTGGCTATATATGCTGCTCTTAAAGTTGTGCCTAATGTATCTCGCTTTGTGTCTCAATCAAAGGGAGTAGTGGCTCTGGACCTCGGAAGACTGGCAACGGGATATGGAATGGGAGCATTCTCCTATGTGGTGAGCCCATCGAGTTAATATATTTTCTGTTCAACTTCTCGTTATCCAGTGTTAATGATACGTTGATGGGTAGGTACCAATCTTTATAGCAGAAATTGCACCTAAAACTTTCCGAGGGGCTCTAACCACACTGAACCAGGTAATTAAGATCTTTTGTCTCCCTTACTACTGTGTTAGAGAATTCTGAAAACAACCTTTTGTGCCACAGATTCTGATCTGCACTGGAGTGTCGGTTTCCTTCATCATAGGCACACTAGTGACGTGGAGAGTCTTAGCATTGATAGGTAAGGAATGTATGTGCTCTCTAAGTAGAACTAGGACTCCATCGAAGTCAGAATACTTATGTGTAATGTGGCTTCAGGAATCATCCCATGCGCTGCCTCCTTTCTTGGCCTCTTTTTTATCCCTGAGTCTCCAAGATGGCTGGTAAGACCAGAAGAAGCACCATAAAAGCTCATACATGTATATCTTCTTGTGAATAATTAGTCGTACATGTGTTTGTAGGCAAAGATGGGGCGTGATACGGAGTTTGAAGCTGCACTGAGGAAGCTCCGTGGGAAGAAGGCTGATATTTCGCAGGAGGCAGCAGAGATTCAGGTTTTAGAATCTTACAATCTTCTTCTGAATCGATAAAACCATGTCATGATCTCAAAACATATCACCATCATTCTTGACAGGATTATATCGAAACTCTGGAAAGGCTACCGAAAGCCAAGATGCTGGATCTGTTTCAGAGGAGATACATACGCTCTGTTCTTGTAACATCCTGTCACCATAAATACCAATCTTCTTAGTCATGTTGCAGATGCAAACTCACCAATTGCATGCTTTGTTGGAGCAGATAGCTTTTGGGTTGATGGTGTTTCAGCAGTTTGGAGGAATCAACGGAATATGTTTCTACACAAGCTCGATATTTGAGCAAGCAGGTAATACATAGAGAGATTCTTGAATTATACACCTTATAACTTGTATCTATATAATCACCCATCTTTTTGTGTCAGGTTTTCCCACAAGACTTGGGATGATAATATATGCTGTTCTTCAGGTTCCAGCTTTATTTATCTTCTTGTAGGCAGCAGTCCAAATTCAAAAGATTCTTCTTAATCTCTCTAGTTATGTTCACAATATATCAGGTGGTAATCACTGCGCTTAATGCACCGATAGTTGACAGAGCCGGAAGAAAACCGTTGCTACTGGTAAACAAAATGAGATTTTAACAGGCAGGATTATATATAACAAACAAACTAACTCGAAGGAGTTGTGGCAGGTTTCTGCAACAGGGTTAGTGATAGGCTGTTTGATAGCAGCGGTCTCTTTCTATCTCAAGGTTCACGACATGGCGCGCGAAGCAGTCCCAGTCCTGGCTGTTGTTGGTATAATGGTAAGTGATTTTCAGCAACGTAATTCATCTTTGTTAGCACCAAAAAAAACTGAGATGAAAGAGAGCAGGTGTACATAGGATCGTTTTCAGCAGGAATGGGAGCAATGCCGTGGGTGGTCATGTCTGAGGTAAATTCCATCCCTGAGGGACAATTACTTGTTGTTGTTGTTGTTGTTGTTACTTGATGAAATAAATTCGAATTGTTTGCAGGTATTTCCCATAAACATAAAAGGAGTAGCAGGAGGCATGGCCACACTGGTGAACTGGTTTGGAGCGTGGGCTGTTTCTTACACTTTCAACTTCCTCATGTCCTGGAGCTCTTACGGTAGGTGTAACTCAAATAATCATTCCCTTTTAATCTGTCTGAGAATTCCCTGCATGCCAGTCCTAAAAATAAAAACAATGCTGCATGCAGGAACTTTCCTCATTTACGCTGCCATCAACGTGCTGGCCATTGTCTTCATCATTGCCATCGTGCCTGAAACAAAAGGGAAGACATTGGAGCAGATCCAAGCTGTAGTCAATCCATAGCTCAAACAGATATTGTTCCTAGATGTTCGTGTCTATTCACTTGGGACATTAAGTAGCAGTCTTGAATCTCTTTGCTTTTAAGATTCTTTACTTGGATTGTTATCAATCTCGTTATTTCTGATGTCTTCTTATTGAAATTTGGACTTCAAAAAGCGGATCCTTATTATATATACAATGTCTCCAATTTGATGTTTTTCCATAGTCCAGCCCTCTGTGATATTTGCAGAGTCTTCAAATAAAGAGAGAACGCAGGTTCATACAAACCAAAACCTTACCTCTGCTCTGCCTCTGAGAAAGAATGCAGATTCATTATTGCTTTCTATATCAGATATTCATTTTTATGTGGATCAGTAGTATTCATTGGTAATTTTATCTTTTCACTAATAAAACTACATCGTTTGAGGATTTTGTATATCTATGTTGCCTTTACAAATAAAGACATTTATCTATAAAATCATGTTACAAGTGTATAGCTTGGGATTGAAGTTATCTTAGCTCGAGGCCGTATAGAAACCCGAGTCCTAGTTATGGCTAAGGACTTGGCTTCAAAGTCAGAGCTTATCCAACTTGGACTATTTCTTCTTCCTTTTCCGTCGTCCATTTTAACGTTTTCAAGAAAGCTAATTAATCTCACTTTAAGAAACTACAAAAATATAAAGAAGAGTGCTACTGACTCAATGGTGAATATACTCTATAGGTTTTCGGTTAAACAAGCCACGATGTCTACCTAAAATTAAAAGCGCAGACCAAAATAATTAAAATGTAAAAAAAAAGAGGAAATCTAGGCGAAAGTATATCAGACTTCACGTTCAGCACAGAGACTAGCACGATTATTAAATTATACACAGATCTCAAATTGAGTGAATCAACAGTCCAAAAAAAACTGTAACATTTTGTAATATATAGAGATTGTTCACGCTTTGTAGTAATGTGTCCTCCACGAGGCCTTTGTGAGAGACGAGTTATTATTATACGTAGTCGCTGTAACTCTCTGCAGCTTGTGTCTTATCGGTCGCTGCTCGTCGACGTTGATCGCTCTAGCTTTTACAACATCGACTTTGACTATGTGATGGTCCGAGGTTCCTTTGGAAGACAACACCGAATACGACCCTGGCACGAACCGGTACGGTGAATCTGAGGAAGCCAGTATGTAGTCCACGCGTGTCCCGTACTTGCATGTCCCCTGCACACCTGTAATTAATATCCTCCCTAAGTTAAAACTCTAATGAACCAATTGGAAACAGCTAGCTAGCTGCAGGCGTTGTTTGACGGTGCTCACTTTGGCCTTTGGCGACAACAACCACAGATTCGCATTCTCCAGCAAAGTCCTTAGCGTCAGTGTATTCTTTGCTCTTTAAGAATCTCATCACTTGTGCTTTTGGTATCGGCTTACCCATCTCTTCGTAATACTATATATATAGCAGCGTCCGTTAATTACACATATTACTAGCTAGATTGATTGATTACTTGTATGTGCATTTGTTTGGATAATGTACCTTGACGATGTCGGTCCATCTCTCAGGAGAATAATCGGATTCGTCGAGCGAATTGAGAGCACCAGCGAGTATGTGGGGTACGTTGGTGGATCGGATAATGGCATCGACTTGCTTCATTCTCCACTTCTCGTCCAAGTGATCAAGATGAGTGCAGTGAAACTCCACTTCCCCGCTCCCCGGAACTTCTATGCTCGCCTTCAACACGTTCCTATAAATCAATCATAGTAAACCCTAATTGATATGATCTCAGCTGTGTTTGATTGTCAAAATATTTCTAACATAAAACCACATGCACCTATATAGGGACCTTCGTCATTAGAATGCTTACGAGAACAACAAGAGTACTATACTAATACCACCACCTTTTTCTATGTCTGCCACCAATTTGATAAAAAACATTTAATTATTGTGAATTAATTTGGTAGAAAAATAAAAATAGATGTTTCACAAGAACCCCATGAGCTAGATATTTATTTTTATACGAATAATTAATAATAATAATTCAGACAAAAGTATATTGACGAATTTGAAGCTGTCCCTAAGAATATACAGCTGTTAATTATGAGAGTAGTTCTTCACAGAAAAACTTAAGTGGGCATTGTATATACATGTTTGTGCATATGTGTTTGTATGTATATGTACACACATTTGATACTCTCACGAGACGACCATGACGACTAGGATCTTAATTAATTGGTACAAAGTTATATAATCCATTTATTGTTTGATTTATTAAAAAGGACAATTTGTATCCTTAAGCTATAGGGTTTTGGTAACTAAACAATACTAACTTAAAACAAGAAAAAGAAAAACAGAGGAGCTAGTTTTAATTAAACCTGAAATCAGTGTCGTCGAAGATTCTTAGAACATCGGAGCTTTTGATGGGCCACTTAGAGAGAATGGCGTTGCCGTACTCCGGCGCCCAGCTCTCAGCGAAGATGTAATTCATCCCCAGCGCGGCCGCAAGATCGGAGAGCGGTCTCATTTGGTCAGCCTCGTCAGCCTTGACGTCTTGCAGAGCCAGCACGTCTGCGTCTAGCTCCCTCAGCACTTCCAGAGCCGTTCTGGTGCTCCGGAGACCAACCTCGCCGGAGAAAGAGAGAGCAGGCCTGAGCGGAGAGTGCTGTGGATCCTCCCGGAAGCTGAGCTGGCGGCTGATCTCGTTGTCGGGGAGATTGATGGAGACCCTAGGCCTGGATTTGGCAAACCTCTCGTCATGAGTAGGAGTGGCGGCGGCGTTCATGGGCTTGAGAATGCTCTTGGGGCGGTCAACGGTTGACTTGGACCGGAATGGCAAACCCTTGTTGTTTGGGACGGCGGGAGCCATGGAGAACATAGCAGCGTTAAAGGTGGCCACTGTGATGGTTTTCTCCGGGTTTGGGTGAATAGCGGCTGCCGATGGAAACCCATTGGTACCACTCTGATGAGTCTCAGGAGAAGTATCACCTGAGCGGTGGTGGTTGACGGAGATTCTGGCTTTCCGGGGGCGGCGGAGACGACGGCGGAGGAAAGCAATGAGGTTCAACATATCAGCTAAGAAAAGGGCGATCGCATTTATTAAGCTTATTGTCTAAACTAGTAAGTATATATATATACTTTTGACAATGAGAGAGATCAGAGAGAGATATATAGATTTCCTTTAATAAAATAAAATAAAAAGATTTATAGAAGAAATTAGAGAGATGTGGAATGTGGAGTTTGCACAAAGAAGGCTTACGTGGTATATCAACTCATCGATGTAAATGTACATAAATCCCTTTTCCTTGTCTTGTATTTTTTATTTATTTAATAAAAGCTCACCAATCATTTGGTTTCAGTACTCTTTTATTTTGCAATACAAAAATCATGAAATACAGTGTGGTATTTTGTGTTTTTTTTTTTTGTTTAGGTAAGTGTCGAACTAAAAGTATACAATTATTATGGACGTTAAACAACTACTACGAAGGAAGGTTATGAACCGTCGTCACGTCAGAGAAGAGAAAGGGAGCGTATTAAATATAATTAACGAAAAGGAAATTAACAACTCCCAAAAGTTATGAGATTTTTTTTAGTAGCTGGTGGGTCAGGCCTATTTGACATGGACCTCCTCATTAAAACTAATAATTAGACTATTTGTAGTAGTAGTATCAATTTCTAGCATATGTGGACCAACTGCTCTGTAATTTAAAACTAGTAAATCCTCCTACACAGAAGAACAGAACACATTGTAGTATTTAAATAAGGAATTTGATATCAGTCAGAATCAGTATTATTATTATTTATGGAGGGGATATGAAAGATTATCTAATACAAAAAAAGAGTCAAAAGGAAAAGAACAAATTAGGATGGAATAGAGAGAGCGTTGCAAGTTAGGTGAAGTGTTAATTGTTTATTTGTTTTGTTATTAAAGTCTAATAATAATCTCTCTTAGCTGGATTTTGTAATAATACTAGTAGTAATACAAAAGAAACTGCATGCTGTTTCCATCCTACCAAAACGGCATTACATACTCTGTCTTTTTCTTATTATTAATCCAAATCCTTTTTCTGCCACATTCCCACTCAAATGTATATGTTGTCTTCCAATGAATGATACTTGTATATTGATATATAACAACACACTAGAAAACGACGATGATATATGCATGTTTGATGATATTCTCATTCGCATACTAATTATTACTATCGTTTATGGGTCATAAATAATAATAAGGGGGATATAGACTGTTTTCAATAATTAATTATATTAGATGGATGATTATTTAGTATTGGGCCACGGCCCATTATTCAATTATTTTCGGCCCATCGTCTCGGATGGGTCCGGTGGGTGATGCACTAAACGTGTCAAGCGTACAATATGGTATGTCACACTCTTACAATGCCGGCACAGCCTGCCTGGAATCAAGAAAAAAAAGAAGAAGAAAAGACAAGGTCTGTGTGGCTGCTGCTGTCATCGGAAAGAAAGAAGAAAGATCCACCGGGAATATGGACGAGGACGAGCAGACCCAAGAATCAACCACTAATAATAAGGTTAAAAAAAAAGTAACCTAAAAAAGTAATTTGAGCTTCTAGGTAGGAGAACTCTTGTTGCATCTATAGGTATAAATTTATTAGCCAAGGATTTTAGTATATAACGTATGTTTAGTTAAACTTTCCTCTTTGCCATTGTTTTATTGGTTTACCTTGTCTAAACATGGAGGCTACGTACATCTTTGATCCTGGTTGTCTATTTGGTGCTTCCATCTGTATAATTAAGTCTAATTTCCTCCCAAATTTTGGCTATTTATGTCCTCTTAGTTTGTGCAGAAAAAACCTGCTACTCCTGGGAGGTCGATAGATATCTATGCTGCACAGTGTGAAAAGTGCTTCAAGTGGAGGAAGATTGATACCCAAGAAGACTATGAGGAGATCAGAAGTAGAGTACAAGAGGACCCCTTCGCCTGCGAGAAGAATGAAGGTATGTCCTGTAGAGATGCTGGAGACCTAGACTATGATTCCACCAGAACATGGGTCATCGACAAGCCTGGCTTGCCAAGGACACCAAGAGGCTTCAAGAGGACCTTAGTTCTCAGGAAGGACTACTCAAAAATGGATGCCTACTACATATCTCCTACTGGCAAGAAGATGAGGACTCGCAATGAAATTGCAGCCTTCATCCATGCCAATCAGGATTACAAGGATGCACTGCTTGGAGATTTCAATTTCACTGTCCCAAAGGTGATGGAAGACACTGTCCCTTGTGGTATATCTCGGAAATGATCAGGGTATCTCTAGGCTCTAGCTGGTTTAGTCTTTTAGGAGGTTGGACTTCTGAATGTGGAATGCTTATGAACCCATCTTTCTTTCTAGTGAAAGATGACATTTCTCCTCTTTTCATTATGTCACAACTACAATAATCAACTACAAGATGATGAAAAAAATATATCCCTCAGAATATTCCGCTCAGTATGTACAAATATGACAAAGTGTTTCTGGTTGGACCTAAGCATCATAGTCTAGCTTTGTATACTCGAGCAGCATGTGCGGGGATCTATAGATCTTCACAAGCGTCCAGTATAGAACTTCTTCCACTCCAAGCTCACCCTCTGCTCTCGCCGCGTACAAGTCCTCGCATATGGCTATTAATCTACATTCAACAGTGAGTGGTCATAATCTCTTAAGAGGTTGAGAGTATCATGGAGCAGCAAAACTCTGGGACAATGTTTACAGATGTTACCTGTCACACGAAGGCAGGTTCTCGTACGGTATTCTCATACGCAGGTCAGAGCATTGAAGCCTGATGAAACGCCCCACCGCTAGTACAAATGTGATATAGAGTCCCCATATACTGAACTTGCTGAGGGTGTCACCCAGAAAGCCCTCTGCATATTATTTTCGGTATCATTAATAGAACATGAGTTATGAACAAACACTTGAATTAGAAGAGCTAACTTACGTGGCGGTGTTTCCTCAGACATTATGATAGCAACTGGTCCATCCATCCCCTCGCAAGCGCTGATATTTTCAGACGCTTTAAGATTATGAAATGACCACCACCACTTGAAATCTGCATGGTTAATGAGTATGTCTGCACTCACTTCATCCGTCTGTGGCAACAACATTACAATATTGGAAGTATAAGCCAAAACAGGAAACATTGTCTGGAAATAACTCTTAGCTTGTGCAGACAAGATTTACCTGATCCTCGAAAGACCTGACATCACCAGAACCAGTAACACGGAAGAACTTTGGGTACAAATTATGCACCCTAAATCCATCCATCGACCCATTGAGAACCATTTGGACATCAGAGCGTTTTGGAAGGTCCAGAGGGTCGACACTTCTTTCATATTTCACAGTCTCCTTGCCTTTAGGGCGGTCTCTGTTAAGAACCCAAGTAAAGGTGATGTCCATATCTGTGTCCCAGTCAAGGGATTGAATAAATCTGGTCACAACTGTGTCAGGGACAAGCCATAAAACACTTGCATCAGCTTGACAGCATATCAGCTGGATGTCATTTTTGTTGTATGTTGGCAAAAAGCTTTGAGACCCGAGATCTAGCCCGAGATCAATGTTATCTCCTGAGATTCTCTCGCATAGGGTCGTTTGGTACAAAGTAAGCTTTCCACCAACTGTTTTTAAATCGATCTGAACGCTAGCATCTTTTATCGGATTGGCAATGTTTGTCGGGTTACCACTGCTATACATCTGCAAGGAGAAAGCAGCCATTACCAACAAACAAATGACTCACCAAATACTCAAACTGTAAGACATCACAGAGAATTGTTGGATTAAGCCAGCACATAATCTTTCTTTTCCGATACATATAAGCATCATCTATGCATCATGAGTACTATTAATCCCAAGAACGTATTGATAATTCAGATTCGAAATGAAAAACTTTACAAAAGCATTATAAAAGTTGTGTTGTACGAAAATTCTTACCAGCATAGGAGCCCAGATAACACATAACAAGATGAAGAACAGACATATCCCGTTGCAGCATTTAGTCATTTTGGTTTGCTTCTCCCCATGTTTATGTGTCGCTCGATTTAAAACTGTATCGCATTTGACAAGGTACAAACTCGCATTTACATCTTCCAACTGCAAACGAACAGAACTTAAGCCCTTGGCAGTATGTTCAAACTAACATGAATGATCCATGATCATAGCAAGGGTTCTAGAAAACAAATGCATGGGATCAGACGACATACCTTGAGCCAGTCATACATTGTCAGTGATGTAGCTGTGCAAGACCAGTCAAGCACACATCTCAGTTCATACAGGAAAGGAAGAGCACGGTAAAGTCTGTAACCATAGTAATTGATCCGTGAAACTTCACTTGTCAAAAACTGCCGATACAAGGTGCTTTTATGAGGTAGTCCATAGCGGATTTGTATGGCCTGGAGAGCTAGTGACATTGCTTTGGCAAGAAATATGATTCTGAGAGCCAAGCCAGCAGCGTGTTGCTGGGTAGGATATATGCTCCAAGCATACTCTGTCACTGCATATGTGAAGAGAATAAGACTGAAGAGATAGTATACCACTTTTCCAGTCGCAAATGAGCAAAGATAGATGACGCGATCAACAACAATTAAGAAGAAGATAACCTGCCATAAAAGCATTTCATCGGGTTAGGGCACTGATACAAAACGGGTGTGAACAGATAAACGAGACTTATAGAAATGGATTACCATAAGAATAATGACAAAGTCAAATGGAAACTGGTCTTCTAGCTGATATACATCAATAAACTCGCTTTTATTTTTAATGACTGATTGGTAGAAAATGGCAACCAGAAAGAAGACTATCAAGTCAGCACCAAATATGTAGGCATAGAGGTCAGTATCTCTCTTTCCTCCTCCGATCACAGAGAGAATGGGGTAAGGAAATCCAGTTCCTTCAACAAGTCCACTATGTTGAGCTTTACGAATTTCTTTCGCCACATCCGAGGCTGGGGTAAGTGATTTGTACCATTCTGCTGAAGAACACCCATTCGTGGGAGAAGCATACTCAACCTCGAGAACAACTAAGGCCTCGTTTGGGGTTTCTGTACTTCTCTCTATACTTTGTACGTGAACCCTGCTAGAGTAAGGGCAGAGATCAGGGTTTCCTTTCTCGCATCTCTCATTATGGACAAGCCTAAGCAACTGATTCATTCTACATTCAACTCTTTCAGGCTGAATTCCATCTTCAGGCCACATGTGAACATCCATTGTCACCTGGACAAAGTAAGGAGGGGATTCTGCTCCACGTGTCAGAGATATCCAGTATCGGCAGATGCTTCTGATCACCAGCTTCCCACTATCTCTTAGCTTCTTGAACACATCCAAGATTCTTTGGCTCAAGCTTATTCTTGTGAGATCCTTCTGGCTACCACGGGCATTCCGGCGCGATGTAAAATCAGCAGAAGGAACCCAATCACCATCTTTCACTGTTATAGCACTCTGTATGAGAGTAAATATGTAAATAAGGAATAGAGGCAACGAGCTGACAACAAATGATGATTTGATTCTTTGCGTTGGAAATCCCAATTCATGAAGAAGAGGTGCATCAATGCTTAACCCACAGTGCTGGATTATAATCTGGTATAAATACTGGAGCAGGATATAAAGTTCTGTGTACATTAGCATGATGACCCAGAAGATGTGAGTAGGGCCAGTGTGAACGCAGAGGGCATATAGGAACAGTGCTGCTAGATAGACCATGGAAAGAAGACTGAAATTCCAGAGAAACGCAATAATGAAGCAGCAATAGCAAACAATATCGTTATTGGACTGCATCCTAGACCATATATGACGAAAGATCCTTCCTATCTGAAAGCTAGTGCCGTCACTACTCCTGTCAGATTGTAGAGATGTTGACCGTTCGAAAGGTGTGTGTTTTCTTTTCTGACTTTCCATTTCATCATACACATCATCATCAACAGAAGACTGCTCATTTGTATCTGAATTTTCCGGCGAGATGTTTAAGAAATTCACAAGGTTATTTACTGCCTGATTTCCAATAAATTGTACCTGGGAAACACCATCACCGATGAGTTGCACCGCAGAAATCAACGGATTCTCCTTTCCCTCAGACTTTTCCTTTCTTTCACGTTCCATAGACATCACATCAAGATCCTGTTGAACTTCAGTTATCTCACAAGGAGATGCTCCAAATGAATACTCTGGAGAATTTAGTGCTTCTGGAGTGGTACTCACTGGAAACTCATGCGCTTCAAAAGGATACTGTGAATCCTCGTCAATAGGCTGCTCTTCTTTCCTGTGGACCACTCCGTCAATCTCAGGACTGGCTGCACCACTATCTGGAATTAGATACGGACTCTTCCTCCTTCTTAGACCTTCAGTGCGCGGAGAAGAAACTCCAAAATTAGAATCAGAATTCATTCTGTGAAGCTGTACCCGCAGGTTCAGCATTTCAGATTTCATCTTCTCCACCTGCAAATTCCGCTGCCGTTTTTTTTCCTCAGCCTCACGAATTTGTTGCAGTTGCTCGGTCTTCCGTGCTGCTTTCTTCTCTTGCTCCCGCACAATAGCACCGATTTGCTCTGCTTCAAGATACCGCGACACATAATCAAACTCCTGGGAGGAAAACATGTAGGACTGAAGAGATACTAGCATAAATATGATGATCTCAACGAGAGCAGATCTTGCAGTGATTCGAAATCCATAGTCATACTTGTAGAATCCAATCACCTCGTATATATAATCAACCGTTTCACATTTTCCATCATTGAAGTTTCCAACAAATGGAGACTGATATGCGAGAGAAAAGATGATGAGAACGAAATTGTACACCCGCAAGAACCTGAATATTTTGTTTTTCTTCTTCAGTATTTCAAGTCTCATTCGGGCAAAAACAAGAGCGAATGCAAGATAACCCAGGTGTAGAATGTCATACTCAAGAGTTCCTGTGATTAGAATCAGAATAAGCACAACATCCAGCAGATGGACATAACAATAAAGCCTCAGGTAATCAAGCACAGTCCACATGCTCTTTGTCTCGAAGGAGAGATCTCTCCAGACAAATGAGTTCTTTCTTTGAGACTTCATCTGATGATATGTCGATGACTCTGAGAAACTGGATATGTGATCAGCCCGAAGTTTGAAACAGGCAAGCATGAATACCACAAAATAACTTATAAGAGTCCGGGGGTCGTCCACTCTCACTCCTGCAAAATTAAATAGAGAAAGCTTCTCCAAATAGTACCTAATTCTTGGATCTGTAAAATAAAGAATTATTGCATAAAGAAAAGTGCTTCAAAAAGTTTGAACGGTCATACCAAGCCAACACTCCCGGCAAAATTTAAAGTAGAGAGCTGCAATACTCCAACAGTCATGGCAATGCACACTAGCTTCACTTGGAGC